TTACATCCATTAACATATATTATAATTTTAATTTTTTATATTTTAAATTTTTTATTATTAATTAATATAGAATTAAATTTAAATATTTATATATATATATATAATTTTAATATGCAAAAATATAAGAAATACTTAAAGTAAAATACGAATTATTATATTTAGGGGTTCAGACAGCCCTCTGCGAAGCTTCCGTTTCATTAATTCTATTAATAAAAATGTGAATTTGCATAAACATCCGCAGTTTAATAATAGCTATTTCTTTGATCGAATCTAGACCCAGGATCAGGTCCTTCGAGACTCAAAATATTTGAGTCCTTCGACTGTTCCAAGTTGTTGGCTATTTAGGATCTTCTCTTGAAATCGACGCACCTAACGTTTCAATTTTCAGAGAAACGACTTGGAGGAACAAAATTTCTTTTAATATGGACGTTTTTTATACCCTTCGCTTTTAATAATAACTATTTCTTTGATCGAATCTAGCGAGATATTCTGCAAAACCTTGAAATTTTAACGCTACCAAATCTATCAAGATTCACTCTTCGAGCCTCAAAATATTCGAGTCTTTCGAGTGTTTCAAGTTGTTAAATCGCATTCGAGCCGATTCAAAGCGTTTGAATTTCCAGTGTTCGCGACGCAGCGTCCATGAAACAGTGAAAACGGTTCGTTTCGACCGGAATCGGCCATGAGGGCGAACGCAGGAGAATGCAGGTTGCGTGCTATCGTTGGAACGTGGATTTTAAACGGTCCGTGAAAACTCTAGTGTTTTTTCTGTTTGTTCCCGCGATTCATACGGTCGAAGATTTCCCGCGCGACCTCGAGCTTATCGCACTTTCTACCGGGAGGCTGGAACAGAAAATCGCCGACGGACTTTCTACAAAATGGTCCGCTAGAAGTGTCCTGGAAATTGCTGTTGACGGTCTCTCTCGTTCCCCTTAAAAGGAGCTCGTCGACGAGGACTGTGATGCAAGTGGTTTTACGTACAAAGACGCGATCCATTTCCATCCGTTACAGAAACTTTAGATCGTTTATACCACCGCCACTATAATCGTTAATATAATTTTACACGAATTTTCTTTAGATAACCTGTTTTTCTCCTTTGCAACGTAACTGTATACCGATCATATACGATTTAATCCATGAATTTGTATTGAATACAACTATGGCGCCATAAAGACTTATTTGTGGGTCATCGACTCGTTTAACCGAGCCACCAAAGACATTTTACTGGTGTAAAATTAGAAATACAATTTTACGAATGCACAGTTGCGCTTGCAGAAGACTTAGAAGAATGGCTTCTTGAAAATTTTAAACATAATTCGTCCCATTCGCGCGACACGACCCGTCGATTAGATTCACTTCTCGTTGATCGATATCGATACTGTCTTTAATGCACGCAATTTCTTTGCTGATGTTATCCGGTGTTGTGTGCATCAATTTGCACATTCCTCTGATCCAATTACCTACATATTTTCATATCAATATTCTTTTATTCATGAAACATTTTTTTCCTCCGTAAGTGGATGCACGGATAAAAAAAAAAAGGCCTGGAAAAAAATGTAGCACGCTCCGAGCTTGTGGATACTACTTATTCACGGTAGATTTAAGCAACGTCGTTGTCCTCGTTCCGCCACGTCGGCGATCTTCGAAAGAACAGTCGCGAATAATTAACACGTTGCTCAACGATTCGCGGTGAAGGGTCGATGACTAGCAGGAATCGATTAACACGAGCGTCAATAAAATTGATTCAAAATGGAGAACGAATTTTTACGAAAAATCGACAAGGTATAGGTGGACAAATTTTTAGTTTCGGGGGTCAATTGCAATCGCTTTTGTTGAACAGACGTAGCCCCGAAATCTTGCGCACTTTCGAGAAAAAAATTAAGTTAATAACTTTTCAACGAAGCTTCCATCAACAAATTGCTATATCCAAAGTGCTACGCATTATACATAAAAAGTTTCGTTATGATTTACACGCCCGGTAGAATTTGAAATTGGTTGAAATAAAATGCTTGAACCGATGGTAATTAGTAGACTGCGGATGTTTATGCATTAATGGGAAATTTTAATTTTCAAAAAACTACAGAATTTAGTTGATATGCAAAAAGGTACGAATTATTATATTTAGGGGTTGAGACAACCCTCTGCAAAGCTTCGATTTCATTAATTTTATTAATAAAGACTGAGTTTCACGGATCGAACGATGGGCATGGGAATAGACAGGCGGTTCAAAGAGAAACGCTGGTAAGAAAGGAAAAATAGAAACTAGTTTCCATGTCGGAGAGTGGCTGTAAAAGGATTCTCATACTTGGCCGACGATGCAGAAGAACGGTTTTGCTATCCGTCGCGCTGACACGCCGTGGCTGTCATAAGATCTGAAATTACGTTTAATTTCGAGGGCGGCATGCGAGGTGCATCCTCGATCGCAAGAAAGTCCGGAACTTGAACCGATACGGTTGAGTAAACGCGCTCTCTAAGCCTCCTTCTGGGTTCGTTTCTTCAGGAAACGACCGTACGCGAACAAGCTTCGAACTGAAAATTCGTAACACGCGTACCCGTTTCCTTTCTTTCCGCAATTTCCTCTGCAATCGTGCACGGTTCACGCGTAATCCACCCAACAACAATATCGTTCCTATAGAATTCACCGTTCGCTCTGATCTTTTATTTAGAATCACACTAAAAAAATTATACTTAGTTACAGGGGTCAATTACAATCATTTTTGGTCATTACACATACCACTGAAATCCTACGCATTTTCGAGAAAAAAATTGGAGTAGGTAGACAAATTTTTCGACGAAATTGAAAAGTTTCAAATCCTTCTAAAAAAAATATTTACAGTTGCAATGGTCAATTACAATTATTTTTGGTGAATAGACATACCCTCGAAATCCTACGCGTTTTCGAGAAAAAAATTCGAGAAGGCATGAAATTTTTCGTCAAAATTGAAAAGTTTCAAATCGTTCTAAAAAAAATATTTTCAGTTGCAATGGTCAATTACAATTATTTTTGGTGAATAGACATACCCCTGAAATCCTGCGCATTTTCGAGAAAAAAATTCGAGAAGGTGTGAAATTTTTCGACAAAATCTGAGAATTTTAAATCATTGTAAAAAAATTATATTTAGTTTGAGGGGTCAATTACAATCATTTTTGGTGAATAGACGTACCTTCGAAATCCTACGCATTTTCGAGAAAAAAATTCGAGAAGGTATGAAATTTTTCGTCAAAATTAAAAAATTTCAAATCGTTCTAAAAAAATTATTTTCAGTTGAAATGGTCAATTACAATTATTTTTGGTGAATAGACATGCCCTCGAAATCCTACGCATTTTCGAGAAAAAAATTCGAGAAGGTATGAAATATTTCGTCAAAATTAAAAAATTTCAAATCGTTCTAAAAAAATTATTTTCAGTTGAAATGGTCAATTACAATTATTTTTGGTGAATAGGCATACCCTCGAAATCCTACGCATTTTCGAGAAAAAAATTCTTTACCGAAAATCTAATGTGAAACCCACAAATGCTTCCCTGAAATTACATACATATCTTTAAAACGTCATAACTTCTGAACAGATTGGACGATTTTAATATTTCATAAAGCAATTAACGCGTATTTTAGTGTAGAATATATAGACATTCTAAAAATATTGGAAAAGTTGCTCCTTGACCCCGTAAAATAAGAAAAACTCCATAAAAGTGGTCCAATTTCCAAACGGCCATAACTCCGGCAGTAGTGGACATATCTCAATGAAATTTTTTTCTGAAATAGAGCTTATGGATACCTACAAAAAAGTACTAAACAACTTTTCCATACGACGCCAACCAAATTTATTAAACAAAAAAAACGAATTTTTAAGAAGAATCGACAGGGGATTGTGCCTAAATTTTTCAACGGAAAAAAAAAACTTCAAATCGTTCTGGAAAAATTATTTTCGATTGCGGGGGTCAATTACAATCATTTTTGGTGAATAGACATGCCCTCGAAATCCTACGCATTTTCGAGAAAAAAATTCGAGTAGGTAGACAAATTTTTCGACGAAATTGAAAAGTTTCAAATCGTTCTAAAAAAATTATTTTCAGTTGAAATGGTCAATTACAATTATTTTTTGTGAATAGGCATACCCTCGAAATCCTACGCATTTTCGAGAAAAAAATTCTTTACCGAAAATCTAATGTGAAACCCACAAATGCTTCCCTGAAATTTGATACATATCTTTAAAACGTCATAACTTCTGAACAGAATGGACGATTTTAATATTTCAAAAAGCAATTAACGCGTATTTTAGCGAAGAATATATAGACATTCTAAAAATATTGGAAAAGTTGCTCCTTGACCCCGTAAAATAAGAAAAACTCCATAAATGTGGTGGAATTTCCAAACGGCCATAACTCCGACAGTAGTGGACATATCTCAATGAAATTTTTTTCTGAAGTAGAGCTTATGGATACCTACAAAAAAGTACTAAACAACTTTTCCATACGACGCCAACCATATTTATTAAAAAAAAACACGAATTTTTTCAGCACTAAAAGGGTTAAAGAAAAGTTGTTGCTTTTTATTATTAGGCAAAACACGCGGCCCGAATGCGGTTTTCCGATTCGATCGCGGTACAAGTCGATTACCAAGCGATAGATTGCTCCCGACATTAGGAAACAGCGGCTTCCTGAAATCAGCCTGGAACGTTTCGCGTATAATTTCCATCGATTTATTCGCCAGTGTTTTCAACCAGCTCCTTTCGAAGACGTTCCTTCGAAGGGGAACTCTTGTTCCTTGAAATTCTTACTTTCTCGCTTTCTAACGATCGTGAATATTGCCAGAAAGCGAACGACTCGTGCGTCTCATCTGCATGCGACTCGAGTTCGTTCTTTATTTCCTACTCCATTGACTCCGTGGATTGTCGATCGTTCGGAATGATTAATTAATAAAACCGTACCGGTTGCGTAAATACAAAAGGAAAGGGATCCTGGACAACGTGAATCACTCGGATAAATTGTTTCGTTGCAGCAATACGCAGCCAAGCATGCCGAGCAGAGCCACTTGGTGGAGCAAATGAACACGAAGTACTATTACTACACGAGGACGCAAGGTCTCTTCAGGATATGCTATCCCAAAGAACGACCTCCGACTGGTAAGCCGTAAAAATACTTCATTTTCCATCCTTGGACGATTCGACGTTGCTTAAGCGATACTTATATTATTTTCGTTATCCGCAAGGTTACGTTAATAGCTGTGCATAACTGTACTTTACACTTGCATCTAACGCGTACTCGCGACTGTAATTTATTCTTTTCAATTCTAATACCTCCCATGTTTATTGTCATTCGATGTTTATGCATTTATGGGAAATTTTAATTTTCAAAAAACTACAGAATTTAGTTAATATGCAGGAATATAAGGGCTATATCTAGGGGTTGAGACAGCCCTCTACAAAGCTCCAATTTCATTAATTTTATTAATAAAAATATGAATTTGCACGTAGATCCGCAGTCTAATGATCATTATTGAAAATAGACACAATGGATAGATAAACTAACTAATGAGTAGTTCGAGTTGAATATCTTGATATTTTATGGGACAAATTGAACGTCTTCATCGCTATGTAGACCTCGAAAACCCAGAAACGATGACCTTGATAAAAAAAATAATCTTCCCATTAGCGTACTTTCTCCACCAAAACCGAGCAACTTTCGTTCTTACGATTTTGTTCGCGAGTTCAAAAAGTACAGAACCAATCAGAATAGAAACTTCGAAGCAACATTTAAATTCGCTATCGTAATCGATTAGGAGCACGATCAACTTTGTTAATTGCACGCCGCATGCAATTCTCCGTTCACTTTGGAAACATTTCACTGTCTCGCGATACCATCGAATTTTGTTTCGCAAAATCTCACTTTCGACGATTAATTGACCGTTTAGAGGATAGAGGTGGGTGTAACGTATCGATCATAATCCATCGCTGCGTTCGATATGCAAATGGACCACTGTGCTCGTGGATTTATTTGATGAAAAAGCAACGTGTCTTGGCGGCTGGAACCGATTTCTCGCGAGTTCCTCCTCGGAGGCTCGTCCGGAGCCGGCCTTTACGAGACTTTCTACGTTACGATACCGTAATGTCGTGGGTTATTCGATCCAACGTAATAGGTTAAGAGTTTATAATCGACGGATCGGTTGCACGCAGTGGCCGGGAGAAAGGAAACATCTTAGATCCTCGCGAAATTGCTCGCGCACGCGATGGTCCAAGGAAACGTGACGTCTTCCGAGTTTCTACGAGTTTGCTTTCATTTTTCTATCCGTGGACCACTCGAAACTAACCACGGAACAATGCTCGAATAGTTAGAATATTTATTTACGCAAGAAACAAGAAACAAGAAACTAGAAACTGATTTCTAATCCTTACTATCCCTTGATCATCGTCCCTACCTCTACCCATTTCTACCAACAACATGTAAACGCCTGCAATATCGAAAAACGGCCAGAAAGAGTCTAGTCTTCGGTCGACGTAATAGTACGAGTTTTCTTTTCTTAAATAAAGTGTTGGAATCCAAGAAAACTAATAATGGCTGACCGATGGTCGTCGTCATTCATCGAGTATATAAATTTCTTTTCTCTTGCGATTTAAAAGTGCATTTTAGAGTCTACGGTCAGCGTAGAATTCTCGAACGATTCGACAAATGGGAAAGTTCGTTTGCATAATAAAAGAAACCGCGTTCGTGAAAGGGAGCCAAACGCGATGCATTTTCCGGCGTTCTCCGCCGATAGTGAAAAATCAGGGATAATGAGAAGAAGCTGGATCGATCGTACACGGGTTTTAAGGCTCGAGTACGCGAGATTTGAAACAATATCGCTGTAAGATTCGTAGCAATCTTCTAATGTCCGGTGGAAAGTTTCGCTGTCGAGGATGTGTCTCTCTAATGGACGCAGCATTGAAATTCAGGGTTTCTTTCGCACAGACATCGAGTTTACGTGCGATTCAGGTAATTTACAGCACAAAGGCCTGCCTAACTTCCGGCTGCTTGCGCGAAACAGCTCTTATTCTCGGATACAGAGACATAAGAGAGGGTCTTCTATTGTAAACCGCCGAAAAAGTCGATTTTTTCCCCTTATTTTCTCAATGAATATAGTCTTAGAAATATATGTTCGAAAGCTTATCACCGAACTCGTAAAATTAATCTTTTGCACTCCTATGATGAGTGTGATTCGACAAGAAGCTCCTTTTCGACATTTTTTCAAGTCCAAAACCAAAGAGATATCGTACATTTGAAAGTTACAAAATGCAAGAACAGCGTAAACAAAACAGATATTTCAACAGGTAAATTTCAAATAAAACACTTAAAGGCGCTGGTAACAAAATTGAAATATAATTTAAGTATATATATAAGTGCAAAAGGTTAACGAAGGTATACCTATCGATCCTTCTGTTTAAATGGATTTTTCTGAAAACTATCTTTTCTGATTTGACTTCCACGATACCTCGAGATAATTAAGAGACGAGGAAATGCCTTGGCTAGATTGTAAAAGGTGTCGGCGTTTTTTATACGGCACTGGCATATCGTGCACACGCGTATCGAAAAGCACGTGACCCAGAATGCAACGCACTATCACCGGCTGCAAAGTGTACGGGGAACCGTGCACATACATTGTACACACTTAAAGCCGGCTGGCATTCGTGTAGCTCGTCTTTCGTGGGCAACGGTACTTTTTAACCATTCCTCATCTACGAAATACTACTTTCGAAAGACATTTCACGCGGTGAAAAGAAAAAGTCGCGTTAATGTCGCGATGCTTTCACGGGTTTCCTGTCCTTCCAGGAATCCCGACAGAGAAAACTGCGATCGAATTAATTGCAATTCGCCGACCTTCTCGAGAATAACTCATTCAAGAATGAACTTGCAAATAGTCTCGATCGCGACCTTGACTTTGCTTGGATATTAGCAGAAAAGTAAGATGAATCGAAAAGATGGAGTACGGGAGACCAAAGGAGTTCGTGGGCGGAAGCGTTAATATTTCAAGGCCATTCGCGGTCCCACAAAATGGAATCTATTTTTTCTTCGAGCAAACGTACGACTTTCTACAAATATTTGTCGACTCGTTTGATATTTTACTTTCGGGAACGAAATACCCACGAAAAGGAAACATTATTTAGATGAAAGAACCGCGAACGTAAGGCGAGATGAATAATTAATTAACGACTACGGTAAGATGGCGTAGTAATAGGTGTAAACGACGGTAAATGCAACGGTACTTTCATAATCGTCGGATAGTAGATAGCGTTCTAAAAGAAATTTTCCTAAACCGAGCAGAAGTAAACTTTCAAGTATCAACGCGTATTGCACGGGTTAGATAAAATTGCCTTGCTCTGGTAACCCTTTGCACTCCAAATTATATTTCGATCTTGTTATTTGAAATTTACGTTGATTAAAAATTATTGTATTTTGTAATTTTCAAGTGTATATCTCTTTGGTTTGGACAAAGGACAAAGGAGTTCCTGAGATAAAAATTCAGAGAGTTGAGCGAGAAAAATGACGAAAAATTATTGCACAGATCGAAAGAGACGGAAACTCGGTTATGAATTACACCGTGGAATGGAGTGTCGAAGGAGCGTGGGTAGAGACACTTGCATCGCGTATGTAACTCGAGTGTCTCATTAAGCTTTCCACATCCAGCCGGGCTAAGGGATGTGCAGAGTGGCGCGTACCGTTCGAAATGGTTGAAATTCAGTCGGTGACGGCCGTTTCCTCGACCTTCTTCGAATCTAGTTTCGCCTAAACGAGGCGCCATGCCAAGATCGTTGACTCGTGGCTAACTGTACACCGGTTAAGACGGCATCGCCACGCCATTCAGGATGAGGAACCATGACGATCGTAGGACATCGTAATTACGATCGTACCACCGACACGAACGCATCACGTACGCATACGTGCGCGTGTAAAAAAATATGGAGTGAAATAAAAATTGACCGAAACCGGTCGTTGACTGGTTTCTTGAAATTTTTCACGCACGCGTCTTCGGTGGTCGCCGCGCGCCTGACCTCCATTTTGTAGGACGATTTCTGCCCGAAGGTGGGAATATCGGGGGAATATTTCGCCGCGACGCGGTGCGTCGACCTCGAATCTGCATTAAATTCAATCGCTAACGCGTTAGAGAGCCACCGTGAAATTAATCCTGTGCATCCCGAAACATTCCTCGTAATTCATCGCGCCACTCTGTTCCCAGCGGTAAATTAAATTAGGCGCAATTATTAGGCTGGTAACGTCGAATGTTTTCAGGTTAAATTTTGCCTAGACTCTTAACGGCGAATCGATTTCCCCTTCCCCTTTGTCGAGACCCTCACGTACGATAAATAAATCGAACAGGGAGCCGGAAGCGGAACGCCGGAAGCGAACGGAACGTCGAAACCGATAAGGAGCTTGCGGTCGAAGAACGGTACAAGACGGTGCACACGATGTATCGATCATTTCGATTGTTTTCCGCTCGAACGACGGGAACAAGTCCCCGTGGTTGTTCCGATTCCCAACAATCTCGCGGTACTTTCTATTCACCGGTGTTTTCGCCACCAATTTCTTCCTTCCTCGAACTCGATAAAGATGAGACGCGAAACGAACGACTGTAGGCTACCGGTAGTAACTCTAGCTAGGATCCTCCGGATTCTACGCAGGACAGTTCTTTCGCCGAAGGATACAGGTTCTTCGTGAAACTCGAGACTTCCGGACAAACTGGAATCGCCGTTACGGAGCGGTGAAGTTTAGAAAATGCGTGCGTCTCTCGTCGTGAGAAAATCCGGACCTTTTCGAATAATGGGCCCATAGAATTATTCAGGCTTCGAAGCCGGCCAGAAGCGTAAGTGAACGTCTCTCGAATCCTCGACTATATTTCTTAGCCAGGACAGAAACACTTGCACGACTCGAGTTCCGCGAGACCATTAACGTCATTACGCCCCGGTGTTCCTTTCTAGAGGATCTCTTCCATTGTAAAACGTATTTTTTTTCTAAAGAAGCTATGCAATATTCTTCTCTTTCGGTAATGTTCACAAATTTTTCCAACTAGAAGTAGTCAAAATTAGTGTCAGTAGCCCGTTCCGTTTGTCCAAGTAAAACAAATGAAAAAGATTCTTAAACACGCCTGGCTACTACAATTCCGTATCAAAGCTCGCTGATGTTGTCCCAAAACTCCAGATACAACGAATCTCGATGAGTTTGTGTGTTTACGACCGTCTAAGGTACAAAGAACCGAGCACCGGTTCATTTTGCAACCGGCTATTAGACACGTGCGCGTTCCTACTCGTTTCGATCCGAAATTAGAACGTTTCCAGAGCGAACTACCATCGGTGCGCGCGCCAATTAGTCGCCAAGAGCCGCGAAACTTCCTAAATTGGCTGCATCTTCGTACAACGCGCGCCAATTAAACGCACAGGGGACAAACTGATCTCTTGCTTTGGCGATCTGTTGCAGTTCAAACATACCTAAGTCCGGTGGAGACGCACTGTATGAACATCAACTACTTCATCCCCGATGAAGAGAATCTGACCAAGAGCTTCTCCGACGACGCGATGACTCGACTTCGTACGTACAACGAATTCGAACCTAACGATCGAGCTTTTGAGGATGTTATTTTAAGTTTTAATTCGATGGTTGTCTTCCAGACATGGGCAGATCGGTGATAGCTCTGTTTATAGTGGGATTCGTAGCGATCTTCACCGCCTTTTGGACGGGCGTGGTGGGTTGTTGGAAGAGATCGCCCGGAAACATCACTGCAACCGCGATTTTGATGCTGCTGGCGTGTCAGTATCATTTAATATTAGTTATTTCTGACTTGAGAAACTTGTATCGCGTTTGTGAATGGAAAATCTGTCGATAATCTAGGCCTCCTGAGCGCCAGCGCCATGGGACTCTGGCACGGAGTGGAATACTACGAAAAAGAAAAGATCGTCGGTGAAGAATACTACCAACAATGGAGCAACGTGAGTAATATTTGTTATTTGTCCAAAAATACTTCTACGTAAACGTTCGATTTCTAACGACCGACGCCGGTTAGAAACTTGCTTATATCACCATACTTTGCGTCGATTATGCTCGTTTATAGATATTTTCGCTGGACACCGATCATACGGTTCCCCGAGCAATTATACAATATTGAAATTAGTTACGTCATTGTTCGTAGATTTCCGGCGTCGTTCAATCTGTCGATGTGTGCATCAATACGCGATAAGCGCTTGCAATTGCAACGGGCTTGTGTAATTTAGAAAGTCGCTGGTCACTTTAAATACCAGAAAACTTTTCTATCTCCCCGACGACGGGATCTCGGGCAAAGAATCTCGCTGAAACACGGCCCAAGAGAGATTTAAGGAGTCGAACGTTGCCTCGTTAGGCTATACTTTGTAACACGAGGAACTTGCACAGAAACGATACAGTCTCAAGCTTTGTGTGTTAACGTAATAGGTGTTCCAGAACAGGACTCCACACGGGAAATTGCAAAACGTTTGTTCGCAAGGATGCAAACAGTTGATACAAATGTTCCACTGTTGGACACTCGATGCAAGCTTGCACACTTTTTAGTCTAAATCGATCTTTTTCTAGGCTACTCGAACTATGAAGGAGTGAACTAGCCAATAGATATTGACGATACTGTCTAGTTCGCGAGTATATACAGGGTGTCTCCCCCGATTTCGACATGTTGATTTTCTCGCCATTGTTACTCGTAACAAAAAATGTTTCAGCGTAGGCTTGAATGGTATCGAGTGGAGCATATTCCGATGTTATTAGTTTTTTCGTGAGTGGACGCGTAAGGGTCATATAAAGGTCAACTTTGTTTTTTCAAATGGAACGAGGTATTTTTTAATACATCGATCGATTCAGCTGGAGAATCGTTATAAAAAAGTACTGACTGTGTAACGTCGAAAAATTAGTAGTTCAGGGGATATTTCAATTTAAATAATACTGTTGTACTAAGACGTTGGGACACCCTGTATAGTTTATTTCCAGTCTGTTTAAACTACGAAAGAGTAAACCGACTGCTATAGGTGTTGGAAGGATGGAAACGAGTCAAAGGGGACGAGGTGGAGAGCTATGAGCAATGAGCTACTCAAACTATCAAGGAGTGAACTGACTAGCCAATTGATGATATTGTCTAGTTCGCGAGTATATGTAGTTTATTTCCAGTCTGTTTAAACTACGAAGGAGTAAACCGACTACCATGGATGTTGGAAGGATGAAAACGAGTCAAAGGGGAACGAGATGGAGAGCTATGAGCTACTCAAACTATCAAGGAGTAAACTAGACAATTTGATATTGACGATATTGTCTAGTTCGCGAGTATATATAGTTTATTTCCAGTCAGTTGAAAGTACCAAGGAGTAAACCGACTACCATGGATGTTGGAAGGATGGAAACGAGTCAAAGGGGACGAGGTGGAGAGCTATGAGCTACTCAAACTATCAAGCAGTAAACTGACTAGCCAATTGACGATATTGTCTAGTTTACAGATGGATTTGCCCGCAGGTTTTAAGGGACAACGCGGTGCAGTGGTACGGCTGGTCGTTTTACCTCGCCTGGCTGGGGGTGGCGACGTGTTTAGGCACGATGACGCTGTTCCTGACCGCGGCGTCCTGCCTACGGCGGGAGCATGCGCGCGAACAGGCGCAGAACGTTCAGTACATCATGCCAGGTGACACGATAACCCTGAAACGATCGGACTAACTTCCCCCGTATCTCTTTTTTTTTTTTCTCGGAACGCGGTTCCAGGTCCTGAAGGACAACTCGCTAATCTCGTACGACTGGTCGTACGTGGTCGCTTGGGTCGGCGTCGGTTGGTCGTTGGTCAGCGCGATCTTGTTTAGCGCTGCGGCGATTTGCTTGAGGGGCGAGAGAATGCGCGAGGAGGCGATGAACATGCAGTACATCATGCCTGGTACATATTTAACACCTTTTGCTTTTGCCGCGGACGCGACGCGTCCACGCAGACTCCTAACGATCGCTCGAGAAACAATCGATTACCCAAATAATTCGATTTCAAACTACACCGAGTGTAACTAGATATCATTCTTTTTTAATTAAACTTGGACCAAACGATCGTCGATTAGTCACGATTCTCTGAGAGCTTCCATCACGACGGTGGTTTATTATAAGTTGATTATAATAAGTTGAATATTCGTCGATAGGAAGAAAGGAGTCTGCTTGTACACCGTGTTCCACTAACTTTGATTCATGATTACTGGGTTGACCCCGAAAATGGCGTTCCACTAACTTGAATCAGTTTGGTGAATAAAAAAGAAACAAAGTATCCAAAGAAACATAAGTTGATACAGAGGTAACGTAATCGATAGGCAGAGCGTAAAAATATGGATTATATAAAGTAGAAATCGGGCAAACAGTGTTGTAAGAAAATAATAACGATGGAATGCAACAAAAACGACTTTGAAGCATAATTAAATGTACGTTGAACTGAAACTTGCGTACATTTTTTTCTTTTTTAAATAACTTTGATTGTTAACAAAGACATTTATTGCTTCTGTATCGACAAGTTGAGTATTGCATCATTGCTGATCCGTTATTAATAAAATACCAATAAATTTCGCCTTTGAGTATAGGTATCAGAATCCATTCATTATGAATTGAGTAATAATAGATTTAACAAACTAATCCGAATACCACGCCACCAGGAAATGAGACGAAACATTGCTCGCTTGTTTAACATCTTAACTAGAGAAATCACTCCCGTACGAAAGTAATATCGTTGTATATAAGATTATGGTCAATTTTGACGTTCGGATGCCCATTAATTTAAGAGGTAACCCCGCACGTTGTTACGATAATAACGTCTCTGGATCGAGATCGACGGGATGAAATCGATCGCCGGATGTTATCGATGTCGTGGGAAGAAGAATGCTCGATCGTTTCTTCGCGAAACACTTACTCCTTCGGCTCACGGTCTGTTTCCATCGTGGATCGGAGCAATTTTGTCACGCTCCTGGGGGAAACTTTCTAAATAGCGCGATCTCTTTGGACGATCGATAATTCCGTTTTACATTCATCTTAAACGACACTTTATGCTTCGTTCTTAGAAATATTGCATGTTTTCTTTTCGTCGCGAAAGGAGGGCATCGTGTTCGAGGCTGTCTTGTAAATCGTATTTAAACATCGGTAATATTCTATTAATTCAGCTCTTGATTAAAGCAATCGCGTTAAATGGCTGTTTCCTACGCAAAAAAAATATCGAAAACCGGAAACCACCGATGCTACGAGGTATCTACAGGTGCGTTTCAAGTAGCCCCATGGAAAGCGACACACTTGCCTAATTTTACGCTCGATCCTACGACGCCTCTTATGCGCAGCCGCGAACTGTTCGAAAACGCCGAAAAGCTGGCAAAAATTAGAAAACTCTACAACATTTAAAACGTCACTAAAAAATTCGAAATTTTTTTAAGTTAAATTGGTGATTAACGATGTATCAAATTTCCGTTTAAAAATTGCTTCGTTTATCCAGCTTTGTGGTATTTTCGAGCAAATTCAATTTACGTTCATTCTGCATAGAAACGAACATTCTGTTTGTCTCGAAAGAGAACGATCTTCTCCATTGTCTCGAACGCCCACGGAGCATAGGCTTCGTTTTATTTTTAACTTTTCACGCGCCTTATTGAACGGAACGATCGACCGTTAATTGCATTTACACGAGAGGCAACTATGGACGTCGAAGACCGCAATTATCGAGCGGTCATAGTACGCGTTTGAATGTCAAGGAACCGAGTACGCGTCGAAGCAATCGGATTTCGTCCTCGATTTCTTATCGCCCCGTAGGCGGAAACAATTACGTTCGAGTCGAATACAAAGGCGAATTGAAATGCACGTTTCGCTTGGCAATTAGACCTAGGATATACGGAAGTGGTTCTTAGTCACCTGTTGTTATTACATGCTAATAGTGATCGGTCATTATCGACGAAATTCTTGGTTTGTTTCCCGTTAACGACCAACGAATTGTATAGGGTATCCCTAAATACTAAGTCATGTATTTGTGTAATAAGCAACCGTACAAAACAGACGCTATAGTCACAGTACATCTTCCTGCACGCGTTTGAAGGTTAATTCGATTCACGAACCATCAATTATAGTGCTCATTTCATTCGAGTAGCCATATTTGCACGATCCAACGAGAATTGGCGGGAAATATAAACAGAAAGTTCACATAACCGACAGTGCTGCCGCCACAGACGAGTGGCTGCTGTGAAAGTTACTGCGCAGGGACGCTTTTTAGCGCCCCCCTGCGAAGGGCCCTCGCATGACGCATTAAATCCAATTGAAACGATTTGATCGTAATCTAACAATTATATTGCAGTAAATAATACAACGTTCACATTTGCAAATGTAATAAATTCATTTCGAGAAAATACGTTGAACATATTGTTCGTCATTGTGCAAAAATTTTGGCAATTGGACGATAATATTGATACGTTAAATTCCGACAGTTCAAACACAAAATCGACACGAAATATAGTTTTCCATACCTTAATATTTAATTAATAATATCGTATTAATGTGTAGGAATCTGGATATTACGTTTCGTCCTTGATCTGATCATAATCTGGGTACAATAATTTTGGTAATTGGACGATAATATTGATACGTTAAATTCTGACAGTCGAAACACAAAATCGACGCGAAATATAGTTTTCCATACCTCAATATTTAATTAATAATATCGTATTAATGTGTAGGAATCTGAATATTACGTTTCTTGATCTGATCACGCGTCGTATTTCTTGCCAGTTCTCGTTGAACCGGGTATAACCTAAAGACGTGCGTCTATAGATTAAAACGGGGCACCCTATACACCTAACCTATTCTACGAATAACAATAGTCGAGTGACACACGCGGGAAAGATAATTACCCTCGGGCTAAGAACCATGCCACCGGAAGAAGGGTTCGATCTAACGTGTTTCGTTTGCGTTTTCAGTGTATCCTCAGAAACAACAGTACGCGTACGCCGGATACCCGGCACCTGCAGCGTATCCAGGACCGTACTATCACGGATCGCAATACGGGCCGTACAATTATTGAAAGGAATCCACGTGATCGCGCGTCTATGGAGGAAAGAGTCTCGAGCGCGGACCGTGTACGTGCTCGCAACGAACAAAATGGAATCTGGCAAACGACGTTTCCCATAGGAACGATACAAAAAAAAAAAAGCAAAAATCAAGACTCGAAAGCTGATCGTAGATCCGAACCGATCTTGCGCGAAGAGAAAGTAAAAAAGTATGGAACAAGGACGATCATGGGTCCCGCTCTAGATATAATTTATCATTTATCTTAGACTTAGCTACGTTACGGACATTCTGGTGCGCACCCTGGCGGGTCCCACGATCGCCTGCGATACGTTTCTCTTGCGACAGGTATCCGTTCTACACGTGACCGTTCGAACCAGGATTCAGTTCGACTGACAAGAGACAGTTGCTCAAAAAGCGTATTTACCTAGAACTGAGACGATCTTATAAAGGGGAGGGGGGGTTCTGTAATTTGAGGTTCACGAGAGAAGGGGGGGATATCTCGTTCAGAAAGGAATCGATAAAGTCGAGTAACGTTTGTTCTTTTTTGGAAAATCGGTTTCGATGAATTGTCGATTACGCGTGCACGTAATTCAAGTGTCGACAACAGTGATTGCATTTCAGTATTCACCACTGCTTACGTTCGTTGTGTATTCACGAATACGAGTATGGTTGTATCAAGTTTTTTTGAAAACGATGATTCGTGTAAAAATATTTTATTGTTCGTTTTGAACGAGATATCGTCCACTTTTTAATTGCACCACCAATTATGATATACCCTGTATATATATATTTTTCCAATCTAATATCTGTATTGTATTATCTTTCGTACGTGCTGACCGTGCTAGGACAATAATGATAGCAATGGTAATAATAATAATAATTGTGTTTTGTGCGTGGGAGAGTTATTTCATTGTTTGTTGCACTATGGTGTTCAACGTTTTAACCGTAATGTCGTTGCGTGTGATCGAGCAATCGTTGAACCGTCGATTTCGTGCAGACCCTTGTTATCAAGTACCTTGCTCTTTGCTTGACAATACTGCGTTATAAAAAATGTTGTTTTATATGTTTACGTTTACATTAGGTGTCCGCCAGTTTGAAGATGAAAGCTACTTGATAGTAAAGAAAAATCGATGTTCGTCGATTAAACGCCGAATAAGATTAGTGTTAGCAAATCAAGAGAAAAATTGCTCGTGTTGAACGCGAAAACCACGGTGCAAACTTTCGTTTATCGATCATTCTGATCGTCGAGTGGAAATACCCGATCGAAGTCGTCGGAAAAAATTCGGCAATGTGGTGCAACACAAATATCCATTAGTCATAACAGATGTATGTAAATGATAGAAAGCGTAAAATGGATGCATCGATTCATTCGCAAATGATCCCGTTTCATAACGACAATTCGCATCATTTACTCGCTAGACTTTCTAACGCATAGATTTTAATTTGTAAGACTTCTTATTGCGATATCTTTACACAAGGTATTAAGAAGTAAAAGATAATTCAGTTACTTTATATATACAATATTTCTTTGAGCAAATAAATTAAATCGGACTCACTCTAACCTCTATAATCTGTCTTCCGTTCCGTGCGTAATTTCTCAATTCGTCGAAACAGCATCGTGTTAGAATAAGCAACCGAACACTAGGGAATGTAGTGTAAGTATAATTCTTTGTTTACGCAAACATTAATTTTTTATCGAACAGAGCATTAAGAAAGTTATGTAAAGTTTAATGTTTTCAAAAACGAAACACCTAACCCTTTATGTACTATAAACAACACGACGTATCGTCAAAACATGATTAATATATTCGATACGTTAGAAACGAGCAAATGATTTTTCTTTCACTCACCCATCGGATGTAGATTCCCTCCAATTTCTTTTGTTGGAAACCAGTCGCTGTTCTGAAAATGAAATCGGTTCAAAGCTAGTAAACAGATCACGGTTTCTATGGATATTAAAAGATTTAAATTCATTTCGACGTACCAAACAAATAATGAAAGACAAGGAACACTTAATGTACCACTCGTACAACTAATCTTAACATTTGCAACCGTTACATGTTCGAAACATTTGAAAGAGCAACGTTAACCAACGACTGCGCATCGTTCGTTGCATTCGACCAATAGGAATCGAGCTTCTTTCCATCGATCACGTGGGCGTCGTTTGAAAATGGCGATCTCGATTTAAGAACTACAATGGGTTCTTCGCGGCACTCAGTTCGATACACGTTTGCCACAAGGCGTAAACATGTTCGACCTATTTCTCAAATTTTGTCTAGTCTTGGTTGGACCTCTTATAACCGATGTAAGAGCTCCAACGCAAACACGCTTCCAAGATGAGAAGGTACGTGATACGCATCAATTTGTATCGTTTAATTTTTTTTAATCGGATACTTTCACTCGCCCTCGATGCATTCGTCTTTTCTCATCTACCGCGATACATGTGCCTCATTGACAATCATTCACATGCGTCGGTTACAGTCATGAAATGATTCCAGCACTACCACAAGCCAATTACACTCTCAGGCAATCAAATACACGAATTGTCAGATTTGTCAAATGTCGGTCATATGGAAGAGATTTTAGACAACATATGCGTAGTGAGGATCGTTGGTACATCGGAACACGCGAGGGTAAAAAATGTAAGTCTACATAATATTATGACGTTATATAATCGAATGGAATATTCTTGCGTATTCAATTACAATCAAAACTATGGATCCTTGATAAAACTTGAAACATTCATTTCTCCTTCTAGTACATTAAAAAATCCATGCAAGATCTTAATTGGACGCTAGAATCTGATGTTTTCGATGATCATACGCCGACTTTTGGTACATTGCAATTTGAAAATATAATTGCAAAATTAAACCCCAATGCAAAAAGATATTTGACGCTGGCTTGCCATTACGACTCGAAATATAACGCAGAAAGGAATTTTGTAGGTGCCACGGACAGTGCAGTGCCATGCGCTCAGTTGATTAATTTAGCCAAAGTTATGAAAAACCAATTAGACTCGATAAAACAAGTAAGCAATGTTCGCAACAATTTTTAGTAAACGTTCTACGATAAAATTCTTTTATTTTCAGAATGACGTCAGTTTGATGTTTATATTTTTCGACGGAGAAGAAGCTTTTAAAGAATGGGGACCTAAAGATTCAATCTATGGCGCGAGACATTTAGCCAAAACGTGGTACAATAATCATACTGCTTATGAACACGGAGAAAATATTTCTGAACTGGATAAGATTGTAAGCATCCTTTAATTTTGATTAAATTTGAACGATTTTTAATTGGTTTTTGTTCGTTGCAGGACATATTAGTTCTTTTAGACTTGATAGGTTCGCCGGATCCAACATTTTATAATTATTTTAGTAACACGGAACATTGGTATTCTTTGTTAATGGCTATTGAAACTAAACTAACAAACTTAAAAAAATTTGAATCTTATTCGTACGGGCAACCTAAACAAAGATATTTTCAACAATATTCCATGGACAACTATATAGAGGATGATCACACTCCATTTTTACGAAGAGGTAGATATTGGTTTATGTATATTGCTAAATTCCGTATACCGTATCTGTATTATAAAACGTTTCTTTCAGATGTTCCTATTTTGCACATAATACCATATCCTTTTCCAACGGTTTGGCATAAACCAAGCGATAATCGTGATAACATAGATTTAAAAACGGCGGAAAATATTAACAAAATACTAAGGATCTTTGTTGCTTCGTACTTACATATTAATATTTAATTATCGATTGGATAATGATTATTATTATAGTAGGCTTTATTTTACTCAGCAATAACCGAGTATCAAATGGAATTGAAATGTAACATGACAATATTTAAGAAGCTAATTTTAAAAAATGTCTGTACAAACGTTATACGAACGCTTAATATTAGTTACTGATCAGCGTAATGTCAAGTTTTGTAATTTATGTGATTTTTGTAAGATAAATTATTCTTGATCAGCACAGAATCATGTTGACTGTGCTTGGAAGTTTATGTACACTAATATGTACTTATATCTGTTAAAGAATGGAAATATATGTATATTTTGTGGTATAATGTAAAATATCAGCCTTTCTGTTATAAATTAAATATATTTACTGTTCTATAACAGTCTATAACTATAATTGCAAACATTTCCTTCAAACGAATGTGTGGAAGTGAGGCTAACACGGGAAATTATACAGGAAATTGCTATGACACGTGACTTCCTGATACATGTTTAGAATATCAATTTAAACAAATGGCCGCGATAAATTTTCATAGGAAATCGTATTTTTCTAAACACCAATTGTTTCAGTATTCAAACGTTTCTTCCTATTGCATAACTCGCAACATTTGTCAAATGTGACGTATATTACGTTGTTGTTTGTTTCAAACATTCACGTAAAATACGTACAGAAAGAAACTCTGCAAAATCTTCTGATCTCAAGTTACGACTTGTTTCGAACTACATGCATATCCATGAATCAGTGTCAATGGAAATTGTTTTATTTAGAAGCAAAGGTTCCTCGAAAAACGCGGTTGAATTCAAATTTTATTCGGTTACACGCATCATTGCGTTTGCTCGACGAAGCACGTTCGTCTTTATTTCGACAAATAGGTAAAAAAAAATGATCGAAACGTTACGTACGAGTAATTTGCATCGCAGCTGACAATACACAAAAAGTTGCCAATTAACTTGATAGTTTCCTGGCGTGAACCGGCCTGAGAAAATAAAATATTGCGTGATATTATTTCTATAAGGGCAACGGTAAGCTCAGGCCATCGAATCGAGTGAAAGTGGGTATTCGATCGTAAAGTTTGGCAGGCCTGGCCGAGGTCATTGTTCGTGCGGGCGCGTCCGAGTAGGCTTTCGAGCCGAGTTTGGCCGAGCAACGCCGACTTTGACCGGTCGCGGTCGAACGTAATCGAGGGCTGTGATTGGCGGAGAGCCGACGCGACGGTAAAAGACACGAGAGACGCGAGCGACAGACGTGGAATGACTTCACGCCTCTGTTCGTGTATTTCGATGGTTTTTACGTGTCCGTTCGTACCGTGAGTCGGATAGCACGACAGAGCATCGTGCTGCCCGTTGTCCAGCATCGTTCTCGCGCACGGCCATAAAGATTTTCGCGGAACGTCGCCGAAAAACACGAAGCGGCTGACACATCGGTTCGGGAGGCAAGCTGGATTCGGTGAGCGAGCGCGAGAGCGAGAAGGACAGATAGTGCGCGCGGCAGGGTGGAAGAGAAGGAAGGAAGGAAGGAAGGAGGAGGATACGGCGTGAAAGACAGGGGACTGACGTGTTGCAGGCGTATCAGACGGACGTGTGTGGCGGTCGAACGCACCGACGAAATACGGTATTGTGCGGTGTACGCGAGGAACGCGCGCGCGTCAGGGTTTCCACCGTTTCATTCAAGAATGTTTTAATTACGGGGAGGTGCCGCGGTCCTTGCGAGCCCTTCGCGACGACAGTGCATGTACACCCGGACACCCGGAGTGAGGATTAACCGTCTTTAACGGACGTGTGTGTTGTGTTACGCCGCTCGAGAGGAAACGTACGCCTGACAGAGATGCTGAAGTTTATCAGGGGGAAGGGCCAACAACCCACGGCTGAGCGACAGAAACTGCAAAAGGATCTTTTCGCCTTTCGAAAGGTGAGTCTTGTCCCCTCGGTCGGAAAAGGTTCGCCCACACCCGACCCGGCAAAACACGTCCGTACACTTTCTTCCGCTCGTCTGCTTTTATTCCATCGGGCCGCTGTTTTTCTTTTTTTTTTTCTTTATTCCGTTTGCAGACACCGATCACCAACATAGATTAGATTTACCTCTCGCGAGAAAACAATGTTATCGTGCACCCATGGCGCTTACACGATACCATCGATATTCGCGTTTCAAATGCGAAGGTAACGAGCCCGGAACCATGGAGAAATTTCGCAAAATTATTCGTCCTGAAAGAAAGCGAGAGTGAAAATCGGCTCAGACTCGTTACCGACTGTGTACGTTCGGTGAACGAGAGTTTGTTCGATAAATTTGGAAGTTGCAAAGAGACATCTTGTCGAATTATCGAACGACTTTCACTCGTTATTGTTGTTTTCCTTTTTCTCCTGTATCGTGCACCGAAAGTGTATTAAATATACTTTTAATGGCTTAATTGAAACCGGGGACAGAACGATGGACAAAAGGCATCGGAGGAGTTTTATCGGGCGTGTTGGCTTTTAAAATCGAACCGATTATTTGCACATAGATTCTTTATAAAATTGATGTGCTCGCGATCGAAAGTTTACTTTGTTACCACCTCGGATAGTTATCTACTTCTTCGTGTGATATCACGATGTTGACACGCGATGCATTTTACGGAACAAGAGTTTCTTTTACGTATTCTCGGACGCGTTTCTCGGCATCGGTTCGCGAATAAATCTCTTGCTCTCGGAAAGATGGCAAAAAGACGGAGAATATCGAGTTTCAAGGAGATCCATAAATACACCGTGATACGGCGATTCGTGCATAATCGAAAGAAAAACCTGTCCCGAATTAACTCGCGATAATGGAGATTGGGAACGAACGAATTCGTCTTTGATTTCCGTTTATCGCGCGTGCACAATGAACGCGTACTTTGAATTGTCATTTTTCGTAATTTACCGACCGTTACCAGAGACGGCGCACACGTTACGAAATGTTAATGTTTTTTTTACGATAGTGTCGAGCCTGTTTTATCTATTAGGTTAGAGTGGTTCTTAATCTGTTTGCAAACTCCAAGGGGGGGTAGATAGATATCCGAGGGTCCACGAACTTGCACGTAGAAATTTTTTATATTTATTTTTCGTTCCATATGTTGTACCTAAAAATATTAACTTTATCTTTCCACTGTTTCGACAGCACGATTATCTATTAGACTGGAATGAATCGTTCGCTACTTTTTGTACAGAGAAAAAGCAAAATGAATTTTGCAAACACTTGGAAACATAGGCGGTGAGATTTTAACGATTATTTTTATCTCAATGACGTTGAAATTAATCCTTTCCTGTCTAACATAAATTCTATCGAAGAAGCGGATCTAACCTCAGAGCCAAAAGGATTAAAAATACTAATTAGCGAGACACGTAAGTTTGAAGCGCCGGTCGCCGGTTGCTTAACACTATCTATTAACTATTGATCGTATCGCGAAACATCGTTTCGTTTATGACGTGTATCTCTGCGAAATGTAACCTAATTGAGAATTACTTTCATGGATAAAACGATACGACACGGCGTGCTTCAAGAGCAAACTGGCGCGGAATCAACAGGTCGATAACCGAACGTAATCGATACCGAAAGTCTAGAAGACGGTTGGCCCCGAGAGACCACGGTGCCCAGTCTGGATTATTGTGGTCGCGTGGTGTTTGTGGCGGCTCGTTTCTTTAGTGGTTCTGTCTCTGGCTGGCTGTCATCATCGCCGTCGCGAAACCTTATCGTGGTTCAATTTCCCACTACCGTCGATTCCGAAGTTTGACGACACGAGATTGCGAAAACGCGGGCAAATCAGGTCGTACCGGCACCGATCGATAGATCCATGATAGGAGAGTGATCGTGGATACACGATTTTCCAATCACCGAACGACGGCCATTTTTTTTTTTTTAATTCTCACGTTATTGTATTTGTAATGTTCTTTGCTTGTTATTGTTCTTTAATTTTACAAGCTTACTTAGTATTATTGTTATTGTTATTTGTTAGAAATCTAAATTTTACGACTTTGGAATTAAGCTTGCGCAGATCCAAATGGATCGTATCTTAATTAAACGTTCCTCTGTTTGGATTTCTTGGTCAACAACGTGAACGCTTTATCGTTCGTGAACTCGACTTGTACGTTCGTTCGGTTAGAAAATGGAATAAGAAATGTAGGTTAATTTCTTCGTAGGGCAATTAAAAGCAGAAGTAGCGCGCTCTGCGTGTTAAGTTGTACAAGTTGTAAAAAGCTTAGAAAGCCCTCAAGGTGAAGAACGCCCGTTGTCTTAATTAAACTCGTTGCTTTTCTTCAACTATCGTTCATTTCGTTGTGTCATCGATAGTTGGTATTTTTAAAAGGCATAGAGAAGTTTTCCATTTATCGACGAATACTAAAATTATTAAGACACAGGTTGTTTCGTTTTAAGGCATTGTCGAGCGTATTTCCTGTTAATCAGTCATATTAATCCCGGTTTTTGATTATTCCGAGAATCAACGATTTCGTTTCGATCGTTAATCCAGTCGATAATAAACTTCTCACAATGAAAAAAAAAAAAGATACGATGAAAGATATTATCGGTTTTCTGGGCAAACAAAAATATGATAAGACGCCTAACCCTTTTTATGTTCGCTTTTATACACGCTCAAGAATGTACCGTTAGATTCTCTAGGTTGTACCTGACTATACCGCCGCGCGCCAGTTATTCCGAAAGTTTCGTTGTAAAGCAGCGTCGAGAGTGAGAATAATTGTTGAATTTATTTTGATTTGTTATATAATATTTCGTCTTTGTTACGTTATACAGGCTGTTCGGCCACTACTGCGAAAAAATTTTAATGGGAGATTCTAGAGGCCAAAATAAGACAAAAATCAAGAATACTAATTTGTTGATGGAGGCTTCGTTAAACAATTATTAATGTTTAAAGTTCCGCGGGTACTGAATTTTTTTCTCGAAAATGCGCAAGATTTCGGGTGTACATCTATTCACCAAAAATGATTGTAATTGACCCCCGCAACCGAAAATAATTTTTTTAGAACAATATGAAATTTTTTAATTTTGTCGAAAAATTTCACACCTTCTCGAATTTTTTTCTCGAAAATGGATAGGATTTCGAGGGTATGTCTATTCACCAAAAATGATTGTAATTGACCACCGAAACCGAGAATAATTTTTTCAGAACAATATGAAATTTTTTAATTTTGTCGAAAAATTTCACACCTTCTCGAATTTTTTTCTCGAAAATGGATAGGATTTCGAGGGTATGTCTATTCACCAAAAATGATTGTAATTGACCCCCGAAACCGAGAATAATTTTTTTAGAACGATTTGAAATTTTTGAATTTCATTGTTAATAACTTTTTAACGAAGCCTCCATCAACAAATTGGTGTTCTTGATTTTCGTCTTATTTTGGCCTCTAGAATCCTACATTAAAATTTTTGTAGTCATATATTTCGAGATACGCGATAAATTCTATAACGTTCCGAAGATTCTAGAAAGGTGCCTCTAGCAGGATCGTGAAATATTTACCTGGAACGAATGTCGCACGTAGCTATCGATCGAATAATAATTTTTAACGTTTCCAAGAATGGAATTAGTTCACTGCCCCGACCGGACATTCGCATTATTAAATACGTATTTATAATCGTACGTGTCGTTCCAACGATTGATATCTTTATCGTGGCATATGTACGAGCAGACATCAATTACGAACACTATCGCAATGTTTACGATACGTTTCGAGAAATATTTTTTATTCGAATTTAAGTTGGAATCGTTTCGAGCCACTAGGCAGAACTTTATATAGAACCTAGTTGATCGATATTCACTTAACGCAATTTCAGTTGCAAGGTTAGGTCGATCGAAACCGAGAAGTTACACCATTGTAAGGGGTTAGAGTAATCAATTTTATACAAATTTCTTTTCCTTGACACCAGCAGGATCTGGTGGTTCCAGTCGGAACTATTTATAACTTCATAAATGCATGCATCGGTGAATAGAATCAGAACGGTAATAAAAAGTGATAATTCACTCGCGTAAAAGAAGAGGCACCGAAAACGCTTTCGAAGCGTCGTAAAAGTCGTCGAAATTGCTGAAGATATTGCCACGTAATTTCCAACGATGGCAGCACCTCATTATTGTACTTTGTGACTGCCAAGGGCATTAAAATCGGCCTACGGATAATCACAAAAAGATCAATAGACGAAACACGCAAATTGTGTTGTTCTTTGGACGAATGTATGCATACTGCAGGAATAGCTCTCTAATCTCCTGAAATTTAGAAACGGTGACACTTTTTCTCATGAAAATTACCTGGGCCAAGGACTCCCCCTACCCTTGTTTTTCTCATTTAACCCTGTCGCACCGACGAACGACCATTTTTCTAATCGCGTGGTGGAAACGTTGCTAAATCTTTGAGGGTTATGTATACCGCGTAACCGTACCTACCAAGAATCTTTTGGCTTCAGGTAGAAAGATGTTTCGACTCTTCTAGTCCTCGGACGATTCGCCAACTGTCCTCGAACGTTCGAATATTTCAATGCATTCTCTTTGTTTCGCGATTATTTCGACGCAAATGATCACGATTTCCAGTGATACCTATCTTCGAGCATGTGTAAGTACTTCAGTCATCGGTTTTACCGTTACGAAACTGAAACATGAAGGAGTCACTAATTTCAAGATTACCACGCTGTGTTAAAATTGAGGTTAAGTACTTGAAACGCCCACGAAATACAACCTCTTAATAAAAAAAACTGATAACCTAAGAGTCCGACGAAAATAGTGTTCATATCGCCATCTTTGATCTTCCGATATAAAGAAAATCCACTGATATTTGATTCGATAACGTTATCGCGATTTCAAGAACAACAAACTCGTTTCAGCTACCTATACCCTCGTCCAATGCAACGTGTCGCCATATTTGACCTATTGGTGTACAGAAAAATCACCAAGTTCGATAATGTTCTAGTTCTACATATTCAGGAGGGTGGAGATTGTTGTAAAAGAGTATTACAGAAACGGTTTAATTGATTGTCATAAACGAGATTCTTTATGGTTCTCGTTTGTCACCATCGGTCGATAAAATCGTTCGATTAACGGTGACCGATAAAATCTGACTCATCGGTGACTAATATGGTTCTGGTTTCGCCGAAAATCGGTGCCGTGGCGCGCAAACGTTGCGTCGAGAAAGTTGGAAACGGTTGACGCGCGTAATTACCGTTAATTGCATTCGAAACGATTCGTGGAAGGGAAGCGTACGTTCGTTAGTCCGTATCTTGCTATTTACCTTAATTGAGTTCGGCTCGTAGTCCATTTAAATGCCACAGAATGGTCTATGTTTGTTTTTACGTGAATATCAGTCTCTTCGACGTCCGAAAGTATCGTCATGTTTAGATCTTTTTTTCTTTTCGTGAAACGTGCGCGTACCGGCGAGTCTGTTATCGTAATATACGTATGTTTTCGTTTATAAATGAATGAGTGGGTTTTGTGATATTATTTTTTCCCCCCATCTTCTTGAAAGTCTCGTACAAATCGATACGGTGTCGCCTAAGAAACAGTTGTGAATTTGCGCGGGAATTAGCGACGAGGACGATAGCGTAAACTATTTTTAGCTACTTTCACATATAAATAGTACGCTGATTACCACGGACAGTGCAATAATTGCCAAGCACGAGCGAAGTAACAGAGCTGATTCATGAATCGAGCGCCACGATATGACTTAACCTATTAAGTGGGAAACGTTCGTTCATAGAACGCAACGCTGAGAAAAGAAACGCGCGACATGGGTACAAACAGTGTGCAATTTAAATAAAATTCGTTTCGTCGTGCAAATAGGAGAAATGAAGTTTCGTTTAGCTGGAATCTCTGGCGAGAGGACGGACCGCGTGTTCAGACAGTAAGAGATCAAATTTCACCCTCGAGTAATACGATAGTTCTTGACGGATCGAGCGCAAAAAAAAAGTTGGATGCTATTTACGTAACAAACAACGAATAACAAATACTCGTGCAAATACTGTATCGAAAATAACGTTCGACGCGATCTGATGTCGTTTGGTAATGGTACAAGTTACGTCTGGTAGTTGTAACTAGACCGTTTAGCTGATAAACTGTTTCTCGTTTTTTGCAGACGGTGCAGCATGGGTTCCCAAACAAACCTACGGCCCTCGCCTGGGACCCGAGTCTGCGGCTGATGATCATCGGCACGGCATCCGGCGCCATCAAGGTGTATCCTTTTGCTTTTCTTATTCCTTCTGGTCCCCGACCGCCTGTTTTTTCTTCTTCTTTTTTCTCTCTCTCTCTTACGGTATTTATAATCTGGTCTCGAGACACTAGCAGTGCACGATGACGTTCGGTATCTGCCGATAAATCCTCGTAAACCTTCGAGCTGCCAACTTCGGTCGAAAGGAAACGAGAAAACGTGATTGACGCGGATTTCTCCAGATTTCTTTGCCTCCGTGCGTCGCTAAATACAATTTAGTTACGCCACGCTAGATGTTTCGCGACTCGCCAAAGCTATTCTTCCGCATCGATTCTTCCTAGAATTTTTAGCGTCGCTCGATCGCAACAGGTTTCGTCCAAGACGTGCCTATCGTTGTTTCTACACCTCTACTTCCAACTGGAATAACTTTTAGAGGGGAATTTCTATTTGAAATTTTAATCACGAAACAAATTTTTTTATATCGATTAAAAAATTCTAAATGTTTCAGTAAGTGTCCCGATACTTGTGATTGCCAGTACACGTCCACGATGGTAGAAGTATCTTGTCCAGTTATGCAGGCATGCTCCGCCAAAGGGTTAAGTTCCATTGTCGCTGAAACAGGACATACAAAGCTAGGCCTTGTAACGTAATTCCACGCCATCCTGTTGCCAGCTGGAAGTGCGACAGGAACGTTAAATCATTCTTGGAGGACGTAGAGTATATTAATTCCACCTCGTTATTTATCGATACAATATTTTTTTTACCGAGTTACAATTACACGCAAACGAACAACCTCTAGAGTCTCATATTTGTACATTAGGCATGTTGTGGGTTTTGTTAACTTGTTGAGCAAACATTGTGTATCGATCAACGGCGTCGAAACATCGGGGACTATCAAGTGCCACTTGCACTTGGTAACGTGTTGCTATTACCTCGTTACCCAGTTCGTGCCTGGTCAGTTATCGATTCGATAGACGGATTTTAGATAGGTAGAATACGCCGTTTGTCGGATCAGCGCTATTTCTATCAAAGGTGTAGACAGTCACCTTTTTTATAATGTTTGTTAGATTCATTTACCGCTACCTTATCCTCTATTTTCTTTTTTTAACAACTATCAACGGTAGCGTCGAGAATCTACCAACTATAAATAGGTCCCGTGGAGTTTATTGGAAAAGTTCCCGGCGACAAAAGACAATTTCCTCTAGTTATTCTCGTGAAGTTTATCGATTCGATGGCGCGCGTATAGCGTACAATAGAAACGTCTGAAAAATGCTAATTAGAAGCGCGGAAAAGGTCTGGTGTTCGACGCTGCGCGCGTTTTATTGGCTTACGAGCCCCGTTCGCGCAGATGTTCCACCGGCTACGTAATCAGCGATCATTATCATTTCGCAAACCAAATAATAAATGTCTTCACCGTTTCCTGAAGAAAATTTCCGTCTTCGTTAAAGAGTTAGTCAACTCTTTGGAGGATTTGCAGAAGCTTAGAAGGAGAGTGCAAGCTTCGTATCACTGATTCGACTGTAGCTCGTTGAGAAAGGTGTTTCTGGATCCTCTAAAATTTTTGTCGACCGTGCAGGAATCTTTTTGTACATTCCGCGGTTCGTTCGGCGCGTTAAGTCGGTCATTTTCGAAACAAGAACCACGTTTATTCTCTGTTAGAAACCGTACGCGACTCGCTTTCGGATCAAGATATACATATTCACTGTTTTCCTTGACTCGTGATCCGCAGATTCGGCAGGCCAGGCGTGGAATTTTATGGACAACACACCATCGAGAGCGGTGAGAATGCTGTCACGAAGATCGTCGCGCTGCCCAACGAGGTAAGACAAATTTCATTTATAGAGAGATGTAATTTTTTATGCGATTGTTAATTTTTTATTTTTATTTTTCAGTCTTTGAACACATATTTTGATGACAATGTAACTGGAATAGTTCTTTTAACAGGATAATATATCATAGAAGAAGCCACGTGCAAGTTTATTCTTGAACAATCTCAAATACTTTGCGTAAACTAATTTTACGCATATTTTTTCCAAACGATCGACGTGCATCTGTTCTTCACGTTTTTAACAGAATTTTCTGGTAGTTTTATGTCGAATCGTTCTACGTATATAGCATCTTTCTCGTGACCCTGTTCTAAATAGCTTCAAGTGGGTGTGTAGGTTCTTCAATAACGAATGTCAGTTGTCAGAAAAACTTTTAATGGACGATCAACTGATGAAACGAGTAATCTTTTTGGTTGGTAGTTCAACATATAGAAAAATTTTAATTGGGCGATTCTAGAGGCCAAAATAAGACGAAAATCAAGAATAGCAATTTGTTGTTGGAGGCTTTGTTAAAAAGTTATTAACATTTAGAGTTCCGCCAGTACTGAATTTTTTTTTCGAAAATGCGCAAGATTTCGGGGGTATGTCTATTCACCAAAAATGATTCTAATTGACCATTGCAACTGAAAATATTTTTTTTAGAACGATTTGAAACTTTTCAATTTCGTCGAAAAATTTGTCTACCTACTCGAATTTTTTTCTCGTAAATGAGTAGGATTTCGAGGGTATGTCTATTCACCAAAAATGATTGTAATTGACCTCCGCAACCGAAAATAATTTTTCCAGGACGATTTGAAATTCTTTTTTTCGTCTAAAAATTTAGGCAATTAGATTTTCGGTAACGAATTTTTTTCTCGAAAGTGCGTAGGATTTCGGGGGTATGTGTAATGACCAAAAATGATTGCAATTGACCCCCACAATCGAAAATAATTTTTTTAGAACGATTTGAAAAAATTTTTTTCCCCGAAGAATCTCATCACCTTTTCGAATTTTTTTCTCGAAAGTGGATAGGATTTCGGGGGTATGTGTATTCACCAAAAATGATTGTAATTGACCATTGCATCTGAAAATAATTTTTTTAGAACGACTTGAAATTTTTGAATTTAATTGTTAATATTTTTTAACGAAGCCTCCGTCAACAAATTGGTATTCTTGATTTTCGTCTTATTTTGGCCTCTAGAATCTCCCATTACACCCTGTATTTAACTGAAGAGTCTTGTTCGGAATACGTAGAGAACTTATTGCGCATCGAATGGTTGAAAAGAGCTCAGAATAATTTGAGAACCTCTGTAGATATCTGAAGAACGATCCAAGTATCAACCACTCAAGAATGACTCAAACGTCTAAAATGAGAAAAGTACTTTAGCTTAAAAATCAAAAGCTAGCACTATCATTATTTCTTAAAGTATTCCTCGTCAAATAAAATCTAAAATAATTTAGAAAACCATGAAGTAAGAATACTCAATTTATCAAAAATTGTGTTAATCCAAGCCCAATAGTGTACTGTAAGGAATTGGGTTAATCCAAGTCTCGCATTTTAAAAGATTAGGTTAATCCAAGTTTAAACATCCTATTCGATTCACGGCCAAACAAAACAGAGCATTCGAGGAACGTATGTAACTTGGAGTGTTCCGTAACGACAGTACTATGTATAAAGAGTTATTACATTGTAATCAAAGAAACGGAGGTGTGAGATTATGGTTATTTTATAAGTCGTACGCGTTGCGCGGGTAACGCGACACCGTGTTCGGCTTATCTCGTCGCCGTTGCTGAGTTGCATAACCGTGTGTGCGACACGCGCAATGCACTTTCGCACGTGTGTACGAATAAATAATATAAGAAACCACCGCGACGGACATCATTGTAGCCCTCGTCGACCGTAAAGGTCAGCTCTATAATATAACACTACTTCACGTCTTCGTTCCTTTTACGCCAACTATTCTACCAGTAAAATTTTATTACAAAATGTACTGGATAGGGAATATTACGTTAGCTGGATAATTTTATTTAAAATATCTGTTTTAGAAATTCTGTAAATACCGAAAGACTGGAATTCTTTCGAGCATTCTGTCCACGAACGATCCGCGCGCGTGTTGAATAGCTCGCGCGTGCGCATGCGCGGGATCAAAGAGGACGCTCGGAGATAATTAATTACCGGTACGGGGCGAGGAGAGTAATAGAGAAAAGTGATGTATAATTACCAGGAAAATAATGCAGGATTACAACATCGCATCGCGTACCTAAATAATGACGAAGCCTTTCACGTTCATTTACCTTAGCGGTAAACAGCTTTTTAATCCTCGTATCGGTGACTCTATAAACGAAGCAAAAAACAACATGGACAGTTAAAGAGTCTATCAAATAGAATACATTTGGAAAGTTATTTTTAGTCGAATTGTAAAAGTGGTCTGATTAGTATCGAGTTGGGGCTCGTTTTAATCAGCTGAATCCCACCGATGCGTTAATAACGTTTTTAGAAAGATAACGGGTAAATTATGGAGAGTAATATTTTGTGTATTGCGTGATTGTTGTTTGTTATGGCGACATCTCTTTGAAATGTCGAGTCTCGATGCTCGCTGCTCTACATATTCCGTCTATCTCGCTTCCTCCCACTTAACCATTCTCTTTGCGAGGCACGTTCGAGCCCACTTGTGTAAAAAATACGCTACTTCGCGGACAAGGATTTCTCTACTGGTTCCCGAATTTGAATTTGAAATTCAACCGTGCATTACTTGTATACTGCGTAGTGTACGCGAGAAATTCATAGAACAGGGCGTGTCGAGGCTCGAATCGAGAATCAAATCGAGTCCTTACGGTGCTCTAGTACCAGCTACGAACTTTCGTTATCGTGACCATTTTTCAAGCGAATTCTAAGACCGATAAGATAGCGGGTCTACCTACGATTCTAATCTCGCCATCAAACTGTATCAAATCGCGACGTTCCCGGTTTTTTTTCGTGTATTATCGATACAGTTACTCACCGTGTATGTTGCGCAAGAAACTCTTGAAACAGGGATTCTCAAGCAGGCAATATTTATTGAGAGCAACGAGCAAAAGATGGTCGAAACGGAGAACCCATAACTTTACAGTGTAAAAGACATTGTATTGCGTATGCTATAAAGCTACATCGCCATAAATGTTTCGGTTAACGCGTTCACTGTCCGGTTTCTTAACGACGTATCCAAAAGCATGTTGCTATGACCCGTATACGGGTCATGGACAGTGAACGTGTTAACTCTTTTAGTGCCGAAAAACGGGTGCCTATGCGAAGAATACAGAGCCAATTTGACGAGTTTGCTATGATTAGATAAAAAGCTCATAAAAACCAAACTAAGAATGATATTTACAAAATTCAAAAAGCAGCATATTACGAAATAGAGAAAGAATAAAGTAACGGCAATTGCATTTCAATATTTATTGCAAATCGTATAAATAACATCATTATAAAATATGATAAAAATCATAGACACAAGTTTCTCTTTTACAAACAATATTTACACATAAGAATAATCATTGTTTGATCACAGTTTTATGTAGGTCACGTAGCATACAGTATAAGTATTTGATTTTCAATGATTTTTTAATAAATAATCGATTCAAAATATGATGAAGCTTTGTTTAAAGTGGAGCTCGTACTGAATTTTTTTCTCGAAAACGCGCAGAATTTCGAGGGTACGTCTATTCACCAAAAATTATTGTAATTGACCCCCGCAACCGAAAATAATTTTTCCAGAACAAATTGAAATTTTTTTTCCCCCGTTGAAAAATTTCACACCTTCTCGAATTTTTTTCTAGGAAGTGGGTAGGAATTCAGGGGTACGTGTATTCACCAAAAATGATTGTAATCGACCCCCGCAACCGAAAATAATTTTTTTAGAACGATTTGAAATTTTTTTTTTTCGTCGAATTAGATTTTCGGTAAGGAATTTTTTTCTCGTAAATGCGTAGGATTTCGGGGGTATGAGTAATGATAAAAAATGATTGTAATTGCCCCCTGTAACTAAACATAATTTTTTTAGTGTGATTTTAAATATTTTAATTTCATCTAAAAAGTTCAGTACCTACTCGAATTTTTTTCTCGAAAGTGAGTAGGATTTCGGGGGTATGTGTATTGACCAAAAATGATTGTAATTGACCCCTGCAATCGAAGGTAATTTTTCCAGAACTGTTTGAAATTTTTGAAAGGGTGAATATTTCTCTAAATTCGTAGGTACTTTTGACGAACTATCGCGATAAAGGAACAAACCAAACGGTTCCACGAACACGTTGATCGAGATCTAGAATCCAAAAATCGAAGTTCTGGAAATAAGATTAGAAAGCAGGACAACTGTCTTCCAAATCACAGAAGATTTGCTAGTGCAACGAGCAGAAGAGCGCGTACCAATTATTTAACTGCACAAGTTAATAACACGTGAAACGAATTCTGACCGGTGCCCCCGATTACGCCAGGCGCGTTTTCCGCGAAACGGACGGCCGCGATGAAAAACACGCCGCGAACAGGCCGTCTATAGATTCGCGTGAAAGTAAGAAAACACGCGCACGAGAAGCAGACCGGCTTAACCTTGCGTTTTCCTCGAGTTTTCACTTTGCCTGCCGCGAGAAGACTCGTTTTGCTGGAAAAAAAGGGACGCGGGAGCTGGCTCGTGAGAAACGATGGAATCGCGAAAATTGACCGACGCACAATAGTTATTATTTTTCTGTTTATATTCTGATCCGCGGACGTTGCGAAATGGCAGGGTTTTATAGAATTATTCGCAAATTTTAATGTCTATTTAGACTATTTTACTCAAGGCGTCTAATTTTTTCGACGAAAAAAAAAATTTCAAATCGTTTTAGAAAAATTATTTTCGGTTGCAGGGGTAAATTACAGTCATTTTGTATGAATAGACATACCCCCGAAATCCTAAACAGTTTCGAGAAAAAAATTCAGGAATGTGGGCAAATTCGGTGAAATTAAAAAATTTCAAATCGTTTTGGAAAAAATATTTTCCGTTGCAGGGGTCAATTATAATCATTTTTGGTGAGTAGACATACCCCTGAAATCCTACGCAGTTTCGAGAAAAAAATTCAGGAATGTGGGCAAATTCGGCGAAATTAAAAAATTTCAAGTCGTTTTGGAAAAAATATTTTCCGTTGAAGGGGTCAATTATAATCATTTTTGATGAGTAGACATACCCCTGAAATCCTACGCAGTTTCGAGAAAAAAATTCAGGAATGTGGGCAAATTCGACAAAATTGAAAATTTCGAAATCGTTCTGGAAAAATTATTTTCCGTTTCAGGGGTCAATTACAGTCATTTTTGGTGAGTAGACATACCCCCGAAATCCTACGCAGTTTCGAGAAAAAAATTCAGGAATGTGGGCAAATTCGACAAAATTGAAAATTTTGAAATCGTTCTGGAAAAATTATTTTCAGTTACAGAGGTCAATTACAATTATTTTTGGTGAATAGACATACCCTCGATATTCTACGCATTTTCGAGAAAAAAATTCGAGAATGATGTAGATAATTATTTTCGAGGATTTTGTAAATGATTCGTGGTTTGTTTGAATGCAACAGGGTCGCGTGGTCTCCCTTTGCGACGACAACTCTCTTCACCTGTGGGAGATCAACGAGAGCTCGGTGGTCGAGACGAAGGCGCTTTCGTTGGAGGGCAAGCTGAAGAAGATCTCCGCGATGTGCCTCGAGTCGAGCGGCGAGCATCTTCTTCTTGGCACTGAAGGCGGGAATATCTATCTTCTGAATCTGAAGACGTTCGTGATGCCCGACACTATCATCTACCAGGAAGTCGTGATGCAAAAGTAAAAGCACCTGTATAATTCAAGGCTGAATATCCAGGATATTCGCAACGTTCTCTCAACAATGATTCTCGAACCAAGAAGAGTTATTTTTAACTTAATTAACTTGTAATTTTATTTTTGTTACTTTGCATAGAGAGGATTGAATGGTCGAACGTTGCCAAGTCGTTGAACAATGATTTGGGAAACGCGAAAGTTTATTCCCATTTCGTGGTGGATAATTGCTTCGAAACGTTCGACCTTGAGGAGAAGAATCACAGTTGAATGAACGCTATTCGTGCGAATATTTTCCTGGTATAATTACATTCCCACTCACTCAGCGCGTGGTGTATTATACTTTCTTTTGTTCATCAGAGATTGAACGTTAAAATTGTAAATTAACATACGCTGTTTTGTTGCGACAGTGTGCCGGACGATTACAAGAAGAATCCAGGAGCGGTCGAGGCGATAGCGGAACAACCAGGTCACCCAGACAATATTCTGATAGGTTACAATCGCGGTTTAATGGTACTGTGGAACAAAGCAACTCCTGGAGCTCAACAGGTGAGTCTTGGTTTTATCGTTCTATACGTCTCTTACACTTATCTATCTGTATACACGATACCCACGGCGAATGTAACAACACTGCTTACAGTTTAAAAACACACTCGCTTGTGGCAAATATTTGTGGGCAAACGCTTAACCCATCGGTACACAGAGTTCTATTTTATGAAAATTTCTTTGTTAATTGCGTTTCAATGAAACGATAGGAGGCTCAGTAATATTAACAACTAAAGTTTAGTTAGTTTCTTGTATGCATTGTTCGAAATGAGAGGTAAATTTTTAAAGAAATGCACCATGAGACACCATATATTGAACGATAATATCCTACATATTTTCAACTAAAGTTTAGTTAGTTTCTTGTATGCATTGTTTAAAATGAGAGATGAATTTTTAAAGAAATGCACCATGAGACACCATATACGTACTTTCAAAGTTTACTGATTTTTAAAACGTTTCAGAGTGATTGTGAAAATGCAGAGTCGTTTGCGAATGGACTATTCTCCTGTTTATTTTGAACGGTGCATAGAAGAGCGATTTATATTTAAGTGGAAGGTGTGCCGATGGGTTCTGAACGACTCGCGAAAATGGTACCGCTGGTTCTGATTGTTGTTTGTGTCTTTGGTGGTTTTGGCGAACGTGTACGTGCAGCTGATGGGTTTGTTTTCGCGTGCGCAGACGTTCGTCTCCACGCAACAGCTGGAGTCGGTCCATTGGGTCTCCGAGAACCGTTTCATATCGTCGCACAACGACGGATCGTACGCGTTCTGGAGTCCAGGAAGCGACAGCATGCTGGAATCGACCACCCTCTACGGACCGTTTCCCTGTAAAGCCGTTACTAAAATTCTTGTATACCCAACCGCGGAGTAAGTGGAGACAATTAGCTACCAATGTTAATTTCATAATCATCAGGGGTTGCCCAGAGAATATTGCTCGTTTCAGTCACTTGAATTAACACTATCACTGGTAGGAGGAAAAGATGCGAATCTAGAAAATTTAAGCGTAATAGGCTTTCGTCTATCGAGGCACTACCACCAAAACGGAGCACGTATCTCTGCTATTGGATTATAAGGGAAGCCTCTGAAGCGACTCGCCGATTGCAATGAAATTTACCAGAATGATACTGACATACTGAGAGCCACATACGAACAAGTCGTATCTTAATTTCTAAACTGCGTATAATTGTCTTGAACCCCTTCTGTTATATACCAAGTATTCAACAATATTAGTTATTAACAATTAAATTAAAAAATTTCAAACCGTTCTGGAAAAATTACCATCGATTGCAGGGGTCAATTACAATCATTTTTTATCATTACACATACCCCCGAAATCCTACGCATTTTCGAGAAAAAAATTCGAGTAGGTACTGAACTTTTTGGATGAAATTAAAATATTAAAATCACACTAAAAAAATTATATTTAGTTACAGGGGTCAATTACAATCATTTTTTATCATTACACGTATCCCCGAAATCCTACGCATTTTCGAGAAAAAAATTTCTTACCGAAAATCTAATTAGGTGCCTTTTTTCGATGAAAAAAAAAATTTCAAATCGTTCTAAAAAAATTATTTTCAGTTGCAATGGTCAATTACAATTATTTTTGGTGAATAGACATACCCTCTAAATCCTACCCACTTTGGAGAAAAAAATTCGAGAACTTACTGAACTTTTTAGATGAAATTAAAATATTTAAAATCACACTAAAAAAATTATATTTAGTTATAGGGGTCAATTACAATCATTTTGTATCATTACACGTACCCCCGGAATCCTACGCATTTTCGAGAAAAAAATTCGAGTAGGTAGACAAATTTTTCGACGAAATTGAAAAGTTTCAAATCCTTCCAAATAAATTATTTTCAGTTGCAATGGGTAATTACAATTATTTTTGGTGAACAGACATACCCCACTCCTGTCGCAGATTATCATATTTAATCATATTCATCAAAGAACAAACTCAGGTTTTGAAACGTGCAGTATTTTCTGGGACACCCTAATATACGTTCGATCACTATACCAATTTCTAATTGGCAAGGGGAGTCTACGATCGTGACGAGTATAAATATCCTCGAACAATAGCCGCTACGACTCCCTTTGTTAGCATTAATAATTACATCGCAATATCGAACCCGGTTGATTCTCTAAAAGCACGTGTTTTCTAGGCACGGAGAGCTGTTCTTATTTTCCGGCGGAATGCAGCGTGCAAATTATGGCGATCGTCACACCATCACCGTCATGACGAAAAAGAAGCACGTGGTGTTCGATTTCACGTCGAAGGTGATCGATTTCTTCACCGTGTTCCCGAAGCAAGAGGATGGCAAGGACGCCTTCGACAGTCCAGAAGCGATCGTAGTGCTGGCCGAGGAAGAGGTAGTGGCCATCGATTTGACCAATCCCGAATGGAAAATGATGGCCTTGCCCTATCTGGTATCTCTCCACGCAAGCGCGGTAAATACATTTAAATAAATTACATCTATTAGCAGCTTATCGTGTCTCCTCGAATGGTCGATAAAATGTATTCTCATGATTGTCAGGTGACTTGCTCGCAACATGTTCCAAATGTCCCGGAAGAACTCTGGGACGTGATCGTAGCGGCTGGAAAAGCGCAAACGGAACACTTGTACTCGGATAAACCGTGGCCCATAGACGGTGGAATAATTCTCTGTCAGAAACCGGCCAACGACAAACCAAAAGGGAAAGAATTGCTGTTGACTGGCCACGAAGACGGAACCGTCAGATTCTGGAACGCCTCCGACGTTGCTCTGACCCCTCTGTACAAATACAATTCGTCCATTTTGTTTACCGGCGAGCATCTCGATGTTCTGGAGCAACCGCCGGAGGACGACGAGGAGGAATGGCCGCCGTTCAGAAAAGTTGGAACCTTCGACCCCTATTCGGACGATCCGCGTCTCGCGGTGAAGAAAGTTCTGCTCTGCCCTCTGTCGTCTACGTTGGTAGTCGCTGGCACCGCTGGTCATGTGATCACAGCGACAGTGTCGTCCGAACCGGTGAACAAAGAGATCAAAGCCGTCACGATGAACATCGTGAACGATCGTGACGGGTTCGTTTGGAAAGGTCACGATCATCTGCCCGCGAGAACCACCAACATATCATTCGCAGTCGGCTTCCAACCGCAGAGTCTTCTTCAATTGTATCCACCAGCTGCGGTCACCGCCCTGGCTATACACAGCGAGTGGGGATTGCTGGCTGCTGGCACCGCCCATGGTTTAGCAGTTTTCGATTACACAAGAGCAAAGGCCGTCAGTGTGAAATGCACTCTCAATCCAAATGGTACTTGAAAATTTTTTCTCTTTATCTTCGTATAGAGAGCAAATTTTATTAAATGCATTGTGTGCTACAGATCTTTCTGGATCGGGTGACACGCCTATTTCCAGAAGAAAGTCGTTTAAGAAATCACTGAGGGAATCCTTCAGAAGATTGAGAAAAGGAAGGTCTCAGCGTCGGACAAATGCTGGCAGTCCAACGCGAAACACGGTACCGGAGAAAAAGAAAGAACCGTGAGTATTTTCCAAAGTTTGCTTTACTCGTGTGTTGGGTGATATTAATGTGTATTGATAATAATTATTAAATTGTATAGTGCCAGCGTAGCCTCGTCTCCAAGCGGGGATCTTTCACCGGTGGAATTGAAACCTGTGGAGAGACAAGTGGAAGCAAGACCCATGGACGATGCTCTTGGCTCGATGGTCCGATGTTTATACTTTGCTAGGAGTTACATCATCAGCAGTAAGTATCCGTTTCAGTGGGATCTACGAATTCTAAAGGTATGATTCCACCGAGGCAACACTATGCGACCTGATAAAATGTTAAAGAAAATAAATTTTAATAGGCTTCATGCCTTAGGAATCACGCCTTAAGGGGGGAATCTCATGTGAATGGCCTGTTTTTCAAGAATTTTTATTGAAAAATCCAATGCACAGATTCATTTAAAATTTGAAGTGTCATTTATTAACGTTATAATGTACAGAAAAATATTTTTTATAAATTTTAATGGTTAACAACAATGGTGCAATGGTGGCTTGAAAATGGCATCCTGTAAACTCGCCGTGCAGCGTACAACGCACAAAAATGATCTGAAACAAAAAAATCAAAATAGAATAGTTAGTTTATGCAAAAACGCTCAGCGTGACATTCTTCTTTTGTTAAGATTTTCAAAATTGCAAGAATGGCGAAGGTTTGAAAAAATAACCGGATTTTTTATTACGAACAATTGTTAATAACAAGGTTTCAAGTAAAAAATAAAAAAATATTTATAGAATATATATGCCAAGTTTCATAAAGATCGAGTAATTAGTTTTTGAGCTACTTTATTTTGAAAATAAGGTACAAGGAAATCTCTGATCACTTTCTAACTTTTTTATCGTATTCCTGCGGAAATTTCCTACCAATTTAAGCAATGCTTAAAAATTTCATTTTACATGAGGTGGTTCCCCCCTTAAGAGACAGATTCTGATATTTTCTTTTGTTACAGTGCAAAACACCACGCCTACTCTCTGGGCGGGCACCAACAACGGTACAGTCTACGTTTTCACGTTAGCGATACCAGCTGGAGTGAGAAGGACAGAGGAGGACGTAAATTGTACATTAGGGAAAGAGATTCAATTGAAGCACAGAGCACCTGTAATCGCGATAACGATTCTCGACGGGTCCAGTGTACCGTTGCCGGAACCGTTCGAGGCCGAAAAAGGCGTGAGTCCTGGCCCCGACATGGCGTCCCCTCACAGAGTGGTGATCGCCAGCGAGGAACAATTCAAAATCTTCAATCTTCCGTCGTTGAAACCATATTGTAAATACAAACTCACCGCCCACGAGGGTTCTCGTGTACGGAAAACGGGTTTCGCGAAATTCACGTGCCCCATAGAACCCGCGGGGACGCACGAGGAAACTTGTTTGCTGTGTTTGACCAATCTCGGGGACTGTTTATTGCTTAGTATTCCGGAATTGAGACGGCAGCTCAATGCTGCTGCCATTAAGAGGGAAGACATCAAGTGAGTATTTATATTTTATCGGATTTAATGCTTACATTGGCTTTATAAAATTTTAATTGTTTTAATTTGTTTTTAGTGGAATATCTTCGTTAACGTTCACGAAAGCAGGCGAAGCTCTGTATTTACACTCGAGTTCCGAACTTCAGCGAATTTCCTTGTCAGCCAGTAAGGTAACGAAAGCGCATTGCGCGTTGAATTTACCACCGAACGCTAGATCGTATCCCGAGACAGCCAACAACGAACAAGTCCAAGAGAAAGGTGTCGTCGAGGGCGCGGCTGAAACGGAAGCGGAAACGCAAGGGAGTCAAACAGCAGCTCCCGTACAGAGGATGATCACGGAAAACGGTGTAGTGGGTTCTAGTGAGTATATTGCGTCTTCGTAGCGATGACATTTCTAAAACAGTTATATTTAATACGTAACGAACGATCTGTTCGGTGAAAAATCATCGTAGGAGGATGTTTAAACGTGCCACTACTAAAATATGCGTAAGCGCTTGGCATATTTCGTAATCCGTGTGTACATATACTTCGTAAATGTTGCTTTGCTACGACCATCTGTGATTCATTGATCAAAGCTAGCCGCTAAATTGTAATTTATGCCAAATTAACAACATTGGAGAAACGCTGTGTGTTTAACACGACCCTTTAGTATCGATTCTCGAACACGTGTCTTTTAGCCAGTGGCGAAGAGTCGCCGAAAGAACCTTCCCTGCGACCAGCTGCGAGCACCAACGACGTGAACGGGGAAGATGATCGCCAAGACATATGTTCTATCGGAGATATCACGATCGATAGCGTGAAGGATCATTTACTGTAAGTGAAGATGCTAACGCCGTGCCTGGCTTCTTATCGTTTTATTTTATACACACACACTCTTCGTGTCGCTTGCGTGTTCATAATTAATTCAACGAAACGTGGAGAAAGTAAATTAACTCTCGTACACCGACACCTGGCATTGTAATCAGTTTTTATTTTTGATCCGCTAATCGATGTATATTCGTGTACTGGCCATCCTCTTGGCAGTAACAGTTCGCTTTTCAGAAACGCCACGTCTTCCGAAGAACTTCACAATCGTCTTGCAGGACTTAAGATGGAGGTGACCTCGCGAACCTCGGAAATCTCCACCCAGAATCAGTCCCTGGTTGTGAAAACCACCACCGTCGTCTCCCAAACGACCAACAACACGACCGCCAACGGAGAGGTCGAGACGAGTCAGACGAACGAAACCCAACAAATGAACAGTGAGTGAAATCATTGCCAATTCGACTATTGTGCTAATTTATATCGATTCGACGATTCTCTTATAACAACAAATTTAATTTTCACATGTGTTTTTAAACGTTATTTTTCATTGAATATTTTCTAGGTCGACTATCGTTACAGTTTTTCCCAAGATTGTAAATAATCAAAGTATCCCCGCAATGTTTTAACGACGGAATACGATTCAACGACCCGCTTATAATATTCTGTGCTCGTCTTTTCATCGCTTTGTAATTCTTTCTTCATCCGTTCCCCTCTGTTATTATTTGTATTTCTTTTTGTTACTGTTTTGTTTTGTGCTATTTATTATTGCGCAGGCACTACTGTAGAGAGAGAGATACGCAGCGGTACCGAGACAACAACGACACACGCTACCATCACTCTGCCCCCGAACGTCGAGGTCAGCAAACGGCACTGAATGTATTGCAAATAATTGGTGTCGGACCTTGCCTCGATATTTAAACATATGAACTAACGCTTGGCATATCTGTACGCTATTAACACACTGATCGACGCGATTCGCGTGTAGTTTTGGTTTCATTAAGGAAATTAAATATTTCACAGGCAATGGATTTCCTTACAGCATATTACTTTTATTTTTTCTAACAATTTCCTTTCGTGTATACGTAGCAAGGCTTATATTCTAACCCATTGTATTCGGTAGTTGTCGCAAAAATGTTGAAAAAAAATAAATTATGCGCTGATTAGGTGTTTGCGTATTGCAGATTAGTGCAGCCGACTTGGCGAACCTCGAAGTGACGACAACTACAGTGACCACCGAGAAATCTAAAGCCCCGTTGGCCAGGCCCGAGGAAGTTGGTTCTTAGGAATATTCCAAATCGTACCCCGTGCCCCCTCCCCGATCACACCCGATTTTTATCGCTCTGGACTATCAGAGACACGAATAATTAGCTGTTTTTACTTAATGGACTCACGTGTACACAGCGGCGATAGGTAGAATTTATATACCGTAGATTCTTTACAAAATCTAGATTTGTACGCGGCATTAGCGTTAGCCATATAAACGATAAGGGAGCGAGCAAAACTTTAAACTATTGTAAAGGACGATCGCTTCAGTTATAACCAAACTGCCAAAATCGTCTACGTATTTTATTCTTTTTATCGAACATTGTCACCCGCATTTTTCCACAAGATTTTTAAAAATTTATACACACTCGGCGGTTTACCAGAACCAGGCCTACGTAATTTTAACGGGATACGTTTTATTTGCAGACAAATGCGAGAAACGTTTATCGAAAAATTTTGTGAAATGTATCGTGTCGTTTTATTCGGCGATGAATTACCCACGCGTGTACAATTTTAAGACAGTTTTCGAGGATATTAACGAATAGCTAACATTTTTAAAAGTCCGTAATTTGTGACGTGAAATCGGTATAAGTGAAAAATTTTTTTTAGTTTTATGTACAGAAAAGCCACAAGATACATCACAGTTCGTGAGCATGACAGCCATATTGTAACGCGACGTTGTGCGTTGCGGTACTTTGTATTTCTAAATAATAAAAGGTAACAAAGAGGCGACTTAAACCATCTATAGTATTTCGAGCGTTGTGGGCGTGTCGCGGAAGTGGACGAAAGAAAAATGTGTAAAAATCGATACGCCTAACGAATAGAGAGATAGCTACTTAAGTAGTATTACGTTGTAAGGAAAATTACAGAGATTAAGCGAGGGAAACTTGTGACGCGATTATCGATGGCCATGACGTTTAGCGGGAGAGAGCCGTTAAAAATATATTTTTTATTGACGTTGGTTGATCGTTAAGTTTTCCTCTTTTTCTTTGTCTAGAAATCGATCATGGTACAAGGAGAATTTTCTCTATCGAAAAAGCATCGAAACGTCGTCGAATGGAATTAATCCAGGGGATGGAGAGAGAAAGTAACTGTTTTAGCGCCACGCGTATGTTCGATCTTTTAGATAAAGATGCTACCCCGCTGCTGAGTTATTTTTGGTGGAGGACAATTGCTACATATTACTTTTTACGCGGTTCAATCGTTAAATTTCACGGATCTTGCTACTCGTATCGTTATTAGCGATGTACCGCGTAGTTCGATTCGTAATCGCAAAGAGTACGGATCGTATTTTTGAAACGCCGCTCTTTTTGGATCTCAGCGTTAATGATTTTTTACGAGAACAACGTACGAATAAAGATATCGTAAAATGCTTGTATCGAAAACGACAGACTGACGCATGGAAGAGACATGTCCGTTTCTTTTGCATTTAATCAATAACGTTCGTACAGAAATCCGAACAAAGTTTCTCCGCCGTTTCATTGTCCGTTTCTCGAGACTATGCGCGCGTTAAGACAAGTGTCGATTTTATTTGTTAGCGAATACAATTAACGCGAGGCCTTTGTAGATAGATTTTTATCTTCCTCCGATTCCGTAAAGTCTTATTCCTTTTGATCAACCGTTTCACGAAAAAAGTATGTCTCGTATACGTGGTAAATTGTGAATAAATGTTATACAAGGTGTTCCAAAGGTTGAGCACGCGCGCTCTTGTTTCAACGAAAACGCAATAATCTCTTTTTAGAAATTTCGACTTTCTCCGATGGACAATAATTTCGGATGATTTTATATTTTTATCAAATTCACTCGCGTATCATTGCAATTCGATTTCATGTCCTGGTTACGTGTACCATGCTTCTGGAGCACCCTGTACGTTGATTTTATTATAATTGTAAACTATATTAGCGGGATGAAATCATCGCGCTAAGTAAGATACGAATGTATGAAAAACAAACGTGCTTCTGCTATTGTAAAATTTATTGGTTTTTTTACCTTGATGAAATATTACACATTGTACACAGTGAACTGTCCAAACACTGCCTGAAAATTTCCTACTTGTTACTTTGTCTAACCACCGATTACCGTGATAGTTACATAAACGATGTCCATTTAAAAAATATATAAAAACGATGAATAATGTTTTGTTTCGCGAATAGAAATTATATATTTATTTTGATTTATTTCGTACGATATTTAAACTTCATGCAACACTTAAACATGTATTTTTATTTAACTCGCTTTGAAACGGATAACATTTATATTTATGAAAAGAAAATACACGCATGGATAAAGTAATAAATACGAAATAGAAAATATTAAAGATGTGTTCTATTGTAACAAAACGTTATTGCATAACTTTTGCTAGTGGTAATCTGTTGTAACAGTATGTGGATCTTATTAACTTTCCTTTTTCCTTTTAAAGCTAGGCAAAGTGCACCTTTCAAATAGTACCTTGTAATAGTAACTGTATATCTTACTTTCAAGTCTGATTCATTGTAATTGGAATGGAATAGTATTTTATTTGTATTACCAAGAGCAGAGAATCATCAGCCTATTTGAAATACTATTTTGGCCAGAGCTTTTTAATGCTCGATAGCATTTCCGGTTCGGTACCTATTCGGAATTTTCATTTATCACCATCAATTTGCTCGAGGCAACACTAATTTCAAATAACCATTTGTTACTATTTTTCCATTCAAGGCGTTTATGAAAATATAACGGTTGATTGGATTACGTAGCGACAGGAAATGGAAAAAGAAATACAGACTAGAACAGCGAGAATTCTACACCGTCCTATTGAAATATTGTGTCCCAACTATCGATCGGTCGTTACATTATTTTATCGTCTCCGACACACGACTGTCGGCTGTAAAACCATTTCTCGATAACAACGTAACGTAATTGTGTTTTAAAGCCGCGGGAATCGAGCAACACGTTATCCGAAACAATTCCATACATATTTCGAACAACGTTACACGGAAAGCGTGTCTACTATCGAGCACTATTCAACCAGTGTTCGCCAGATGACGCGGAAGTTTTTCAGGCGTGTCGAAACGTACTCGGTGGAGGTTCGTGCGTCTTCGTCGTTCGTCGTGTGTCGTCGCGGTGGTCGCGGTCGGGAATAAGTGAGCGTGCGACACTGGAAACAGAACTTGTCCAGTAACAGCGTTGTAGAAAGTGAGCGAAAGTGATACAGTGCCGTGATAAATTCGCGCGAACGGTCGGTTGTTGTTTCCTCGATCGAGTATTCGTTCGAAAAAAAAAAAAAAAGAAAAAAAGAAGACGCGTTACGTTCGCGCGTAAAAGGAAGCAAGAGGGTGTGAACCTTGGAATCAGTGTGGTTCGTGGACGGCCATAACTGGTCTGTCTGCCATTCGGTCTCCGGCGCGGATCTACGTAGCGAAAGGGCAGATGCCCTTACGCGGTTCGAGCTCCCATTGGCGGGTACTTGGCGCTGATCTGTCCGGATCTACGTACTTCGCAGGATCCAGCGGTGTGGTTCGTCGCGACGCGTTCTCGGGATTACTAAACTCGCGAACTACAGGGACGAATGATCAGCCGCCCCACGTGGGGGGCAACAAGCCTTTCGGGTACGACGGTCTCCTCGTCGGTGGTCTCTGTTTGGTGAACTCTGTCTGGCAGCAACGGCAGCAGCGCCGTCAACAACAACAGCGACTACGACAGCAGCGCCATCGGCAGCGCGGCCGCCATCGCAGCGAGAAGAAGAGGCAGCAGCAGCAGCAGCTATTACTTCGAGGAGAGAAAGAAGAAGAAATGCCCGTAGGTCCGCGAACGGCGACGCGATCAAAGATGGAGGCCTCGTCCAGTTTGTAACACGGCGGCCAGGTCTCGTTTAAATCGCACCACCAACGGAGCCTCTGAGCGCTCCTCGAGTCGGCTGCCTAAAAGTCGTCTTTTCTTGTTTCGTGCTACTTTTCTTCGCGAGACCCGCGAACTTGGAGGATGGAGCTACGCGTTGGTAATAAGTACCGGCTCGGACGGAAAATCGGGAGCGGCTCCTTCGGCGACATTTACCTAGGTAACTTTCTTGGCTGTTTCCTTTTCGACATTTACGTTATACTTGTGCCTTCCACCTTCGCACACACACACACACACACACACACACACACACACACACACACACACAGACGTACATACACATTATCCACCCACCTACTCACAGTAGTTGCCCTACGACACGCATGAACGCACCGACTCCCCCGTGCACACGTATATGTTTTTTAACCTTTTTTCCCCCCCTGTAAATTTTGTTTTGTCTGGCGACCGCGTGACCGGGGCTTTTTCTCGTTCTTAGGTACCAACATCTCCACCGGCGAGGAAGTCGCCATCAAGCTAGAATGCGTAAAAACGCGGCATCCGCAGTTACGCGCAGAAACAAAGTTCTACAGAATTATGCAAGGGGCTAGTGAGTAAAGTTTTGTTTTTACGACGTTCCCGCGTACCGTCCGAAGTCCCGCGGGCGTTACGAATATTTCGAATCTCGCTGTCGGTCGAGAACCGTCAGAATTTTGTGTTTGTTTGTTGGACAGCTGGTTGAAGTCTGGCCACTGAACCTTCTCTCTCGCACTCCCTTCTCCCCCTCTCCATTTCCTATGTTACTCCTTTTTCCCCACCCTCGTCCTGTGTTCTTTGTGACAATATAACACGGACTTTACCGTTTTAATCGTTACATATTTATGCCCGAGTTTTATTAGTCGAATAATTTAAACGTTTGCTGGTCACATCTAGAAAAACTTGAATGGCTGGTGATTTTAATTTATAAACGTAAATAAAACGTGTTGTGTTTGTGTATCGATCAAACGTTTATATTAATTTATTTTATTCATTCGATCGATCAATAATATTCTGGTCTATGTTTCATATCTTGGTATTTTATCCTTAATTTACGTGCTATAATATTTTGTATATTTTAATGTATCATTTCAGATATCAGTTTCAATGTAAATTTTTTTTTTCATATAAAACTGTACATACATTAAATAGAATATTTGTTAGACTATGATTATTCTATGTTCTGTTAGAACAGCGATTTTGTTTTGCGTGGCTTAGTTTTAGACTTGAATATAACATTATCAAAGAGTACTTTATTGTAATGTTTCAGTTGGTATACCTACTATAAAATGGTGTGGCTCGGAAGGTGATTACAATGTAATGGTGATGGAGCTGCTTGGTCCATCGCTGGAAGATCTGTTTAATTTCTGTTCAAGAAGATTTTCTTTAAAGACAGTTTTGCTTCTCGCCGATCAGTTGGTAAATACGAATTTATTCAAACAATTATATCAGTTTGTTCTCAGACGAAAGATACAAGATTATGTACATAATTTCATCTCGCTGTTCTGAAATTAAGATCTTTGATTCTGTCGATGTTTCTGTGGTATTGTTGCAACTACAAAGCATATAGTGTGCTGTTCAAAGTTCACATTGTGATTATGTGCATGTATTTGTTATTCTGTTTTCCATCGGTGAAATAAATTACAATATGAGTAACAGCCTTATCAGCTAACGACTCGGTTAGCTGATAATAAGGTTTCATGATCTCAACAAAAAGTGTTTTAAGTGGACTTGAAACTAGTGTATAAAGCCCTGGTTGTAAGTAAAATGCATTCGGCAAAGAACTATTCTAAATATGGAACAAACTCGGAGAAAAACGAGTGCAAAGTTTTTCTTCTCCTGCGTTTGTTCCCTAAATTTTTTTGTTTATTGCTTATGAATTTTTGGTGAAAAATTTTCATGGTTCAATAAACTCTGATGATCCTTAACTGTAATTAAGTGTAACTAATCTATTTCTAGTTGTTATTAGCATAGGACAGACTCAAAAACCTTTCTCTGTTTCTGTTTATGTTTAGGCTAATGAAAGCTTGACGATTGTTTGAAAAATGGTACATCATTTGTTATATTCTTTCCCCATAGATGAATAGAACGGATTATGTTCATAGTCGCAACTTTATTCATCGAGATATCAAACCAGACAATTTTTTGATGGGACTGGGAAGGAAGGGGAATCTTGTGTACATTATAGACTTCGGGTTGGCTAAGAAATATCGCGAATATGGTAATCACAGACACATACCTTACCGAGAGAATAAGAATCTAACGGGAACAGCCAGGTTTGTTAAACAAACATACCACTGTTTTCTCCACGAACGTCTGTCATACGACGTATTTTTAAAAACTATTTATTTCCATACAAACAGATACGCGAGCATTAATACACATTTGGGAATTGAGCAATCACGGAGAGACGACCTTGAATCCTTAGGGTACGTTCTTATGTACTTCAACAGAGGTAGTTTGCCATGGCAAGGCTTGAAAGCAGCGACCAAGAGGCAAAAGTACGAACGTATCTCTGAAAAGAAAATGTCCACGCCCGTCGAGGAACTGTGCAAAGATTATCCCGGTAAATATCGTCGCGTTGCATCGTTTGTAAACATCGACGAGCCGCGATCGCCTTCGTGTACAAACTTCGTATCTTGTTATTGTAGTAGAGTTCGCGACGTACCTAAAGTATTGTCGAGGATTACGTTTCGAGGAGAGGCCAGATTACTCGTATCTTCGACAACTCTTCCGGACGCTGTTCCACAGACAGGGCTTCAGTTACGACTACGTCTTCGATTGGAACATGTTGAAGTTCGGGAACAAGAGGCAGTCAACGTTGTCCTCGGCGCAACAGGTACCGATGAACTCGCAGCAAACGAACGCAGCGCCGCCCACCGGAACCAATAACGATCAGGAACCTCGATCAAGGTTGGTGTCGAAGCGAACGGAATCAAGTAAAACGTTCGCGCGTATGCCACGTGCACGAAATCGGACGTGAAAATGTTCGCGATCGCGTCTCCACCAAGTCGGTTCTTCCATGTGTATAAATAGCATGGTCATTTCATTACCCAGCACGTTCTATTCTTGGCGGCTGGGTCAATGAATCGGGAAATATACGGAATGAACAACAGGAATAATCAAATACAATTCCTTTATTCGAAACTTCTTGTAAAACTTGATACATTGTTTGAAGTAGATGAGGTGTAACACTGGAGAAGACAGGTAGTCAGTGACACGAATCAGTCTTTTAATTAAATATAAAATTAAAATAGCCGCTTTGATGCATGTTTTCCTCTCGATGTTTTAATAATATCGCAATCTTAGTAGTTTGAGGTAGATATATGTGGGGTTTTTATTATGTTGGTATTTTTGGTTGCAGGCCCGCCTACAGGCGGCAGTATCTGCCGAACGCGACCCCCAATCTGAGAAGTTTGCAGCATAAACGCGAGGCGATAGACGCGCCTTGCGATCAGGACAATCAAGATAAGAGTGATTTCCAAGGTAAAATAAAGTTCTACCCAGAATTATGTTTTAGCCAGCAGCAGCAGGTTATACGCGAGCGAAAAACGCAGGTCGTAGTCGGACACGCGCAGGCGGGCGGTAGCGAGATCGCGCAGGAACGCACGAATCCGTGTCAGTTCAGTACGTTCAAATCGTCGCCGGGTAGAGCAGCGCAAAACTTACCGTCGTTCGACGTGACGGAATTGAATCTAGGACGTCGCGAGAAAGATACAGATCGCGAGGTGGTGATGCACGATAGTGACACGCTCGAGCTGAAAAATATCGTCTCTGGTTACGGATCGTCGGCTGCCAAGGCGGTTGCCTCGACGAATCGCTTTGGTAGCCTGGACGAGGTGAAGGGTCGCGATCAGGAGAACAAAGACGGCTCGACGCACGACAAGGAGTCCTTTATCCATTCCGACATGTGCAAGAAGATATTCCAGGGGCCCGCGAAGCAGAACAAAAATTTCTCTTTCTTTCTGGGTATGCTGAAGAGAAACGTGGATTTGTCGCTGATGGGCTCGCAGAGTCTCGATCTCACCGAGCAGGAATGGCAGAAAACAGCCAGCCACGATAAGCACAGAAGTCTGGACTACTCACAGAAAACGGAGAAGTCTCTGGACACGTCGGCCAATAAGTCGGTGCATCGGCCTAACTTCGTTGAACGCGTACGTAGAACCTGGCGTTTTTTAGTCAAGCAGCGCCTCATCAGGAGACGGAACAAATATGAGAGGGAGCAGAGCGCGCAGGAGAAGTGCGAATATTTTTTACAGAAATACCAGAAGGACGATTTTTTTGATCGAGTTCCGAGTCTGCCGGTGAGGCGCGCATCCGTCGAGTCCAGCCACGTTTTTGTCCAGGAACGTGACACTAGCAAGGACGATCTGATATTCACCGATCAAGCACCGATCGCTGGTCCGTTGGAAAACAGCACGTTTCGCGCGAAGAACGAGGAGAACAGTTTGCTGAACGCGAACGATAACGCGCCGGAGAAGAAACCGGAAGTGACGTCTTCGAACGTCGAGAAGAAGGACCGTGAGATCAATGGGAATAATAACGTGAAAGCGATCAGGACCGATATGTCGAACAGTGGTCTGAGCAACGCTCGAGATTGCATGAATTTTGATACTCTGAAGGGCATTCTTCTCGACATGTTCATGTGCGTTTGCTGCATTTAAGTTTCGTATTTATAGTGAACGTTCTTACACCACCGAGCGATCTTTATCGTAGGAGATTCTATTCGTACGCTGCTATACCTGGGAAAATTAATTGTTTCGCCAATTTTGGTCAGGATTCATGACGGAACAATCCTCCAGGTGGATTTAAATTCTACTTAGTTCTAATCTTTTTCTCGGAGACTGCATAAATTGGGGGTGACATTTATGGACGAATGAATGTCGCTGAGTCTGATATCGCAATTAATATTTTTTCCGAGGCGCATTTCGACTTTGGAACAACATGCTTCGAAGGCATGGGAACCAAGAACAAGGTTATATTTTATATTCTATATTATTAATCGACGAGAGTTGAATTTCGAAGGTGGTAGAGGTTTCGAATCTCGCACAGAAGTCGTTTACCTATCATCGACTGTCATCGGAGCCTTGGGGTTCGCGTTATTGCTTCGTGGACAGTGTCGATCGCCATTGTCTCGAGCTCTTGGAACTGTATTTCGTCGCTCAGCGATCATTCGAGATCGTTGATCTTGATACGGTAAAAATGGCGAACGATACAAAAGATTTCGATCGCGAACCCCAAGATTCAGAATATTTCTCGCACCGAATTCCCATTTTATAATTAATTAGCATTACCAGTTAACGTCTTTACGTTCGTTTATTTAATCGTTGATAGTCACGATACTTATCGAACACTGTAATCACACCTAGTGTGGTTTTTTTTTCTTTCTATTGACGCGTTCGCTGCCAATTCAAAAGAGGATAGATCATTTTCATCGACAAATTTTCCGTAAAAGTACAGCGGACGTGTCGGTAAAAATATTAAGACTGATTCAAATTCTACATGCAGCGTGTTAACTTTTTGAGGCAGAATACAGATGAATCGTAGCTTTTTTTTTCGCTATTCGAAAGATCGAATTCATGTCGATATTTCTGGTTGGAATCTGTCGATCCTCAAGGAGCTAGCCGAGCGTGTCATCGCGTTCGTTTTTTTGGGGGATTCCAGCGCGATGGAAGAAGCAAGAGCTACGTGAGAGGATTCAGGCGCAAAGTAACAAAAACTCACTAACGGGGTTGTTGCAAAAATTAAATTCTTCTATAATGCAATAATAATACATTAATTATTTATATATATTAAATTAGAACCAATATCGCGATTCAGACAAGTAATATTCATGACTAGACTGCGGATCTTTATGCAAATTCACATTTTTATTAATAGAATTAATAAAATGGGAGCTTTGTAGATAATTGTCTCAAGCCCTAAATATAATAATTCGTATCTTGAAGTATTTCTTATATTTTTGCATATTAAATGCATTCTGTAGCTTTTTGAGGATTAAAATTTCCCATAAATGCATAAACATCCTCAATCTATTCATGACTTACGCAATAGTGGGAAAAATGTTATGGGACCTACTGTGTTTAATAATTATAATGTCAGTGTTCATAATTTTCATTGAATTTAATAAGGTCTAGACAGTACATAAAATTACATAATACTCAGCATTGAAAGGCTTATAATATAGTTATTTGTTTACCTGAAAAATGCAAATCTGTGTTGATTTTTGCAATAATCCCTGAATCATTGACGAACGATCAATTCGCGTTGTTTCCTCTCAATATGATAGCTCATCTTTGCATTTAATCCTCTCATACACCCTTTGTTCGCAGACAGTGAATCATTCCTCGACGATCGGACGATCGTGGCCACTCTGATCACGATGACCGATTTCGATCCAACGAAAAGAAGCTCCTCGAGATCCAGAAAGGTTACCAAAGCTTAGATAGAAACGATAAATCATAGTTTTCTACTTGTTCTACGCGCAAATTGTTAATCTCAAGAGCTTCTTTCGTTCAGTAACAACATCAACAATAACACAAACACACACACACACACACATATTCAATTCATTTTCCCAATTTACGGGGGGGGAAGACATTATTCACTTCTTCCTTAACGCTGGGTCCTATGATAGCGTCGTCGTTAATTTCCTTATCGCGCATTTTTCCTCCCTTCTTTTGTGTTTTTTTTTTTTTTATTTTTTTTCCATTTATCCAGGGAGTATTCGCAATCGCGAATCTATTTGTAATTATCCTTTTTTTTTATTAATAGTGATGATGATGATGGCGATGATGATGATGATGATGATGATGATGATGGTGATGATGATGATGATGGATGAAGTAGCAAATAAATGTTTTTCCATTCAAGGACTGGTCTCTTTATTTATTTCACCATGCGACATTGTCGATTATCCTTGTCAAAATTTCTTCTCACTTGGCTTGAATGGAAAAACCAAATTGTACAGCACAGGGTACCGCGATACTTCTTTTTTTAAAAAAATCTATGTCGCATCATCTGTCTTCACGAAAGCGTATCATTTTTTTTTCTCTTCTCTTTTCCTTTCTTTTGTATTTTTGTTTTTGTTTTTTTGTTGATCTTTGTGTTGTACCGTGAACATTGTGTACGTTGTCACCCTGTTTTCCGATCATTGTTTCGCGAGAGAACTTTTTTCCATTTCATTTGCCAAGCGTGAAAGGTCGTCCATCATTCCTGTAAAACTCACTAGTCGATCTCACGTCATATTTAAATATTTATATATTAATAAGGACACTTGGTTATCGTTCAAGCAACGAATACCAAACCAATAATGGTCATTTTTTCTTTTATCGTAGATTTTTTCGTGGTACGTACAGGGTGTCCTTGAAATTCTTCCGGTTCTGTAACGTAATGTCGAGGAACGGATATGCAAGAGAAAGAAACGTGTGCTTACGCGTAACAAAGAGACATCTTGGACGATTAATGGCGATAATTAGGTCCGTTTCGCGTTGGACACCCTGTAGAAACGGAGTAACGCGATTAATTGGGATCGGATCGCAACGATTTCTTGCACGATATCGACGATATTAGCACGGATGGTTGGACGTGGCTGGCGGAAACCATCTGGAAAGTAGTCTGAACGTGGCTTTAGCGTACGATGGGTGATAACTTCTAACACGCGTACTGTGGTTATTCAAGATGCGTGCTTTTGTAATACGAGTGCTGTTCTCTCATACCTTCGACACTCTCTTGTTTCTTATTCTTACGGCTCGAGCTACTGCACGACTGCGAATGCGTTTTGTAACTCTTGTTCCTGGGAGAACGATCATGTAGCGCTTGACCCTTTAAATCCTAAAATAGTTATTCATAGAAGTGTTAGTCGTTGCGGACAATCGATGACTTGGTAAATTTCTTTCATCCTCCATCCCTCAGCGACCAAATTGTTACATCATGTATGGACGTAACCAGTTGCAGAAAAATATTGTTACTCTTCTGTTGTATAAGAGAATTTCTCCTGGTTCATTTGTTGCAGATTATTGCACTTGGATAAAATCTACCTTTGTTATCATAATTGATTTTCCATAGAAGGAAACTGAGGGATTGATAATGACAAAACGCTTTTGTAAAACGCATCCTCGCGGCGTAGAATTTAAAGGGTTGGAGTAGAGCGTCATGATTTCCCCCTATTTTCCTACAATCGTGCAGACTTTGGACCTTCACTGGGTTCTTTTAAACGGAACGGTAGAGTTCCCTCGACGAAACTAATGCGAAGAGCAAGTTTAACAGCGCCTCCAAAGCCAATATTTCTTCCTCCATTACCACCGACAGCGTTTCTCACTCTACGTTCAGCGTTACAAAATGTATACCGATATCGAGATGGAACTTATCATAATTTGTTACTCAATTTAATAGTTTTATATAGAGCATAACAAGTTTGTAATAACAGCTATAAATCTGGTGTTCTACGCAATTGAGAACCGCTGGCGAAGGCAGGTAGACTCGATTGGCCTTGAACGCGCCAGATTACTTGCTCTTTACTTTATTTCGCGTTTACTTGCCGTGCAATATTCAGAGATCGACAAACTCGAATCGATCGTAGAGTCGGTGGTTTTTAAACGACCCGGGAGCATAGGATTTCCGGTTACGATGGTTACGCGATCGAATCGAGAGCAGTTTGTCGGTGACTGAGATTGTCAGTGGGTAGAGCGAATGATTAATCGCGTAAGTGGTTCTTTTTCTGCGGTATGCATTGTTTTTTGCTGGTGTTTTTCAGCGACGGGCGCGGGTTTCCAGCCGCGAAGGGTCAGTATGAGGTTGCTAAGTAAGGATGCAGCTGCTGCTGCGGGAGAAATGCAGCCCAAGTCCAAGTGAGTTGCTATATCACGCCCGCAATAAGCACCTAAGTATAACTCGCTCTGCCTAGCGTTTAGGGTGTGGTCTCCACTGTCCGTATTCGGGCTTTGTAATATGTAGATTCGTCTATTGTCGATCGCCAAGAGCGAATTAACGTGAACTTGAATGTCTTAACCCTTTTAGTGCCTTTTAGTAGCGAAAAACGGGTGCCTATGCGATGAATACCGAGCCAATTTGACGAGTTTGTTAGAGAAATTTTTTTCTAGAAAGTGGGTAGGAATTCAGGGGTATGTGTATTCACCAAAAATAATTGTAATTGTCCCCTGTAACTAAATATAATTTTTTTAGTGTGATTTTAAATATTTTAATTTCGTCTAAAAAGTTCAGTACCTTCTCGAATTTTTTTCTCAAAAATGCGTAGGATTTCGGGGATACATGTAATGATCAAAAGTGATTGTAATTGTCCCCTGTAACTAAATATAATTTTTTTAGCGTGATTTTAAATATTTTAATTTCATCTAAAAAGTTCAGTATCTACTCGAATTTTTTTCTCGAAAATGCGTAGGATTTCGGGGGTATGTGTAATGATAAAAAATGATTGTAATTAACCCCCGCAACCAAAAATAATTTTTTTAAAAGGATTTGAAATTTTTTTTTTTCGTCGAATTAGATTTTCGGTCAAGAATTTTTTTCTCGAAAATGCGTAGGATTTCGGGGATACGTGTAATGATCAAAAGTGATTGTAATTGACCCCTGTAACTAATTATAATTTTTTTAGCGTGATTTTAAATATTTTAATTTCATCTAAAAAATTCAGTAGCTACTCGAATTTTTTTCTCGAAAATGCGTAGGATTTCGGGGGTATGTGTATTCACCAAAAATGATTGTGATTGACTCCCACAGCCGAAAATAATTTTTCTAGAACGGTTTGAAATTTTTTAATATAATTGTTAATAACTTTTTAACGAGGCCTCCACCATCGCATACGCAACGATATATCGTCGTACGGCACTAAAAGGGTTAATAATAATTGCAATACGTTTGTACAATTTGTACGAGCTCGTTACACTTGGTGCTTTCATTGGGGTATTGCATGGAACATTGCACACAAGGTCATTGGATCATCGCGACTCGTAATATCTATCGATCGCGACGCGATTTTTCATTCTTGCGGATCGTTGATAGTTTTCTTTTCATTTCTATCCACGTCCTCGAACGTTCACCGTCGCCGAAGTTGGTCGATTTTATTCGCGAATCGATGCTTTCTATACGTAAATCAGAAGAATCGAAAAGTTTTCTGTATTTCATTATCAGCGAATAAAATTTGCCCAACTCGGATCGTCACGATGATCATTACGTATAAGTATAATACTTTATTTGCGCGGTCGAATGACTTTATAATCGATCGTTAACGAACGATCTCGTAATCAACTATAATTTCTTCTTTGCCGACTATACAAATTCTTTTTTGCTTGCGAACTAGATCTCGATGTGGATGTCGGTGTTAGTTGCATTCGGTTCTAATTTGCCAGGTCACTTTTTTTCGTAGATTGGTGTCTTGATACCGTAGCATGGTTCTCCCTCGATCGTTAGAAATCCAGGGTGAAGTCGAGAGGGGGAGAAGAACGAGCACATTGTCATTTGGAAAGAATATCGAACACCGATAAAAGTTTAAAAGTTACACCGAAAAGTTACGTTTATTATTCATATTTATTTTGTTGCTCAGTTGACTATTTGTTTCAGAACGCGGGCAGATTTTACGCTAGAAGACCACTTAGTTTTCTGCTTCCTTAATCGTTGCAATTTTCACGATCCATGTGGATTATTTCATAAGAATTTCATTGTATATCATTTCAAGATATTGCTATAATCAATTTATAATATCCACTAAAAATTGAATTTTCTCTATTATTAAATAGCTTTTTTACATCCTATAAGACTATTTCATAAGAATTTCATTGTATATCATTTCAAGATATTGCTATAGTCAATTTATAATATCCACTTAAAAATTGAATTTTCTCTATTATTAAATAGCTTTTTTACATCCTATAAGACTATTTCATAAGAATTTCATTGTATATAATTTCAAGATATTGCTATAGTCAATTTATAATATCCACTTAAAAATTGAATTTTCTCTATTATATATATTTCATAAGAATTTCATTGTATATAATTTCAAGATATTGCAATAGTCAATTTATAATATCCACTTAAAAATTGAGTTTTCTCTATTATTAAATAGCTTTTTTTCGATCATATCAGGCTATTATTTCATAAGAATTTCATTGTATATAATTTGAAGATATTGCTATAGTAAATTTATAATATCGTGAACGAAGGGAGAGAATTCTTTCCAAATGCGAGGTCGAAGTCTGTTTGCCTGCTATCGGGTGCACTTGGGATGGTCTTTTCTTACAATCACGTTGAACGATCTGTATATTTTACATAACCAATAGGGGGACGAGCGTAACGGAGAATTAATAGCTTCTGTCTTTTACGCTGACGGACGGGAGCACTCTGTCGTAACTTTGTCTTCACTTTCTTGCCGCCGTTGGTTACGTGAATTCCGAATGCGCCAAGCGAACGAGGCAAGGGTCTCAGAGATGGGTAAAATTTTTTCAATCGTTCGTCCGTCACTCGTTACGCAAATAATCAGACATTTCGTAACGAACGGATTAAAGTTGGAGCAAACGGTCGCAGAGTTGCTGTGCCGTTCGTTCTATTTGCTATCTATTGTTTGATCTAAATTTTGCCTGTCTTCGATAGGGGTCCATGACGCTGAGGATCTCGATCGTCGAGCCGTTGAATCGTTCGCGTTCGTCGGGATGCCCAGAAAAATACAATCGAGAGGAAAATCTGAACTTTGATACGTCGATTACGAAAGCAGTTTCGCGTTACGTTTCGACGAATAGGAGCGTGACGAAACGAGAGGAACGCCAGATTGTCGTGTGTTGGTAATTACGAAACTCTGCTCGACGTTATTGTCGAAAGTCTCGTAACTGGAGCTCGAGGCGTGCTCGGTTTTCTCGAGTGCACAGTTATCCGGGTACACTGCATAAAAGATACATTATTCGAATTTATACCACGTATATAACATCCGACACGCTTTGTTCTTTATGGATTACGTGATAACACTGTCGAAGACACGGTTGGTTTGGGTCACACTTCCGGTTCACGTTAGATAATTGATAACTAGACAGCGGATGTTTATGCATTTATGGAAAATTTTTATTCTCAAAGAGCCACAGAATGCACTTAATATGCAAAAATATAAGAAATACTTGTCATACTTATCATGTACTTGTATGTTATCACGTGTCGGTAATCGAAACAAAAAAATGAAAACTGTTATTTCAAACCAGGGCCGAACTGGTCATATAAGAAACTTACTCGATTCGATAATAAGAGTCATTTGATTATTTAAAATTTCCCAAGCAGTCAAAATATAGGTAATATAGGGCAATATAGGTATAACATATATATACACATATGTATATCATTTTGACTGCTTGGGAAATTTTAAATAATCAAATGACTCTTATTATTGAATCGAGTAAATTTCTTATATGACCACTTCGGCCCTGTATTGAAATATATAACATAGGTATAACATATATATGTATATACAGGGTGGTCGGCCACCCATGGGAAACATTTTAATGGGGGATTCTAGAGGCCAAAATAAGACGAAAATCAAGAATACCAATTTGTTGATGGAGGCTTTGCTAAAAAGTTATTAACGTTTAAAGTTCCGCCCGATCTGAATTTTTTTCTCGAAAATGCGCAGGATTTCGGGGGTACGTCTATTCACCAAAAATTATTGTAATTGATCTCCGGAACCGAAAATAATTTTTCCAGAACGATTTGAAATTTTTTAATTTTGACGAAATATTTCATACCTTCTCGAATTTTTTTCTAGAAAGTGGGTAGGATTTCGAGGGTATGTCTATTCACCAAAAATGATTGTAATTGACCCCCGCCACCGAAAATAATTTTTTTAGGGTGATTTGAAAAAATGTTTTTTCGCCGAAAAATTTCAGCACCTACCCTGGTCGATTTTTCTTAAAAATTCGTTTTTCATTTTTAATAATCTTGTTCGACGCTCTATAGAAAAGTTGTCTAATACCTTTTTGTAGGTACCGATGAGCTCTACTTCAGAAAAAAGTTTCATTGAATTTTAGCCATTATTGTAAGAGTTATGATTGTTTGAAAATTGGACTATTTTTATGGGGTTTTTCTTATTTTGCGGGGTCAAGGATCAACGTTTCGAATATTTTTACAATTTCTACATATTCTCCGTGAAAATATGCGTTGTTTGCCGCTTGAAGCATTAAAATCGACCAATCCGTTCAGGAGTTATGACATTTTAAAGATTCGCATGAAATTTTAGGGAAGCATTCTCGCATTAGATTTTCGGTAAAGAATTTTTTTCTCGAAAGTGCGTAGGATTTCGGGAGTCCGTGTAATAACAAAAACTGATTGTAATTGACCACCGCAACCGAAAATAATTTTTCTAGAACGATTAGAAATTTTTTTTTTTCGTCGAAAAATTAGATTTTCGGTAAGGAATTTTTTTCTCGAAAGTGCGTCGGATTTCGGGGGTATGTGTAATGACCAAAACTGATTGTAATTGACCCCCGCGACCGAGAATAATTTTTCCAGAACGATTAGAAAGTTTCGAATTTAATTGTTAATAACTTTTTAACGAAGCCTCCATCAACTAATTGGTATTCTTGATTTTCGTCTTATTTTGGCTTCTAGAATCCCTCATTAAAATTTTTCCTAGAGGTGGCCGAACACCCTGTATATGTTATACCTATATTGCCCAAAAGCAGTCATTTTGACTATACTGGAAATGAAGGAAGGGGGAGGTAGCTACAATTATTAATAAACGCATTTATATATTGTACAAAAAGTCACAAGATTCTAAGAAATTGTGTCATTATATACATAATTGTTTTTCTAATTAAAATTAAAAATCAGTCAAAATGACTTCCTCGGGCAATCTAGTGTTAATATTGTAAATGTCTCTGTAGCTATTGGATACTTTAGTCTGTCCTGTAATAATTTAAAGAGTGTCAAAGGTGCTGAATCAAGAATGTTTCCGCATTGGAGAAAATCGAGTACGTTGGGCGGATTTTTGGTACGAATGGGCAGACCCGACGTTGGTCGTTCGTGGATAGTGCATGGACGGTATGCACGTGTTTCTGTTTCTTCTAATTCTCTGGGTTACCGTCGACGGCGGATAAAGTAACACGCAATATTATTTTTAAAAACAAACTCGTAGACACCGAAATCTGGCGTCGAAGTTCACCGAAAATCCCGCTTTATGTTCTTTCGTTGACTTTTTTTTCAGGTAACCGAAAGCTAAGACACTAATTCTAAATCACGAAAGTAGGCAAAGAGGGGGCGATAGTATCTCCTGTGCCACGGTAGCGGACGCCGGCGAAAAACTGAAATCGTGGATAAACGTTCGCCTCGCGATCCTTCTCTCTCCGGCCTCGTCGGATCTTTGATCTTCTAGCTTTCGCCTGTCGCGACGACGGAAACGATCCCGTCGCGACGACCAAGCGAGAGCAGAACAGAGTCGAGAAGAGAGAAGGAACACGCGCAAAGAGTGACGGATAAAAAAAAAAGGGGCATAGTTTCTCGGTGAAAATCGTTTCAACGGTGAGAACCGGTGGTGCGCTAATGTCGCTGTTTTGTGTGTCTTTTGTTTTGGAAGCGCCAATGCGACGGCAATGGCCCCGCCTTAGGTCAGGCTGACAGGCGTTCAGCGGAAGTGAACCAACAGCAGCAGCAATAGCAGACTACTAATGGTCGTGGTGGTCGGGCGAAGCAACGTCGTCAGCAGCGTCGACGGTGCGTCGTCGGTGTCGTCGAGTCGTGACCCTCTGGCGACGAGCTTTTGCGAACGATATCGCAACAGGCTCTGGGATCGTCGCGATCGCCAGGTTATCGATCCACGGGAATCCTCGTGAACGACACGTCGCGCGCGAGTCCTCGAGGGAGATCAAGAACGACTCGCGATCGCAACAGTTGGGACGATCCAGGCGCCCAGACCGATTTTAACAAACGATCGTAACCACACACACGAGTGATTGTACCAATGTCAGCGTGAACCACGATCGCCAACGAACTCGAAACTTATCATCATCCTGGCGATCGGTTCATACACACACACACACACACACATGGAGAGGTCCGTAATCGCGATTGTACAGTACGCGATCTTCGATGATGGCAACTGCAGTAGCCACGATCGAGCGCGAATCTTTCCGCGTCCCCCCGTTCAGCCTATTTTTCATTATCGACGTTCGAGGATTCGTATAAATATGTATAGCATAACGACGTTTATAGCACGTGGAACAAACATAATGACTTGTACTTGTATCGAGTTGTCCGTTGCACATCAGGAGTTAGGTTTTTTTTTTATTTTTCTTGTTACGGAACTTTCATGTTCGCGAAGAAACGTGTTTTTTTTTTTTTTTTTTTTAAATAATTATTTAGTGTTTTAAGGGTTACCGTAGGGCGTCTCTGTATTTTTAAGCGAGACACTTTTGTTATCTTCACTGGCGTGAAAAGTAGCGAAAAGGATTTATCCGTAGGTTGTTTTTTTGTCTTTTTAACGGAGGACTTCCTCGCGACGCGATTTGCAAATGGTGGTTTTTAGCTGCTCGTTTCCGTTCAGAGTCACTGTGTTTGTTCCAACGAGTAAACTAAATCGGAACCGTAGTTTTCGTGGTAAGCGAGCGCAAGATATACTCGGTGGGCAAACTTGAAAGCGACGTTGGTCTTATAAAAAGAATTTTATATCATTGTATTTTTATGGAAGTATCGTCGATGGATCATCGAGGGTTTTCAGATTAAAATCGAACCGGACGCGACGTGGTTTGGAACATATTTACTTATTTCGTAAGTAAAAGATCAGACTATGTACTTATTAAACAAGTATGCAAGTATAATCCAAGTTATGTCGTTTTGGTCTTGTTTTAACGGATGTTCGCTGTAATTACGGCTTTGTTTGACCTCATTTTGATGAGAAAACCTTCGCCGATGCATCGATGGTATTCTCACGAGGATCCAATGAGAATTTGCAAGAATATCTGCAACGTCGCTTTGAAATTCGACGAACCGTAGTATATACATGTAATATAAAGTATAATATTGATATAACTTGCTTAAAAAAAAAAAAAAGTACACGAAAAACAAGATTCTACTAATTCTGTGATCAAGAAACACCAACATTGCACGACCTTAAAAGAGCCCGCTTTTAATGTCTACACCCAACCATTTCAGTCATTGTGACGTATTTTTTTATGTCTTTTTGTCCATTTCTACTAATCATAGACACGTTTTCGAAGTCTATAATAATAATAATCGAGGAACGTGCCCTAGTTAACGAATCAACTATCGCGTCAATTTCCCATGCCCAGACCTGGAACAAATACAACACAATTGCGTTTTTATTAATCAATTAACGTGCTCAAAAACTAAAATGCCTTAAAACTTTGTAACAAATTACAAATCTTTGTATCGTCGAGACAATTTTATTATTTGAAATGCGATAGACGCGTTGTTTTTTTTTTATTTTTATTTTAAATAAAATTTGTCCAGGTCTGTGCATGTTCCGGGGAGGTCTTCGTCATACGTTTAAATTACTGTGTGTGATATAATAATATTCAACAATTCAATGGTTATACTCATTATTTTGTAGTATTCCTAATGGCAGTAATATTATCATAAAATTTACAAATATTAAGACTCGTCGTAAGCGTTTTAATGGTACGAAAGTTAGAAGCTTCCGTCAAGCATGTTCGTTAACCATCTTCGGATAAACTTAGAGTAGATATCGCCTTAGTTTATATATTTTTTTTCGAAACGCGGAGCATATTTCATTGATAAATTTATTGATGTGATCGCGTATTTATGGCTGTCGCGTGTTATTCTTTCCGTCTACGAGAGTTTGTATTCGATGTTTCGAACGAAATTACTTAATCCTCTACTGCGTAAGTATTATTTTGTACGTCGGGATGGAAATTATTTCACGGTGGTCTGTGCATTCCTCCGGCACGATGAAACGTGGACGCGCCAATCATCGATCCGAGCGTACTGTACAAGTTCGCGTCCGCGCATAAATCCGATCGTCGATCGATTCGTTCGTTTCGCGACCGATTCGCGGTTTCTGCCGCTTACCACTTCTTTTTTTTTATACGATTAAACGAATTTTCGAGGTGGAACGGCGCGAGTGACTCCCGGAACCTGGTCCTGTTCACGAAAGGAGAAAGCTCGCGCGATTTTATCGTTTTACTAACGCCGGTCGGAATTATTTCCCGGAGAAACGGAAGAAAGTTAGATCCAGATGTATCGTAGAACGCGATTGTGAATGAATTGATCGCGCAATGGCGGCCACGAGAAAGAGAATGATCGATGAACAGCACCGCGAGCACCCGGGGACCTTCTGTTTAACGCGTTTGGCTCTGTTTATTGTAGAACGCGATACAAAGTTATGGGGAAGGATGAATTGGACGAGATTGTCGGCGAACTGCACCAAACTCTGTCTTCTCCGGTGCGTTAGAAAAGTCTCGAGCAACGAGTGATCGTTTGGAAGAGTACGAAGTTCGAGTCTCTGCGATTCAGGTGACGAACGAAACGAAAGAAACACTGATTCTGTTTGTATTCGTTCGAAAACGCGTGTACCGGTATAATTTGAGTAGAATTGTTGCACGATGCCTCGAAAGGTAACGTTTGACACTTATTAATGTTGAAATACTGTGATCCTTCAAGCCTTTTATTGTTTCAGACTTGCTCGAACACGGAATTTAACTGGATGAGCAAATCAAGTCGAAGGCGTTGGAAAATTCTTTTGTTTGAAAGATTAAGTATGCTGCACGCGCCAGAATCGAATTCTCTTTCAACAACCAGTCACAGGAGTTTACTACTCCCTGGAAGTTGGTAGTATCGTAGAGAGTTTTTATAATATTCTAAGAATCCAATTGTTTGTCGGTTAAAATTGGGAGTATTTTTGGTAATGTGAACAGAAAACGATCGTTCCTGGTTTATCTGGTTTTACGTACCGTGTTAGATAGGTGTACGTAGACACCTGTGACTGGTCGAGATCGTGTATCGATTTGTTTGCGAATGATCGAGGTCGAGGGACTTTTCTAGCGTGCTGTACTCGTCGTGTCCCTATTTTTGTCCCGTGTGCTTGTGTTTCGTACAAAATTTCGTGTTCCCCAGGGAGAACAAGGTGGAAGAGAGGGTACAAGACTACTCTCGGACTTTCCGTAACGGAGAAACGAAAGATGCACGTTAATTGTTCTGTAATTCGTGGTACCACCGAAAAAGGACGCGATCTTTTGTCCAGAATGTAACGTGGAACACGCTTTTTCATTTCTATACTTTGTTTCAAGGATTTGTCGAGCGTAACGCGACTTGTAAATTAAAAACGAAGTGCACTTTCAAGTGACGAGTTTTGGGAGTTTATTCCCACGAAAATAGAAAGTAAAACGTTTTATCCTCCATTTTCTGCTCGCTTCTTCGGCCATACCATCGGTCACATTGTGTATTGGGTCGGGGAATAAGTTCATAGCGTTTTTATCAATGAAAAAATACAGGCTTCGCATTTTTCGGCAAATGAAGATGATTGAGAATCGTTTTATGATCGCAGTTCATTTTTTCGGCCAATTCGCGACTTGTTTGGGGACCGTTCTTCTTCAAAAGTGCTTTGAGACGATCTTCGTTCGAATTCAGAAGGTCCTCCATTGCAAGGCGTGTCGTCGACGTCGAAATCGCCATTTTTTAACTTTGCAAACCATTTCCGTGCTGTAGACTCGCCTATGACACCTTTTCCGTATGCTTCAGTAGCTTTTTAGCCTCGATGAAAAGCAAAGAAGAGCAGGTGTCGAAAATATTGTTTTTTACCTTTAATTATTCCATTTCTAAGCGTGAAAAGTAACAAAAAATTAACTTACTCTCAAAGACGATCAGCACAGTTTTGTAGAGCAGAATACACTTTGTCAAACAGCGAAAAGTCGTTGCAAAACGAAAGAAAATATAAAAACGCTACGAACTTGTTCCCCAAAACCCAATACAATGTCCATCCGAACGAACTCGACGGAAATAAAGGTTTTCTTCCGCGTAACGATTGCCTGAAAGTTGTAAAAAGAAGGAACAACCGTAAAGAATGAGGGAGAGTCCGAGAGAGAAACGTAAAAAGACAGAATTTCCGTGTATCCGAACGATTTTCGATAAAATTTTCGTTAAAATGAACGTTGTCTACCTTCGTCACTCTTCGCGGACAAATTTTCCACGTTGGTCGTTTTCTCTTCCCCCCCCCCTGTTCATCTTTGTACCCTCCGCCTTATCCCCGAAACAACGTCTTGTATAAATATCGACGACGCGTTGCGTACAAAACAAAACAAACAAAAAAAAAAAAAAAACAAAAAACGAAGCGAGAAAAGAAAAAACGTGATAAGAAACTTGGTTATATATAAATATATATATTATACCGACACATGTTTTTCTATGTATTTTTTTCATAGGGTACTACTACCGCTACTATTATTACTATTTACCATTAACTATTAACTATTCACTACTACCAACTATTACTACTACCATTACTACCGCTGCTTCTACCGCTAATTACACTATTCACTATGTTGTAACTTGTACGGAGAACGCGAATCGATCGCGACGATCTACTCCCGCCGAGGAAACCGGAAGCGACGGGATCCACGACCCGGTTTCCCTTCTGTATCGCGATCTTAGCGTTATTCTCTTCTTGCTTACATTTCGTTTTCCATTCTTCTGCACTCAGAACCCCATATGGAACTCAAATCTTATAGATCACGGATAGAATTATTAACACGTTCACTGTTGGAGCCTCGAAAGAATAGCTTCAACTCTAAAGTACCATATTAATTTTATTATCCTTGTTAATATCACTCTGGAGTCCAGCGAATCTCATTGTTATTTGCAATTATTTAACACGGAAACTTTCAATTCGAAGCAACAGATTTTTATTGTATAGTATTTCGAGGAAATTGTTGTACTCTAGGGTTGAAGATGTTCGTCTGCAAACACTTGAAACTTGTACGTCGTTTATCCCTGCTCCAATTCTGAGCCAGAAAGCGATAGAGCACGCTTTTGCTTCTATATCTACCGTTTGCGTCCACTAATAAAATATAAAATTGTTACGTTTTTTGTTCTGTCCTTGCGAAAACATTTTTTACGGTTTGACGATAACTTCTCCGTGGAAATGACACTAAACAGAATTCAGAAATTATTTTAATTTTCTAAGATGGATGGTCCGTGTAAAATCGTGTTTGGATTTGTTTTCATTTATGACTAAAATTTCTAGTTTCATCCCGTACACGTGTGCTTTATCGTTATAGGGATACTTCATTATAGTCAACGATGGTACATCAAGGGCTACCTTGGATATAGTGAACGTGTTAAGAAGAAAAACCGATGGATGTCATATCCAGTGAAAGATATTTTTCATTCTAGATCACAGATGATCACCGATCAGATTTTTGTTATTAATATAAAAAATGACGTACGAGCAAGATCAGTCAAAAGTTAGATTTGATCGATGCTTCGTCGAACTACCTCAAATTCGAAAATACGCGCGATACCATAATTTGATCGTAAGCGATCATTTCTGAAATTCTGAAATTTTGACGAGAATTTCGAGTTCCGCGAGTCGTTCATTTGAAAGAAACAAACACTGCCTGTCACGACTGATAAATGAACCGTTCTCGATCCGATCCGGCGCTTCCTTCTCGTAGATCGTCGCGATGTTAGCCGTGGTTCTCGCGAACGAACGAAATCATTCTCGTGGCGATCGACGCCAGCGCAAATCGAGGAGCAACCACACCTCCGTTTTGTTTCATTTTTTTCAACGGTGCACAGTTTGCGCCATTCGAAATGCGTCCAATTGTTTTTGTAACCGAAACCGGATGTCTTTATTTTCTGTCGCGTTTCCCCATTGCGAATCCCAGCTTCGCGCTCGCTTTTATTACGCATCGACTGCCAACGCGATTTTATTCAAATCTCCCCTGTATTTTGTACCTCGATATTTAGGACTCCGAATGATAGAAATTTAAACACCGACCGCGTACGCGCTACACGCGGATCCCTGTGTAAATTTAAATTCAAATGTCATTCGCGGAACGAACGATAACGTGGCAGTCAATGTGTCGTTTGTAAAAATAATGCTGACCGGAGCAGTGGGAGGTTTTCAGCAGATATTTCCCAATCCGTGTATCACCATAGATCATTCTGAAATTTTCCAAATTTATATTTTCAATGTATCAAGAAATTGGTAGATTTGAAAATATTGTAATATAGTAATCTGTTTTGTGAAGAAATTGCTTTGTTATTTCAATACACCGATCGATCGTACGAAACTACCTGCTGACTCGAACTTGACGAATTCCAAGATGTCCGCCTTGTCGAGCGCGAAAAACTAACAGCCAAAGCGATTGTAAACGCCGCTAGCGAGCTCGTTGGCGCAAACTGAGCCGAACAAAGCGAAAGACGCGATCGCGAGGAATCGATCCCCCGGATCGAAGTGATAAAAATTAAAAATGCGGTCGTGCATGCTTGAATCGCTCGGCCTAAAGGAGCTTCTTCTTTTCCGTGAGACTGCGGGAACCTATCGAGACACGAGACTTCTCTCGCGGAATAGAACCGCGAGAAAAGGTGAATTTTAGAGAGCAATGGCCGTGGAACTCATTAAAACGTCTTCGAAGACCTTTGACGACGGTTCCGGCATCGAGGTACATATTTCATTCGCGATTAATTGTATTTTAAGTATATTAATCGATTAAAATTGTATCGAAGCGACCGTTTTGTACATGTACGTGTATATATACACATACATACACGTACATGTACAACTACTATGATCCACTAATGGAGAAAAAAAGATTACTATAACTGTAAATGAGATGCGTAAGCGTGGTATGGAAGAAGAGCGTGTTCTCTTCGCGTGTACGTGTGTATGTACGTGTGTACGTATGTGTGAGCGTGTATGAGTGTGAGAAAGAACGAGAGACAATTAGGTAAACGAAATATCCGAGAAAATAAACAAAACCGAGAGACCGACAAAGAAGTGTACTCTTAACTGGCTTTGTGTACTATACGCGCGAGGCGAAGAGTGTTTTAAGCTTCTGCGTTCTTTTTATTTTTTTTTTTTAACGCCAACGCGGCGCGAATGGGCGAGGAAAATAACGATAGCTCGTGATTTCTCGTACGACTTTTCGTTTATTCTCGTTTTTTTAATCATCGCACCAACCACCTCTTGCCATCTTCGCGAATCCGATCTCGCCCCTTGCATTCACGTTTATCTTTCTTTGTAGGTTGATGAAAAGCACGAGCGGCTAAATCGATCGACTCGATCGACTACCTCTGAATCGAGTCGATCCGTTAGAAGGTTTTTGAGAAGAGTCTGGGGGATTAAGGAGGACGGAGCGCTGGACGAGCCAGACCGTTTTATTTTAACACTGTTCCGACGCCATTCGAAATTTCAAGTTCGCCGGTGGAACATCGAGAACCGATCGAAACGATTACAGTATCCGATTATAGTACAATATTTACATTATTCTCAGCAATATCAGTATATATATACATATATCGGTATGTACCGTCTCATATCGGTTTTAAAATTGATCGACCAAGTAGTGGTTACGTTGCAATGTCAAAACGAATATCGGTACGATACCGAGACCGCACAAAAATGTCGGTTTCCCGGTCGCTAATGTTAACCATCAGGCTTTCCTTAACGTTTCCGTATTTCAGGAACACCCGGTAACTTTCCTAATCGAGTCAGAAGAATCGAGACTTCTCTACGGTCTTGTTCACTTCTCTTATCGTTTAAGATGTCCGGGGATGGCAAGAGCGTGTACAGGTCGATAAGAAGAAATGATCGATCCGCGACTATTGATCGAGATGGCGCGATGTTAACGGCGACGATGGATAAAGAAATGTATAAATTCGCTATCTGACGCGACTTCTCGTTTCCCGAGATCGAGATCAAATCAAGCTTGCATTGTCTTTGACGTTCTTTCGACGTGAGTTCGTTAAACTCCTAACTGAAGTGCAATTGTAAGATTACGACCATCGTTGTCCGTGCACGCGAATAGAAAATCCGTTTTTGTTCGCGTCTTTTGATCGACCAAGTTAATCCTTTATGCGATTGAAAATCAAAACAGGCAGCTACGCGACGCTATGAATTTGTTCGGTACACGTAACGGCCACGATTGGACGTAACTATTTTTTACGAGCGAAGAATCGTTCTTCGGGAAGATCGTCCACAATTTTCTCGTTCGAGTCGATGACATAAAGGGTTAATTTTTCATAATCGAGACGAAAAACGACATTCTCCGCCATTCTTTATGTTCACCGTAGGAGTAAATAATACCGTTTTTAGGTCGGGAACGACGGCGACAGGACAGCCGCGGAATTCAGTCCGTTAGCTTCTCTCGTCGTGCATAAGTTTCTCCAAATTTCTATTCTTTACGCGTCTCGAGAGTTCGATCGAGCCTGGTCAGTTTTTTTGGATACATTTCGCGACCAGGTCCGCACGACCTCGACTTCCGGTTACCCCTCCTTCCTCTTACTTCCTGTTTCTCTATCTTCTCACCTTTTCCCGCCGTAAAATGGATTCGAAACTTTAACCACCGACCAGCACGTTATTGTAGCGCGAGAATTAAATTAACCCGTTATTGTTATCGATACGTTGTTGTTGTTAATAAATCGAGTGTTGGTTCCAAGCGAGGGGTCGTTCCTCCTTGCGACACAGCCTCCTCAAGTACGACCGTTTCGTGGTCTGTCCTGCCGTTGGCTCGCCGAGTTCTAGTTCAATAATAAAACAAAAGGAAGAAACGAAGCATTTTTTAACTTAAAATGAGATAAACGAACAACTATGTTTCAATCGTTCTCTGACTTTATCCCCCAATATCGATTCTCCGTTTCGTTTCATTTTAACACAGGATGTCCGATGCAACTGGGAGAAGATGTATCTCTGAAACGGTTAGAGATACGGAAAGAATGTCATAAGGCGAAATTAAACGGCATCGAACGATGCACAAACTGAAGTATTCGATGGAGTTTTTTAATCGAGGTACTCGTGCCCTAAACCTAATGGTTCAAGAATAACAATGATAAAACGACAAGCTCGACTGATAGAAGATGTTGAAATTAACAGTTTGGTACAGTACTCGGAAAAAATAGAATATTTATTGCAAAAAATTTTGTTTTTATATAATTTATGATAATTGGTCCAAGGTAACGATAATTGTACAATTGTTTCTAGAGCGAAGAGTGACGATTTATTTTGTAAATTAAATTCGTTACGCGTCGAGGCTCGTTTACGTCGCCAAGAATCCACCGTCTATGGGCAAAGCGACTCCGTTGATCATGGAACTGTGATCGCTCAGAAGAAACACAACCGCATCCACCACCTCGTCCACTTCTGCAAATAGAACACGCCAATTAAAATTACCATGAAGATTATTGATAAACGTAGGACAGCTGGTTAGTCATTGATTTTGATAGACTTTCTCAAAACTAAATGTGAATCTTTCATCGTGTACAATTGATTTACTGTTCGAAAGCTCGACAAAATCGCTGACTAATCCCTGCAGTTTCACTGATCATCTCAAACATGACAATAAGATCTAAAACTGAACGCCTACCGCCAAATCGACCTAGCGGTATTTTCTTCAGCATTTCTTGCGCTTTTTCTGGCTTGCTCCAGCCTAGTTTCCCCATTTCCGTCATAATAACCGTAGGATTCACGGTGTTCACTCGAATATTGTGCGGACCAAGCTCTAGAGCCATTGTTCTGTAAAATTTATTCATAATGTACAAAAAGTGGAACACATAGGGCATCCAAGAAGACCGAATAAGTTGAGTGCTCGAACATTGTCAATATTTAATCTTGTTCTATTGTCTAGAGATTAATAACTCACTTGGACAGCATGTCTACAGCTCCCTTGGACGAGCAGTAGACAGCGTGGTCCTTCAAGGCAGCGTGGCTTGCCTGGGAAGATATGTTAACGATGCTACCGCCAGCTTTCCTTTGGATCATGTCCTTGGCGACCACCTGAGAGACATTCAGGATGGCCTTGACGTTTACGGCGAATGACATGTCGAAGTCTTCCTCGGTAGCCTTCAAGAAGGGCCCGAGGAGCGCCACGCCGGCATTGTTCACCAAGAGATCGATGGGCAGAACGCTTTGAATGGCTTTCTTGGTGGCATTCCAGTCGAGAAGATCCACGCAGAGGGACTGAATACTTGGATCTTCTTTGTAGAGAGTTTCCAGGTTCTCCTTCGTTTTGCACAGCGCTATTACTTGGCCCTTGTACTTGGAGAGACGGAGGGCCATGCTCTTGCCGATGCCTGTAATTTATTAACGTTATACTTATTAAATGGGCAAGTACTTCGTATCAATTACAACTGCTACGTAAAGACTATTAACGAGTAACGAGTATTCATACATTTTGTACCGTTTTATTCGAGACGTAAGCTAATATTGTAGCCAACGACCATTCCACGTTTCAATTCACCGGTTCTCGTCCGATCACAGAAGTTAAATAGCATTGGGCGCGGTCGGTACTCTAATGGGGGTGATCGTCTGGGAACACCCGCGTGGTGTCGCCATTTTCTTTTTCTTTTTTCATTTTTTTTCATAAATTATTTCAAATGAAGTGTAAATAATCTTGAACTTGAAAGAAACAATCAACTTGAAATGTCCCTTTTACACTATGAAATATTCCCTCATAAAATCAGACTATTTCTGCCTAAAATATTCTATTCTAGCTTTGGAATTAAATTAGTTGAGCAGATGTCTTGTCTCAAATCCCCCAAAAGGAAATATCTTGAAATTTATTTATTTTTTTCAGGGGCACATGTCTTTATTTTCTTCAAACGTTATCAAGAAGTAGCAAAAAATCTCGGTAATCTCAGCATTGAATCTGTCTTTTTAATAAGAAAAATATTATATGAGCGAATCTAATTTCTCTGTGTTCATTTTTCGTTTCGAATCTTGAAATTCAAACCTCGAATCGAGGAAATTACGTTTATCAGTCTTATCAGTGGTACAATTGACCTTTCAGGGCAAGAGTATAAATTTGAAATTATTCTTTTCATAGACGCAATATTTGTTGATACAAAACAGCGCTCTTAATCAAGGTTACATGTCGAAATAAAGTTTGTTGATTCAAGTATTATCCTGATTTATGCCTGGAAATTAAAATGCGTAGAATAGTCGGCGCTGATTGGCTCGATTCAAATTCTCAACAAATGGGCGTTCTCGTCTCGTTTAGATCGTGCATACGTAAGTAGAATTAAAATTCAGCGAACGGTTTACGTGTCTCATTCGGGTTTCTATTACAAACAAATTAATGAAATGTAGAGTTTAAAGCAATTTACATGGCGTGTACGCTAACTATATAGCTTACCTCGTCCGGCTCCTGTTACGAGAATACGTTTACCCTTGAAGTCGATGTTCATAGTTACGAACGTATTACTAGGCTACTCCGAAATGTTGCTTGTTAAATATGTTTACTCTGTCTGACCCCACCAAAGGCCACTGTCGGTGTTACGTGGTTATTACACACATTGATACCGGCTCTGATCATGACGACTGGTTTTATAACCAATCGGGCAAGACAAGTCTGCCGCGTTTATTCGAACTAGTTCGAACGATATTAATCATCAGAAATCTAATCTGTTCCATTTTTTTTTCATTTCGAACAAACATAAAAGTTTTTCCAATTTCTTACTGTTTGGCAGCACTTTAAGGTTTTTAAGCGTTGTTTAAACGTTTCTACATTTAATACTACGTAGAGTTAAACAAGCTGTTACGTGGAATAACGACGTTTCACTGAGAAAATTCGTGAAAAGTTTCGCGCCCTTCGTTTAAAAATTTCAAGGTTTAAAAAGTCGTATCGAATCTAATCGATTACGTATCGATGCTGTAAATTGACGATAGCGAATTGTGTATAGATAGATACCTCGGGTATCACGCCTGTCAAGTGCGTATCTATGTTCAAGTTTAAAAGTTGTATCGTAAGAGGTTCGTTACTTTATTTTTCTATCAGTGTTGATCGCTGAAGAGGACAAATGTTGTTAAACACTTCAGAAGTTTCGTCTTTATCAAATATTCTGAGGTCTTCTAAAATCTAACCTCAACGAAGCAACAGTTTCATCCAGGAGTAACTCCAAAAAGTAGAGTACGTTATTTAATTCATTATTGTTATTGTTTCACGAGTTCTAATCATTCTCGATTATAACGTTGATTCGCGTAATTAAGAACGGTGAACGAGAATTTCGGAAATAACTTTTACAGACTCGTGTTTATTGAGTTTGACAATCTATGATAGAATCTGTGTAATGCAAAGTATTTGCGATACAAGTGACAAATAAATAATTTTGTACAGGTTAGATCGATGCATTTAACGAGTTGTTTCAAGATTGCCGTAACGTTAGTTAACTGTCAAACAGTTAAGAGACAACTCCGTCAACATCAATAGCAAAGACCAAAATTATTCTTTGCGTGGTCACTCGAATTATGAAAGCAATGGTGTCGAGAGTTTTCTTCGGAAACGGCGGTATATTTCACCGTGCTTTGATCTTTATGCTCAAACTGGGATGGCAGTCACGGTTTCGTCTACCTATGCTGCTGATCATAGTCACCATCGCTATAGGGAACAGGGTTCCGTTAGAAGTTGAATTTGAGAACACAGAGTAACATAATAGTTTGTGATCAGGAGTTTAGGTTATTCTACTTATATAAATGGCTGATTGTTTTTTATTACGTATGAGATATGGATAAAAGGGTATCGCTGAAATCTTTATTACGTTCCATTGCCATATTCACTTGTAGACTGACGTTGCATTGGAATTTTATAAGCTAGAAAATAATTGTAGATAATTTTTAATTATTTTTTATGATACATACGATGAAAGAAACAATTGTGCCAGTATATGTCTTTAACACGCGGCATTCATATATGTTGTATCATTGTTTTAGACAACACGCTATAAATACAATAATTTTCTATTTGCATAGTTGAACACTATTAAAAAGCAAGACTTTTGTTCTAATATTAAGTTGTAGATTTGAGACTGATGACTATTGAAAGAGGTTTTAATTGTATGTAACAAAGTTGAATATAATTGAAGCAATTATTAAATTATAGTTTATTAGGATTATAGTACTGTTTCTTAAATCTGTAATAAGTGTTAAGATATTGTAAATGTATATGTAAATAAGTTGCATTATTCAGGAAACTTATCTGTTTTTAAAATGCTGGTGAGAGTAAGATTAAAATGGATCTTTCCTTTGCAGATCTATGCACATCTTTAAATATTTCATAGACTTAATAACTGATCAAGCATTTTAACTTTAGACATGAAAGTATTTATTATATTAGTGCACTGAAAAATGTAAAATACATAATCAAGGTTTTGGTGAGGCGAGAAAGAATGAAGGATAATAAAAAACAAACTTTGATTGTAAATAAGTTGAAGAAAATTTGTATCAAGAATATGATTTTGTTTTTTTTTTATTAATATAAATATAAGGAATGTTTTACACATTTCCAACTGTAATAAATACAAACATTCCTCAAAATGTTGATAGTATGGTTTATAAATAAATTAAATTGATGAGTAATATGTTTTTATAGTAAATGTAAAATGAAGGTAAGGTGTATACACATGTATCTATGCTCGTACATAAGAATAGTATTATGATTAATAAATATGATTTTTCATTATAGTCAGAGAGCTAGAAGGAAAGGCTCGCAATTAATACAATGAAAAACAATGAATTTTAAAACTTCCGGTTGATTCTTCTCTTTTTCATGTATAACCTTCGTGTCCAAACAATACCTAGTATTATTAGAATTGATAATACACATATGGTTGTTCCTAAAACGGCAAGCAGACCAGTACTAGAATCGAACATCACTGTTTTAGTATTGTCTAATACGTTAGCAACTTTCATTGTAAGATTTTCACTAAAATTTGACGTATGAGAACAGAAAACTTGATCTTTCCATCCGTACCAATGTACCATTCTTATGTTTGCTAGTTGTGGAGGCGAAGCACACCTAAAATACATTAAAATAAATGGTACATTTTCTTCATACTTTCGTGTAGAATAAGTTTAATAATAAATAAAATAATAGATATGTACCTCAAATTATTTAAAAGATTGGGCTGGTCGGAATAAAGTTTTGGCACCATGTCATCCAGCATCCATTGCATCGAACAATTACATTTGAATGGATTCCCTTGTAAATTAATACTGCATGCTATAGAACTAGTATTGCATGAAACTAACTTCTGTGTGACATAGTCAATTCCATTGTTGCTTAAATCCAACTAGTAACAATAAAATTAATTGTTCATTCGTTTTAAAATAATACTATAAAGTAAAGTTGTGAAACTTACAGAACATAAATTTAAATGCTCAAAAGCTTCTTCGTGAATCGTAGATAGCCTTTCATTATTAGATATAGTAAGATTGATACACTGCGTTGAAGGTACTCTTAATTTTGCAAATGTAGCTTTGTCGATAACTTCCAACATACTTATATTAGATGCCATGAATAAGTTCAAGTTTAAATCAGAGCTAAATGTTAAATTTTGTATAGGATTTTTGCCAACATTAAGTTGACGCAACAGTGGAAAATTTTTAACGGATAATGTTTCAGGAATAGAAACTAACTTATTATGAGATATGTCCAAGGTTTTCAAATTTTCACATAAGGTATTTGGAAAGTTTGGTAATATGTTTCCACTAACGTTTAAATGTTGTAGATAATTTAGCATTTTTAAATTTGTGTCTATTTCGGAGATTTGATTGTATTCTATGTTTAGTACTTCGATTTGAGACGGTTCATAAAGTACGTCTGTAATTAAATTATATCCAGAGTGCAGTTCGATTAAAGACTTTGGAAATATTCGGAAATTCAACGAAGTAAGGAAATTGTTATTTATATAAATGGTTTTCAATGAATTCAAATTCAATAGATTATTTTCTTCTAAAGAATGAATTCTGTTGAACGACAGATCCAAATATTGTAAATTTGTTAATGGATCAAAAAATTTATTAGGCAAATTGGATATGTTATTATGCGAAAGATCCAAAGTATTAATCTTCATTACAGTTTTTAAGTCATTATCATTGTAACTTAGATTCAAAAACAACAATGCAGGAATTATTTCTATTACTGAAAGTGACAAAGCATTTGCAGCCGTTAGAATTTTATCCGCTGTATTTTCTATTAAGTTAATATCATTGTAACTTAGATTCAACGACAACAATTCAGGAAGTACTGTCAATAATGAATCATCAAACGTTGTTATTGTATTTTTAGATAGATTTAAATCTTCAAGATTAGTCAGATTTACATACGTCATTACGTGTATTTCTTTCATTATATTTTCAGATAAATCTAAGCTCTTGAAAAATTTCAATTTTTTAATTAAATGCTCAGGTAAGGTAATTATATCATTTTTTGACAATATAAGTTTGTTGTACAGTACATTTTCATTTAGCATCAACAAATCAAAATTAATTATGTCGTTGCTTTTCAAATTTTTTTCATGGCAATCAATTATTGGTCCTCTCTCTACTGTAACGTGTAAAATTTATTTTACAGGTAAATAACATTTAAACATGATTGTACAAATACTCGTTTATTTGAAAAGTTAAAAGTTAGTTATAAAAATGAAATGATTTTACTTACATGTACTTGAACATGAACATGTTGAACATATGTCGCATACAGTACTGGATATTATGCATAAGAAGTAAAATCCAGTTAAACACAAGTAAATAACCATTGTATTAGTTATAATTTAGTTAAAATAATTTATATGTACAATACAGTTGACAATCACAGTATGATTACTTATTACTCATATTTAGTAGGGTGTAGCACGAGCTTAGGTTTGCTTGTGATAACATATCTGATAAATGTGTTTAGCTGATGATTCTATATCTACGTCACGATATCTTCTTTAATACCTAAAATCGACGAAATAATTTCGATCTTAAGATAACTGTCTACGAACTATTTACATTCAATAAGTGTACACTAATTTTTATTCGTATTTTATACAGGATATATTAATACTGTAAAATGTTGAGATAACAACATTTTATAAGTTATAGAAGGCGATATAGTATGCTACGATTTCGTAAAAAAGTTCATCAGAGTTGTTTGTTTATTGTTTTTCTTCCCTTTTGGTTCTGGGGGTGGTTCAGACACGGGAGACTTCTTTACTTCTATTTTTTCTGAATCATCGTCGGAACAACTCTCATAAACATGCACTTTTTTTGTTACAAGATATCCGTCTTCCTCAAATGTTTTATCTACCATCTTTAAGACTTTGTGTTTACCGCCTTCGATTTTGACCTTCGGTGGAGAGGGGGAACGCATTCTTATAGAAGCTTTTTCAGGCGTGGGTGGTTCTTCCAATGCTTCTTCTTGTTCTTCGTCAGACAATTCCGTACCACTGGAATCGCTCTGTATCATAATGCGTTTCCTCTTCTTCGCAGCAGTATCAGCTTCCTTGCTTCGATTACGTTTCTTTCCACGCGTACTTTTCTTTTTCTTATTGTTACTTTCCGACGTAACGTTCTTCTCTGTAATTTTCTTTACAGTCGAATTCTTGCTTTCCTTTACTTCCAGAGGCACTGAATTTCCAATTTTTTTGGCATTTTTACCTTGCTGTAAAAAGCTATCGAGTCCACCCTTCTTCTCAGTCTTCTCTGGTAACTTGGATGTAACTTCCTTAGACAATGGTTTTTGTATTTGATTGGAAGTATCCACTTCCATTTTCTTTGCATTAGATGACGTAGATGGGGGACTCTTTTGTTTGTTGCCAACTTTCTCAAACAAATGATTGAAACCCTTCTTTTGAGCATTTTTCTTTGCAATTTCAGATTTCTTCTCTGGACTCTTTTGAGCATTTTTCTTTGCAATTTCAGACTTCTTCTCCGGACTCTTTTGTTTCTTTTCTTTGATAGATTCGGTTATCGATTCTACTTTCTTTTGAGGGACAGATGGTATTTCAGTTGCTTTCTGTTTAGTACCCCAACGTAGAATATACATTTCTTCGTCGCTACGCTCGTTACATTCCAGTAATTTAATTGCACTATATTTACAGTCTCCATTTTCAGCGAGTCCAAGCATCTGTAACTCCGGAAGTATTTTTTGGAGACTATAAATGTGTTCGGATATAATTTTGGTAAATTTTTCTTTCGCCATCGATAGGTCTTTTTCTTTTAAAACTTCTACACGCATACCGCCGTCGTGTAAGACGCCAATCAATAAAAAAGTACAATCAAAATCTTTTTCTTCTTTGTACCGTTGCCAAAATTCCCATAAAATCTGCTTTGCAATATTGACATGGACCCCTAGTTCTTTGCTTAACCATTTATACGTCACCTAAAGGTATTTTAAATACTTAGTATTTAAAAAATAAAACTAGCTAGCGTACTACATTATATTAACGTAAAAAATATTATTAATTATAGTAAGAACAAAACTTTATATTGTATTGCAGCATTAGCATTAGCATTAAAAAGGTCTATAAAATTTTATTACAAAAAATAAGGCAAGAACGCTATTCTGTTTTAAAAATAAAACGTTAGCTTTACTTCTTTTCTTTATATGCCCATTTCAGCTTAGATCCTGCAATCTGTTTTATTGTACTATTATTAATAGTAATTTCTTTTTATTTTCTCAAACATTTTCAGCTGTAAACTATTATTTGCGAGAACTTTTTCATATTCATTAAAAAAACCAGTTTTGATCTATTTAATGTTTTGTTTATACATTTTAAGAAAAACTGCTCACCAGCTTATCGTTATCAAATATGTAACCGGCTACAGTTTCTAAATAATCGTCCAGCGATTCTATAATCATGTTTGATCAAATTTTTAGCCGACAGAAGTATTTTCACAAAATTATAAGATTTATTGGTTATTTGACCTGTTTTCGTAATAAACGCGCGTGCTCCTTTTATAGAGTACAGGACTACCAACACGTAGCAACGCAAAGGTCACTATAGCATACGTAATCGAAGGAATTTGTAATTTTGCAAATACTATCTCGAAGTAAAAGATATATAACCAGAAATTTATAAATTCGTAGCGTACTTGTGAAATGTCCACGTTTGTGCAAAGAAATTAAAAAAATAATATTTTACTAGGCGTTTGTGGTATAATAATTATACGATGGTGGCAACACTAATGCTGGTAAAAACTTATTTCAGAACCCAAAATTTTGCTAAATGAAACGGTGAGCGTTCACGTAACAAACAAACTCGGTTTCACAATTCCTCGTGGTGATCGGTTGATTAATTCAGGATATTTGTGAGTGAATGTTGTAATATCTTTATGTAAAAACGAAAGGGAGGAAGCATGGTCTCGGTGATGCAGCCATTCATGGTAAGTCGGCAACGTTGAGAAGGTATACGTATTACCGGTTTTCTTCTGCTTTTTGACAATCAAGATTCATTTTTCTGTTCCCATCGTAAAATTCGAAGGGATAAATGACTGTCTGATTGTATGACAGGATGTGGAGAGCTCGAGAAGTTACATCGATGAACTGTATTCGCCGGATCCCCAAAAATGCTTAGAAGCTATTATGTGAGTACGAGTTCTGCCTAACCTCTAAACTTGTCTACTGAAAGTTATTATTTATTTAATATGTTCGATGGATTAATGTTCAACGTTATATACGATGGGGATCTGCATTGTTTCTAATGAACGTGTTAAGTCACCATAACATAAGATTCTATTAAAACCATTAACAAGGAAACATTGTTGGGACAATTCTGATATTCGCTTATTTTTTCTGGGTTTTTCCATTAATTTCTATTTGCTTCAGGGCATTGCGTACATTGCTTCTAATTACAATTTATTTCCATTTTTCAGTTGTCTCAAGAATTCTGTGATTGGAAGTAACAGGCAGAAAGGATCTGTAATAGCTCAAGGCGTTGTACCTCGCTTATTGCAGCTTCTTGGGGATTCAACGGGCACAATTGGAGATCGTATAAGACTCGAGTCGGCAGTAACCTTGGGTTCTTTGGCTAAAGGAACGGATCAACATGTACTGGCACTCATAGATCTTGGTGTAGTGCCATTGCTTTTTCAGGTTTTATTATCCACACCTATCTCAGATGCACATTCAGAAGGAAAACCGAAAGTATCAGATTTGTTAAACGAGGCATGCTTACGTTGTTTACGTACAGTATTCCAACATCCAGCAGCACCAGTTCATTCGATATATCAAGATCCTGCATTGGTGCCGAGATTGGTGTCATTGGCCAATCGGTCTGTCACTTGTCAAATCTGCGTGGCAACAATTCTGACTACAGCATGCAAGGTAAAGGAATGGTGAAATTAACCGTTGATGTACAAGGAGCAGTTTAGAAAACTGCTTGGAATTCAAAGGGTTAAATATAATCGTTGAACGATAGAATAGCTTATAACATTAATTCGTATTCTTTTCGTTAGACAACGGAAGAGCAGAACGCATTATCCAAGGGAGGCGCGGTGGAAACATTAGCAATGCAATTGGATTCTCCATTACCTGACGTGCAATTATCAGCTTTGGCTTGCTTAGCGAATATGTGTTATAAAAATTACAGGGTATGTGTTATGGTAGCTTCAGCGACCACGAGTAACTCTATGCAAGGTAGACTTGTGCCTGTAGCATTAGGGCAACTAATGGGTCGCGAAAAGAGCTCCTTGATTCAACTTGAAGCTGCGAGATGCGTCACGTATATGCATAGAACTGGAGTTCTATTATGTAAAGATCCAAGAATTACCTATCGTGCTTTACCGTGTTTGGTAAGGCTATGTCATAGAGATCGTCCGCCTCGCGAAAGAGTGGCTGCAGCTGAAACCTTGGCTTTCCTTACCGAAGTTAATACCGAATTACAACGTCTAGCTTCCATCAGTAATCATTTAATTCCCACGCTCGCAGAATTATTACGACCCCATCCACACGTAAGTCCAATATTCTATCAACGTATCCGTTTTGTACGTTTGACATTGTTGATGCTTTCAGGTGCAAGATGCAACTCTAACACAAGACATGCGACAAGCTGCGTTCAGAGCATTTGCGTCTCTTGGTGCCAACGACGAAGATATTCGGAAACGTATTATCGAGACGAAAAGTCTTATGGAGCAGGTTGTGTCGGGTCTTCAGGATCCTGGAGGATCTCACGTACGTCTCGCGGCAGTTAGATGTCTACATTCTCTCTCTAGAAGCGTTCAACAACTCCGAACGACTTTTCAAGATCATGCCGTTTGGAGGCCGCTGATGCAGCTGTTACATGGAGCGGATAAAGGATTGGAGGGTAAAATATAATACTACTTTTACCATTCACTTCTAAACAAGAAAATGTATCAGTTCTCATTGTAATGTCCGAAACAAATTTACTTTTACAATATGCGCGGGGTGATCCTTATAGAATTTTTTGTTGCAAACTCAAATCGAGAAACAGCATTGCTTTTTCTTCATTAGTTTAAAAAAAAAAAAACATTAGTTTTTGAAGAAAAAATTACATAGTAAAAATTGTATTATAGTGTATATTGTGAATGTATTATTTATATTATATACTTTCCTTCAGAAAATTTTATTGTTAGAAATCTTCATCTCATCTTCGAATGAGATAAAAATAATGAAACTAACAGGTTCTCTATTCTAAAAAGGAGTTACTATTACTCGAACACAATATCGAAATAATTCCAGTATTTATTTCAGTATTCTATCCCTAACAATCGAATTTGTTTTTGCAACGTGAAACTCTGCAAAGATTGCTTGATGGATATTGCAAGGGAAAAAAAGGATTTTACCCGTTAAGTAGTGTTATTGGATCAATATACTTTCAACAAAATTATGAAATACTCTACCTTCTGGATTACTTTTAATTTTATGCAATTGTTTTTGTTCCGAAGACCTCTGAGAATATTTAATACTTTTGTACTCTCTTGAAACACAAGATGCACGATTTTGAAGTAGAAAATAATTAACCCATGTATTCCAATGATCGTTAATGATTAAGTAACGTTTCATTGATAATGTTTACTATCATTAATGATTAATGTAATTATATCATGTAGGTAGAGGCGAAAGCGAAGTTGATTTATTAACTGTTGCCTCGAGTACTTTATGTAACTTATTGTTGGAATTTAGTCCAAGCAAAGAACCGATTCTTGAATCCGGTGGAATAGAGTTGTTATGCTCGCTCACAAAACGATGTACGCCGGCGTTGCGATTAAATGGAATCTGGGCATTGATGAACGTGGCTTTCCAAGCTGAACAACAAGTAAAGTTACAGATTCTGTCTTGTCTGGGGACCGATCAAATTTTTTGTCTATTGGCTGATCAAGACATACCAGTTTTAATGAAAACGTTGGGTTTATTACGAAACTTACTTTCTACAAAAGCGCACATCGATCGCATAATGGGCGAACATGCTGCACACGTTATGCAAGCTGTTATATTAGTTCTGGAAGATCCAAGACACCCGGCCGATGTTAAGGAACAAGCTCTTTGCATTTTAGCAAACGTGGCCGACGGCAATCGAGCGAAAGATCATATTATGGCTAATGAAGATGTGCTTAAGAAGCTTATAGATTATATGGTTCGTAAGAATACTTTCCTTTGTAGTTTTAATTCCATTTTCTAGCGTTTTCGTTTTCTCGATTAGAATATTCCATGACCTTGACAAAAGTTTCAGATCATATACACTAATACAAAATTTACAAAAGATATTTATTATAGTTAAGACGAATGGGGAACATAGGTGACGTTATATAAAATAAATAGTAACGCAAGCTTGCATTTCATTTTAAAAAGAAACAAAAAGATATGAATTTGAGAAAAAAGGAAAATAATTCCCGCCACAATATGTGCTCTTTCGAATCAAACAAATTGTTCCTTAAACGTTTCCTCGTATCATCAACGATAATCAGTATAGTATAACAATATTTTACCATTCTTCTTGTATTACTGTATGATCAGATGTTTTTGTGCTTTCACGGCCATTTCTCTAATATACAATAACATTGTGTCGAAGCAACGGTAAGAATTTATAATTTTTGTATTAATTTAGATGCATAATAACGTAAAGCTGCAAGTCGCGGCGGTTTTTTGTGTGTGTAACCTAGTCTGGAGGGAGGAAGCTGGAGCTGCGCAGCGGCAAGCACGTTTAAAAGAATTAGGCTTTTACCGTATTTTACAACAATTACGTCAAAGCAAGGATCTTCAATTATTCGATAAGTACGATGAACAATTTTCTATCTTAATAATTGCTTTCTTTAAATTTGAATTCTTAAGATTTGTCATAAATAATTTCCGCGAGGTTTTGGTGTACGGTATAACGTTACAAAAATGTCTCTTAGTGTACATTCGCTTTATTTCAGGGTGAGAACTGCCATGGCACAATTCTATGATGTCTAAAACATCAAATACGTTACCGATGCAAATTAGGTTTTTTGATTTAGAATTCTTTTATACTTGAAATACAATTATATTTTGGTGTTAACACTGTGATCCTGTACTTTGTTAATGCATAAGCGTTTTATATTTATATAGAAAAGATACAAAAATGATGTCCCTGATAATGTAATCTGTTTATGTTGTATTTATTTTATTTAAAAGAGAAAGCAGTATGCAATATTTCTGTATATTTAAAAAAAAAAGAAAAAAGAAAAATGAAAACGAAAAAGTATGCAGTGCATAATAATTGCTTCGCAAGTTTTTCTAAACGTAAAATTGTTTGATATAATGATATTAAAGAAATTGTTTGAAAATGTCGTGAAACTGACGTAATAACAAATTGCAAATATTTATACGATATACTTTAACTTCGATAAGCATACTTTATTATAAATGCAAGTGTAGGAAAGTTGATAACTCTATTTATTATCATGAAATAATGTTTTTAATGTATTTAAAAGAAGTATTTAACTAGCACACATTTACAAATTATCAAATTTTACATCTTTGGTATGAAGCTTGAAAAGATACTTACGAAAATTTAAATACTTTTGATTCTTATCGTTTCTTTTTACCATTTCCATTAATTAAGTCTAACGAACTCGGAATGTTAAATTTCAAATAATAAGTACGAAATATCAATGTAAATGTACGGAACGGATAATGCTGTGAGCATTATCCCTCTTTGATAAAAATAAACTCTTCATCTCTTCCGATTGTTGCCATAAATTGCAACTAATCATACGTATCATGCTAATATTATGTAAGCGCTTTAAAAAATTAAGCAGATGCATTACTATCACTGGGAAGATTTTCCATCGGGTTGTTAGCTAATGGATCCAGTTCTGCGAATAAGTCCAACCAGGAATTACCCTTTTGTTTTCCAGTATTATGTTTCTTCTAGGGGAAAAAAAGGCAATACAAACTTTTCAGTAATATTGTTGCTCAAGCAATTAGTTTTTATAAAATAAAACCGTAAAATTATATTGAGAACAAAAGAACTAATACTTTACGATGAATAAATATTATTGATTTTTACTTACTTTGTCGTCTGTGTTAGCGGTAGATATGCTTTTTTGCCCAACACCGAGCGCCGCGTCGCCTAAGCTTTGTTTTAGAATATTTGGTGGTAAAAACGTATCATTTGATAACATTTCCCACTCGTTACCGATGTTCTGTTTATCACTGAGGATTTCATTTAGGAATGCCATATTTTCAGATGTAAGGGACTGCAAAGATTCCATATTTTCTACTTCTAAAGAGGAAAGATTAGTCAAATTAAAATTCGTGTCAGACTTATCAAATATGTCCATTCCCATATTTTGTTCATCAAAATTTTTGTGTGTTTTAAATTCATTCCCATCTTGGATGCTGTTAGCTGATTGTTCATTGTTACGAGACATATTGTTGTCTAACACCAGATTGTCAAAAAGTTGATCGAGATGGTCTTTGGTCTCCGTATTAGAAGTGGGTGGTACGATCCCATTTTTCGAGGAACTGGAATTTATATCTAATCCTTCTAATTCCAGCATGTCCTTTGTGTCGCACTCAATGTCCAACAATTTTTCATTTCGTTCGTTATTTTCAAACGAACCGCGGGCAGTTGGTTTCACTTCTTCGGCTTCCTCTACGTTATCGTGATAATCCGTGTCAAAAAATGGTAGCCTATAATAAAAAAAAAAGATTCTGTCGGTAGAGTAATATTTTTATTATTAGTACTTGTTTGAAATTACGACTCACTTGTCTTTGTCGTCAGGATCGTCGTCGCCTCTAGTTTCTTGAGCCAATTTACTCGAAGTTTCAGCAAGCTCTCTTACAACCATAAAATCGTACCGTTGATAGCCTTTAAAACTGCTTGCTATTGTAGAATATGCTTGTGCAGATTTTTTGGTGAAATTTAAGAGCGTGCTTTGGTACAAGACCAGAGCATGACTAAACATGTTGCACCTTGCAGCTGCTAACAAATCTACTTTTTGGAGACAATCTAAGGCTAAATTATCGAATGCCATCTTGCCTCTACATTAATAAAAATATAGTAAACGTAAAAGTATTTCAACATTAACAACCAATAACAAATAGTACATACTGTCTGACACGCGTTTGAACTTTGCGAAATCTTTCTAATTGTTTGGATGTGTCTGGGTCTAACTCTTGAGAAATGTTTTTCATCCACGACAGTGCTGCTCTGTACTCCGTACGAGCTTTCTCCATCGCTTGAACGTTTTGCAATGTATCTTCGATAGCTCTCTGTCTAAATGTTTCTACTTCCTGATACAATCGACCTAGTGGAGCTCTTAACGCGAGTCTTTGTTGACTAGAGTAAGATAATGATTTCCCAACCGCCGACATCATCTTGCCGGCTCTGGTCCTGTCCTGTTTACCAGCATCTTTAAGGAATCGTCCCATTGCATTTTCCTCCTGTGCTAGGTCTATATAAAATTTTGTAAATTATTTAGATCGGTTACTTTCGATGTACTTTATTTCTCAGACGAAAAATCTTATTTCCAAATGTTCCTGTAATTATCAGACTTACTGCATAATCTTTCTTGATATTTGTCAATAACTCTTTGTAAATAAGAGCAGGATTCTTGTATGCTACGGAATAATTCCAACTTGGCATCTAATTCCGCGTCAGATGCTATTATACATTCGTCCTCCTTTTTCCCTAACTTCTGCGATAGGGTTTGCTTTGTAACCCAGAATTGATGTTGCATTTTTGTAATGGCAGAATCATCGTGCATATTGGTCCTCTGCACCCAACAATCAAAAGCATTTCCTGATATACCTGGTCCGGTTCTGTTACTGAAAATCACACAACACACATTGCGGTTCATTTATGCAAAATGCTTTCGTGCATATTGTCCATAAAAAAATAGAAAAATAAAAACAATGACAGTCGTTCTAAATGCGTGGGAAGGTGTTATCTGTCACGAGCGATAAATGATCACGCACGCAACATTTTTAGCGAATTTAAACTTTTTTCTCGGATAACGATAATTTTGAAGAAATTATCAAAACACTTACTATGTGTTCATGATGGAAGACGCTGGTTTAAAATGCGAGATATGGTTAATGCTTATAGCTAGAAGAAACTTGAACGACTTCTAAACGCGATTTACGATAAAACAAGCGACTTACAAATATCGTATTTCTTTTACGCACATGATTACATTTGCAACGAATTAAAAGGGATTTTGGTGATCTTAATACTGACAAGAACACTGAAACATACTTTCGCTGTCAATTTGACAAATCGAGGTAACAGCACGTAACAGCTTGTATCTACACCAGATGACACAGATTCGTGCCACGTTAGGGGAAATTACTATTTTACTTCCCCTTCGCAGTACCTGATAAACGAACAAATAATGCATTCACATTAAATATACAAATATATTTACAAAATTGTAGTGCATATATGTATATTTTATGTCAAATTAAGATTTGTTTAATGTTCAAATATTTTTACTATACAAGAATGTATTCTGTTTAATTTATGTTTCTTAAATTATGTATAATTATTATTTTGGTAAATAATTACAAGTAGTGAATTAAATAATGATCATTCAGATGTAGATTTTTATTAAAAAAGAGTACAAGATATATAAATATTTAACTATAATTATTCTGGCATATAACAAAATGACATTGAATAAAATTCAACACGATGAAGGGAATAATAATCTGCTTTTGCGTTGTTCAATCGGAACGTAACAAAATAAATTTTAAAGAATAAACAAATTTCGAAATCGATACAAGTCCTACGTGTCCGAGACCGTTTAGAGCCGCTCCTGAGATCCAATTTCGATTGCATCGGAAATAATTAAATTCTCTCAATATTTAATCTTAATTCCAAACACTAAGGGTGCTAAATTTGAATTCCAGCATGAACCGATAATGTTGGAAACGACACGGAAATGGTAAGGGGGCTGGTGAGCCCCCAATCCGTGTGACTTGGAAAAAAACAGTGCATGCAACGTCTATTCTACATATATCTCGTCTGTGGTAGTAATAACAGTGACATTCATGCTAATGCCAGCTGCTACCAAATTGTTTCGATGACGCGCATATTGTAGTACAGTAGCGAAACTGGTGTTTGGATGACGTACTAGAAATAAGATGGCCGACATTCGCTCTATCAGCTACCAACAGCATAACACCTGTATTACTTCTCCAATGAACTTCTTATTTTACGCAATCGAGAGCTTTAGACTTTCATTAGTGTTACCCTAAGTATTTCTAGAAAGGAGTAAATGTAGTATACGAGCTCCGACAGGTATTAAAGAGAAATAGGGAAGTCAAATAAAACGACCCGTAAAGTAGGAACGTACATCTGAAGTATTTTCAGATACACTTGTGCAGGTGATTTTTCGCAAAGTGTTCTAGTGTAAAGTGTACATTGATTATTAAAACAATGGAATACGTATTAATAAAAGATATACGGCCGGGCCAGAAAAACATTAATGTGGTATTTATTGTTCTGGAAGTTGGCCATCCTACCATCACCAAAGAAAACCGCGAAGTTCGAACGTTTAAAGTGGCGGACAGTACAGCGTGTATGAATGTTTCAATTTGGGACGAGCCTGGTCAACTTCTAGTACCAGGTGATATAGTAAGACTAACAAAGGGATATGCATCTGTTTGGAGACAATGCTTAACATTATACTCAGGTAAAAATGGGGACATACAAAAAATTGGAGAATTTTGTATGGTCATAAACGAACAGCTAAACATGAGCGAACCGAACCCTGCTCTGGCGCAGCAACTGATCAATCAAAGTGGGTCCGGTCCACCCGGTAGTAATATTAACAATAGCATTACGAATAATGGAAACGCGAATAACATTGCTGGTCAACCTGGAAGACAACCTTTGGTATGTTTTCTTTAAAAATTATTTTAGTAATACCATAAGTAACGCAACTATTTCTGACGCCACTGTTTGAATTTGTTTTGTTATAGGCGATTCAAAGTAATTCAACAACACCGACTACCGGTACATCTGGTAGCTCTACAACGATAAAAAGTGGAAATGGCAGCAATGGTAATAGTAGTGGAAACAGTGGTAATACTTCAGGACTTCCAGGTGGATCGGCAAGATATTCCGGTGACACGACAACAAAAACAACAGTTGCAGCGAAAACTAATTCCCGTGGTCGCGGGGGATATCGAAACGGTGGACGCAGTGACCGTAGATAACACACAAATAAGAAACGGCTAATTATATATATCTAATAAGAATATGCAACTGATTACATTCAGGACAACTGTAATATACTGTTTTTCTAACAATGCTGTATATGTATATTCAAGAATTAATGTATACGATAGAGTCTGATTAAAATATAACATGAATTGAAGACAATCCAGTTAAGAAGACTAGAATACAAATATTATAATCATCAATGATTAAATATTTAAGTTATTTAATAGAAACGTCTGATTTACTTATCCGCAAGCTTTACATTTAATGTATTATATAAGTTCAAATCCGAGGTTTGTCTTCAAATCATACAAGTATCAAAATTTCTCACTTATTCTGATAAACTAATGTAATATGTGATATAAAATATGTAATCCGCATTTAATTAGCGAATAATTTTGTTTAGTAGTTTTTAAAAATATATTTTATCAAAAAGATGAACTATATGTACATACAAACACAATTTACACTGAGGAGATAGCAGTGAATTAATTTCTTTTTTATTATATCCAATTATTTCCATTTATACATTGTTTTCAGTTTTGATTCTCTTAACTCGGTGTACATTTTGCTTAAAAGAAAAGGTACATGATCATTGATTCTATTTGTACTCTGATCGAAATATTGAAAAAGTTATACGAAATTATATGGAAAATTAGACATTTACTTTTTTCACTTTCCTACTATATTTTAAATAACAATAATTTTGTGTTATCAATGATTATTGTTTATATACAATACACATATATTATTTTAATTTTTTCCTTAATTCGATATTTTCTAGAAATTCAATTTAAAATAATTTTTTTTTATCATTGTTTCTTCATCGCTATATCAGTATGTGGAATAAAAATTTAAAAAAGTAGGTATCGCGAATAAATCATTCGACATAGTAAGACGCATGCGCCGGCTGTTTCGACTTTAGAGTCTGCGCCTCAGTCTGCGCAGTTCGTGTCTGGCACGCTGTGAGAAAGGTGTGCTCGTAGTAATCGTTTATTTGAGGTTAGATCGGTGAATATTTCCTCCTGCGTATCTCCGGGTCGTTGATAATGGGTTGCATATATTTGTTACGTTGGTGAAACTTTTGGTGAACTATTTTTTGAAAACTACAAAGATGACAAAATTCTTGATAGGGACAATTTGTTAATAACGTGTGAATGTACTTCGTCAAGGCTTCGGAGAATACCACCGGCACGCTAAGGATTACTCGCCAGGGTTTTGACTCACAGGTACGATAATAGTTACGGAGCTCAATTACAATCATCTTTGGTGAACAGAAAAATTTCTTCAAATCATTCGAAAAACATTATTTTTGGTTATGACGTTCAATTGAGTAGTTCAATCAAGTAGCTACTAGTGGGCAGCACTGTTCGGTATCACTCAGCTGTTCACTGAAACAATAAATCAATACAAACTCCTGGCAGTTCATGCGGTCTCTAGAAAAGTTAAGACTGTTTGGTCTACGAAAGTATTCCTTTGTTATAAAATTAAAGAATTATTATTTGAACTAATACGATACTTTGCAAATAAATCGTTTGAATATAGTTTATCAAGTAGGACTTTAGGGCCGATCGTTTATAAATATTGCCACAGCTGACCAACTCTTCAGTACCCCTGGAAGATATATCTTCGGGTCTCCACTCGCAGCAACCTCCTCGTGGTGAGACCTGGTAATCGGTGTTAGTCACAACGAAAAGTTCTTGTGAGTAACACCGAGCTAATGGCTGCGAATTTAAAACAATATGCATAAATTACAAATATGGACACGCCTGCTTTTGAGTCAATCCTATAAAAACTGCGCGACTACGCAGACGTAGCTATGAGTCACAGTCCTGGCGAGTATCTTTCGCAAACAACGATTAGAACGAACATCCTTAATACAATCGTATTAATAACATACATATGTATACGCATGCTCATTCATAGGAATAATAAAAATAATTTTTTGTCTTCTTCAATAGTTAAAACATGCATACGTGTAAAATTTTCATTCATTATGGACTTTGTTTATATGTATGTGCCTATATAGCTCGAAACGTAAAATTGCCTGGACAGTCGAGATTCGAAATTGTGTGCCATTGACGCGAGGACGGCAGCTGTTCAAGACCAAGAACGAAAGGCTCCCATTCACGTTTATTATCGATTTTCCAAAGTTGCGTGAACGCTGACCTAACGTAACATGTGGCTCGTGCGGTAGGATATGCTTTCCCCACCACTCCGTTAAACGCTAAGGAAGTTCGTCGTTGCTAGTGTCGCCGTCGATGGGCTCGATTATGACAAATCTGGCTACACTGGCTTACGTAGGTTTTAGGTTATGTTTGTACATGGTTCCACATATGTATCGTGTATATCAATATCGAGGCGAGTAACAATGACATATATTTTAATTCTGTTTTCTTTTAATTCTCGTTCGCGTTTATAATTCGAGTGTATTGTACATTTTCAGAATGAATATAACAATTGTATCGTCGTCGTTGTATGGATATCTCTGTTATTGAATAAAAAATTCGATAACAGATGTCGAACGTCAAACGTAATAGTTTGTTAACAATTTTCATGTATCAAAAGGAGTATAAGACGGTACGTTTACGGTATTTGTTATACAGATAGACAGTATCATACTATGTTGTCAAATGTCATAATAATCAATGAATTTCAATAATTAATATTGTTTTTTTGTTAAATCAAGTAATACATAGGTGGAATGAAATTAAAGAAGAATTTTATTTTCTATCATTTTTTAAAATTAACCGTTATGATGCTTTGCTATATAAATTTATACTTACAGATTGTTTTCCTTTGAAGAATGACAAAGTTACATATAAAATATGAAATTGCCAAAGATGCGGATGACACGTCGGACTATTTTCTTTGGCCTGTCCAAGAAAGTTCAGGCGCAGTTAAAAAAGAAACGTCTGGTTGGAAAAAAACCGTTCAAACGCTTGTATTAATTCTTATTTATTTTATTTTGTCCGTGGGCCTAACATTTTATCTACAATGGCTTTATGATACATACGTAAGCAAGTAATCTTCCAGTTTATTCCAGATATTATACATTAATCTTTAATTATTGTACCAATGATTGTAGGGTTTTAAATTTCCTCTTACTGCGGTGATATGCCATTTAGTGATAAAGTTTCTCTTATCTGCCACAATAAGGTGTGTCAGAACATGTTATATGAGACAACAACAATTAAAACTTCCTTGGCAAAGCATAATATTAATGGTAATGCCGGTAGGCATAGTTAGCGGTCTTGACGTTGGTCTATCCAACTGGGCACTTTCGTTAATAACAATGTCATTGTACGTATATATTATTTTAAGTTGCTGGTAAAATAAAATACATTCGCTATTATATATATTAATGTATTACATCCAGGTACACTATGACAAAATCGACAACTATTATTTTCATTCTTGGTTTTGCTCTTATCTTAAATTTGGAGAGGAAGGTAATAACAATCATTATTATATATTTATAGAACATGACCAAGTAAAAGTATCGAATAAAACATTTTGTTACAGTCTTGGTCGTTAATATGCATCGTAGTAATGATATCAGGAGGTTTATTTATGTTTACTTATAAATCGACGCAATTTGAAAGTTTTGGATTTGCTATCTGTCTCTTAGCGTCATTTTTAAGTGGTATTCGATGGACCATGACACAGCTCATCATGCAAAAATCTAAACTGGGAATGAAAAGTCCGATTGATATGATATACTACATGCAACTATGGATGTTAATGCCTATTATACCGGTGATGTTATGGTTTGAAGGTACCGTAACAGATTTCCATTATTTTCTGTAATACATAAAAATCAATTAGTACAGATTCATATTTCTATATCGAAGAAGAAATTATTTTGTAGGATCTTCACTATGTAGTTATATACAAAGTACTAACTGGAATGATGTTCAATCTATCGTATTGACTACATCTGCTGTACTCGGTGGTGCTTTAATAGCTTTTCACATGGAAGTTACAGAATTCTTAGTCGTTACATACACTTCTAGTCTTACTCTGTCGATTACTGGTATAATTAAGGTAAATTGAAATTACATCTATTGCATGTTATACGTGTAAGAAAAATTTGTTTAATATAAATTTTTGCAGGAAATATCTATGTTAATCTTGGCCGTTGAATGGAAAGGCGATGAAATGAGTAGTCTTAACTTCATAGGATTGTTAATGTGCCTTGGTGGAATTATGATTCATACTGTTTCAAAAATATTGTCAAACAGGAACAGAAAAAGTGAAAACATGGAGTTACAGTTTAATTCTCCTCCAAATAGTAAATTAAAAAACGAAGAGGGGATTGACATAAACTTCCCTTTATTAACTCAAAAATCAACGTCTTTAACAAATCTTTTGAACGCGGAATTTAGCTCGGACGAAGATGATCCGGTTAAAGATCACGAGAATTCTACTCAGATATTGAGTGATATATTGCAACGTAGAGAACAGTAAATTGTAGATTATTGACATCTGTGTGCAATGAAACAAAATTTATTTATCATAGAAGCTATTCCATGTTCGATATACATACACTTTACTGTATTTTATACATATTTTTGCATATGAAGTTAATTATAAATCTTGTAAGTATTTTACTTTCTATAGAAATTGTTTAATAATTTTCATTAATAAGCGATACTTTTAAGAATGTAATTGACGTTGATGAACTTTATATTAACGTACCAAAAACTTTTTTTTCTTCTACGCTAGTACATTGAGTAAAAATAAGGATTTTTAATTTGATATTTACTTCAAATTTATAAACAGAGCTTTGAAGGAACATCTCTTTTGTAAGTAATGTTAATTGTATTTATTTAAAGATTTTCTACAATTGTAATTTAATAGTAAAAATTTCAGTCTGTGTTAGAGTTCCTTGCCTAGAAATAGCATAATTATGTCTTACTGATAAATAAGAATATTTTTTGTCGTTTTTGCTTTATTTACGAACATATTTTTATATATGTGGATATTAAAGCATCGATAAACGCACAGTATAATAAAGGATAATAAGAGTATTGAATGTAAAACGTGCATGTCGTAAGTTGTTATTAATTACGTCTAATGATTTCTCCGATATGCTGATTATAATTCAGTAACGTTTTATCGAAGCAACTGTAAAAGTTTGTAATTTTTATATTAATTCAGATGCATAATAATGTAAAACTGCATAACGCAGCAGTTTTTTGTTTGCGTAAACCTAGTCTGGAGGGAGGAAGTTGGAGCTGCGCAGCGGCAAGCACGTTTAAAAAGAATTAGGCTTTTGTTATTAATTGCAACTAAAGATTTGATATAATTAAATTACAATTTTATCAGTGAAATTGTAGTATACAGATGTAAAGTTGATGTTCAATATTCTTCTATAATGTGCATAAATATATATGTATGTAAAAGAACGTTTATTACTTAATAATAATTCTACTATGTTTACGAAGCATTCCTTTATAACGATTTATTTTAATATGTAAGTAAAACGCTATATTTATAATTTTTCAGAAAGTTAGGTTTCATGTTATGTGATATTCATTGGTTTTTTATGACATACAGGCTCGTCTGTATAATAACATCCAGTTACTTGGCCAAAAAATTTATTTAATTTATATGTTCTCATATCGAAGATGTTATAATGTTTTGCTTTATAATTCCAAAGTATACATAATAAACTTTGTATACATAAGTATGATATTATTTTTACTATTCACTTACTTCTTAAATAACAATTGCTATAGATTTTATTTATTATAAGAAATAAGAAATATTCGATGAGATTATAGTTTCATAATTTTATGAAGTTCGCTAAAACACTTTATAAATTCACACATTTGGTGCTTGTCAGTATATGTAAATAAATCATAATATTTGTATAAATATCATACGTAGAAACAATATATTATAAAATGATAGTAATTGTATTTATATTAAAAAATTTAATTTAATTTTATTTAATTTTTTAAATACGCGCTAAGTTGGTTTTTCCTTAAAACGAGACAAACTTATTTTTATATACAGTTGTAGTGATACGATAAGAAGAATAAATATGATATATATATATATATATATATAACAAAATCTTGATAATTACTCTAATATAGATTAATAAATAATTATTATCTATATAATTTAATAAATAGGTTTTTAAACTCGCTACTTAGCTTGTTTGATTTGATTAGTCTTTTTAGATTTGGCTTCAATTCTTTCTTCCAGTTTGTGAATCAAATCATCCAATTCATCCTGTGTTAAAAACATAAAACGTATTAAATTAAAAACTGTATTTTAAATAGTTTCGTTATTTGCATGTAATTTATAAAACAATGTATTTATAAATGTCGTTTACCTCATTGTAGGTGTACATCAAAGTACAATGTTTTAAAGCTTGTTTCTTTCTATTAAGTAATTGTATTGCATGTGGTAAACAGTAAACACTATCATCTTGTGAATTACTAATCAAGGAAACGAATAAGTTAGCTCGACAAGTTTCGCATTCAAAATCGCCGTCATCTTCTTTTACTTTTTTCCCTTTCTTTCGTTTACTGCTATCTGGCAACGGTAATCTTTCAGTGTTCGTGAGTCCCACAGATTCTAACTGTTTCCGGTAATTTATTTCCTTCTCGCGAATTTTAATCACGCTTGGTAAAATCTAAAAATATAATTATATGTAGATCAAAGTGCATTGTACAATATTAGTATTTCTGTTTACCTGTTTCATTACTTCTATGTGAGATCTAGAATCATTGATAATATTGAATAACAATCTTTCGAACGAAAAGATCGATGGCTCACAGCTGTCTTGTATGTCCTGTAGCGATGATTTACAATTATTATTTTTTTAACACACATGTTTAACAAAAGATAGAAGAATGTTTACTCACTTTAAACACTTGTTCAGCAGTTTCTAACCAGGATGGTTGTGCGAAATAAACACTTTCAGATACTACATAGCCAGTACATATACTTGACGTAAATGCTTTAGGAAATACGATTATAAATTGGCCTGGTTCTTGCACGGTCTGACACAATGATACTCCGTTACTAACCAACAATTCTGGAGGGACCATCGCAGTATCCGAAGGTAACCATATAGTCTTATTTTTACAATATCGCGGTACCATTTTCGAAAGTGCTTCTCTAAAGTTATTGTTATGTTCGTCTGGTATGCCGTACCAAATCTTTTTAGCACCTGTATGCAAATACTCTATCCATGGAAGACCATGGGGATCACGGTACCAACAACATGCGCTGAACAACATACCCACATGAAGCGTTGGTACTGTCACACCTATAAACAATATTATTACTTGTGACAAAAGGAAACAGAAGAAACGCAAAGAAAAGTATACATACCCATTAACGGACCCAAGGCTCTCAGCACTGAACCAGCATTATTAGTAAGTACTTTAAGATTCCATGGATGTCTAGCGAATGGGCTATTCTTGGCAACGGAGAATCCAAAACCACGACCACTGGAATCGATGCTTGCAGCATGCACACAGACGTGTCGCTTCCTTTCTGCAACGTGCTTCCAAAATGCACTTTCAACCTCATCGGCAGAAGCACCTTCAGCTTCGTTCCCAGAACGCTGATTCTCTCCAAACCACATACGTTGCGTGTTTCGCGCGATACGGTAAAAAGCATTTAATGGCATATTTCTACCCTATAAAATTAGATTAATTTCTATAGACGATAAGAAATATTAAAATATACAAATGTAAATTGAATTTCATACTTTAACGATGCATTCTTCGATTTCATCAGAGCTATCTTCTTCTTCATCTTCTTCGTTATCATTCACCGGTGCATTTTGCCTTTGCAAAGCTCTGCTTTCTCTTTTCATCCACTCGGACTCAACTTCATCGAACAGTTTACCTCTTTCCTCTAAACACATCATTTTACTGGTAAGCAAATTGAAAGATTGTTTTTTTAAAGCATACTTATATAGAAATACCTGGAGATAATGTATCGTACGGTAGTAAGTATTTACAATAAATGTCGTCTAATTTGGTTACACGGTCTTGGGCAGATTTTGGTATCTTCATACCGTCTGCTACTTTCTGCCATTTTTTCTTTTCGATAACTTCTTTCAGCCCGCCTAAACTTTGAACTGTTTGATATAGATGTGGTAAATCAACTTCCATACCACCGATCTGTAAAAGACATGAATGATTCACGCGTTAAAGTGAAAATTAAATCATAAACAAGAAATATTACCCAAGGCGGATGAGTCAACGTTATGCTTTGGGTAGCTAAATATTTCTTTATAGCCATCATTTCCTTTACGTTAGGACCCCATCTATGAAGCATACGATGCACATACTGATTATACGCGGTAAATCGCATATCATCCGACACTTTGCATTCCGGCTGTAATAAAAATTATTTCCTATTTATATGTTTTCGTTTTTAAACAGGTGTACATGTATCTTCATAAATTTTACTTTAAAATTCGGTGGCGGTACGACTCTGCATATTCCAAATTTCTCCGCAATTGGTCTTATTTTGTCTATATATTCCAGCGGATCTTGAAAATCTTTCTCACTGGGGTGAAACGTTGGAGCCTCGACCAAACGTGATTCATTGTTTTCGTGTTTCGCGCTTGGAAATGTGACGTTATTAGTCGGGGAACAAATTTCCATACCCTTCTGTTTAGATTTGATTTGACATCTGAAATTTCTCAAATGTAATAACATTTAACTCTGCGATATAAAAAAATGAAATTATAATATTACCGTTTCCCATTTTTATTCGAGTCGATAGAAGTTTTTCTTTCCCTGGAGGTTTTTGGTGATTTTGTTAGTTTCTCTGTCCCCATGATCCCAATATTTTGTCTGCTTACTGTTGATATTATACTCTCGGTTTTGCATGGAGAAGTTGGTTGAACTTCAGCGTTGGACATGGTCATAACCGAAGTTGTATTCGTAGAGGTAGATGGTACTGGATTATCTGTTGCGAAAGCAGAGTTTGGTGGTGTACGAGTCGTAGGTTGCACTGTGCCCACGGGAGGGCAACGTGCAATCGACGACGGAGGTTTGGTAACTAATTTAGCCCTCAAAAGAACTTTTTGATTAGGTCCGTTTGGTCCTTCGGTACCGAGTTTAACAGCTACCCCTTGGATCAATTGTTGCCCTTGAACTAAATTCGGCCCGTTTCTTGTAACAGCTTGCAAAGGTATATAAAATAGTTGACCATCGTTTTCATCGTCATTTTCATTATTGTTCTCCGTTTGGGTAGATATTTCCGTACATTTCTGTTGATTTGTATCTTTCTCCCGCGCTTGTTCTTGGGTCTGCGCACTCTCATCGAGATTTACTTGAACGGCTATCGAAGCACTACAATTTACATTACTCCAAGTTGTCGTTAACTTGTCTAATGGTAAAACTTGTATATTAGCCAACGTTGCAAAGTTTTTGGGTAATTCAAACTTGTTAACGTTCAGCATTGAATTCGACGTATTTTTCGATTCTATTTTATTGTCATTTCTTGAAAGAACATTGTTGGGCTTTTCCTTAGGCTCTGCCATTTCGCAGCTTTCTTTGATTATTTTTTCTATGCTTTTATTTGTATCACTCTCGGATGAAGTAATAGTCACGTTTGATTTATTGGAATCGCGAACTTTGCGCCTAAACGGAGTATTAACCGGGACTTCGGTATCGCTTTCAAACGCATAAACGCTGCTCTCATTTTCCGGAGAAAATGCGTTTGCATTGGGAGTTACTGTTTTACGCTCTTTTACTTTAGGTAAAAATGGTTTTCTAGGTTGAAATATAGATTTCTTTTCTGTTTGCAGTTTCTTCTCCGTAGACCCATCCATTGAATTTTGTTCTGATTTCAATGGTGTATCATTATCTTCTCCAAGACACGGATCTTTGCTCAGTTTTATATTTCGTCCTTTGATCATTTCTTTTCCGTCTGTATTAATCTTGTTGACATTAATAGGTTCGTTTTGTTGTTTCATATCAACAGATTGTATATCCACCGCTGCAATGGGTACATATTTACTCTGAATGCACATACGATCTTTTATATTTGCTTTTTCTGCTAATTTAGAAAGTGTGACGTTAACTGGTCTTACCAAATGTTGAATTTTCGTCGAGATAGATAAATGCGAGACATCAGACTTTTTCTCGCAAACGTCGTACTTAAACGTAGACACATTTTCCATTTCCAACTTACTTTCCTCTTTGGCGAAGGAACTTTCATTCAACCATTTTTCAATTTGTTCGTTCGACATGTTCACCTTCTCTTTTCTCACATGTAACGTTGACAAAGACATATCTAGAACGTTTGTAGAAGAAATTTCTGTTTTATGGTAACATTCTTTTTCGGTAGTGGCTAACAACGTTGTTTGAGATTCTGTTTCATCCGGCAACTCTGATTTTGTCTTCTGAATCTTTTCAGATTGAATACATTCGTCATTTGGCACATTCATCGTAGGAAGAGAAGTTTGTTCCAGTAATGATTTATTCTTATCTTCCTGCTCCTTAGATGTATTTGAATTTTCCACTTCTTCTTCCGCCTTAGATGCTTCCAATACACTTGTAGTTTTTTCTGTGGCAAGAAGATTAGCATTAACATGCGTTTGACATGAATTTAATACTTTAGATATTGCTTTTCTTGTAAACCCCCGAAAAGATTCTTCGTCGTCCGATACTTTCAAAACATCCACCTTCGTGGAATGTTTATCCACAGGCTGTTCAACTTTCTCCACATTAGTATTAGTATTAGCATGATTGTCATTGTTTTCATTAGCGGCAATCTGTTGATTTTGTTCGTGAATAGCTTTTTTCCTTTTCAATTTATTAAGCAACATCCCTAATGTTTCCTCATCGGAATCTGTATTTTCAATCACAGTAGTTTTCGTTTCTTTCTGTTTCGAAGTTGTGCCCTTCTCAGGTAACGATTTATTAAAACTTTGTTCTCGTTTACGTTTCATTACAAATTTCTCTTTATTAAACCTCATGTTACTTTGAACCTGAGATTTCGATTTAATATTTACAGTATTTTGAATCTCCATTCGCGAGACCACAGGTTTAGAAGAGGATCTAAGAAATCTACTCGCAGGTTTATTTAATTTTCCTAAACTTCGTCTCGTAACAGGCCTTGTATTATTAGTTCCATTAGAGCTTTCCGATTCTTCATCGCTATCTATCTCACAATATTTTTGAACCCTTATGAGTCTTTTACTTTTGAAGGTAATTTTACTAGTTTTAGTTTTCTCCGAACGTTTATTAGACGTACTCTGAATAGAGGTAATTTTACCATCTTTATTCTTTGTAATTGTTTTCGTAATAGATTGCTTTACTTTGGCTTTAATTTCACTCTCTGTCTGTGCAATTTTACGCGCGTTCGGTAATTCTGGGAAACTGTCCATAGAAAGATTATCATCATTTTCTAAGTCAGGGCTAACAAGTTTTCTTCCAAGAATTTCCATGTATACCGCAGCTGCTTCTTTTGTCTTTCTGGTTGGTCTTCTGCAAAGATTTTTTGGAGAAACTGTTCCGCTATGGGAACGAGTGATTCTTCTCATTTCAGATTTGCTTCTTGTACATATCTTCTTCTGAACACTCTTTTGCGTTGCACGTTTTACTTGCTGTACAGACTTTTCCGACGGCTCCTCCTCTTCTTCGGACGTTGACTCCGAATTTGACGTATCACTGTTCTTTTGTTTCACAAGAACTTTTTTCTTTGGTTTAGGTGGAACAGGTTTTGCTTTCGGAGAGGTCTTTTTCACCTTATCTGTAAGTACGCTACTTCGTAAACCAAGTCTCTTAGTCTCAATTCTCGGAAGAAATTTCCTAGGTGTCAATTTGTTTCCAGGTTTTAAAATTGCTCTTTCTGTACAAGATCTTGTTCTCATAACGCACGACGTTTTAAACTTATTTTGAATTCTTTGTTTAGCGAGACGTTGTTCTTGATACTTCTTCTTAAGCGCTTGTACAGTGGACGTTGTTGTTTTGAATTTAGTAATATTCTTTTGTATTGTATTCTGAACCTTCTTTTTATTCGTAACAATAGGTTTCATTTTGGTAATAGTTTTCTGACTCGAATCCGGTTTCTGATTTTCGATCGATGTACTGGTCAAAGATGTTGTCTTATCTATCGGTACACGTACCGACTTTGAATCTGATTTTTCTTTTTTGTTTCCCACGTTGAAAAAATTTAAGTTCGGTGGTAAAATTGATGTTCCTAAATAAAAATTTTAATGGAACATTAATTAACAAATTATTATCTGGGAAATTATATTATTTACAGAAATAATAAATTTAAAAACCTCTGAAGCATAAAAATGTCAAAAAGTCCTCTGTATTAGGTCGTTTGTGTGTTATTAACTCTGTTATAACTGCTGGTTTAGTTTTTTCTTTATCTTTAATTGGTGTATGCGAAGCATTGAAAACTGTTGTTGCACCTTGTGCAAATTTTCTTTGCGCGTGTACTTTGGTCCTATAATAAAGAATAAATACGACAATTAAGTAAAATTTCTTAAGAATTATTCAGAAAATATATTTATTTGCCTAACAATTTTACTAAAACCTAAACGGTGTATTACGAGCCAACATTTTTAATTCTATATTCACCTCTTTGGAGATTCTGAGAGTGGCTCCATAAGATCCACCAAATCCCCTTCTTTTCTTTTCCGTTTATCATTTCGACTCAACACCATTTTTCAGTATTATTAAAAAATATTTCTGTCAATTGGTAATGAAGTATTGACACAGATATATTCATCAGTGCTTGAAGGAAAATCAGATTTTTACATGATTAATTTTTTTTCATCGTTTTTGTAAAAAATAATAATTCGCAAACTATTAAAAGATATTACATCACAAAGAACGAGACTCGTGTCTTATCGTAAAATAAAAGAAAATATTTGATATTATGAAAAAAATTAAAGGAGAAAATCTGAAAATTTCTGTCTTTGTACAGTTGTTCAACGTTTTAAAGTAGTTTTAATTAAATGCAGGTAAACGAAGATCAACATTATCCACTATCACTAAACATTTCTTCTTTCTTCACACCGGGCAAACAATTGTTTATTGTGTCAAATAAGATTAAATACCACGCTCTGATCTATGGTTTAGATATACATAGATATGCGCTATAAAACGATATTGATTTCTCAAGCCTTGTTCACATTGCATACAGTGCATTCGCATTAAATTTAGCCAATTGAAAAATATTTTACACAATGTTACAGTGTAAATTGCTAGAACGTTTATTACGACGTTATTATACAACTGAATAATGATTTGTCACTTAAATAAAAGGGAAATTAAGAAGAATGTTTGTAAACAAATTTTGAAGAATCAATATCAGCTTCGTTATAGTGCGTGTATGTGATATCTTTTCACCGTGATTTTAAATAATTAACACCCAATGGATTGGTATATAAATAGATCTTTTATTTTCTTTGGTTTAACACTGTGTGTAGGATATAAAGGGCAAAATTATGTTCGAGCTGTTCGATTGTATTTTTTTGAACGAACTATGAACAAAAACTGCCTTCTTTTTTCTATCAGAGGCGCTTCTATCTCTATAGATCATTGTAGATACGGAAGTTCCCAACTTTGACTGTTGGACTGTAGAAGTGTGTAGTAATGTATGTGGACACAAACGCGTTCTAATTTCCCTAATCTCGTTATTCCTGCAAAAGTTTGTTAGAATTAATTTGATCGCTTGAACACCAACAAACAGTATAATCGTGTACCAATCAAAATCATCTTCGAACAAGTGTCACAGCCGTAGTTCGTGCTCAAGCGGTTTTTCTTTTACAGCATGAATAATAGTAAAAGATTTGTGGCGTAGTGAATAATAGTGAATCAAAATACAAAAAATGCGAGGAATGATTGGAACACCGATGAAAGGCCAATTAAAAAATTGTTGAAAATACAATTAATTCGTGGTAATAGCAGAGTCCAACTCCAATACTAGTACTGTACGAGAAACAGTAAAATCGCGGGAGTCTGATTTTGCACTCGATAGAAGGAATACGTAGCATTTCCGTGACTCTGTCTATCCAGTGCAAAATCGGACTCTTGACTGTCCTTGCTCGTCTTTAATACCTCTTGCTCGCCATAGTTTGTACCAGAATCGACTGTGGTAATAGTAATTTTTTTCTTCCGTAGCGTGATGAATTTTTAAGCGAGTAAACTTTCTTTGCATCAAATGATCTTTGTATATACACATATTGCTGTTTGTCAGCGTTTTAAAATGGCGGACTTGAACGAGAAATTGTTGGCAGATCTCCTCAAAAAACCTGGAAATAATGTGTGCGCGGATTGTGGTGCAAAAAGTGAGTGGGTTTCTAGAGAAGCTTTAAACACATTGGTAGAAAAAAAAAGCATAGCAAAGGATTTGTTTTAATCATTCTGTTAAATTATTCGGTGCTCGCGTTTGAAGTCTTGTTTTCGGAACTTCGTTTACATTGAAGTATAAAATGATGTAATTACATTTATAATACTGTGCAAATTAAATCAGAAATGCCGTTAAACGAAGTAACAAATAACGTTATTATTATTACTTATTGTCACTTTACTATGAATTGTTGAAAGAATTTCTTCTTGTAGTGTGTAGTTTTTTGGAAAGCTGTTAATTCTAATTGAAGCAAATTTTTATTCGATCGGTAATTTATTAGTTTCGAATACGCCTTAATTTGTTATATCTATAATGCATATTATACGAATAAATATAAAGGAAGCATAGGAAAATATACTTTACGCTTGATAACAGTTTATTTTGCAACTGTATAAAATAATAAAGAAATTTCATTTACATAGTTCGTCTCGTTTGTAACATTTATTTTCCTCTCTTGCTATACTACGAATTACATTATCTTATTACCGATTATTAACAAATAATAAAGATTCAGATAGAATGCTAAAAAATGTATTTTTATGCAGATAATTGGAATTAAATTCCAGATCCAGAATGGGCTTCTTATAACATAGGAATATTTGTATGCACGAGATGTGCGGGAATTCATAGATCGATGGGTGCGCACATTTCCAAAGTTAAACATTTGAAGTTAGATAGGTGGGAAGATTCTCAAGTGAATAGAATTAGAGAAGTTGGTAATGTAGCAGCTAGACTTCATTACGAAGAACGCGTGCCGCCCTGTTATCGCAGACCAAGTTCAGACGCACCGCAGTAGGTTGTTGCGCATACGCTTTAAATATTGATTTAAAAAAACATATATTTTTTAGATATAACGTTTTTTAATCGACAGAGTATTGGTGGAGCAATGGATAAGAGCAAAATACGAAAGAGAAGAGTTTTGTCATCCGGAAAGGCAGAATCATTATGTTTCAGGGTTTATGGAAGGATTTTTAATGAAACGAGGGAAAGAAGATTCACGCTATCATCCTCGGAAGTTTGTCCTGTGCGAAGCAGAAGATACTCTTAAGTATCACGTTAAAGAGAACAAGGTGTGTTGATATTATAGGTATGTTTACAGTCATACGTACTATAGATGAATTTAAAGAACATTTCTTTTATCGCAAGGAACCCAAAGCTGTTCTTAGAATATCAGAATTGAACGTAGCTTTTGCTCCCCCAAAAACTGGTAATCAAAATAGTCTACAAATATCATTCATGAAGGATGGTACAACGAGACATATCTACGTATACCACGAAGACCCGGAAGTAATTACAAATTGGTATCTAGCAATACGGTGTGCGAAACTACACCGTTTAAAAGTTGCGTATCCAGGTGCGACGGAAGCTGAATTACTTTCACAACTTACCAGAGACTTTCCGCGCGAAGGATTCTTGTGGAAGACTGGGCCTAGGCATACAGACGCGTATAAAAAAAGGTGGTTTACATTAGATGGACGAAAACTAATGTACCATGATGATCCTATGGTGTGTAGGTTTATTTAACAAATCGTTAGCGTTTCTGGAGCATTACACGATACTTATTAAATGTATTCTGTGACACTTGAAAGGATGCGCACCCAAAAGGCGAGATCTTCTTGGGTCATTGTTCAGACGGGTTTGCTGTGAAAACAGGAGTACCTCCAGGTGCAAGGGATCAAGGGTTTTCATTTACTCTTGAAACACCAGACAGGACCTATCTCCTTTCTGCTCAAAGCGACGATGATAGAACGCAATGGATGAACGTGATTCAAAAGGTGATAGACAAGCCACTTACCCCGCAAGATGCAACTAGTAAGTTTTATAGAAATAAAAGTAAGAAAGAGAACTAGAGTTGGTAATGCTTCTTCAGTAACGTTGTTTTTTAATGTGAATTTTATAGTGGCAGCGCGTCTTATTAGAAAACGTACAGCTAGCGGAACAATAAATATATTTTCTTCTACAAGGTAGGGCTGGATCCCACTTAGGTGCCTTTCCTAATTATTAAAAATCAATATTACCTAGACGAACCAATTGAACTATTATATTAAGAAATTATTGAGGAAATAGATTACTCGACATGCATTACAAATGTGTAACGTGTCGTAATCGCACAATGTCGTTAATTCATATAATATGTATTTATTCATAATTACGCACGTTATATCATATATCTTACGCGTGCATGCGCGCGTGCGCGTATGCGTGTATGTACATATATAACATTATAAAAGAATCTTTTAATCGATCGTAAAACCATTTTTAATGTTTTCACATGGCAATTGTTAATAAATTTAAAAAATTTAATTCTCTACAGATTATTCATAAATATATATATTATTTACTAAACGTAGCCTATTCAATTTTCTCTATTAAATTCGCAAAAAAAGCTTTATATTAAAGGATTCAAATCTATTTCAGTTTTAGATAGGAAATTGATTATTTCGAATTCTATTAAAAAATATTCAATGTATAATGAAGAGCTGGAGAGAATACCCCTAGATGGAATTTAAGTTTAGCGATTCAAGTTTTTGAAAAAGATTATTTCACTGTTGGTCGTTATTTTTTATTGAATAAACTAATGACTAATAGCATCATTATTACGAAAGCGCAATTTATGAACGAAGAAACGGATTTCTCTCATATTGTGAACATCACTCAAGGGCATTCTTTATAGCTTCTTGTAGTATGTATATATGCATAAGACCGAAGATATAATGTAAATAGAACATGGTGCACTGTTCGACGATACTTCTATTGCAGAATGCTTTTTGCTTGCTGTCGAACCAAGCTGACAGTATTATGCACTGCATCATACTAAATTTTTACAATGATATTTATTTACCGATGATTGGAAACTTATAGCTTTAAAAAATATATAACAATTCTGTTTTGAAATTATTGTAACGTATAGCTGGAAGCAACAAAATTCAATAACGTGTCAAAAGAATTGAAACGAATGTATAAATTCCATTCGAAATATCTTTTTATTCACGGTCATTGTCGATTCATTTAGATTTCTAAAACAAATGCAAAGCTTTAAATAACAACAATATTTTGTATGGAAATAAAAAAAACTTTCCAAGGCCTAACGATCGAATACATTTCATGTGTAACTGCAGAAAAAGTGAACGTACATAAAAATAGAGTTGAAGTTCTATGGTACACATTGTATTGCTATAAATATACATACGTATTATATGATCGATCTGTTCTAATTTTTGTATGGACAATATTAGAAGTATTTGTAAAAGTAATATAGATATAAAACGATTCAATTTCCTTATAATGTAAGATATCAAAAAGACTGTATAGAATGAAGAGACTAAAATACTTTACACATATGCGCTTGAACAAATTCGTATATACACACGCGCGTATACATACACGCTAAAGAAATAAAAATATTTTAATTCTCTGAAAAAAATGGAACTTTCAATAGCAATGATTATACATCGATAACATATACTTCGTGTTACATCCCAAGAGGGAATTGATTTTGATCTAGGAATCAGCTGATCTATTAAAAAACCGGGTGGACACTGTGCAGGATTGGGTTTAAGTGGTACCTTCGATCTCTGTTGAGATTATTGGGAAAGATTTTAATGGGCGATTCTAGAGGCAAAAATAAGAGGAAAATCAAGAATATTAATTTGTTGATTTAGGCTTCGTTAAAAAGTTATTAACGTTTAAAGTTCCGTTCGTACTGAATTTTTTTCTCGAAAATGCGCAGGATTTCGGGGGTATGTGTAACGACCAAAAATGATTGTAATTGACCCCCGCAACTGAAAATAATTTTTTTAGAACGATTTGAAATTTTTTTTCCCCGGTCGAAAAATTTCGCACCTTCTCGAAATTTTTTCTAGAAAGTGGGTAAAATTTCGGGGGTATGTCTATCCGCCAAAAATAATTGTAATCGACCCCCGCAACCGAAAATAATTATTCCAGGACGATTTGAAATTCTTTTTCTCGTCTAAAAATTTAGGCAATTAGATTTTCGGTAAGGAATTTTTTTCTCGAAACTGGGTAGGATTTCGAGGGTATGCCTATTCATAAAAAATGATTGTAATTAACCCCCGCAACTGAGAGTAATTTTTCTAGAACAATTTGAAAGTTTTTAATTTAATTTTTTGACAACTATTTAACGAAGCCTCAATTAGCAAATTGATATCCTTGATTTTCGTCTTAATTTGGCCTCTAGAATCTCCTATTAAAATCAGAGCGCCTCCAGCCCTGGAGATGCATCCAGAGGCCTTGAACTCGAGCATAATCTCAGGCCGCGAAAGCCTTAAATCTCAGAACAGACTTTGTATTATATAGAAATACATGTATCTATATCTTAGAGTTTATTATCATTTTTTACAACTAATAATACGATGTATTTAAATTAACATTCATTAATATTGAGAAAAATTAACATCAAAAGATATAATGTAAATACTTCCTTATGCGTTACACTTTTATACATATGTACATTGTATGAGACTTTGCATCGAAAACCATTTAGCATTACAGCTTTATCTCAGACAATAACATTACATGCGTAAATTAGTTTTGTCTTTTTAATGACTTTTACATAGAAAATGATTGTAATTGCTCGTTTAGGTAGGATATCGATTATTTTACTGCTGTGGTTTATCGAGATTTGGTAGGAGAAATTAATAGTTCATCTTATTATTTTGATCGCACTTGGATAATGGAACACTTTTTAAGTAACAAAGGATGTTCACCCAACAAAAAGCAGCGACGCTAACAAAGGAGACTCGCAATGTTGGTGGTATTAGTAGGAAGTTTAAAAATTGTACCGGTAACCAATACATACACGAGGTCTAAAACAAAATGATTCGGTTAATCGTGAACTTGTCTAATGTGTAATAAAATATAAATTCTTTTCGTACCTTGAACGTTTGAAGAAACTTTACTTTACATTCGCCAAATATGTCCGATTTACTTTCCATTATGCTCATACCTAAAACATTTATTGGATTAAGGTACCACTACACCAGGGTTCAGAAATTTAAGAATACAAATGAAAATAGAATACAAACTGATGAAAAACATCATAAGTAATGGTGGTGTAAGAATAAACTGATCGGTAAAAAGTTTTATGAGAACGATCTTCATTGTTTTGCCTTTGTAGAACGCGTCCAGCCATTTATACCTGATAAAAAGGGTAATTAGTATCGTTTAATTAGTTTCCCGTTGATGTTTTATTGTTGAAAGAAAAAAGTGTTCTTCAACGGATCACGCGTGAAAATAACTTTCGATGATAGTTTTTTATATCGGTCATGAGAATGCATTAAAACAAATAAAGAGAGTTTCTCAGCGATACAAATGGCAAAGCAGAATAAGCTCACCGAAGGTGACAGATCGAGAGAAGACCAACGTGCCGGCGAATGCATATTGTGCAATCGCCATCCAGTCGTGAGGCAGTTTATCTGATACTGGTGTCTATAATAGAAGGTGTTTAAAATAGATTCCGCCGTGAGAGTCACATAACAATTAATTGTTCGCAATAATTAATGTTTTTCTGTATTAGAATGCTGTACCTGGTTCAGTCAGTCTCAAAAGCTGTTTTGTTTATAATCAAAATTTCATAAGAGAATGAAGAAGTATGTACAGATACTTAACCAGAATTTATGAAACGTTTTTGCGTGAAATGCGCAGCCATCGTCAGAGTTCTATTAATATTTCTTTTTATACGGAAGCGAAAATATATTCATAATAATTAACGAAAATATTGTTATTTAATGACACTAAATTTATTCGAAAATGTTACCCGCGTCTAGATCGAATAATAGCAAAAATAATTGATAATATACGTGTAGCGTGCGTGTAGTATTTAAAGGTGCGGTATAATGTAAAAGCGAAACATGATGTGATATCAAAGCATTCTATAGAAAAGCATTATAACGTGTAAATACCATCCATGGAGTACTGGTCCAGCAACGAGACAACCGTAGATGGCGTATCGCTTAAGTTGGGCCCAATTGTAATGCCCCGATTGCGTCCATCTTTCTTCGTCCGATAAGCCCAGTGTCTCATTGAATTTTTTTATCCAAACGAACGTCGATCGTTTGCTATCGATCGTATTTAACTCTTCGACGTTATTCGAAGTCGACGGTGGTAAAGATAACTGCAATCGTGACAATTCACCGATTAAAATGTACGAATAAACTGAGAAAAATTGTCAATGCTATTATAATTCTCATATCCGGTTTCTTCTTTTCTTTTTAATACGAATTAAATTAGAAAAGAATTTAAAATATGTAGTTCTAATTCTACCGCAGTGTTTCAATCGATATCTTCTAAATTGTATTGCACACTTATTATAATTAATTTCACCATGCCGGAATAAGTATAATATTACCTTGAACACTCTGCTGTAGGTTTGCTGAGCAAATTCGGCGCCGGTATAAAAAATGCCGTATATTACGGAATTGAAAAGTAGGGGCCTTTTCTGCATAGAGTTCTTCAACTTTGGCACTACTCTTGACATAGACATGATAATCTATGACCTTGAATCGATGTATAGTTTCTTTCCGTGATTTTTCAATTCTTTCTGCCCTTCGTGTTATCTGTAAATTAATATTACATTACACAGCCAGTATAGGGCATTTTAAAATAAATTGAACAAAAAGAGTTTTCATTAATCGTAGATTTATCGTATAAACTGCATTCTCAGATTTGTTACCGATCGCCGTGACTTCCGTTTGACTTATTTCCGGTAGACATAAAGTAATTTTAATTTTTTAAATAATATCCAAAAAATAATGTACCGATAATAACAGTCGATCTTGCGTTATTTAAATACGAATGCATAGTAAGTGGCTGTATGTGCGAGCATAACAATTTATACACGAGTATGCGAAATAGCGTGGACGATGAAAGCGAGTACCGCAATGCGGCAATTTTCACAAACAGTGGAGAACGAAATCAGTGTTAATCGCGCAATTGAAAAATTGAACAAACGTTTAATTCACAGAACGTTAAACAGACAGTCATAAATCTAATAAAAATACAAGATTGATATTGATATTTTCTAAAAAGCGGATTAAAAAATCGATCATCTAAGGGTCGACAATTTCGAAGTAAAATTTAATTTTTAGTTATCTCCGTATCGAGCACGTTTCGACAATCGTATTCTTTATTGTTATCTTTGCAGATAAATATTATCTATAATAAAATTTAATCCTCGAATCTATATAAATCGATACATAGATATAAAATTTGTTAAAAGAGCAATACATACCTTGTGTTCTTTGTACTTTTCTGTGAACACTTTTCTGTCTCAAACTATAATACCGATCCTATTCTTACGAATGTTTTTTATCGAATGACACGTGCTTCTATTTCATCATCATCGAAAGCGTGTACTTTTCAACAAAATTTTATAAATTATAATCGATCTATCTACTGTCTATCGAAACGATAAATTGTACGTGATTCAGAAAAGTTTTAAATTTTTATTCAGAATTTCTATTTTCGTTGCTAATAGCGTTTAGACGAACAATTTACACTATACTGTTTATGTTTCGTAAGCAGTTGCGATATCGATACACGTGCCGATAACATGAGCTGATCATACGTACTTACATACATGTAAGTCGAATAGTTTTATTTGTTCATAATTCTCTAAATTCACTTCTTGTTTAGAATTCACGATACTGTTATTTAAATAACACAAAAACTCACGCGAGAAAGTTGTTCATCTTGAGCGAACGATAACTGTCTTTTCGTTTTCTCCGTGTTCTCGATAAACTCGTAAAATATATTTTAAAATGTTTTCTTTTACAATTATTACACAATCAGTTTATGACGCGTCACAGAACTTTGATGGAAATTCAATAAATAAAAGAAGAATAATACTAACCTATGCGGTTCCAATAACTCGCGTAATTTACATTTAATATATTTCCCGTTAATTACTGAACAGAGATGTATCGACACGTTTGGAATACTGCTCGGTCATATGCGCGTAAGATGTGTACGCGATAACACACGTGTAACCGGCTATGTCCACTTTGAACTAATCAAAATCAATCACGTCTCGGTTACATCAATTTAAAGCAACTCCGATGCAGAGCGTTATTCGGTAAATCGTATACTCTATCAATGGTAAACGCTTAATTATAGACTATCAAGTCGCTGTTGAATACAAAAATCGAAATATGTAATGTTCGAACGATGTTCTCTCGAATGAAATTAAATTTTATTAACACATTGTGCTATTTGAAAATGTGAATTCTAAGAACATACATGAGTTACAATGATTTTAGCACAGCTAAACTGCAGGATTGATAATGCGTAGTGTTTAAAAAACAAGGTAGAATATTTATTACGAAAATCTTGTCTTTTTGAAATTTGTGGGCATAGACAGTAAATGTGTTAAGTATGTACGAAACTACAAACGATACAATTCTTCTTCGTTGTAAACTTTATAACAAATGGCACCCATAATTTCAGAATACAACCAATCTTTCCACTTTTGATTCACAACTTTCTCAAAGGTGTATTCATGGAAAATTTCGCTTTTTTCTACCTGTTTCAAAGTTTTAAATCATTATTATTGTAATGTTATCCCTACAGAACATGATTTTTAATAATTTACCTTAGAAAATTTTAACTTATCAAACATTTTTATACTTTTCTCATTATCAAATTTAACCTTTGCCGTGTATCTAGAGATATTTAATTTATTGATTCCTAATAAAAAAAAAAGATGCTTTTTTTAAAAATGTAACAGACAGCTGATTAACGGACAAATTAACGCAAAGTACATACCGTGAAGTAACATTAAAATTAATGCTTCCCAACCCCTCTTCTTACCCCTGTAAGCAACATCTGCTATCATAATTTCAATTTCTGCGCTATGTGGCTGATCCACTTCATTGAAAAACAAATTTGTATCTCCGATCATAGCTTCTAAAATTGATTGATTGTCAGTATATAAGGAAAATAATAACGACGCATTTAAACAAAGATCTTTTATACCTATCTCGTTTTTCGTTGTAGAAAGAATGCTTTTTTCCAAAATGATAAATGTACATTCTAAAACAAATAATAATACATATTCGGATCGTAAATACGTATCTGACGGACTGTTACTCACTGTCCTGATCTTGATGCCATTGTTGTTGCATTTCAAATTCTTCATCTAACGTTAAAGCTTCCGAGCCTGTCAAGTATCTTAATTCGGCCGATTTCATCCATTCATGATACCTGAAAATAGAACAATGCTCGATAATTACTAATATTAATCAGGAAATTTTAATAAGTTTCAATACTTGTAGAAGCGTAGGGCACTTTAAAAATGGTGGATATCTTTGTCAATACAAAATGTTGTCGACAATCGATAAGAGGTAAACGATACCAGCCTTTTAACATGTTTCTCTTTATAAGGTACTAAAATCACATTAGTCCCAATAATTTTAGTAAATTCATTGTCCTTCATAGTTTAAAGCCAGTAAGTGTCGAAATTATTACGAAAATAGTCCGACTATCAGGTTTTAAGTTAAAGAGGTTACATTCGTCTTTCTGCCATATTGGATGCAAAGTTTGCAACGATATGATCTACGGTTCTTAGCGAGTAAATTCACTTTTCTTTATGCATTTGCTGTTTGTAATCGTAGCACGAGGAGTAGCTGTTGAACTGTAAAGTTATTCAAGAAAAATGGCTTATAATTTCGCGAGTGTACCAGCGGCCGCTATGCCACCAATGGGTACGTTCAAAATTCATAACCGTACATATTATATCGGTTCGTTGTGTTTTGTATCGCACAGGGAAGGATTCGATGGTTTTGATGCATCATTTAATGTTATTATCTTATCACAATTTAACGTACGATTGCAGTTGTAGAGGTTACATACTTTTAGGTATGAGACCAATGGGGCCGCTCGCTCAGATCACAGGTCCACAAGGTTTCATGGAACTTGCGGGTCAAGGATTTCCACCTTTACCTCCGCCGATACCACTGCCTGGAATGAACGATTCCCCTTTAGAGTTTAGTACGAATAAAAATCAACCACCGGTAGTTAGAGAAACCTCGGATGATAGCAACGACAAAAGGAATGAAAAGAATGACGTTAGACGAGACAGAGAAAACAGGGATAATAGAGATAATCGAGATAATCGAAGGTTTGTAGCTTGTTTTCGGGTAATACTTTGCAGTAACGTTATATTTTTTTATGTTCCGTTCGAGGTAGGTCTAGGAGCGAAAGAAACGATAGAAGGGAGAGGGACAGGGAAAGAAGGGAAGAGCGGAATGAAAGAGATAGAAGGGAAGAACGGAGACCGGAAGAACGGAATAGTATAAATTCTATGAGTAGCAATAGTAGTCATAATAATAATTCAAATGGTAATGAAATTCCATCGTCGTCGAATACCAGTGGTACGCCAAATTTAGGACCACAAATGGAACAAGCAACCGGAGTTTGGGGAATGAGCGTAGGCTATCCGGTAATGAGAATAGGACCGATGGGACCTATGATGAGCGAAATGACCCTTGGGCCTCATATGGGACACACTCACAGCTATGGTCCCATGAGCATGGGAATAATGCCGCACGATGGTGGTATGATAAGCGCTCCTATATTAGGACCGGAACAAATAATGAACGACGCGGCTCAAATTATGAGCAGCGCTTTACCACCACCACCTACAACACCGCAAGGTTCCAAAGAAATTATACATTACAAAAGTTGTACTTTGTTCCCACCAAACCCAAATGCTCCACCGCCAACAACCAGAGAAAGGCCTCCAGGGTGTAGAACAATCTTTGTTGGAGGTATTTTCTTTTTATTTTGTTCGTACACTATAGAAAATTGTATCTCACAAAAAATCCTGTCTTATAAATTTGTTGTAGGTTTGCCAGAAAATATTACGGAAACGATAATTCGAGAAATATTTGAACGATGCGGAGAAATAACGACATTACGTTTGTCTAAAAAGAATTTTTGTCACATACGTTTTGTACTTGAGAACAGCGTTGACTTGGCCATTTATTTGTCCGGATACAGAGTTAGGATAGGATCCAGTGGTGATTCTGCGAACACTGGCAGACTTCATGTAGACTTTGCTCAGGTTCGTAATTTATATAGGTTTCACGTTTGTAAAGTATTAGTGTAATCGTTGAAATGTAGGCCAGAGACGACCAGTACGAATGGGAATGTAGGCAACGCCAACTGCAGAGGGAACAACGCCATAGAGAAAGAGTTGAAAAGGAAAGGCAAAGGGCGCCATCCAGTCCTCCTCCGGTGGTGCATTACACGGACCACGAAGCGTCAAACATTTGCGAGAAGATTAAACAGGACGATACATTTATGAAAGCGGTACAAGTGAGTGACATCGATGTAATTGTATTATATTTGTTTTAGAGAGTAGAACTTTTGAACTTAAAAAAATTAAATTGTTTCAGGTTGTCGTAACGTGGTTGGAACGCGGAGACTGCACGAAACGCAACGCCAACACATTTTACTCGATGATTCAGTCGACAAATTCCCACGTTCGGCGATTACTCACGGAGAAAGTTACGTACGAAGAGGAGCTCCAGAAGGCGAAGGAATTAATGAAGGGCAGGATGCAGGGACTCCTAATACAATGTACGTTTATGTATTTCATAATTTTCTTTTATAATATAGCTCTGTGCCAATTGTACATTTTTTGTGTACACAAGAGCAAATCTACACACATATTGCTTTATCTGGTAAGTTTTTTTACCATAACGTAAGGATCCTGCTATCCTTTGGGTATTCGATACAACAACAAGTGCCAAAATGCGATTACATCAGAGTTACATTTAGCGCGTCTTACAATAACGAAGAGCGCGTACCTCTTGTCCTTCATTGGTAAATTCTTCGGTACTTGGTAAATTCTCAGACTAAGCGCACTATAACAAAAGCAGAATTTATTGTTATAGTAATTACAAAAGGTACGTTATTTCTGGTATTAAAAGTTTTGATATTTAAAGAATAATACACAAGATCCGGAGCACAATTTTCAATGTTACAATTTACATAGCTGACCGTTCGATACATTTAATCACGACGAGTCTCTTAAAAATTTCATCCTCATTGAAATTTCAACATCAGGCGTATTGTAAGAAATTTATTACGTAACAAGTGTATTGTGGTCGATGCACGATCAGGACAACTCGGTAGAAGGATCAAAGACAGTAGGAGAAAATATAAGGTGGGTGAAAGAAATCCTGTCTTTCGGTTCTAGGCTCTAATAATTGAACGAAAAAGCACAAATATCACGAAAATTCATTTTATAGAGATATAGTGTACCTAAAAGTTGCATGCTTGCAATGCTAAGGATTAAGGGTGATGGGCAAAATATTTGTTGCGAAAATGATATTACGCTACGATTCTCAATATAGTTTGTTCATTGATCGACAAAATGTTTACGAGCAATTAAAATCACATTGTATTATACAATTTTCTTTTACTTTGTGTAAAGATCGTTAATGAAATCGTGGCTTAAAATCATCCATAACGTCGGAAGGCTCTACATGTTGTAAGTTGTTAGGCAAATAGTGTTCATTTTCCAAGGAAAATAGACACAGATTATGACATATTGAAAAGACTGATTGGCAGCCAAGTTGCAAGGAAAAGGATCCTCAATATGGTGAAAGCAGTTTTCGAAATCGTTACGTTCGGATAAGTAACTTGACGACACCAATTACTTAGCACGATACCTAGCAGACATTGTATACGATCAAATAGTAATAGGTTTAACCAGGGTAATCATTTCAAATGACGCGTGCAAAGGAAACGTTCGAATCTGAATGATACAGGAACGATTCCGGGAACAGCACCTGACACTGAGCATATTGCAAAGAATGTATTTACGAGTGTTTAGACGATTATTAACGAGTAACATATTAGACAAAAGAACGTAGAGTTTAAAGCAGGGTATACAACAGAAGATTTGTTGTGTTTTTGTATGCAACATGCGACCATGTCACCAACAGTCAGTCAGATTGAACGCGTCTTTACTGCGGCCAGCCACAAGAAGGTCTGGGATCACTTCACAAAGGCGCAACGGAAGAACATCGAAATGTGGAAGAAACAATCCTCGGTATGTATGTGCATTTCCACGCCGGTAGCGTGTCAAATACGTTACTTTCCTTACGATTAGACAACAAGTAATCACCGGCAAAGTCTTACGAGTCACAAAGTGCTTCTTTATGCGATTGCACGTACATCTGTATGCCTACGCACACGCGTTTTGCAATATCTTTTTTTCGAGAAGAAGGTAAGTGATCCGAAGAGTATAAAAACGTCTTCAAATCTGGTCAGACACATACGCTTTCTCTGTTTGATTAATGTTTTTAAAACTTTCTTTGGAGTATTGGGACGTGAAAGGTAACGAGTAGTTTTGCTAATCGAAATTGAACAGGTACCGCAGATCGGAGCAAACAGGTAATTAACCCAGTCATGGATTCAAATAATTCTAAGATTAAAAGTGCAATTCTCGCAATAACGTGCGCGCGTCTAAAGAGACAGCGGCGGAAAGAGAGCCAGATCGAGAGAGAGTGTGTGTGTGTGTGTGAAAGAGAGTCCCGCGGGGGGTGGGGGGAGGAGGAGAGGGTCAAAATTATTTTAACATTATTACTTATTAATTTTTGCACTTGGAAAACATACTCACGTTATAAAAGGAACACATAAACAAAACGTAACTTTTATGTGGGATGTTTTTAAAAAAATTATCATTTATACAATATCATTTATTTCTATTTAACCTTCCCGTAGGCGTGTACATCATTTTTTAAAGACTATAATTTTCAGAAGATTCGGTGGCAAGTATGCATTTGGCAACAGGCGCAATTACGAGTGCAACACTGAATGTAAACATTATATAATTGTTAGAAATACACATTTTACATATCACGTTACGAATAACGGTCGTTGTGTCTTATAAAAAGATCTAGTTTTGAGACAAATTCTATAACTCATGACGGCATCGCATATAAAATACACACGTGTACATACATATACGTATATATGGCATGTTTTTGGTGTTACGTCTACCGATGCGTTCGAATTTAAATGAACTCGATAATGATTTGTCATCGAAACAGGAGATCAAAGCGGTGCAACTGGAAGAAACTTTAATGGAGGGCGAAGGGGAAATGGAGGTGTCCGACTCGGAGGAGGAACCGCAACGCAAAAAAGTACGGAATCAATCGGATGTGCACGACGATTCCGAGAGATTGCAAGCTCTGAAGGAAGAGAACGACAGTCTTCGCTGTCAGTTGGAAGCGTACAAAAACGAAGTGTGTAACAATGTCTTGTCAATGTAATTAAATTATTTTCATATACAGGGTGTTCGGCCAACCCTGGGAAAAATTTTAACGGGGGATTCCGGAGGCCAAAATAAAACGAAAATCAAGAATACCGATTTGTCGATGGAGGCTTCGTTAAAAAGTTATTAACGTTCAAAGCTCCGCACGTACTGAATTTTTTTCTTGAAAACGCGCAAGATTTTGGGGGTTGGTCTATTCACCAAAAATGATTGCAATTGTCCCCCGCAACCGTACATAATTTTTCTAAAACGATTTGAAATGTGTTTTTTTTCCCGCGAAAAGTTTCACACCTTCTCGAATTTTTTTCTTGAATATGGCTAGGATTTCGAGGGTATGTCTAATGACCGAAAATTATTGTAATTGACCCCCGCAACCGTAAATAATTTTTTTAGCACGATTTGAAATTTTTTAATTTTGTCGAAAAATTTCACACCTTCTCGATTTTTTTTCTCGAAAATGGGTAGGATTTCGATGGTATGTCTATTCACCAAAAATGATTGTAATCGACCCCCGCAACCGAAAATAATTTTTCCAGGACGATTTGAAATTCTTTTTCTCGTCTAAAAATTTAGGCAATCAGATTTTCGGTAAGGAATTTTTTTCTCGAAAGTGCGTAGGATTTCGAGGGTATGCATAATGACCAGAAATGATTGTAATTGACCACCATAATCGAAAATAATTTTTTTAGAACGATTAGAAATTTTTGAATTTAATTGTTAATAACTTTTTAACGAAGCCTCCATCAACAAATTGGTATTCTTGATTTTCGTCTTATTTTGGCCCCTGGAATCCCCCATTACAATTTTTCCCATGGGTTGCCGAACACCCTGTATAGGAGGATTATTATGAAAGGCAGAGATTGCGTTTCGTAGGTGGATCTGCTAAAGTCCGAGACGAAAAGTGACATAGACGCGAAGGACAAACAGATGAAAATGTTGCAACAAACTTTGAAAGGTATGCAGGAACAATTAATGCAGTCGAGGAAGCAGCAGGCTCAAGATGATCAGAAAATAAAGGATTTGACCATAAAGTTGAATGCCACAAGAAAGGAGGAACCTAGGGAGAGCGAGATAATAACACTGGACAAAGACGATGACATAAACGAGGAGCCACGAACTCCTAAACAATTAATTTTATCGTCCAGTTTTGTCCAAATTACCCAAAAGGATGCCAAGCTTATAGGTACTTTCTGAAAAATTCTTTAAAATATTACCTTGAACTCTTGTAAAATCGTTTCTCTATGGTTACAGGATTAATAGCGACATTTTTACACATTCATCCGTTTGGCGCAAGCGTGGACTATTTATGGTCCTACTTACAAAAGATGGAACCAGGCATCAAACCGAATGAGGTGGAAGCGTTGATGCAACGATTCCCTCAAGTCTTCAAACAAGATTTATTCGGGATTGGAGCGAACATGGAAAGACGTTGGCAATTTTCGGGCTTCAACGTGTATCGTAGTCACTGAGACTTCAGTGTACCAATTGAATCTAGGAAAAGACCGACAGAAAATCCGCTAAGGAATTTTATAATATTGTCATGTCGTGGCATCTCGTGTCACGTAGATATTTATTGTGATACTTACTTTTACGTTAAGTCTTTATTTGATAGTGTCGCCATCGAACTGAAAACTTGTAAAAGAAAATGATTGATTTCGAAAATATTTCGGAAAAAAGACGATCAGTGTACTTATTCCAATAAGTATCTTATATCTTTAAGAACTAACTGAATCTGTTTTGAAAAGCCCTCTAGTTATTATTTAGTTCTTAATTGATAATTGCATTGCCCGTCTAAGAGCGATACGATTATTAATTAAACGTTAAATGATATTACCCAGATCTGACCACGTGGAGGTCGCTGCGAATGGAGAACCACCCTAACCTATTTCCAACCACCCTTCATTAATAAAGATCTTCTGTGACCAACGATCGTTGGTCGAAGAAGAAACAAACGAAAGTGCAATCAACGAAGAGAGTTGAAAGAATTTTCAAATAAAAATAACCTATCTAACATAATGCCTAACCAAATACCTGCCTAACTATAAATCTAAAGTCGTTTGTTATATCAAGAAACAATTCTAAATTCGCAGCCATTAGCTCGGTGTAACCCATGATAGAAAAGCTTTTATATCGTAGGTAACACCGACTACCAGGTCTCACCACGTGGAGGTTGCTGCGAGTGGAGACCCGAAGGGAGATAGATGGAATCAAAGTTCCATCGATCTCCCTTTTACATTCTTACAAGCTAGATTACTAAACCAGAGAGATAGAAGGAAGCAATGTTCCTTCGATCTTCTAGTCTAGTTGTACCAAGTAATTGTTTCGTTTAAAAAGGGATGAAGCTATATTGTGGGATACGCGACGCGACGCGATACGACGCGATGTCGATCAGCAGTGATCGACGCAAGGAACGAGGTACGCGACACGCGAACCGAGTAACTGGTAAAAAAAGTCAGCTCCGTTGCCTCTCGGCAAGTCCGATCGAAGGGGAAGTGAATCGACGCACCCGGCACAGAGGTTCCCCATTTCTCCCACGCATCCTGTTGGGAGCCAGATGGACCCAACGCGGGACGGCTGACTGAGAGAGGGAGCGTGTGTCGGGGCTACCGCAGACAGGAACAGTCCCTGATCCCCTCTGCGGCCGAAATACGCTTTCTCTTGGATCGTCTCGCCAGAGGACGGCAACTGACCCTTCGGATCAGCTAAACGGCCGATCACTTGCTTTCTACATCGAAGCAGTGGTGACCGGAACGAGAAACGGGTGAACGGGTGAACAAGAAGCTAGTTGGTAAAGAATTACTTGGCACATACGCAGACGCATACATGGGAGTCGTCGATGCTTATATCTAATTTAAATGTACCAAGCAATTATTTTGTTTAAAAAGGGGTGAAGCTAAATTATGGAATACGCGACGCGACGCGACGCTGAACCGTGCAGCGGATGAACTGGACGAGAAGAAACGAGAGAACGAGTGAACGAGAAGCTAAGTTAATAATTGCTTGGTATCGCGGCCTTAAAAATAAATTTACGCAATGTCCCGCGATGTCCAACGATGTCCCACGATAATAGAGGCCTGTAAGTAATCTGAAACAAACTAAAAAAGGTGGCATTTACGATTAGTTAAACAATTAAATATAATAAATTGATAAACACGAAGCCTTGAAATAAAATAAATGGACCCAGAGAAACCAGCGACGTAAAATAGACACGGACAAGAGCACAGCATATACACTAAGCAACATTAAGACAAGAATAAAATACGGGAACAAACACATTTGCAATCAAGGAGCCAGAAATAAAATATGTAAGGAATCCAGACAAATGAAAACGAGGTGAAACGATAGATTCAAGCCCAACAGACATTTGAATGTCGAAAAAGAAGTGAGAAATTGGAGATTGACATATCACTTACCACTGTGTCGATAGTGGTCAATGAAACAAATTTGTACATGCAATATAAAATGTGCATCGAACAAACCAAGGAACAAGTAGCGAAATATGGAAGGAAACCAAAGAATAAAAGCAAAATGAAACCCCACATTCAAGCCCAACAGACGCTCGAAGGTTGGAAAAGAAATTAGAAAAGGGAGATTCGGAACTCGTTCTCTACTGGTCACTAATGGTCAGTATTGGTCAGCAAAGTTGACCAGTGCTCGGCCAGTGGTCAGTAGTGGTGAGAAAAGGTGGAGCGCGGACCCACGGGGGTCCGCCACGTCCGCCAACGCCGAGAAAGAGAGAGAGAGTGAGTGAGTCAACGGCAGTTAGCCTCAGGCAGAAGAGTCGAAGGGGTGGGGATGACCGTCCTTGGCGAGTTCACGAATCAATTAACAGTTAACCGTGCCTTTGACCGAAAAATGAATATTCTACGCAAAATGGTATTAAAACAATTATTTATACAACCCACGCTATCGAGCATTATTTTAACTATTGCCTGATGTTAATTAATAATTATTGCAAACAATAGGAATGATAATATGGACAAATTCGAAGAGACTAAAAGTTTCTTTGAATTGTTGTCGAGAACCAAGGTCGTACATCGCGTATTCATTTCTTCGATCTTCTGTCCTTCATACTCTACTTTCTTTTGTATAAGTTTTCATCTTTCATTTCTTATCAGTAAATTTATATAGGATTCTAACGAAGATACGTAAACTGCGTCACTAAAATCGTAAAATAATGTGTTACTGCTTGCTCCTGCTGGTCTCTACATGCCTCTACATCCCACTGCTGGCCTCTGCTGGCCTCTGCTGGCCCCTGCTGACACCTGCTGACCGCTGCTGACCACTCCTGTTACTTCTGACAATGTATAACGATTACTACGGGCTACTGCTTGTTCCTGCTGGTCTCTACATGCCTCTACATGCCTCTACATGCCTCTACATGCCCCTACATCCCTCTGCTGGCCTCTGCTGACCCCTGCTGACCGCTGCTGACCACTCCTGATACTTCCAACAACGTATAACGATTACTATGTGTTACTGCTTGCTCCTGCTGGTCTCTACATGCCTCTACATCCCACTGCTGGCCTCTGCTGGCCCCTGCTGACACCTGCTGACCTGAAACAGCTGGAAAAGCCTGAAACACCGAAAAAGGCCTGAAACCCCGAAAAATTCCTGGCAGCTGGGAAGTCCCGAAACAGCTGGAAATGCCTGAAACAGCTGGAAAGTCCTGAAACAACTGGGATGTCTTGGAATTTCTTGGAAACGCCGAAAATTCTTGGAAACTTTGAATTTTTAGCAAAGTTCTGAGTTTCAGGACTTCCTAGTGGGTTCTGGGAGACCAAGGAGTTTCAGGGAGTCTTATAACTAAGGGAATGATGTGGAGAGGAAAAGAGAGGTAAAAATGATGAGAACATATAGAATACTTTGAAATTATATCATTTATTGCCATAGATTTACATTATACAAAGTTTTAATACATATATATCATGGGAGAAGTTATTAACAAGGGTCAGCAGTGGTCAGCAGGGGTCAGCAGGGGTCAGGGGGGCCAGCAAGGGACAGTAGAGACCAGCAGGGGCAATTAGTAGCAAGTTGTAGTCGTTGTACGTTGTTGGAAGCATAAGGGGTGGTCAGCAGTGGTCAGTAGGGGTCAGTAGGGGTCAGTAGGGGCCAGCAGGGGACAGCAGGGGGCAGCAGAGGGATGCAGAGGCATGCAGTGACCAGCAGGGGCAAGCAGGAACAAGTAGTAATCGTTGTACGTTGTCGGAAGTATAAGGGGTGGTCAGCAGTGGTCAGCAGAGGCCAGCAGTGGCAAGCAGAGGCCAGCAGTGGCAAGCAGAGGCCAGCAGAGGCCAGCAGCGGTCAGCAGGGGCCAGCAGAGGCCAGCAGAGAGATGTAGAGGCATGTAGAGACCAGCAGGAACAAGCAGTAGCCCGTAGTAATCGTTATACGTTGTCAGAAGTAACAGGAGTGGTCAGCAGCGGTCAGCTGGGTTCGGCAGGAGTCGGCAGGGGCCAGCAGGGGCCAGCAGGGGCCAGCAGTGGGATGTAGTGGCATGTAGAGACCAGCAGGAGCAAGCAATAACACATAGTAAACGTTGTCGGAAGTATCAGGAGTGGTCATCAGCGGTCAGCAGGGGCCAGCAGAGGCCAGCAGAGGGATGTAGAGGCATGTAGAGACCAGCAGGACCAAGCAGTAACTCGTAGTAATTGTTATACGTTGTCGGAAGTATCAGGAGTGGTCAACAGCGGTCAGCAAAGGCGAGCGGAGGGAGGCAGAGGCCAGTAGAGGCCAGCATAGGCCAGCAGGGGCATGTAAAAATATGTAGAGGCATGTAGAGGAATGTAGAGACCAGCAGGAGCAAGCAGTAATACGTAGTAATCGTTATACGTTGTCAGAAGTATGGGGAATGGTCAGCAGCAGTCAGTAGAGGCCGGCGGAGGACTGTAGGAAAATTGAAAAGTACATGTACTCGTACCTTATATATCGTACTTATTACCTTATACTTCAGGTAAAAAGGGTTATAGTAAAGTATAAAATACCTGGGCAGTCGAGGCTTGGAATCGTATGCCGTTGACGTGAGGTCGGCTTTCAGTTGTTTAGAGCGAGAAGGCAAATGTGAGCGTTTTTCTCTCGACTCCCACGAGGCGATCCGAAATTACTTCGGGCAGCTTCGGAGAATCGAGAAAGAGGGCATGCGTCAGTTTGCCTTTGTCGACTTTCCGAAACTCCACGAGCTCACGTACGCGTATCTGGCATGTGTGCGTGTGCACCCGGCGGTGCTTTTCTGGCATCTCTGTACTAGACAAATGGATAAAGCTGAAACAAATGAAAATATAGCTTACCAATGAAACGTTGGTCACGCGAGGAGCTCTGTTGCATCCAACTGCATCTTCTGATGGAACATGAGAGACGAGTGGAAGTGGGACAGAAAAGGAAATTACATTTTTAATATTTTGTAACAGAATGAAAGCTGTACAGTATACCTCGTCTGTGTCGTAACGATTGTTCCGCGATCGGTAAATCATATCTCTATAATTCTCACTATAAATTTGACGACTTACTCTTTAATCTACCGATAAACATTATTGTCTTTCTATTGGTTTAATTAATTATACAAATGAGTACTGTCTGTGTCCGCTGAAAGAAGTCTTAAGATCCCTTATCGACTAAGTTTCAGGCCGCTAAAATAACCCATATAACACTCGTATAGTACGAGCTATTAGATATACGCACAACTTTCGATACAGTTAATTCCGACACTCGAATTTAACGTGTACTGTAATTCAATCGTGTAATTCTACCACATAACGTAAAGAAAAGAACATAATTCTCCGTCTCCGAAAACGAAGTGCATCGTTCGTATTAATGCCATAGGGATTAGAAGGTGTGAATGATGAAACAGAATATAATTTCATATTTCTGATTATTTATTTAAATAATGACGACACCGGGGAATTTGTGGAGCGTTCAATGGACATGCGCCAATCAACGATCCGCAGCCCGCGTCGTAACGTACGCCTGCGTTGTACAGAAAAAAAGATCATTAGAGAGAGAAAGAACGAAAGACGGCACTCCGTAACAACGACACGGTCAGTCTTCTGCGAACTTTCGGGTGTGATAGTCGTGTCGAACGGGGCCGCTGTGAACCGAGTTCTCACGTCGTTCTATAATTCCGTTTCTACGCTCGATCAGCTGCTTCCGAAAACTTGACAACGCGTTGAACAAATTAGGTAAGTCGATTACCATCGCATATCACCTACAAATCTCGATAGTCACGGACGATTCTTGGCATCGACACGAGTTTCGATTGCAACGAATACGCGTGGTTGTCAATATCGAAAGTAGATCGATCGTCGTTGAGAATCTTGTCGTCTCCTTGTTCGATAGCTGGCCAACTTCCTGTTCCTCTTCCTCGACGTCCTTTCTCACTTTTCGAACTTTCTTCCCGTGCCTGGCGGATTTCTAAACGTTTCCATTCGAATTTACCATCGATTCGGATCGACGCGACAACACACGAGCGGACCGTTGTACTTATAGGTTCGATCGATCAGCGATGACGTACGTAATTGATCAAACAGACGAGTTAGGGCCACGTGCAGTCGTTGCACGCGAAACACTGTTTACAAATTGCTGTTCGGATTAATCGTGTAGGAGTTTCCTCGTGTAGCCGGTGTACGTTTTGTTAACCTTTACGAGAGAGAATATAATACGGTTTGTATGCTAGAGTGCTGCACGTGTTTCGGCTGTCAGTGGCCTTAAATTCCGCTCGCGCCGATAAGAAGCTACGACATTCAGCACATAACAAGCAAACGTATTTTCTGTTACATCGATTCATTTCACAGTTCTGTCAATTTGATAATTAAATGGAATATCGAAAGAAACTTCGATAAAAAAGAAATCATATTACGATAAATATGCACGAGAATGAATCGAAGAGTTAAATGCTAGTGACAATGTTGTATATCGTAATACGTTGTGAACGTAAATGAAAATCGACGTTAATTATAGATAATCGTAATATGCATAGGTAGACTGGCAATAAAAATGAAAATGAAAGAAGAAGAAATCAAACGAGGCTTTCGATAAATAAGCAGCGATGAGAAAAAATGATGCAGATAAAAAATATACCGCGTTAAACGATAGTGACGAAGCTGACGTTGAACGTCGTTAAGTCAAACGTAACCTTATACAAGATTAGACATTTAACCGGCCCGCTATCTGATTACACAATATAATAATATATTGAAAATGTTATTACTCGGGTTAAACAAAATTACATCATTTTGTTGCTTAATTCTTCCATAATAAAAAAATGCAGTTTAAGTCTCTTTTTGTATTTCGTGACTTAGGTTTATTCTAGAGATTTCTACGCGTGAGTTTCACCAATTACGTGTGTTGTGGCAAAGTCATGGTTTTCAGGTTTCGATCGATCAGAATCGATCTCATCAACCATATCAATTACTATAACCTAAAAACTTCAAACAGTTAAATTTAGAATTTTTAAATTTGACATAATTTAGTTGAGAACTACTGGCTTCTCGTGAAGCGAATATTTCTGTGAACACGTGCGCAGGAATTGGACGCCCGATGAAAAAACATGGAGGACATTGGAATCTGCAACGTAAACGGTTAGGGTTGCGTGTGAAAACTTAAGCCTTTAGGCTAATAAACATCGCGCATAAATCGTTGTACGTTTAATTTTATTCGTCGTTATATAAAAAAATTTGTCGAATAAAATGCGAATTTTGAGGTTATCGCAGAAGAATTCGCCTCTGTTCAGATTCGTTCCATATGAGATTCAATATTGATCTTGAACGCGCGCCCAGAATTAGTCATCGTATTGTAATCGCCTGCACGTGAAGGCTTCCTCGCATTACACGCGACGATTTCTTTTGCAGTAGGTGCGAACGATCTCGTATCTTTGCTGTTTCTAAATTTAATTCCACGCTCCCCGAAATAAACGCATCCATTGTGGCGTCGAGATCGCAAGGTCGTACTAACACACTTAACATTTACTATTTTTATCCGTGGGCGTCGAAATTCTTATAAATTCCAAAAAAAAAGAAAGGAAATGTATTCGATGTTTTTTTCTTTTATTTCGGTCACAGCGTCGACCAAATAGAAATTGTTATATATCGATTCCCAGATGGCACGGAACAGTTTTCTATCTATAGATCTTTACGTTCGAAATAGTTGGTCGTCATAAGCGTCTATAGAATGGGTACATGTATGGTTTATGCGGATAACGAATTCCATGTGAATTAATACCGATAATTAATTCATCGTTTGTGCTTTTATTAGTGCTGCTGTACGTACGGTGAGTCATGTTTACTGTCTATCGTCTTTACACAGCGCAAGTAATAACCTCGAACAAATGGGAAGTTTTTATTTAAAGTCGTGTTACGTTTAGTTTGGACATTCGAGCAATTTTTACTCTGTTAACGTGTCGCGAATATACAGTTTAAATAAATTCGTTCGAGTTAGGTTATGTTGAAATTTAATTTCAGTGGAAAAGACGTCGCGTTAAAGTATTGCAGGCCTGCAAGGTTTTAAAATGAATCACGTTACTTCCGGCCGGCTGGAACGATGCACGATTAATATTTAAATCGGAGAAAAAAAATACGTTTTACAAGATCAAAGTCTCCGTAGGAAATTCGTTTCCGTTCTGGTCTACCGACCAACCGAAACAACGGTAAAATCGTACGAAAGGCGCATATGATTCGAGATTGGCGCTCGATTTAACATTCGTTTGATGTCTCTTTTGTATGTTCGGGCTGATCGTGGTAAATGGGTCAGACGGTAGCACTGTTCTAGCAAAAATAACGACAATTTGGTTTAACCTTCGTTATTCGACGCGACTTTTTCATAACTAAATTCACAATTATTTAATATAATTGTGTAAAAAAAAACAGAGAGGATCAGAGTCGGCGATTTGAACCTTAAACTATTTCGAAAGATATAATTGCGTAAGTATAGGTTAGGTGTGAATTAAATTTCGCGATTAACCAATGAATCACTCAAAACCAGCTGAATAATGACGGCCACGAAACAAAACGTATCGAGTTTCGAACGGATATCTCGAGCCAGTGATTTCACCGAAAGTTTGGAATTTGTTACGCGTTTAGTTTCGCAATTACGCGTGTGCACGATGAATCGTTCGTCGAAGACTCGATAAAGAATAAAAAAAAAATACATCGATGATCGTCTCGCGATGATAAATCTTCGACTACTCGAACGAGCGTCATTGATAGGTTGAAGTCTCGATCGTCTACGTATATATGTATTTACATTGCCCACTAAGTGCAAGACGCATTAATTATTTTTTCACTCGCGTAACCTCGCGTGTGCGACACGTACAATTACGCAACCCCTTTATTCCTTACATTCGACGTAAATATGCAATTTCACCGAAACCTTTCAACGATCATTCCTTTAATTTCCTTTTCAACGTTTCAGCAATGATATTTTAGCATAAAAAATCAAACTATTTTATACTTAAATTATAAATAATCGTTTTTCCTCTGTCAATATCCTTTTCAAAATTAGTGAAATATGCACCTTTCGGAATTAATTAAAATTTACTTTACACGAATACCGTTTAAGGCACGTGTGTTTTATAATTCGAGATCTTCGATTCGTTGTGTCTTTTGTGATTCGCTCGATCGAATTATTGTATCTTCAAGGTCTCACGATAATTTGATAGATTTTTTTTCTGGGTCATAACCGTCGTTCGTATCTAATTTACGTTGGACGATAAACTGCCGAGCATATAATTAACTTAACAAGTTCAACTACCTCGACAAGCACCACTATTTTTAATTTTTTTGAGGACAAAGTGTCATTTTTCTGTCGACGATTAATAATATTAATAATTCGAAACGTGTTACCAAAGTCACGCGTGACGAGCCAATTAAAATTGTTCGCTGCAACAGGCGCGATAAATCATTTGTAGTCGAGCTGAACTTGGGAACCAGTACCGATAACATCATTTGAATGAAATTATTGTACGTGGAACGAGAACAAGGGAATCTGTATAATTGTCTTTTTTTTTTTTTCTTGTTTTAGCATACGTGTATTCCATCTGTAATTACATTAAGCGAGCGGTTCTTACAGTTCTTTTTTGTTCCACACGTGACCTTTTCTAATAGGATATCAACGACAATTTGTTCTATAAAATTTACGATCGCGACAGCAATTATCAAAACCCATCATTCACGATAGAGGAAACCAAACATTTTGACGTTTGAAAGTAACGAAAAATTTATTTTTTATTTCTTCATAATTTGCTCGTGAATTAATAAAAAATTGTTGGATTTCGTTACGCGAAGCTGCAGGAAGATTTCGAACAGTGTAAACATTAGCTGTAGAAATATAAACAAAGAGATGTTTCCAAATATTGAAAGACGCGAAGTTTGAGATAAAATGAAGATACAGGTTACTCGTCGAGTCTGTATAATTAGTATCGGTGTCGTCTTTGCCGATTATTTCGATAAACACAGCTTCAACTTTGCAATCTTCGAATGCATATTGATAATTTACGTTTCCGTTGTGACAACAGCCGATACGTGCAGTAATCGTTTGCTGTAAGAAAAAGAAAACGATAAGCGCTTTCACGGAACGTTAAATCCGTCGATTTACTTATGCAAAATTAAATCGCGAAAGAAAAAGTGACATTATCGTTCAGAAGCGTTGAAAAAATATTACTAGTTCAAATACGTGATCTCGTTATGTAACTTGATATTGGTAAAAACGTGTAAAAAAAGAAGAAAAAAATGATTGATTCTTTTGTATTTTTGTATTACGATTCGTCGAATCGTTCAGGATATTTTGAACGCGGCGTTTGCAATAACAACGTTCGTCGCGAGACTTTCTAAAAATATGTACGCGGGGCAGGATTTGCTTTCTTCTCCGGAAACAAAGTGAAAGCAATCCGTCTTCTTCCTTTTTCCGACTCGGACGAATCGAGATCGAGCAATCGTACGATTAAGGAAATAATACACGATCGTTTTTACCATTTTAACGTAATGCTTGATAAAGATTTACCGACGAACAGAATCGAGGAGATTTAATAACAGTTTTGGCAGTGATCCATGCTCTCTGTTCCATCATTTATCCGAGTTGTATTGTATTTGGGTTATTAGGCCTCGATACGAGATGTGTACGAATCCTTGGTCTCAATTACAGTTAGCGTTACTTATCGTTATTGATAAGAAACGAACACGACAGATGGGGCTGCGCTCGTAACAATATCGAAATCATTTTCCAGCATTATGAAAATGTTTGCGAAGGTGAGAGCATTCGTCGGAGCCGTCGCTGTTCAGAACGAATTTTCGTAATTTCTCGGCTCGAATTGCGACCACACTGTTGCAAAATATAATGCGTCTGTCGCTTTGCGCAAGGATCGTTCCACGGATGAGAGACTCCCGCCATCTTTCTCCCGGCCGTGTCGAATAATTCGCGTAACGTTGGCGTTGAAACCTTCTTCAAGACAATTACGTTGATCGATGCGCTCGTTAAATTTACCGATCGTCGAAACAGCCCCCGTTCCATCCTTAATCGTACAGATTTCTTCCCGGTATCACGGTTCAACGGTGCGCGAAAGAAACTCGAGCCAACGTTTATTTTCTCTTGCCTACGTTGCGTTGCGCACTTCGCAATTTCGAGCGTCGGCGCGCCGCTCGTATAACCTTAGCTTCGAAAAGAAACCGTTCAACGAACACGAAACGTCTCCCTTGGATCCATTCAATGGCAGCTGCAAATTAGATAACGCTGACCTCGAATTTCGACGTGTTTTTCGAAGCCACGGTCCACAGCCGGCTGGCTGTGATAAAGTCGAGGTTTTCTTTGGCCAAGTGTGCAATTAAATATGCGATTTTGCTTATCGTCTCGACTCGCTCGATTTATTCCGGCGACGCTTTCGATTTGTACAGCTGTCACTTTCGATCGAATACCGATAAATTGTAACGGACGATGGCCGAAGGCCAGGTCTTCGGTTTCTTCGAAAGGTTAAAGTGCCACGCACATTGCAACGAACGACGTTTAAAAGAAGGGTATTGTATTCGAGGCAAGGTCGCCTCGAACGACGAAAAGAAACGATCACGATCGTTGATTTCAGTCGCTGTGACGGATCGAAGGCGCATAAATTAGCGAAGTGCAACTGTTCTCGTTACTGGAAGCGAGAATATAAAATCGTACATAACCTAATTAAAACGAAACCAGTATTTTAATATAACCGTCGATGCAACAGGTTTCAATAAAAATATACAGGGTGTTAACAAAATTTGAATAGGAAATTCTAAGGCCAAAATCAAACGAAAATCAAGAATATCAATTTCTTGACTGAGGCTTCGTTAAAAAGTTGTTAAAAAATTTCAAATCATTCTGGAAAAAATATTTTCGGTTGCGGGGGTCAATTATAATAATTTTCGGTCATTAGACATACCCTCGAAATCCTAGCCAGTTTCAAGAAAAAAATTCGAGAAGGTGTGAAATTTTTCGACAAAATTAAAAAATTTCAAATCGTTCTAAAAAAATTATTTTCGGTTGTGGGGGTCAATTACAATAATTTTTGGTCAATAGACATACCCCCGAAATCCTACTCACTTTCAAGAAAAAAATTCGAGTAGGTGGACAAAGTCGACAAAATTAAAAAATTGCAAATCGTTCTAGAAAAATTATTATCGGTTGCGGGGGTCAATTACAATCATTTTTGGTCAATAGACATACCCTCGAAATCCTAGCCACTTTCAAGAAAAAAAATCTTTACCGAAAATCTAATGCGAGATTAGAATGCTCTCCTGGCGAATCTTTAAAATGTCATAACTTCTGAACGGATCGGTCGATTTTAATGTTTCAAACGGCAAACAACGCGTATTTTGACAGAGAATATGTAGAAATTGTAAAAATATTCGAAAACTTGATCCTTGACCCCGAAAAATAAGAAAAACACCATAAAAATAGTCCAATTTTCAAACAGCCATAACTCTTAGAATAATGGCTAAATTTCAATGAAACTTTTTTCTGAAGTAGAGCTCATCGGTGCCTACAGAAACGTATTAAACAACTTTTCTATAGGGCGTCGAACAAAATTATTAAAAATGAAAAACGAAGTTCTAAGAAAAATCGACGGGGTAGGGTACTGAAATTTTTCGGCAAAAAAAAATTTTTTCAAATCATCCCAAAAAAATTATTTTCGGTTGTGGGGGTCAATTACTATAATTTTCGGTCATTAGACATACCCTCGAAATCCTAGCCACATTCAAGAAAAAAATTCGAGAAGATCTGAAATTTTTCGACAAAATTAAAAAATTTCAAATCGTTCTAAAAAAATTATTTTCAGTTGCAATGGTCAATTACAATAATTTTTGGTGAACAGACATACACCCGAAATGTTGCGCATTTTCGAGAAAAAAATTCGAGAAGGTATAACATTTTTCATCAAAATTAAAAAATTTCAAATCGTTCCTGAAAAATTATTTTCGTTTGCGGGGGTCAATTACAATCATTTTTGGTGAATAGACATATCCTCGAATTCCTATCCACTTTCGAGAAAAAAATTCGAGAAGGTATGGTATTTTTCGACGAAATTGAAAAATTTCAAATCGTTTTGGAAAAATTATTTTCGGTTGTGGGGGTCAATTACAATCATTTTTGGTCAATAGACATACCCCTGATATCCTACTCACTTTCAAGAAAAAAATTCGAGAAGGTGTGAAATTTTTCATCAAAATAAAAAATTTCAAATCGTTCTAAAAAAATTATTTTCGGTTGTGGGGGTCAATTACAATCATTTTTGGTCAATAGACACACCCCCGAAATCCTACGCACTATCGAGAAAAAAATTCCGTACTGACGGAACTCTAAACGTTAATAACTTCTTAATGAAGCTTTCATTAATAAATTGGTATTCTTGATTTTTGTCTTATTTTGGACTCTAGAATCACCCATTAAAATTTTTCCCAGGGTTGTCTGAACAATTTAGGGTTAACTGGACCATTGTCCAACGTCAGTCTAGTTGTACAGACATCTTTTACGCACAAAAATGTAAACAAAACATGTTTATACTTTGTCCTCGTCGTTGTCGATTATGTGAAATGGACTTTTCATTTATTTTGTCAAGAGGAACCGTCTGTTATCTAATTATGGCAAAATGTAATCTGTTAAATGATTTAATGTCCCCAACTGTAATTACATTTCGCTTGCGATTATTTCTAATCATAGTCATAATTTCTGGGTATCTTTTTATTCCTTCTCGATTGAAGGATTAGCATAAAGAACCAAGTCATTAGCGACGTGGATTGCTAATAAGCTATATTTAAACAGGATTGTCTCTTTGGACGAGTATTTTGCAGTATTTATTTCGTTCGATGATTCAACGAAACTCTGGATGTTTTCGAACGGAAATCAGTCTTCTTTGTTCGCGATCGAAAAAACCTAACCCCAGCGAAAGTCGTAGAACGAATTCGACGAGTCATCTCGCGGGCAATATCATCATTGTCTCTCGTTGCTTTCCAATCGTAGCTCTTCTCGAATTGTAAATATGAAACTCGAGAACGGATCGTGATGCGGTAAAAATGTTAATATTTCTATTGTTATTTATAATTTCTATAGATGGAAACTTTGTATTCGGTCGAGGGTACTAGTTTGTGAAACAGGAACTCGTACCGCAATGTAGCAACGAAAGTACGATAAAGACAGTTCCGACTGTGTCGTGTGTCGTGTGTCGTAACAGTAAGCAAACCGGCTTAAACTTCTGTCGAAGGTTGGGAAAGAATATGCAAGGTGCAATGCGTGTCCCTGAACCGTGAATCGTCGATGAGATTTACGATAAACTGTATCTGTAATTCGAATGGCAAACTTAGACGTAATAACAGTAATATGTAGTAACACCGGTAGTAGTAGTAACGTCAATAATGTGTGTTCGTGAATAAATTTTCAAATAAAATGTTCTCTCTGCTCGATAAATTACTTATGAACGCTGTAAATACTAGATTGTAACTGAACGTAATTTATCGACAATGGTATAAATACTCGATGACATACTCTTCGTGTTTGCCGAGACGTGAAATTATAGACACGCAACATTGATGGAAAGGCTATTCGCGTTATTGGAAAAATGCGATCCGTGCCATTAATCCTAATTAAAAAAAAAAAAAAAAAAAAAAAAAAGGAAACCTTCGATACGAAATTAAATGGACGCGTAGCTATACGTTTGCTCGAGGAAAAGTGGTAACGATGTATACTATGTATAACAAATCGACAATGGAACGATAATTGTAGTAAACGACAGAATCAACGTCTAGGGTCAGCAGATACGTGCATACAATGTAATCACTACGGATACATTTCTCGAATTATCGTACTTAATGTGATCGTTTTCTAAACGATGTTTACGAGACATTGACATTATAAATCACGCGCGATACGCGGCTTGCATTCATAACGCAAAACACGCTGCTCGAACCGTCGATTTTTGTTTCCATTCTCAACAACAATTGCGACATGATTCCTATAAAAATTGACGGGGAAAATTACTCCGCAAGGTTTACTGAAAAATCCTGACAACGTTGTGCAACGTCCGGCTGCACTCCTAGCCTGCGACTTGTAATTAGTATAAACACATTCCGACTCGCGATATTAGAACGCGTTTGCACTTGCCGCCGAACTTATTTACGTTACAACCTAATATTACTCGGGATCGCGTGGCGAAACGTACACCATATACAAGGTCTAAAATTTTTACCCGACGAATAAATGGGTTAAGAACGTTCACCTCCGCGCAATTAGCGTACAGTGAACGCGCGCAAGGCCTTATTGCCAAACGAGTCGCGCACGCGCACTAAACTCTCCCGTTCGTATCATTAATTTTTTGTTGTTTTCCCGTTTCAGGGCGACTCGTCTTACAATTATGCGAGATTTATAGCCGGGCTGGACAGTGAACTGCGCGAGGATACACGTTGGACGAAGAGTGAAGGGTTAGAGGAGGGGTCGAGGACTGCCAGACATGCGTCTTCAGACGTGAAACGTGATCTGGACGAAAGCACCGTTTTTTTTTCGTTTGTCTCGCGAGCAGACTGAAATCCGAGTAGGCAACGTTCCGCGAATTCTCCGCGTCGAAAGATGGCCACTTTGACACACTGTTCCCCGTCGCGATCGTCCCTAAGTTGCTGTCAAATCGATCACAGTAGCCACGACGATGTCCACGGGGTGGCTGTCGTGGCGAAAGACAATTACTTCTTTCAAGAGAAACACTCGTTTCCGAAGAGGCCCGAGGTGAATCTTGCTTTCCACGACGTCCGGTACACGGTGAACGAATGGAGCCTAAGGACCATCAGACCAAGTGAGTCCATCTTCGATATTGCAAGTTTTATCTTGGGTCAAGTTGGACAATTTGTGACATCACGACGATTATTTACCAAATTATTTATTTTGTCTCCTGCATCGTTCCAAAGCGTTTCTAAAGGATCGAGCCGACCGTGCCATAACCTTAACGCGATGCTGGTTTAAAAATTGCTTTCCCTTGCGCAAAGTTCCGCGTCTGATTTCCCGCTGGAAAAATTCAATCTTCCAGCGAAAAAATCGGCCTTTTGGTCGTCCGATTCCAGAGACCCATTTTCCACGAAAGAGTGCAAAGGCGCGGGAGAAAGTAGGTCCCTTCTGCGCGTGCGTACCAAGCTCATGGAACCTACGATCCGGGCGACGATGCTGGAATTCGTTACTGATACAATCGACCGTGTTAGCAATGGTTAGCACAAAAGTGTTAACGAACCAAGTGACTCCGTGACATCGTCGGAGAGCGGTCGTTTGTGACACGAAAGGAAAGTCACGTAATCTCGATACTCGATGCGTAAACCACACGGGGGGGGCAAGCGCTGCTTAAATCGGCGGCGGTGAACGAGTGGCACGTGCGACGATTGTGTCACGCGACGAAACAGTAGCCTTAAAAACAGATCTTAAAAACAAAATCTGAACCTAATTGTGTCGCCATCTGTCACATTTACGTTGAAAAGTAAATTTGTCCGAAGCGTTATCGCTTTGTACGGAACTTTGAGCAATAATCGCCTTTCTCCTAGCGCATAGAATCTTTCGAGAGAATTCGTTTCCTACTTTCACTCGCTTTCGGTAATATCTGTTCGTTGCAGCTGCTTTTTTCAAGGTTATGTTCGAAGATCGACCGTCTCCCTAATTGAAATCACATCGATCGACCTTAAAGTAATTCTTGGCAATTGAACGGTACACAATGCGTTGACCTTCGAGCAACCTTGAGCAATAAAGCGCCGTGATAAACGTGTTGACTTTCTTAAAGGTTAGGTCGTTCAGCGATAGGTCAGTGTTCGATAAAACTACGGTCGGAATTGCGCGGGAAGTAATGATTGGTGTCTGCTATATGGTCATTTTTAACGTATTAAGTGCCACTCGTGACGCGAAGAGAAAGCAGAGGAGAGTGGTCCTGCGGGCAGCAAAGAAAGTTTTAAACGGAGAAAGTGGCCGGGCATTTTGAGATAGAGTTCTTCGTTAGACGTTGACGAAACCGATCGCACGCGTGCGATTTTATCGGAAAAATATTTCGAAATCCTACATACAGCTGGTGTACAGTTCCTCTATGCCCTGAATGTACGATTTTAATTATTTCCACCTCGTTATCTTCGCGCTTAGTTGCTATTTTAAAATACATCTGGGATCAAGATTAAATCGTAGATAACGATCGAGCTCATGCTTATGAAACCGGATGATCTTGAAAATCTTAATTGGTCTTGAAAGTCCCGTCGATCTTGAATTCTCGATAGGTTTTGCAACTCTCCTTCTCACTCCATCGGCGCGCGCAACTACGAGCTCACGAAAGTTACTAGAACGAAGTTATCGGTCGCAAAAAATACCAGAATTTATAAGTGTCCTATCGCTTTGCCGCGAGGTGTGTATTTATCGAAGTTTTTACCTTGAACGATGAACAAAGCAAGCATGACTGTTGCCCGCGAGGCGCCGATTCATAGTGCATACGACAACGTATGAATATCCTTGGGGCACCGAGTGTAGGCACAGTGGCGTAATCAGAAATTTTCGCACCCGAGTGTCAAAATTTACAATGATACTGATTTCGATTTATTTCAATTTTTTAGTTAGATCTCTGACATTTTCAGCTGGTATCAGGTTAACAAAATGGCTACCGATGCCACGTGTAGTTTCAATGATAATAACAACACATTTCTACATACATATTTATCGATGACTATGGGCGTTGCGATCAGCGAGGAGACTAATCTATACATAGTAGAGGAACAGCAGACTGAAATTATGCAAGTTGTACAAATTTCATGCAGCTTCAAAAATAGTTACAAAAGTTTGACGTTCATTGATCAGACAAGTAGGCAAAGTATGTATTGAATTATTAAAATTAATAAAATTGAATCGAGCCACGTGTTTGCCATGCCGTTAATAAGGAACGTAATCGATGGGGTCGAAGACATTGATCTATTACGTTATGCTCTTGTTTATTACCTCGTGACCTATTAACTTTACTAAAAACGTTAAGTAGTTATCAACGGACGCTCGCATCCGTCTTATGCAAATTTTTTTTACGATTATACATTGTGTCATTCCGTAACGACTGAACGTACGCGTGATAGCATATCCCTATCGTGCTCATTAATTTTTTTCTCCTCGAAACTCCTCGACAAATTCATTACTAATTTCCCGGTGGATTTTATGGGGTCATTTTAAACGAATTAGTGAATTTTTATTATTGATAAAATCGTGCTAGTGCGCACGCGTCAGTCGTTAAGGCGTTCGTACTTGGAGTTTAGTTGGGTCGCATCCGTTCTCGGGATTTCTTGTTTTATTCATGGCCCAAGAAAGGAAAAGGACACGTCACCAACGACTACGCACGGGGGGGGAAAAAAAAAACAATAATGGAGACTCCACGGTTAACGCCAATCGACTTCGTGATTACACCGAAGTGTATTTCGTTGGATCTATTTTATGCGTCACTTCGAAGTGTAACGTAACCTCGAGGCCAGATACATTCTGCGATAACGATCCTTTGCGTATCGTTCGAAACAACGGGAACGTTTCGCGCGAAAGAAATTACCCACGAGCCATTGTCGGATCGATCTGATCGACAGCTCGTAATTTTTTTCATAGGAATTGTTGATTATTTCTGTTATTACTTACCCCCTTGCATGCGCTCTGAACATTGGAAAACCCATTTTTTATTGCAAAGTATCACGAGTTTTGTTCCGTAGGGGAGTTTGACGCATAAAATCGCGCTATCGTCAGGCATGGGCGTCACGTCGTCACGTATTTATCGACCTCCAAACGGAAACGGAATAGCATTATTCCAAATGCGGGCAGACGTTCACGGTAGCGGATAATATTCCTGAACTGTTCGTACGATAATCGCCACGGGAACGGGTGTAGTTCCGTAACTCGATCAGATATCTCCGAGAAATGGTTATGATACGTAAGTGCACCCACTCACGAGGCTGATTCGTGTTTGATCGGTGAAACGGAATGGAATCCAGCACAAAGATGCTAATAAATCGAATTATCGATAAAGCTACGAGAAAGACTTTTCAGATTGCACACGCCCGTACAAAGAAAGTGGCCCCTGATACTAATTTTTCTGGACGGACCTCTTTCGATGGTCCAATGAAGCTCACGAACTTTGTGTTACAGCCGCCAGAGGCGTTACGTGTACTTTGATTAATAGAATTCGTAAAACTCTCGTCTATAATTTATTCGTTCTGGTTAAAAGAAATTTATACTCGTTAAGAAGCAGTCAGTTGCTGAGAAAGTAAAATTTATATAGACAGGAATGGAACGCTGCGAAAATAAAAACTTAATCCCCCCCGTTCGTCTGAAATTTCTGTATCCAATTACCTATTCGTATCCCACTGAATGTTTCCACTTATTTTGTACCGAATATGAATCAAAAATCATGGAACCGATATATTTCTATCGCGCACGGGCGATGGGACCGTTACTAGCTAGTTTTTGTTATATTTTACAAACGATTCCGTTGCATAAGACGGGAATCTTATCGTAGGTCGCGAGCAATGACATTCGCGTAAGATAAATCTTGTTTCGTACAAAGTTTCGCGGGTTACGCAAACATAATAAAAAAAAATTGCTTTCTCACGCGTGAATTACAACAGACTTCGTACGACTCATTTGCATCATTAGCATATACAGGGTGTTAACTCTGACTTTCACCCCGCTGTACCCATCCGACAAGGAATGTTTAGGTACAACGGATGGTCGCAAAGGAAATTTTTTAAGCTGTTTTTACACTTCGTGGCCAGGGAAACACCATCGTATTATGTCGGTGTTCCAAATGGCAGATGGAAGACGTGGATAATAACAGCGGAACCGAGACGCGGGGAATTATCGTTGTTGTGTAACACGATACGGACTGCAGCTCGCTCGGTGCCCGCTATCGAAATGGAGGTCGGTTCTTTTTCGATGTAATTTCGGTTTCTCACGGTCGACTGACCGTCACGCGGCATTTAAATCGACAGATATCACGGCCAAACGCAAAAAGATAAACGTAACAGAAAAGGCGGGCGAGCGAAATAATGTATAACGGGTTGAACGAATACAGCAATTCGTTTTTCGAAGTGTCACTCATCTCGTTCGAACTGTGACAAAGGCATTGACACAGCTTGATTATTATGATACGAACGTTTACAACTAAACAAACTAATTTGAAGGAAATATTTTTTATACATTATTGACACATGCAAATATTAGAGAATTCCTGACGTAACAAACGAGTTGAGGTATTAAACGTCAAACAGGAGATACCAATCGCGATTAATCGATGACCAATACAGGATACACAGAATTCTACGCCTCCGTTAGTCATTACACGTTATTATCCGGGAGAGCATGATTTTTTCCCCCGAACGTGCACGCTGACATCATCGGATGCAGATTCATCTTGTCTCTGGTTCGTCCGTTCGCTCCGTGATCGGAGAACGAAATTGTCTTTGTTCCCTTGTTTCGTTAGGCGAACTACTTACGAACATGGAAAATCACCGAGTTTCATTTTTTATATGAGAAAATCACCGAGTTTCAATTCTTATGAAATAATTTTATATGACTCAAAAATCCTATTTAATAATAGAGCAAATTCAATTTTTAAGTGGATATATAAATTGACTATAGCTATATTTTTAAATGGTATACAATAAAATTCGTACGAAATAATTTTATATGACTTAAAAATCCTATTTAATAATAGAGCAATAGAGGTTATATCAATATCGTTAAAATAAGTCGAATTAAACTTAAACATACAAAATGCAAATTATTCTAATCTATTAATAATTGCTACCAGCATTTATATTCCGGAGGGAAAACCTTCTGGCGACTGGTTCGTGAGAAGAATACAGGCACATTGGAATTAATTTTTTTCCCCCCTAATCGTGATGTCACAAAACACCTACTTCGAATTCCACTCTCCTGAACTGTTTTAAATTGCACTGCAACTACGAAAAAAGTGCTCTGCGTATAATGTGTTTTTAATTTCGCATTCTCCGTTACAGAGCACAAAGAAATTCTTCACGGGGTCAGCGGGGACTTCAAAGCTGGCGAACTGGTCGCCATAATGGGCCCGTCTGGGGCCGGGAAGTCTACGTTGTTGAACGTTTTGGCCGGTTACACGTCAGTATATTACAACGATACAGTGTGAACTGTAATTAGCGATTAATAATTATCGTGTTCGGTAACTCGTTACCCAACGTCGATAATTGTTCCGTTTCGTCATTGTTCGTCCAAGTCGTTGCATAGTTACTATTAAAAACTTGTTACATGCTTCATTATTCATACGCGTTTCAGTCTCGACGCCTTTACAACATTGCCAAAGCGATGCACGACACGTTTGAACGCGCTATAATCGCGCTGCCATTGTACCTTGAAGGGAACCAACCTTGTGGACCCTGGAATGTGGGTCATTGCTCTTGAGTTTCATGAACTTTACACAGATTGGTTCTTTTTTTTTTTTTCTTCGCTCTTGACAAAGAACAACAATCATATTTAATGAAGTAATTTGTGATTTTCACTCTGCCCTTCTTACATGGAAAAAATTAATAGAAAGTTAAAATGTTTTATTTGCTTATTAGAAATTTCACTGATAAGATATATGTTTGGAATATTGTTACAATATTATTCTGAAGTTGTTAGTAGCCTTCTTATTTCCAATTCTAGGAACTGGTCAGCATTCTGTGCTCGAATTAGAGAGCATTGAACAATACATAAACGGTGCCGTGCTCGCTGTGGTAAATCGATCCCCCGCTCATTTAAACAGCATTGAATATCCGATTGTGTTACAACTATAGTTCGCAATTGTGTCACAGCCACACTAATATCTAACCGGTGATTCAGAAAAAACAATCGAATAACAAAATAATAAATATGATACAATTTTGTTTAAACATTGAGATACATTTTTTTAGAATTTTTTAGAAAATTTTTGCTTTAAGGAAACGTGTATAAATTACAAGAATGTTGCAACACTGTCGATCGACGAGTTGCTTGTAAAACCGTGGAAATTTATCGACTCGATTCCTGTGACGAAGTATAAATTGCAAATGGAAATTGTGACGCGGACGTTAAAATTTATTCACACGGATCGGTAAACTTGTGTAACGAGTACGTGGCCGGCATAGAGCTTTTCCGTCGGCAATTCCCAGACGATCTTTCCAAGAATTTACAGCTTGACATAATTTATATGGAAACTAGCCGACGCATCAGTAACGACACGTGCTCTCCATGAAAAATGTCCAAGCCCGTAACTCTAGCCGTGATACAGTAGCAAATGGTTATTTAAGACCGTGTCGTGACTTGGTAAAAAGTGCTCTGAGAAACGGAGGAAGTTCTAATCGCGTTAACTATATTCCTTATACAGGGTGTTCCACCAACCCTGGGAAAAATTTTAATGGGGGATTCTAGAGGCCAAAATAAGACGAAAATCAAGAATACCAATTTGTCGATGAAAGCTTCGTTAAAAAGTTATTAACATTTAAAGTTCCGTCCTTACTGAATTTATTTCTCGGAAATGCGCAAGATTTCGGGGGTATGTCTATTCACCAAAAATTATTGTAATTGACCCTCGAAACAGAAAATAATTTTTTTAGAACGATTTGAAATGTTTTTTTTTCCCGCGAAAAGTTTCACACCTTCTCGAATTTTTTTCTTGAATATGGCTAGGATTTCGAGGGTATGTCTAATGACCGAAAATTATTGTAATTGCCCCCCACAACCGAAAATAATTTTTCTAGAACGATTTGAAATTTTTTAATTTTGTCGAAAAATTTCACACCTTCTCGATTTTTTTTCTCGAAAATGGGTAGGATTTCGATGGTATGTCTATTCACCAAAAATTATTGTAATTGAACCCCTCAACCGAAAATAATTTTTCCAAAACGATTTCAAATGTTTTTTTCCCCGCGAAAAATTTCACACGTTCTCGAATTTTTTTCACAAAATTGGGTAGGATTTCGGGGGTATACCTATTCACAAAAAATGATTATAATTGACCCCCGCAACTGAAAATAATTTTTCTAGAACGATTTGAAATTTTTTAATTTTGTCGAAAAATTTCACACCTTCTCGATTTTTTTTCTCGAAAATGGGTAGGATTTCGATGGTATGTCTATTCACCAAAAATTATTGTAATTGAACCCCTCAACCGAAAATAATTTTTCCAAAACGATTTCAAATGTTTTTTTCCCCGCGAAAAATTTCACACGTTCTCGAATTTTTTTCACAAAATTGGGTAGGATTTCGGGGGTATACCTATTCACAAAAAATGATTATAATTGACCCCCGCAACTGAAAATAATTTTTTTAGAACGATTCGAAATTTTCTTTTTCCGTCGAAAAATTTCACACCTTCTCGAATTTTTTTCTCGAAAGTATGTAAGATTTCGAGGGTAATTGTAATGACCAAAAATAATTGTAATTGACCCCCGCAACCGAAAATAATTTTTTTAGAATGATTTGAAATTTTTTATTTTAATTGTTAATAACTTTTTAACGAAGCCTCCATCAACAAATTGGTATTCCTGATATTCGTCGTATTTTGGTCTCTAGAATACCCCATTAAAATTTTTCTTTACTTGGTGGCCACACTTTCATATGTAACTTAATTAATTATTTAAGAAATTTCTCAAAATGTTCAATATTTTTTCAATCACTATCGATATCAAACGAGTATTGCGTTTGAAAAATGTTGAATCGAGGGCAATGTAAATAAATGTAAATGTATATTTCTATTGTTTACCGACATAATGATTATTTATGTTTCGTGTATTGTTGTTGACTGTTTTCGCCCAACAAAATGCAAATTGTTCAATAATTACGTTAATTACTCTGCGAGAAGATGGGTTTAAAAAGCTCTGGGTACACGATCGTTAATTTATCAGTTCTAATTCTAGTTAACAATTTCGTCGATATAAAAATATTCAGTTACAAGTAACGCAAGAACACCAATAAACAAATAAAGTGATTAAATAATTGAAAACCGAATAGGTCACGAAAATAATTAAGTACACCGTTCGTTTATGTTCGATCGTACCAATGGTGCAACGAAGTAAAAACGTAAAGACCAATCGCTGACATTCAAGACCTTTTTTTTTCAATTTACAACGCGGTACTAAATGTCACTGACAATGATTTTATCGATCAAAGTAATCAGCTCGATGTCGACGCAGAATTTATCTTCATTATCTAGGGTATATCTTGTTGATATAAACAATTTTTTATATAATTGTAATTATGCAATAATTTAGTCGGTACAAATATTTTTTTTTTATTTGTTTACTCGAGTGTAAGATCACGACACGAAGGGAACGGAGCGAATTAACAATTTATACAATTAGAAGAAGCTCCACGAATCGGTGTCCGTTTTCATCGACGTAACATTCTGATCACGCACGTGGCAGAATTAATCACGAAATGATAAGAATAAATTAATTCTACTTCAGCAGTTCCTCGATCGATGTGTTGCATCGATAAGAACAAACACCACTTCGAGTACGCCTTGTGTGACGTAAAAAAAAATTGTTGTTTTACTTTTTTATTTCACACCGAGTGACCTTGAATCGTTGACCTTGTTGTGAAAATCGTCTAAACGTTCGTGTTTGTACCAAAGATAAAAAGTATAGTACAATATGTTATTAAAGAGCATGGACCTTTGAATATTTCTGAAAACTCGACGCTCACAAATATCACTGGTACGCTATCTTCAGTTACAAGCATGATGTTTAGTCTAGTATGGTATATTAAACCTGTTTAAAGAGTGATCCAGATTAGAATAAAATCTCAATAAATTGAGAACAAAATATATGCACCAGGATCGACAGAATTATAATCCGAACGTGTGGAATTCTGTTGCAGAGTGAAGGGTGTTCGAGGGAAGATTCTGGTGAATGGAAAGGTTCGCGTACCGTACAGCGAAAGGTGGAAAAGGACCTCATGCTACATACAACAGGACGCGTTAATGAGAACAAGAATCACTGTGGGAGAAGCCATGACATTAGCAGCTCATTTGAAGCTCGGTTATACGATCAGCTCCGCTTACAAGCACACTCAAGTAAGTAACAACTATAATTTGATTTTTTATTAGCGAATGTAGGGTTCATAGTTTCCCGTACTCGCCGCTAGAGGGATCGTTTCTCTCGCAAGAACTTGACCGACCTTTCGTTTACATATACAGGGTGTTAGGTCACCTTTGGGAAAAATTTTAATAGGGGATTCTAGACGCCAAAATAAGACGAAAATCAAGAATAGCAATTTGTTGATGGAGCCTTCGTTAAAAAGTTATTAACAATTAAATTCAAAATTTTCAAATCGTTGTGAAAAAATTATTTTCGGTTGCGGGGGCCAATTACAATAATTTTCGGTCATTAGACATACCCTCGAAATCCTAGCCACTTTCTAGAACAAAATTCGAGAAGGTATGAAATTTTTCGACGGAAAAAAAACATTTCAAATCGTTTTGGAAAAATTATTTTCGATTGCGGGGGTCAATTACAATAACTTTTGGTCATTGGGCATACCAACGAATTCCTAGCCACTGTCACGAAAAAAATTCATTACCGAAAATCTAATGTGAGATCAGAATGCTCTCCTGGCGAATCATTAAAATGTCATAACTTTTGAACGGATCGGTCGATTTTAATGTTTCAAGCGGCAAACAACGCGTATTTTGACGGAGAATATGTAGAAATTCTAAAAAAAATCGAAAAGTTGATCTTTGACCGCGCAAAATAAGAAACCCCCCATAAAAATAGTCCAATTTTCAAACAGCCATAACTCTTATAATAATGGCTAAATTTCAATGAAACTTTTTTCTGAAGTAGACCTTATGGGTACCTACAGAAAAGTATTACACAATTTTTCTATAGGGCGTCGAACAAAATTATTAAAAATGAAAAACGAAGTTCTAAGAAAAATCGACGGGGTAGGGTACTGAAATTTTTCGGCAGAAAAAAATTTTTTCAAATCGTCCCAAAAAAATTATTTTCTGTTGTGGGGGTCAATTACTATAATTTTCGGTCATTAGACATACCCTCGAAATCCTAGCCACATTCAAGAAAAAAATTCGAGAAGATCTGAAATTTTTCGACAAAATTAAAAAATTTCAAATCGTCCTAGAAAAATTATTTTCGGTTGCGGGGGTCAATTACAATAACTTTTGGTCATTAGACATACCCTCGAAATCCTAGCCACATTCAAGAAAAAAATTCGAGAATGTCTGAAATTTTTCGACAAAATTAAAAAATTTCAAATCGTTCTAAAAAAATTATTTTAGACTGCGGCGGTCAATTATAATCATTTTTGGTCATTAAACATACCCCCGAAATCCTGCGCATTTTCGAGAAAAAAATTCAGAACCGGTGGAACTTTAAACATTAATAACTTTTTAACGAAGCCTCCATAAACAAATTACTATTCTTGACTTTCGTCTTATTTTGGCCTCTAGAATCTATTAAAATTTTTCTATTTATAAATTCCTAATATATCCCTACATCTAAGTCCTATCCTTTAATTCGCATCTCTTCCCACAGGACTCAAAAATACCAAACAATTTATCAAATTCAAGTGTCTTACACTCTGTATAATTTTTACGAGCATCGTTATCAAGGACGACATATTATATGTTCTGCGTGGACAGGTTTTAGAGCTGCTTGAAATGCTGGGCCTGAGCCATTGCTACGACACTTTGTGCGGAAAATTATCCGGTGGCCAGAAGAAGCGACTGGACGTCGCCCTGGAACTCCTAAGCAATCCTTCAGTATTATTCCTCGACGAGCCTACAACCGGTAATTACGAAATCCGTCACGTTTCAAGTGGTCAGCAATATATCAACCATGTTTCAAAATACTAAATTAATTTTAATAAAACTCTCTGTTCTCTCAAAAGAAAATGATGTATAGCCAGAGCTCTTCCATCGATAGCTTCTTTCATATAACACTATACGTCTCTGCGAAGTTTTACACAGAACCGTTGCTTTTCTTTTCGCATTCTGTCGTGGCATCCGTCAATTTAAATGTCATGTGATGGTCATTGGACCGTGGGAAAGCGAAATTATAGCTAGAAACACGCGACCTTCGTTTCCGATACTCGAGTGTACAGAGCCGACGTTTGCGTGTCTCCCTCGTTTTATCGCGACACTCGTATTACTTACCGGATTACATGATATTTCGAACCACTTGAATAATTTAACACTTTCCCCTGTCCGTACACGTAAAAGAACCAATTACTGCCACTGATACGATCAACTCCAGCAATATTGCCCTTATGATTTTATTTATATATTTATGAAAGATAAAAGCATAGGTCTTCCCATCTGTAACTATTCCATAGCTTTAATCCAAGAAAAAAAAAAAAAAAAAAAATACTAATTCAGTCTAGGTTACCTTAAACTATTCTGTGATCTGTATATCGACCAACAAAATATGAATATAATTTGTATTTATGAAAAGCATCTTCCCATTTATAACTATTGGATAGCTTTAAGAAAAAAAAAAAAAAATTCAGTCTAGGTTACCTTAAACTATTCTGTGATCTGTATATCGACCAACAAAATATGAATATAATTTGTGTTTGTGTAAATAGTCTAATAAAGAAATAATTTCCGGTTCCACAGGCCTTGACTCTGCGTCCTGCAGCCAGTGCATCGCGCTTCTGAAGCGTCTCGCCAAAATAGAAAGGCGTACAGTGATATGCACGATACATCAGCCGAGTGCGTTGCTCTTGGAAATGTTCGACGCCATCTACACGGTCGCAGCTGGATACTGCATATACAGGGGGCCCGTGCAATCGCTGTTGCCGCACCTGGCGTCGGTCGGAGTCGAGTGTCCACCTTACCACAATCCTGCTGATTTTCGTACGCGTCACCGTTCATTTATATTTCGTCCAACGAGAAGAAATCGAAGCGTAAATTAAATGTGATTCAAAAACTGCACCCATCGATCCCCCTCGAGAATTGTAAAATTCAATTAACCCCTTCCCGTAACATTCAGCTCGAGTAAACGCGCGGTAAACGAACCAGACTGATGCTAAACTACTTTGTAACAGAGGTTACAAGAGTCGCCACCGACTCTTGTGGCGCTCTGATAGAAACTAACAATCGACCACGATCCTGATTCGCTGCTCGTGAGCCTGGCTCGTTATGGTCACGTTTGGGCCACAAAATCTTTGCCACGAGTCAGACTCGTTAACCCTTTGCACTCCTATGTCGAGTTTTACTTTTCAAGTCCAAACCAAAGAGATATCGTACACTTGAAAATTACAAAATACAAGAGTGTAAATAAAACAGATATTCTAACAGGTAAATTTCAAATAAAACACTTAACGGCGTTTGGGAGCTGAAGGTAACAAAATTGAAATATAATTCGGAGTGCAAAGGGTTGAAACAAACCTTAACGCTTTAATGGTCGCACTGATATTGTACCCCAAACTGAGATACACGAAAATGCTAGGAATTATAAATGTAACCTCAACAAACTTGATAAGTCGAATGTATGATGAAACGGTGACTGATAGATCACGCACACGTGACAGCGGCCGTCAAAGTGTTAAGTTGGTCTTCCTAAATCTAAGTCTTCCCACTATCTTAGTATAGTTAACCGTGCATTACTGTATACCATCACACGGTTCCGTTTATAGAGTTCTTCTCGTTGAACGAATCGCAAACCTTTCGCGTCTGTTCGCGAAGACGTGAAAATTACATGGTTCGTGTTGCAGTGTTGGAAGTCGCGATCGGTGATTATGGAATCAGCGTCGACAAATTGGCAGCTGCCATGGAATCAGCGTGCAAGGATGATAAGCCGGTTACTACATATGCGACGAACCCGCAGTCGGACGGTAATTACAATGTTTTGTATTCCAACGATTATATTGCATAATATCATCTATCGTTGCGTCACCGTTTCTTTCCCTCGGTGCACGTTAATCTCTACAACAAATCTGTAACCCTTGTTGGTGTATTACGTATCGAGAAACGATTGTAAACCATGTTTACCGTGTTGAATTTAACGCAGACAATACGAAGGAACCACCCCCGCCTGCTGGATTCCTTGGACAGTGTTATTTGCTCTACAAAAGGCAGCTGCTATGCCTGAAGAGGGACTACACGCTGTTGGTAGTGCGTTTGCTGTGTCATCTGTTGATCGGGGTGATATTCGGCTACCTCTACAGGGGAAGCGGTTACAGAGCAAATGGAGTTCTGGCTAATTACGTTTACCTTTACGGGTCGCTTCTGCTGATCGTTTACACGGGGAAAATGGCCGTCACTCTTGCCTGTAAGTACTCAGTCCATATATTTATTCTTCTTGGAGGTTTACGTACGTCAGTGGCCGTGAAATCTTTCTCGACCTTCGATTATTCTCGATCACTCGACCCAAATTAAAATCCATCCACATTTGCATCTTTTTATGCCCAGGTTAAAACCTGTGTAACCGGATTCCACGCGGTTGCTAAATTGTTTTCGTCAGTCGTGCACGTTTCCGCAACTCGGAAGAGAAACGGTCCGATGAGTCAGTCCTCGGCTAGGGTTACCAACCGTACTCTTTTCACCCTCGGGGACCCCGAAACATGTTCTTCAAAACGTATAATTTGTCTACAGGTTTTCAAACAACAAAGAGAGAATGATGATAATTCTTTTGACCTTCTTCCAAATTGTTGAACGTCTCCGTGTACTTTTCTTAAGATCGTCGGTGTCAATATTCATCGCGTGACACTGTGGCAAAATGGTGCCTCGACTTTCTCGTCATTTCTTCGTTCTCTCGTCGCGTTGCTATTGTTCGAAAGGGACTAACTATTCAAAATGTGGGTCAAGGAACGCAACACGCAATACTCGAGAGAGTTAACAGTACCTGTAGTGGGCATTCGTTCTCTTTTATTTTTGCTGACCAGCGGAAACTCGATAGAGAGCGCGAACCGTGTCGTATTAAATATTCAGGATGAGTACAGCGCCTCCTGTGGTCCACGGTTGAACCAATGGCGCTGTACCATAGAAAATGGCACGTGTACGAGAAAAACAAATGGACGAACGAGTCACTTACCCTCTTTATTTTTCAGTTCCACAGGAAATGCGAATTCTCTCGAGGGAGCACTTCAACCGATGGTATCGGTTAGCACCGTATTATATTAGTATGCTGCTGGTGGAGATACCGTTCCAAGCGTCCTGCGCTGCTACCTATTTGGCTGTCAGTTACTGGTTGACAGGTCAGCCCGTGGAAACAGCACGCATAATTTCCTTCATGGTCGTCAGCATAGCAGCCAGCTTGACGGCTCAGGCTTGGGGCTTCTTCATCGGCGCGACCACGCCGGTAAAGGTACAGGTTTTATCGATCCATTATTCGTGTTTTAAAATTAGGTCACATTCTGTTTCGAGACTCTTCGATCCCAGCCAAATCCACGAATTACTACTGTAATCGTTTCTCCGATATGCTAATTAATTTACAAAATTTAAAGTACGCTATTTTCACGAGGAACCATCAATTTGTCGTTTCGGTAAATTCCTTAGGAATTACCAGTGACGCCGTAACTCTTTCTGTTCGCAGATCGCCGTGTTTATGGGCCCTACAATAGCGGTGTTGTTCTCTGTGTTCGGTTTTTGCATCCGTTACATGGACACGCCGCGTCCATTCCGCTGGATATTCCACATATCGTACTTCCGCGCCAGTTTTCACAGTTTGCTGCACACCGTGTACGGTTTCGGCAGATTGGACCTGAAGTGTGACGATTTCTACTGTCACTACAAAAAACCCACGCAATTCCTAAAGGAGATGGACATTGCCGACACGAATGTCGTGAACAATCTCATTCTGATCCTCGGTATCGGTGTGCTGATGCATCTGTTGACCGCCAGTGCACTCTGGTGTAAGTTGAACAGAAGGTAAAAGCCGTTATCGATCTCGGCGATCCCCAGTATTGTTATTGGCCGTTCTAGACCGAATACCGTTGACGCAACGACGACGTCGTTGAAAGAGTTACGTCTGTGCGCGAAATGGTTCTCATGGACTTCGTACACAGAGAAAGATAAACGTTGTGATGTCGCACAGGGTGCACGCTAGCGCCGCCTGGCGGAGAAACGATCCTCGTTCGAACGATGGAAATGTTTACGTTATATAAATTCGAAATCGCTTACGTAAGAGCTGATGCAAGAATCCTGTTCGAAATATTCCGCGTTCGCGTCAGCTGTGAGGGGGCAGAACTGCATTTGCTGTCGGGTCGAGAAGGGTTAACTGTAACATTATTTCCAAACGGTATATGCGATTATTGGTTTTGATTACTCACGCATGAATGGGGGCGAGGATGCATACGTATATGTGTGGCCGTGTCGTTGGGAGTGGGAGGTTGAACGAGTGGGGGGAAAGGGCCAACTGTGGCTCGTGGTTCGCCAGTTCGCCAGACGATCTGGCTCAGATTCGTTAGTGTAGTTCCAATTGTTAAAAAATGACGAATGCAGTTACGCGAACGAGGATATTGGCAACACAGTGTCCATCGTGGGCAGTTCCATGTGCACACGTTCGAAGGATGATCGGTTTTCTATCGGCGACGCATGCGCGTCACGAGTGCAGGTACGAGGCTTCCAATTGGCGGAATCGTCGCTAGCGACGCCATGTTCCATCAATTGGGAGATAGCGCTTCGCGCCATTTTACGCATCGATGACGTCATGTTTTGTTGTTCCTCCCTGTACATTAAAAAGGATTAACATTTAATTTTACATCTTAACTCGCAGCAGTCGCGTTGATGTTCGACGTGCGAGAGAGTTTATAGTCGTAAAATTGTTCGTTTTAACGCGAAACCGAATGTATTCCGTGAATTGAGGACTTTCGTAAGCAGCGAATCGCGAAAGCTTTAAGTCACCAGCGTGCTGTAACTCGACGTAAATTAATTTTACGTGATAGCCACGCGTATAGTAATTAAGAAAGAAGCATATTTTTTTATCACTTTTTCGTACTCCAATATTCTTAAACTATCCCTCGATAACGGTGACAATCGTGTTGAGTTACGATCAAAAAATATAGTCGAAATAGAACTTCGGAAGACTTCGATCAACTGCCTGTGTACAATACAAGCAAACTCTTTTCTGTGAAAAAAAACTACGACGAATCAAAGTCAATAACACATAAATAAACGATACGTGATATTATGCTGATTATTGTTATATCTACGACGGGGCATTGTATATTATTTTTTGTTTATCGATGTGAGATTTTTTATTGTTCAATGCAAGTATCGCCAGCAAAGTCGAACAAATTTTACTCACGAATGTTGAATAAAAATTTTTAGATTAATCGTGAATTCACTTATAAATCAGAATCTATTATAAGTTCACGAACGAATCTGATATTTTTATGCACCATTGGAGAGTATATAATTTGCCCAACTCTGGCCATTAGGGAATGATTTCGTAAGAATTGTTACGTTCTTCGAATACGTTTCATTAAGTAAAACGGATGTTAGTTGTTTCGGTACGAATAACAAATGTAGCAAAATTTTTTAATTCATTTCTTCTAAACTCTTACCTTTGCATAATGTAATAGAGCTAACTATGGTATGTGATACATTTGTTACAGATTTTCGTAATTTTAACGAAACAGCATTTTTAAACGTGTACATCTTTTGGTAATTAATTGTTACACGATTCTTATGTATATCTGCAGGCGTAAAACACATATTTCGCATCCGTTGGCAATGTTTTTAAAGTAAATTACTCGTTACTCGTTTTGAGATGCTAGTTGTTCAACGTACAGGGTGTCTCGTAATCCTTAACTTCGTTAATGTAAATATAAGCACGAACATAAAGATCTGTACTGAAATCCATTTAAGCGGGAGGTAAAACTTTTATTTTATATGGTACACTTATTCTTGGATGAGAAATCCCAATTTCCTATACGAATACTTTTCTATACCAACATTAGAAATGGAAACTCTTCCGTTTCACACAATATTCATTGTAGTGTGAAATAGAAGTGTTTATCAGTGATTCCCAAAACGAATCGAATTTTATATTTACGAGTACGTGGATAGAAATGTATTTAAACAAAAATGTACTTTACCAAGTTGATGCTGTAATCGGCGTTTAAAAAGTGATACGTGTAAAGCTTTAAACAGAATATGCGTTGTTAAACTATCGAATAAATAACATCACGTTACCTAGATTGTTGTTAAACCTATCTCAGTGGACGATGTCTAATATAAATATTATAAACTAGTATTATAGAATTTATCAGGGATGCTAGATTACGTGGAGATCTATTCAATAAATGTACGGTGGTATATTTTCTAACAACAGTCCAGAATTCCTTTACACTTCTCTGTCGATGCAGAAATAAAGACGCCGTTTATATGTTTATTTTTTATTGTACATTGTATCAATCTGTTTCTACGCTCGGATACATTGTTAACTTTTTCGTTTTGGTTCAGTTTTTCTTTTTCCTTTTTTTTTTTTTTGTTTCTTTTTATTTATATCATATACAGACAGAACGCTAATACAATCCCCCCCCAAGACCTAATTCAACGAACAGTTATATAAAGTGGTCGGGGGGGAGAGTGATAATTTTCATTTTGCATAAATTACACATTTTTAAGTTAAAACTATTCGTTTGCTACGCTCGCACGCGTGCAAATGTTCATTTAAGATAAATAAAATTTCTAGGAAACGAATTTCAAGAGATCATATGAGGCCCCGCGCAAAGGGCGACGAATTTTCCTTTACAAATATACATACATAAATCGGTGCTTCGTCGAATTATTGTTTCGCAGATTTTGTAAACGCAGAAGAAGAACAAATACGTATAAACGTAGCGTACGGGTGGTTGGGGGGAATTATTTAAAAACGATACAAGAGTATTAACATGATTCCAACGTGTTCGCGAATAACGAGCATACCGGGCTCTACGTATAATTGGTATCGTATGCGTCGTCAAGTCGCGTTTCATCTTTTTTTTACAAATTTTCATAGACTAATTCAGTGACGAACACGTGCGCAATCGTGTATGCACTACGATTTATCAGGGGGTGCTCTGCTTAAAAATCACTTACGCGATACGCCACGCCAGAAGGATCGACAGTCGCGTTATTCATCCTCGCGAATTACAAATTCTTCCTAAACGTTTAAAATTAACGCGATCGTACAATAACCTACGAATTAAAAGTGACGTATGCTAAACTGCATGATTCCAAATGTTTAGTCATATGGCCATAGTAATAGCAGTGTATCTGTACGATTTTTATGCACTGTTATTATTTCATAACGTTGCGTGTTAACCCTTTGCACTCGAGGGTGATGGTCATTCGCGGGGAATTTTGGTCATGCGCGCTGGAGCACACGATCACTGTATACACTTAACTAGAATTTAGGGAAAGAGACAAAAACAAAAAATTTCCTCTCAATCTACATGGGTATAGCTAGAGAAATACGTATGGGGATGTTTGATAAGTTCATTTTTGTCTGATTGGCGAGCATTTGAAGTAGAAAGGACAATTTTGTACAAAACATGGGAATTCTAAAGATACATCCATGGCAGGAAGCTAACGCATGTGTAAAAAAATTCCCGCGAATGTCCATCCCACACAGATCTTATGGAAAATGGCCCCCCCCATTTAAATTAGCTGAAATTCTGATATGATGCAGTTCATGGTGCTTGATGAAAAATTTCAATGGGCCCAAGCTCGCAAATTGAACAGTTTCAAAAGTCAATAATAGTATGACTTATTCCAGACTAGCACGTTCGAGCATATTTAAGTGTAAGAAGCACTGTTGTAGTACACTGTCCATATATTTAACCCTTTAAAACTCAGTAGTTGTACTGTGGACCCTCTGACTCCCATTTTGACTCCTGAAGGGGAGTCAGAGGGTCAGGGGTAACATTTAAGGGCCCACAGGGTTACAACAGTGCTTCTTACACTGAAATATGCTGAAACATGGTAGTCTGGAACAAGACACACTATTATTACCTTTGAAACTGTTCAATTTGCGAGTTTGGGCCCATTGGACCATTTCATCGAGACACCATGAACCACATCGCATCAAAATTTCAACTAATTCAACCAGGGGGCCATTTTCCATAAGATCTGTGATCTGTGACCTTTGTCTTCAAACTCGAGGACTCTGCTATGGAGACACTGCAAATAATTTTCAGTTCATAACACAAGGACAAAGAGAAATCGTAAAAGCTATAAGATCGTGTAGTGTGTTCTAATAGATTTATTATTGTAACACCTGTATAGAAAAGCCAAGATTACATATTGGCGATTGCTTCGAGAGGTATCCACACCTTGAACGATTACAAAATGTAATTGTATCCATTATAAATCCATAATAAATTAAAAAAATAATAACTTTTAATCCGCATATCATTTACTTATATGCGAATATGGATCTTTTCGCTAAAATTGCTTCGAGTTGCTGGTAATACGAATGAAAAATGGAGTGCAAAGGGTTGAACAGCAGAATAGAAGAAAAAATTGTTTCTGCGAACCACTGCTGTACCCTTCTGCATGTGGTTTATCATAATAAATATCTTTAAATACATTATCTACCGATGCTTCTTGACCAGGAGCACGTTGCAGTTACGCAAACCCTCGAATATTTCTCAATGTCCCGATGCTTATCCATAAAAACAAAGTGAAGAATGCGATCGCTTAAAACACACAATTCATTCGATATCCACGTTCGCGTAGATATATACAGAAAATTTATAGCGGATTGTATCGTATCTTTGATCCTTATCGCCAGCAGAAACAGTGTCCTCAACGGCTTGTAGAGCTCACTACGTCGTACGTTAGCTGCTTGTAAATACAAGGGGTAAGAAAACATTCTACGTATTCATTTTATAAGACAGAAGTGATCTCCCGGTCTGTATTTATCTCCTAGTTACGCGACGATTACGATTAAAAACTCGAATACGCTTATTTATAGTCGCGAAGGGGACGCATGTCGCGTCCCAGCACTCCGCGACTCGTCGCCGCGGTAGCCTTTTAATACTTTTTTTTTCCTTTGTTTCGTTATTTTTCTGCTTTTTCCACGACACATCGTAACATTTATATAAAACTCGTAACCCGAAGACGAATGTTGTATCAATACTCTTTACAGTGAGCGTGTAAGCAAAATAAAAGGGATGGTGTACTGAAAAAAACAACGAAAGTGCGATACCGATAAAAAAAACGAAAGAAAATGGCGGGCGCATGGAACCATTTCAAAGAAACGAAATAGGGGGGGTGATAAAAGAAAGGAATCCGCGAAATGAGAACAAAGACGAAGAGAAAAGTTGAATCTGTCCATTCGGTCCATTCCGAGCGCGGTTTACTTTCAGAAAAGACCAAATCAAGTAGGTACACATTTTGTTCGTATATATTATTTACAGCGACTGAATATTAAATTGTCTCTATTAATTATTTACATCGAACCGTTATATAATTTTGTTTTTTTTTTTTTTAATCACAATGTTTAGACTGTTTCACCTTTCTTTGCGCCTCGGATTCATCCTCCGTGCCGTACAGATGACACCGGTGCTTCATTTCGGTCGCAACAGACTTTAATAGAACCAATTGAAACACAAAAATCAACGTAAGCACTGGTGAAGAAGACAAAAAGAGGGGAGAATTACAAAAAAAAAAAAAAAAATAAAAGAAAAAAAAAAAACAGGTGCGACAAAAAAAGCGAAGAAAAAGCAAAGGTGAATTCGTTTCGAACGATCAATTATTTCTCGTAGTCAAATTAGTTTAACACTAAACTCACCAGACGTGAACGCACTCTTTTTGGCATATCTTCCTGTAAGCTATAAATCTCGTTTCGCTTCAGCACGAGTTGCGAACCATCTTCGAAAATTACCTGAAACGTAATCACGAATTGAAAATAATCGTCGACGTTTAGAGGTTTCAGAGTATTATTATTGCACGTATTTATACGTGGACGCCACAGCGAGTGTGAATTGTGGTAGGAAGCAACAATATCGTTCGATCAACTTACACCGACGAGCTATGTGCATCGATAAAATTTACATTCGCACGTTTGGTTCATAATAAAACTACAGAGATAATACTTGAATATTTAGAAAGTATTGGGCGTAAAAATTTCGAGTAAAAAAACATTTAGGAAGCTTTCGTCAGTCGTACAAAATATTTGTTGCAGCATCACAGTTGGAGGATTTAGGTGACTTTGCTTAGACTTAGTACCTTGTACACCGAGTGAACAATGTGTGTAGCAGAGATGGGCAAAGTAACAATTAATTAATAAGAGAAATATAACATGATCATTCGTTGTACAATTTTTTTCTTTTATTTATTGCCCATCTCTGCACCGAGGGTCGAGACGTCACACATACGAGGATCGTGTAAGCGTGTAAGTGTACGCCATAGGTGCTGATACATTTGTATTCTTGCTGTTGCTCCCCACCTGTCACATCTTTTACTGTGACGTCATTTGACCCCCGATGCTTTGGGTCGCGATCGAAATTGGGGGTGGCTCCCATTCCCCTTAGTCATCGGTTCCCCTTCCCCGCTCTAGAAGGTAAGTTGCCCCCGGCTTCCTACGATCTTTCAGAAGCTTTGGTTGTATTTTAAGATCGCACAAAACTTGCGTTTTATGCTCTAAACGGAATATCACATTTGTTTCTCTTAAAACATTCCATCTCGGGTAGTTAACGAAACACCAGGCTCGATGAATATATTTTACAGAAAACAAGAGACTTTGAACTACCCGAATAGAATTCAATTCTGTCAACACTTTGACGGCCGCTGTCACGTGCATGTGATTTCGAACAATCGTCGACAAACTGGCGAGACACGCGGCCATGAAAATGTTAAAGGTTAGAGAAGAAAAATAAATGGACGTGCTACTCACGGTGTACATGATTCTATGATTTGTACCCTCGAAGATACCATCGTACAAATTCTCGTCAGTCCACTTTACGATCACTGCTGCCCCCTGTTGCGGCGGATTTCCCGGATCATAGTTCTAGAATCAAACAGATGGTAACAAAATTTGCGATGCGATTCGTAATGGGACGAGAACGTAGTCTTAAAAGTACAAACAGATTTCTACCGTAATGTCTGATGGATACAAATCTTCGCTGAAGCTATCGTCGCTGAACGTGACCATGTAAAACAGGGTGTCGTGTATGGAGTCTACTTTGGCCTTGTAATATCTCGTGTTGCGATGCTTCGCCCATACGATCTCTCCCTGTCGGATCGTTGGAACTTTTTCTTTGCCGTCGTCATGCCCGTCACACGTCACCTAAACGCAATTCTCGTTATTTATCGATTCTATAATTGTTAATTCGTCTCGTGAATCGTCAGGTATCGTCTTTTAGATACCTCAAGTTCCGGTGAGTTGTAGACAGGTATTGTGAACGTTGCACCGGAAATGAGACCGCACGACGGATGGAACAGATTGTTACACTGGTTACAGTTGAGACACGCTCCGTCCTTTTGCCCGCAGTAACAACACAGCTGACTAACGATATCAGGCCTCATAGTTAACACGTTGATCGGATCCTTGTTGATCGCGTCTTTGAATGTAACGCCTGGCAATAAGAGGGCGCATAATATATGCGCCCAATTACTGTCGCTGGTACGCTTCAGGGCACCGCCTCGCATCGGACATAGACAACACATCTGCAAACAGATTTAATCGCTTTTAAGAACAGAGACGATATCTTAAAAAATTTAATAAATATACAGACACCTACCACTTGCGTTTTACCGGCTCTACATTTATCGCAGGCCCAATTTCGTAGGTCCGTAGGCAACACGGTAATCCCGTAACACGAGGCGTGTACGGTGACGTGACATTCCCTGCAACGCAGCAGCTTGTCGTTTTCCGGTTCGACGATCTGCTCTTTCGAATTCGCTACGAAAACGCTTGCAGAGACCTGACGACATGGCATACAATCAGTTAAACGTAATTTCACGTTGTGAGAAGTGCAATACGAAACGGATGGACTCACCCATATCGGCGAGCTCTCCGGTAAAACGGTGGGTTTACAATATTTCCAGTCGGGTGGCATCAGTCTGCCGTATCCGTTGCAACTGGAAGTGAACGGCGCGCAGATGGCGCAGTGGGATATTTGAGCGCTCCAATAATCGTTGAACGCTTTCAGTAAATCGTTATTCGGCACGATGGGGTAGAGCATGTCGGATATGTGGCCCGGTATCATCGACACGCGATGGGAAACCGGCGGTAATTTATCGACGGTGGTATTGTTCGTGACTACGTTCGAATCGTCCACGTTGATCGCGGTGATCGTCACCTTGGTGTCCAACGCGTCTTTTTTCCTGGTGGTGGCCTTCTTCAGTTTCTCTTTCGACTTTCGCCTGGACATCGTCAGTTTTATCGGCTTCAACGACGGCATGTGCGCGTATATGTTGTCCGTGGTCTTGCGAGCGCTTTGACACTGAAGCTTCTCCGTGGAATCGATCCTGTGTGGAAGTTGCTCCTGCGAGAGGGGCGTGATCGTGACGGTCGAGTCTAAATCGTGAAAGTTTGGCGAGGACCGAGCCAAGCCGTAATGGGCACCTACGTCCAAACCGGACACGTTCAAACTAGTACCGGACGAGCCGTCGACGTCCAACGGACTGTCCGCCTGCGTCGACACCGTCTTCACGTTACTCGCGATCGAGGCGACACCCTTGAACGAATTCCTGTTGCACGACTCGTCCCTCTGGCTCGCGTTTCTCTTGGTAAAGTAGTGATCCTGCGACTTTTGCAAAATCGTCACGAACGACGAGGCCGGCGCGCTGCTCGTCGTCGATTTCTGCAAACACTTTCTGTTGAAGTCAATCATCATCGAAGACTGAGGATTTATGGACACGTTCGCGCAGCTGGGCGACGGGGCTAAGAAGAACGTGTTGGTTTTCGGCAGTCCCAGCGAGGACTTCTGCGGTGCGTCCAGGCTCATGGTCTGCGCGTCGTCCATGGAGTTGTCCTTGGAGAAGAATAAACTGCTGTTGCAGCTAGGCAGCTGCCAGAACTTCGTCGCCATCATTTTCGACGCGTCCGTGGTGGATCTCTTCCCGAGCGTTCTCACGTCCGTGCCGGTACCGCTGATGCTGTGACAAGTGACGGACTGAGTCAGCGGTTGGCTGAGCACCGCGCTCTTCGCGAAGAAGCCTTCCAAACGCGGTATCTGAATAGCGTTGCAAGCGACGGGTTTCGACGGTTCCGTGGACTTGGAATCGTTTCCAGACTCCTGCGTGGTGACCTCCTTCTGCAGAATCGGTGGTCCGGAGAAGCTCAAGTTCGTGTTCAGGAACATGATACCCGGATTGGGGAGTTTGGGCTCCTGAGGTTTGGCGATAGGCCAAGTCTTTGGTAAAACTACTACGTTATTCGACGACGGGTCCTTCTCCTCTCCCATCGACTTGTCGGATTCAACCTTAGGCGAGACCTCGGTGGAGGTTATGTTGTACGCTGACTTCAACACGCTCAGCCGTGGCGCTTTTATTATGTCCTTCTTCGTATAGTTGGGCATCGATCTCTCGGTGAGCATCGTGCCCACGCTTTTGCAGCTGGTGTAACTAGACGGTCTCATATCCGGTATCGCGAGCGGGTCGCTGCTCATGTACCCGGACTCCACCGCTTTGTCGAACTTGACGGGCTTCGATTGATCCAACGCGATATTCTTCAACGCCGCTTGCTTCGCGAACGTCGACTTGATCCTGGCGGCGCACATTTTCTTCCCGCTCTTCGCGTGGAACTTCGCCCGCTCGACCACCGCGTTATCGACGAACTTCTCCGCCCCTTTCGGACTACCGTACACGGGATTCGCCTCGTGGTTGGTACTCGTGACGCTCGGGACTGGTTTGTCGGTGATCGGTGTCACGCTGATCTCGTTATTAGCGAAGATCAGCTTCCCCGTTATGTGACTTCCTTTCCCGAGACTGTTCGAAACGTTCTTGATGGTGAATGGTTTGTGACTTATGCTGGGCATGGCCATAAGCTGCCGTTGCACGTTCGCGTCGGACACGTCCAACGGCTCGCCGGTGTCGAAGATGGATATATTCAAATGTTTGCTCTTCTTTTTGCCGGTACCCCTCGGTCTTCCCTTCTTCGCTTCCCCGGACTTGGAATGTTTCTTCTTCTTTTTGACTGGTTTCTCGGTGGCCTCCGAGAAATCGGAAACGTCTTCCACTTTGATACCCTCGTTGACACTGTCGCCAGCTGTCGCGACGTTCGAGCCCCCTTGATCGTCATTTTGCTCGGGGAACGAAGAGGACATGAAGTTCAAGCTATCGTCCGCTTCCACTTTGATTTCAGTCTTTACTGTCACTTGCTCGGTAATACTTTTGTTCGACTCCTTCTTGGACTTGGATTTGTCGTTGTTCTTTTTCTTTCGCTTTCGGCTCTTTTTACGATTGTAACCGTCATCGTACACGGAAGCCTCGTTCACGTCTACGATACAAATTCGATCATTAACATTTAAGATTTAGAAGCAAAATTATCAAAGTGATTATCGAATCGATTTCTCACCCATTTCTCCTGCTTTCAGCCATATGTCTTCCAAAACTTCCAGCTGCTGTTCGTCCGGTTGTTCCTCGACTTCCTCCAGTTCAAGATCCTGCAAAACTTTCTTCACGTCGGGTGGAATATCGGGACGGTTCACCAACTCCTCCATATCAACGTCCGGATTCGTAGCCATGATGTTTTTCTTTTTATGTATCGTGTGCCGTTTATTTTTCGGTGCAGCACTTAAGTAGCTCTGTGGCAGTTGACCATTGCTGCTATTACTGCACAGAAGATCCATCTGAGACGGCATGGGAGCAGCAGTTTGCCTAGGATCTTCAGGATGTGGACCAATGTCTTCCCCGCGTAACCACAATTCATATCTATGATATATTAATTTTAATTAATGTACGATTCTTCTACTAAATCCTGTTTTAATAAATATCCAAAAGAAAGTCTGACTACCTCTCCGGCTGGAAACGTTTCACGAAGGTGTCCATAGAGATTTTAACCATATCTTTACTGCAGGTACATTGCGTAGCCCTTTTACCATACTCCACCCATCGCGGTGCTGCGAAATTAGTAGATTCAGCGCAATTGAAACCATGATTGAAGCCGGCGTGATAACCGTAAGGAAAGGTGATCATTATTTCACCAGCTTCTTGCGTTATCTAAAAGATAAATGCAATTCTTATATCTGCAACTTTACAAAAGTCTGATTTGAGTATTTCCTTTATACGGCGAGAGCGTATTGAAACTTACTTTATTGCATGGAATGGAATATTGCCTCAATATCTGAGGCGAAATGAGAGACATTTTGTGACGCAAGAAAGCCTGACAACTCTGGTAGCTCGACGGAAAGAAGCCACTGGCGAGCCTTTCCAATCGTCGTCCGTGTTCTGGCGGTATGGCGTACCACGTCTTTGGGGCTCCAAAATGTAAATAATTTATGGAGTACAGATCCATGTCCTCCGTGTGCCACGCGAACGTGGTCTTCCACATTCCGAAATACAAGTACGCCGTGTTGACGCCGTCAATAGATATACCATAGTCTTTGTTTACGTAATCGAGAATTGTACCTAGATGATTAATGTTCCATTCTTTCACGTCCGGATCAGTCAACGAACCGGAAACATCTGCTCCGTATATAGGCGCTACGTATGTTATATTCTTCCAATATTTCCTCTCCAAATCTTCGTAATCAAAGTGACGGGGAGTGTTATAGCGCTCAGAATTAGCTAACTTACTGTACTCCTTAACGGTCATCGACTTCTTTTGTATATTAATTTGCTGATAAAGACCCTGCTTGCCAGTGACTACTTGACAAATCGGCGCCGGAATAGTCAGATTCAAGTCGTCTAAGTTATAGCCTCCTTTCCTCGGAATCCATTCAGGCGGTGGGATTACTTTTGCTAAGCCTGCTTTATGCGCGCCTTTGCTTTCCATATATTCTACGTACTTGGTAAAATCCTTGAACTCTTCGTACGAAGGTCTGAAGACTTGGATGCGGGGCGTACCCCGTGAAATGTTGCTGACCATTTTTTTATATTAATTTCTACACCTGAAAAACCAAGGTACAGATTAGAATGGACAGACAGTGTAAGAGTTTCGTTTGCAATTTGTAATTGTAACAAACGAGTACCGATGTAATTTACAATGTACACAACCGTCCGGTAAAAAGATTATATTGTACCATTTAAAGTCATTGACACGCGAATACATCGAAGATAATAACCATGGACACAGATAATTCATGACATAAATAAGATCGCGAACGAGAACCGTGACACATAACGATAAACACGAAACCAAAACATCCTGTACATCTGCAACGCGCACGACACCTGTCCCGTCAGTGAAAATAATTAAAAACCACACGGATAACCGAAGTAGAAGCCAGTAAACATATCACCGGGGCCGGTTGATCGTGTCCAATGTGAATTTGATGTTTTTACGTGCAACATTCAAAAAAAAAAAACGAGAGAATGCCTAGCGAGGCGCGGATGTTTTCAGAACGAAACGTGCCGGAGGTGCATAAACAAAATGGATGATACCTATTGTCAAGGAGTACCTCTTAAAATAAACTTATCTACAACTCATTGATAGCGGACGAGAAACTAAACGCGTCGCGGGAGAACGGTGGAATCGTCGTTGTCCATGATTTTTATCACATGTTTGCCACTTCAAGGCAGTTTTTCATAGTTGAAATGATGGCTGGTCGCGAAATCTTGTCGTTGGCATTAATATTGACCGATATGTATTCTCGCGTACGGGAACGCACAGTTTTCCACATTCTCCCCGTCCAATACGATGCATTACTTACACCGATATCAGACGCGAAAAATCACCTTTCCTGTATAAACACCATGTTCATCCAGATATTGCCGTGGATCCTGCGATTTTGACACATTCACCGCTGTACCCCGCGCGTCTCCAATACCAATAAAGATGGCGTTCAACCCTACATTAGCCTCAGACGCCAGAGCAATAGTGCACGCGTTCGAAGCGGCAAGTTCAAATTTCTCTGTTTAGTCACGTACATGATTTCACGTCAATATTCTAACAGAAATCATCGGATATATCCACTTTCGTTAAACCGTGGTATTCGTCGTGGATGTTTCAATCTACGGAAGCACATTAGACAAGGGCATGGACAGAATTTTGTCTAGAGAGGGACAACAATTCTAGACTAATTTACTAAATTAAGATTCTCATGTACCTACTAAATATATATCACTGTATTTTAATGCTACGCGTGGACGTTAATTAAATAAAAAATATAGAATATCAGTCTTACTAACAGAATACATATTTCGTAACAATTTTCTCATTGCGTCGATAACCTACTACGAAACTGAAGTGTCTAGATGATATATGAACAGATATTTATTATATTATATACATCGATCCGTTTGATAAACTTTGTTCAAAGCATATTTTTATAATAAATAACGATCCACTGAGGTACAAAAGTTCGTACAGCTATCTACGGCAGGACACCCAAGTGTGTCGAGAAACAGTTCGTCGTCTTCGACGCTAGATGGCGCGTCAAGCATGTGGGAGTTATGATAGGTCTACTCCGTACCTAGTCTGTGCCAGAGATGCCAGACGGAGCCTGTAGGAAAATTCAAAAGTATTTCGATTTTGAAAAATCGTAATATACATATATACATAGGAATATTACAAAAAATTTCTTTTTTTTCCAATAATTAAAATATGATCAGGGGGTCTTAAAATGTATATTTCCGTAATGGTATTTGGGGTAGTCGAGATTCCAAAATCGTATGTCGTTCGCCTGAGGTCGGATTTCAGTTGTTCAAGAGCTTTTTCTCTCGACTCCCCACGAGACGGTCCGAAATAATTTCGGGCAGCCTCGGATAATCGAAAAAGAGGGCACGTGTGTCAATTTGCCTTTGTCGACTGTCCGCGACTCGTACGAGTTCGCGTATGCGTGCACCGGCATAGTGTTAGAAAGTGGAATGAGGTGTCGCTGGTGAAGTCCATCTAGCATCTCTATTCTGTGCCCAAAATGATCAAAAGTCAAGATCGCAGATTGTCGGATAACGATCGATGCTTAATTTTTTTTAGCTTAAAAGCTAGATCAGAATCAATCGACTTTACATACGCATTATTTAAACTACTTTGGGCATTTTTAAACAGAAAATGGAAACGAACGAACAGACCTATAAGTATTAATTTTCTGCCATTATTGGTTAACTTTTAAAACAGTTCATTTTCCACATATTGCAATGTTTTACCAGACCAACAGAACATCCATTGGATTCAGCTATTAATAACCGTAACGAACTAAATCAGTTTTATACTAGTTCTAGCAACAGTGTACTCTTATCGCATTAAGATAAGAGGACAAGATACTAAATAATATTAAGTTTTATTTTAATTGAACGTATTTACTGTAAACTCGATACCCTCGAGTTGCATCTTGATAAGTTATTTCCAATACGCGGGTACAGCTGCTCGTGTTATATATACACAAGTAAAATAATACTACGAGACACATTGCGGCCAGCCTTGTCGAGTTGGCAAGGGTTACAACGAGTTGGCGACATAAAAACGATATGTACATACAGCTGTTCATACATTTAGCAAGGAAAATAAAATCTTACTGAAAATATTAATCGTCATCGAAGAAAGAAAGCTGTACAACTTTTATCATTGATTAATAAATTAATAAAAATTAATGAAACGCGTAAACGAGAAAAATTGTACCGTTCGAAGTACATACGAGGTAATTCGAGTTTTGATTTCGCACGCGTAACGAATTCAAACAAACACGTTTGCAGATAAGGCTTTCGTGACCCAACTGCTCGAAAATAATCAACGAGACGAAGCTCGACGCTACTTACTGGGTATCAGCTGGGTGTTATATGGCATAGAGACGGTATCCGCGGACGCGAGTTAACTTTCAACATGTGCCGGAACAAGGACGCGCGCGCCTAGAGAGGAGGGCACTAATGGTTCGTTCAGTCGTCGTTCAGCGTAGGAGGGTGACGGTATCGCGCCGCGCGTCCCGATGCACAGAGGTCTTTCCGTTCGAAGTGCTTTTCATCGTGTGCATGGTATTTCCAATTCGTACCGCAGTAAAACCGAAGAGAATCGAATGAAATAACGATCGTTTACGCGCGACTCAGAAAAAATTCACCGTCGCTTTGCAATTGCGACCAGATAACGAAACGATTTCCGTAGGATAGATTGTGTTTGAAAAATATACGCACACGCACGCAACGTATACACGCAAGAACGTTTCGATAAAGCAAGCGACACATTTTTCGATCGTTCGAACTGCACGCTTGTGTTATTTATCGCTGGTCGATTCGTTAAACTGGTCGGATATATAAGTCCCTTGTCTTTCGGATCGTGTCGTTCTAGTGCGTGAGAATATACGAATATCGCCGTCTCTTTCTCCGATAAAAGTGTCGTGGCACGTGCATTCTAAGCTACGCGTGAAAATAAGCTCCCCGGCGCGTTCAGGATTGTCAACAATGCGTGTCCGATATTTTCGCGCTAATTAACGGTCCCGCTATTTTCGTACGGCCCGTTCCCTCTTCTCCGTGAATTCTGGATCGTCCCGAGTCTCGATCCGTGCAGTTTAACAATAACGGAAAGTTTAATCGATGTCCCGCGGTGGTGGTTCTCAGTGGTTGGAAAATATTGTGATTAAAGACGCGGCTCGCGTATGTGTTGTGTCAACGTTCCTTTTTCCAAACGGGTTGCGTAGTCTCGCGGTCGTTCGTAAGTTTGTTCTGTCCGGTCGAGTAATGCATTTCTATTTAATCAACGAAACACGATTCTATTATTAGCGAGGAGGAAGTGCCTGTGTGATCGGAAAACAAAGAACCGCATCGACACGCGTTTACCAGTCGTGAAATTTTCTTTGTACGCGACGGTGAAAATCTCTTGGCGAAGGGTCGAGGGGAATAGAAATAGGAAAGACACGATGAAATTTCACATTCCGAGTCGTTAAGTTTTTCCGTCGTCAGCCTTGGACCGTTATGCGTTATCGCGCGACACGATCGTTTTCCATCCACTCGCCGATGCAGTTTATTTTCTTATTAACTCGAAATGCATTCTGGATTCGCGTAGAGCTGTGAAAGATAACCTCTTCGCGCGGAGAGATTGTTTCGTGGAACGCATTCGTACTTACGCAGCCATTGTTCCGATTACGTTCGATAATCACGAGCTGGAAACGATTTCATTCGAGATAATTTATAAAATATTTTTAAACAAGTTTTAAACGGTGCAAGAACGTGCTTTTACATGTTTTGTAATCCGAACCAAAAGTTGGACGTTTAGGCGCGGTTAATCTCACGGTAAACTCATTCCGAATCCGCTTATTCCTCTTATTTGCTCTGCCAAACTTTGCCCGACGCGAGGTAGAAAGTATCGACTGTTCAAGGTCACTTATCAGCTATTCCTACCGCGGCATTAGTTTCTAAAGAAAAGCTTCGATGGAAAAGAAAATGGCATATTTCATACTTATCGATCTAATGCACGGCAATTGAACGAGATGAGGCTATTCCGTCAACCGAGCTAGTTACATTCCAACGTTCGTGTTATTTATTAACCACCAGGGAGGGACGAAACATGAAACTTCGCGTCGGAATCGACAGCGCTGCAACAACGCCCCCGGTCTGCGTACACGCGTAATTCGTTGGAGACGATCCCTATTTTCTCATTCTTTTTGCGTTCATGATGTTGCTTGCTTCGTGACCTTTGGATGCAGTTCGTTCGATAAAACAGGAGCCGCGTTACAAACTACGGAAGCATAGGAATCAAGGTTTCGAACAAGGACGATTTGCAATCGTCTGCAACTGCATTGTGTTTGTTCAACCTTTTGCGGTATACAGACACCGTACGCGGACAAGACTAGCATGATTAAGTTACCGTGGTACAGGCAACCTCGATAAACAATAAATATATCTTACTAATGCAAGCGTCAGCTTCGAACTCATGCTCGAATAATTAACACCTGGTTGAATAATTTGAAATATACAGGGTGTTCGGTCACCACTGGGAAAAATTCTAATGGGAGATTCTAGAGGCCAAAATAAGACGAAAAGCGAGAATACTAATTTGTTGATGGAGCATTCGTTAAAAAGTAATTAACGTTTAAAGTTCCGCCCGTGCTGAATTTTTTTCTAGAAAGTGGGTAGGATTTCGAGGGTGTGTCTAATAACCAAAAATTACAGTAATTAACCCCCACAACTGAAAATAATTTTTTTTGAACGATTTGAAATGTTTTAATTTTGTCTAAAAATTTCACATCTTCTCGAATTTTTTTCTTGAATATGGTTAGGATTTCGAGGGTGTGTCTAATGACCGAAAATTACAGTAATTAACCCCCAGAACTGAAAATAATTTTTTTAGAACGATTTGAAATGTTTTAATTTTGTCTAAAAATTTCACATCTTCTCGAATTTTTTTCTTGAATATGGTTAGGATTTCGAGGGTGTGTCTAATGACCGAAAATTACAGTAATTAACCCCCAGAACTGAAAATAATTTTTTTAGAACGATTTGAAATGTTTTAATTTTGTCTAAAAATTTCACATCTTCTCGAATTTTTTTCTTGAATATGGTTAGGATTTCGAGGGTGTGTCTAATGACCGAAAATTATAGTAATTAACCCTCATAACTGAAAATAATTTTTTTAGAACGATTTGAAATATTTTAATTTTGTCGAAAAATTTCACCATTGGAATTTTTTTCTTCAAAGTGGCTAGGATTTCGAGGATGTGTCTAATAACCAAAAATGATTGTAATTGACCCCCACAACCGAAAATAATTTTTTTAGAACGATTTGAAATGTTTTAATTTTGTCTAAAAATTTCATACCTCCTCGAATTTTTTTGTTGAATAAAGCACACGGACCTTCGTGGCTAGGAAATCACACACACTCTGACCGTCGTTTGTGATTAATTGTTCAGGTACGACTGTCCTATCTCGCGCACATTCTTTCCCCACTTGCGAAATCTGAATTCGCCGATAAGGGGCAATGGTCGCTCTTCGCTAATTTCGCGTTTACCGATTCGCGCCTACACTAATAAAAGCAACGATGTCATAGGCTCGTAGCACGGTGATTGTCGACCGTGAAAGATTAATAGTTCCTAGTGAAAATCTCGTTAGAACGTGGTATGCAAGGAGCAATACGCGGGAGAAAGTTTTTAGTCGACGTATTTGTTTAATTCCAATCCGTGCCATTTATCAAATTCGTTCGAAAATATTGCACCTACGCCTACAAACAACGACTGTTTGTTCGAGTCCGTGGCGTTCGAATTGGCGGGAACCGACTGCGGGACGCGTGGGAGGTTAGGTAACGAAATAGTGGCGCGGAGTTTCCCGCGGAATATCGTAGGAACTAAAGACACATATTTTGATTTGTCCTATCGTTAATTTCAACGCGAGGTGCTTCATCGAGTGTTCACGTTCCGCGCGTCGTGTCGAACGACGATTTGCATTGCAAATTCGATCGAGGAGTGTACAGTTGAGGCGAATAATGTTTCTGAATTGCCGTCTATTTTCATTGCACGTGTGCCACGATGCCAATAACAGTACAGAGCGCGTTGGTAGTCGATCGTGGCGCAATTAAAGCGCCGTATCGAAAGTGTTTTGAAACGTGATGGAACGAGCAAATAAATTTCGTATCGCGAACGAATGCACGTCGGCTTGCACCGACCTATGACCCATAAACGAACGCCCACGGTACCCCCTCGGTTAAGAAACGCGACACAACCAGTTCTTACAGTCATCGTTTCGACGGTTTTTTTTTAACCTCTTTTTACCTTCTTTCGCGGCTTTCACACGCGTTTCGTTGTGTTTAGTGCTGATAAAATTCGTCGCCCGTCGGCAAAAAGAAAGAGAAAGCGGCACGTTGGGCAGTCGAATGTGAGGGCCCGGAAGAGGATAAACGAAAATGGGCACGAAGGTACTCATCGAGATGCAGCAGCAGCTGAGACACGCCATGTCTAGCTCGGATAGCGCGCCGACCAGTACAAAAAAGTTGGACGACACGATGAACGTGGACAACTCGATATTTCTAGTCTTCGAGGATATTTCCTACAGCGCGCGGCCATGGATCCTCTCCAAAGGTAAGATAACGAAAAAAATAAATATGTAAAGAAAATTTAACCCCTCGACCCCGGGAAAAATTTTAATGGGAGATTCTGGAGGTCAAAATAGGACGAAAATCAAGAATGCCAATTTGTTGATAGAGACTTCGCTAAAAAGTTATTAACGTTCAAAGTTCCACCTGTAACAAGGCAATCTGCGCACAGCTGCGTGCGCGCGACAGTGACTCTCGCTCAGAAAACTGCATGGCTGTCGATACGTCGCTCAGTAGAGTTTCTCACGCTGAGTGAGAATCACTATCTCGCGCAGGCGGAACTTTAAACGTTAATAACTCTTTAACAAAGCCTCCACCAACAAATTGGTATTCTTAATTTTCTTCTTATTTTGGCCTCTAGAATCCCTCATTAAAATTTTTCCCATAAACAACGTAAAAGCGTCACTATATATTTCAGTTAAAGGTTCCCAGGTTTTTAGGTCAATACTTTTCTCAAGTATCAATTACCACTCGTTGATTTATGCGAATCGTTGCGAAATTTGTTTCCAGGATTTTAGAGAAATGGACGACAGCCACGGAAAATTCAAGAGTATAGTTTTATTGCACGGTGAATTCTGGAAAAAAGCTTGTATCTACTGCAAACAAGCTGTACATGTTACGTGTACCCTCGAAAAGCGACGCATGATTCACGAACCTTTATGTACAGAATTCCTTATCCGAGCTTTCTTATCGAGGTATACACAACGTGTTAACTTCGCCCATTCAATTCGATGTGCACGAAGTGAAATCTAAAGTATCGTTCGATTAGATAGTTCCATTTATTTACGAGACGACGATTAACGGAATAGGGCTATTTAATGCAAAATTTTTGTTTAGTATCGATTGGCGTAACAGGTTTTTGTCAACATGGGCACGCGTGCTATATTCAGTACCTACGAGCAATTTCTTGAAATGCAAACAGGTTTTTGTAACGTTTCCCGTACTACATAATCAGTTAAGTCGGTTGTTAGTCATGCGACCAACGGGTTATAGGGATAATGATCTCAGGGCATGCCTTCGAGCACGTGTAACACTAAAATAAAATAAAAATCTTTTGATTGCTTTTATAATTGGATCATCTGTTGCACGTGATGAAGGCTGCATACGAGTTTTAGATCTTTTTACGCTAAATTTATAATCGTTCGATTCTCCTAAATTTGTCAGTTTGGAGGACAACCACTTCTAATCCGATTTTCGACATTTATTTCATTTTTAAACCGTCTTTGTAGTGTGAAATTCAGACCAATATGTAACCACTGGATCAAACTCGACAAACGCTTCCTCGCGACACGATTTGACGAGTGGAGCATCATTTTAGATTATCTTATCTAGCAGGCTTTCACCTGCAATTGTAATGTACGGATGGTAACAACCGACTCGACTAACGAGTAGGTCGTCGGTGGTGAAGTGCATGGTACAAGATTGGCACAATGGCAAACGTTGAACTCGTCAATAACGATGTCGTCCTCGAAATTGCACTTAACTTATTATCTATCATTGTTCTCTTCCGTACGTGACACATTTGAATATAATCACTTAATTAACGACTAAATACCCAATTTGTAACTTACAGAATACAAAACCTACAAATACAGTCCACAGCGTTGTTACAATCATTTTCTGACACTTTTCAAACACTTGTTATTGCGAATTATGCCTGTAAAACGATTAAACGTGTCCACTAATTTCAAGCTAAAATTTAAGAAAATATCCCCTGGACACCTTTGGTAGAAATAGCGTTAAGTAAACAATATTATTCGATACTCTTTAAACGTAAAATTTCGTTGATAGTGGCGTGTCAGTCTATTCCAAATATCCGTATTTGTTTAATCGTTTCAGTACTGTAAAATAAGATTATTCGATCCTGAAGTTTGAATACTGCTTGAGAACTCATTGCAGAGCTTATAAATAGACTGTCGTGCACAATCGTGCCCGGTTTAGTGTGAGTGTGCGTCCGCTGGTGTGCGCATGTCGCCCAAGCTCTTATGAGTTTATTAACCCTGAACCGCCGGTACGGCACGGGAATAAACACGGTTAATACATCTTTAAAAAAAATAATATAATAGGACCCGCTGTATCGCCCGTAACAAATTCAACAAGACTCTTGTTGCGCGGCTGTTAACGATGCAACGAGCAATTCTACTTATCTTTGTCTTCTGTGCACGCGATAAAGATGCATTCATATTTTAGCGATGCGTGAAATTTCATTCGAACGGTTAGAAGATAGTTCGTTGCGTGTTTCTCTCGTTTTTATAACTTCTATTGTTCTTCCACCACTTATCGCAATCACAGATATATTTAAAGCGTTTCGTGTTTCGTTTCTCGTTGCTAAACATCCGTCAAAAATTACCACCGATAAGATGAAGAACGTTTGGACGATAGACGAAGATAAGTTGCAGAACCTGCGTCCAAGTATAATGTTTCTCAAACACGCGTCACTGAGACCTTTCGTCGCTGTGAGATGCCTTTGAAACTTGATATTGGGGCTCCGAGCGATAACTACAAAGGGAGGTTATGCTTTCAAACGAATTCGTAAAAGGCCTCGCCAACCGCGTACGGTATTTTTTCTTTCCTTCTTTTTACGCGATGTGGTAAATATAACGAATTCGTATTATTATTGACCACTTCCTTCCACGGAATCCTGATACATACGAGGAGAAAGTTCGACTGGCTTTTACGAATTGCGTATTTGTCCATATTCCGCAAGCAATGAATTTTTATGAACTTTGAATCGTATTTTCTAAACGTCGTAGAAGCGTAACGAATTGGATCGCACGGCAGCACGAAAACAGGACGAGGTAAACTGGTCGCGTGGGCATGAATTATCACGAACCCTCATCAGTAACTTGGTAATTAATAATTGAATAAACACCGGTTGCATAATTCTGCGTGATATTTCAGATATTTCTGTCCTCGACGGTAACGTTCTTAAAATCGTTTGCCCTCCGTTGGAAATCGATCCTGAGCTTCACTCGCGACGCGTGGTAAGCGCAGGGAGAAAACAGAAAATTCGGTAGTTCAGCAAGCACGATAACCATAAAAAAGTCTTTTCTTTCTCTTCTCTGCTGCTCTCCCTCGCCCTCCATCTTGCCCTTTGTCACCGGAACACGGGATTGAGGGATGGGAAACGTGGAAAAGAGACGTAAAAGAAAAAAAGGTGCGTGCTTTTTATCTTACGGTCCAGTGGTTCTCAACTTGGGGGGTTCACAAACCCCGAACGAGGCTCACATATTTCTGGGGGGTTCTCATTTGCGTGGAAAAAAATAACGATCGATGAATTTCCTTTCCTTCGTAATATCGTCGTTTTTATGCATCTTACAGTCCCGTTTAACACTGGATTGCCCAAGGAAGTCATTTTGACTGCTTTTTAATTTCAATTAGAAAAATATAATGACACAATTTCTTAGAATTTTGTAACTTTTTGTGCAACATATAAATGCGTTTGTTAGTAATTGTAGTCACCTCCCCCCTCTTTCATTTCCGGTATATATATATATATGTGTTATATTGGCCAAAAGCAGTCATTTTGACTGCTTGGGAAATTTTAAATAGTCAAATGACTCTTATTATTGAGTCGAGTATATTTCTCTGCATTGAAATAACAGTTTTCATTTTTTTTCGATTACCGACACATGATAACATACAAGTACATGATAAATTGTCAATTTGGACGTATACTTGATAAGTTGCAGTTTCTCAATAAGCTAAAGTAGTAATTGTTAGTCGAATCTTTATGCAGTGATACTTGTTCCAACAAGTTGTTTATTTCATTTCTTTTGCGTCCAAAATTCATAATATTAAAAATTCATTTTAAACAAATTTCTTTACGCGTTAGTGATTCTTTCACAATGCAGTCATTTTGACTAAGTTTCAGTCTTTCTAGTGTTAAGTCACGAGAATGACCGTTACATGTTCGTGCGTTAACGTTCTGCACGCACCGCTGGCGACGCCACTTGCACTCGAGGGAAGAAAAAGAGTAGAATTAGCGAACACATGGGCGCTGTTGCATGGCAAAGCGTAGGAAAAATTTCTCCCCTTCGCGACGACCCTTCCCCTTATCGAAGCCCTTTTAGACTGCACACAGATTAGAACTGCCTGGGTAGTCAAAAATTCGAGTGGCTCTAACCTCGAAACTCGAACCTCGTTTCTACCAAAATTATGGGTTTCACATTCGAAATTCTATTTTTCATAAATCACGTTCACGCTTTAATATACAATATTTGGAGGTAACCCTAACAAAGGCTCTACCATACTAGAAACAACATCATGGACGCTCAGGACGGAATTATCGAATCAATAGATTATTATTATCGGCTGCACGTATTCAGCGTCACATAAAATGTTGCTACAAACAATTGGACGTTGAAAAAAATTAACGCGGGATCCTTTTTATGCGTTTAGATTGCGCCTATGGATCGTTCGGAATATTAAAAATGTTTTAGAATCTTCAAGATTCTGATAACTTACGAATAACCGGGAGAGCAAATAGATTAGGAACGAGCAACGCTTTCTGGGTCACCGTAATAGTCGAAAGCGTGGTTCGAGCTGATAAGGTGGTGCTTTTTTTGTTTTGCTATGAAGCAGGCTGTATGAAACGCGATGTGGCAAAAGGCCTGGCTTTCTCCGCGTCGCCTAAGTTCGTTCGGCACGTTTTCTAGAAAGTATCCGCGTTGATGTTTGTTTCAGAAAGAGCGGAGTTGTTGAAAAATCTGAGCGGCGAATTCAGGGCTGGCGAGCTCACGGCGATCATGGGTCTGTCCGGCGCTGGGAAATCGACGCTGATGGACGTTCTGGCCGGCTTCACGTTAGTAGATCACCCACGCGTGTTTCAATAATATTTACAAGCAAACTCTGTTACCGTTAACCGATAAATTAGCTAGCTTCCGGCTGGAAGTTAGTCTTTCAGGAGCAAAAGAGTTTATTTAAAAATATTATTAATACTGTTAAAGATAACACATTGAGGATGAATATCGTCGAAGATGAAACTACGAAAGAAATATCAAATCCAGCGGTAATATCTTACGACCAACTTTTAATGCTAAACAGGCCTGACCCCTCTTATAAAGTTGAAAACACAAGGTGACTGGAATAAAGAATGGAAATCTACAGTCCAAGTCCACTATCAATTAAAGAAGAACGTTACGAAGACAACGTTTTAAATAATCTCGCGAGACAAGATCAGGACGTTGTTTGAAGAGTTAGAGAACCGGTCACCCAAGATTCACCCACTTGTATCTATTAAAAAAACATGATGCACCGACAGTATCAAACTCTGCTTTCGTTGTTTGCAAAGGCATATTCTTAAAGAGCATAAAATCGGTTATTGATGCACCAAAATGGCGGCCGTCGCGCTGAATTTAAATTAAAAATAATAAAGTTAAATTGTTACGATTATTGCGTCGCGTGTATATGTATACATACGTTCGAGACGTGTTTCCGTAAGATGAACGATTCCGCGATTAGGAACTCCTTGCCCCTACGTGACTCCCCGTAATCTTTGCTATTCGACGAACTATGCGACGGGTTTATCAATTAATGACGCCGAACGAAATTCAAATTCCCCCTTCTCCACCTCCCTCGCCCCCCTCCCTTGACCTCCGGTATAATCTCTGTCGCATCATAAATTTTTCGATCAACATTATCAGGCCGCCTAGTCGAGCGAAATTCAACTCGCGAACTGAATTTCGACGCGCGATCGTTTGCATTCCCGCGAAGCTTTTTGCCGCCCGGAGATAGAGAACATTTTATTCCAATAATAGATCACCGATAAGACCAACGTACAGAGCAATTCATTCGTGACGGTGAAGTAAACGACAAACGCTTCTCCATGGTCCCATTAATTCATTCAGACGTAGACGGACACCAGTCTGAAAAAAGAAGTTTGATTAGTACCAGAATCGATCACGTTTTCGTCGTACAGGAATAATTAATGGCCCTGTGAGTGTCGCCTCCCGTACTCGCCGCCAGAGGGATCGCGTTCTCGCTGGCGCTCGACCGACCTTCCATTCCTATATATACGCTCCTCGACCCAGACTCATCCTAAACTAACAACCCCCACCATCATACTCATCGCATGATGCATGAAAACACTAGGTTTTTTTGAAAGTTTTCCCTCGAGCCCGAACACAAGAAATACCGCAACCCCCCCACACACTATAACACATAAATTAAATATATACCCACACTAACATAAATATATAACCCACACCAATATAAATATATACCCAGACACTAACACTCATTCTAAAATGCAGGTTATAGGGCCCCAGTCCCAGGTTGCTTGCAAACCAATCAGTAAAAATAACAAAAAAAAAAAAAAGAAAGAAAAGCCAATTTAATATCCCGTTGTCTAAGCCCCCCGGGGCCTGCTAGAAAGCCTTACTTTGATGAGTCCCCCCCACTTTTAGTCCCGGGACAAAATGCAATAGGCAAAATAACACACATCTATTTCTCTTAGGCGCCTACTTTGTATACATTGTAATTGCGACAGCACACACAGCCTCTCTCCGTGGTTATCGGTGATAAACCTCGTTGACCAAGTCATTTTTACGTCTGCGAGAGAACGATAAAACGATATTTGCGTCTTCTCTCGCCGGGCTATTCGCGCGAATATATTACTATTATATGAACTGTCGCTACGAACGAAAGAATTTTACCCAGGGTCCTCTATCGCTTTGTAAGACGATTCGACTGCTTCCCCGACCCACCGCCAGGGTTCGTACCGAGAGCAGTAGCCCGTTTAAGTAGCCTGAATACGTTTTAAATCGCACTTTTGTGCTTCATCGGACCTCTCGGTGTTCCCTGTGAATAACCAAAACGGATTTGAATGAGATCTCTTCTCCCACTAAATGATTCAATGTACGGAATAAATTTGCATGCCTTGAATCCGTCCGGCGGACAATATGGACGAATGTGTGCGGCGATATAAGATGAATACCCGGGTATGTTTTTTTTTCCACCGGTTTCAGAACGAGTGGCGTGACCGGGAACGTAAAAGTCAATTCCAGGATCAGAAATGTCACCAAATTTAGAAGATTGTCCGCGTACATAATGCAAAACGACAATTTGCAGCCGCTGCTGACCGTGCAGGAGGCCATGAACGTCGCCGCCGATCTGAAACTTGTCGTAAGCGACGGCGAGAAGAGACAGAAGGTACATTGCTTTTTTTTTTTTTACAACATTTCAGCTCCACGTAGCAGAAACACAGCGCAAGTGTCAACGAGTTGCAACGTTCGCTGTACCGTTTTCTCACGTTTGGTGCGTTACGTTTCAGATCGATCAGATTTTGGTCACGATGAGCCTCGACTCGTGTCGCCAGACGCGCACGGGACAACTCAGCGGCGGAGAAAGGAAAAGACTGGCCATTGCACTGGAGTTGATAAACAGTCCGCCGGTTCTGTTCCTCGACGAGCCCACCAGGTACCTGTTTAACGAAGAAGAAACCTGGTCAAAATTAACCACGACACTTGGTATCCATTGTATAGTCTGAAACACTTATCTGTACAGTTCATGCTATTCAAAGCTAATTTAACAGTTTTTATGTACCGAGTGCATTTTAAAAATCGCTTCTAGTGTCTGAAAATAAGAACAGAGCGTTTGTTAGACAAATTTCGAGTCGAGAGTGCAGAGTAAGAGTCGTAGATCAGTTGTTAATTGCGCAGTTTGTTGTACATTGGCGGGGACACTCTGTCTGGCGGTTCTAAGCTCCAGATGCTAATTAAATTTTGATACTCTGCGCGCAGCGGATTGGACAGCGTCACCTCCAAGTATTGCATAACGTTGCTGAAGCAATTGGCGAAGGCGGGACAGACGATAATCTGCTCGATTCATCAGCCGAGCGCGTCGCTTTTGAACATGATAGACCATCTTTACGTGGTGGCGGACGGAAGTTGCGTCTACAGCGGCAGCACGCAGAATTTAGTGCCTTATTTGAGCAGCCTCGGCCTGCAATGCCCGATGCATTACAATCCCGCCGACTACCGTAAGTAAATGGAAATCGACGCCACCGATCCTTTCACCGGACCGCGGTTACGGGGATTTCCCGGGCATCATAGGCCAAAAAATGAAACGATACTTTGTTTTTCCCCTGACATATATACGCGACACACTAAAGCAAAACTTTCTAGTAACTGTATAACTATCAAAACAATCTTCTATTTTATCATATTCTTGAACATATCAGCAGCGTCGTTTCTGACCATTGTATCATTCTAGAACAAACATATATATTTATAATAATTCTCTTTGCTGTTTGCAGTGATGGAACTGTAAAACTCTATCAAAACTATCCTCTGTTTTATCATCCTCTTGAATGTATCAGCAGCGTCGTTTCTAACCGTTGTATCATTATTTATTTAATATTTTATTATATTATATATATTTATAATAATTCTCTTTGCTGTTTGCAGTGATGGAACTGTAAAATTCTATCAAAACTATAATTATCCTCTTGAATGTAACAGCAGTGTTGTTTCTGACCGTTGTATCATTCTAGAACAAAAATATATTTATAATTCTGTTTGCTGTTTGCAGTGATGGAGATTTGCAACGGTGATTACGGGAGCCACGTGCCGAAATTGGTGGACGCGATCGAGAATGGGAAAAATAGCGCGTGGAGGTCGACGAGCAACGTAACCACGGTCAATTGTCAGGAGGAAGTTATCGCTTTAAATGTAACAGCATCGTTTCAAGCGCTTCGACAACGATCCCCGATTGAGAATCCTCTCAGTAGCGGACGCAAGGGATCTTCGGAATACGCGGCGAACTTTTGGAAACAGTTGATCATCCTTCTCAGAAGGAACGCCATTAAGCTGTCGCGGGACAAGGTAAACGGACGGATTTTAATCACGCGCGTGATCTGTCCGCACGCGAACGAAAGCAGACACCGGTTAGACGCTCGTTAAATAATTTACTAAGCCATGGGAACGTTTGATAGTTCTTCCACGATTTTACGATCTTCGAGTCTCGAAGAAAGCTTCGGTTAACACTAGAACTACAATTATAGTCTGTTTATTTGTACCAAAGAAATTGAAGTGTTTATATATATAAATTTTCAAAAATTCAGTCGAGTACATTTTTTGGAAGTTTTATTAGAAATTACGAACATTTGGACTAGTTTGGTAGTTCTAGCGTTAAATATACAATTCTAATTAAAATATACTGCGAATAAATTTTTTACCGAACTCTGGTGACTTAAATAGTAACACAGTTGAATGTTCAATGGTTTAGGGCGAACGAGACGCTGTGTCGTACGAAGAGAAACGATTGTAATGAAATAATAACTAGTAAGACCACTTAAACAGTTGACCTTGCCGAGAACTCGATACTTGAGCACGCTGTGTGAGATCTTGCAGACGCTCACGAACCTACTGTACTTTAAAATTGCTTAACATTGGCGATTAATCGACAACAGCGATAGGAATCATGTACATTCTCTACAGTATACTTCTTCTTTATATTACCACGACGGATCAATCATTAATTATTATCAGACTGTACGGAATTCTCTGTAACGTTTATTCTCTGTTGCAGGTGTTGACTTTCACGAGGCTCTTGATGCATTTTCTAATTGCACTGCTAGTGGGGGCCATTTACTTCAGGATCGGACAGGACGCTGTGTACGTGCTGGACAACTTCAATCTTCTGTTCTTCAACATAATGTTTCTCATGTTCAGTGCGTTTAGCGCCACGGTGACGACATGTGAGTTCTTTGATCATGGACGCTGAATGGAGGAAAAGAAGCGTTCATGGAAACTTAGTCTGAAGATTTTCGTGTAATTCAATTATGAACGCTAATTACTCGCTGTTTGCAGTTCCCTCGGAGCTACCGATCATCACGCGCGAGCACTTCAATCGCTGGTACAAGCTGCACTCTTTTTACCTGGCCAACAAACTGGCGGACTTGCCGATCCAAATCGCCGCCATTTCAATGTACATTCTCATAGTGTATTACCTGAGCGACCAACTGTTGGAACTTCGACGATTCTGTCTGTATATGCTAATGTGCTTTGCCATCAGTATGGTTGCTCAAACGTTTGGCCTTCTAGTCGGGACTGGAATGAAAGTGCAGGTGTGTTGATACAGACAAAAGAATAATTTTATAACAGATGTGTCGTTCCTCGAGTCCCCAAAGACTCAGGTGTTCCAGTTACGGATTAAAGAAACGATTAAATAATAATCTGTCCATAAAAGTAACTCGTAACGTCACGTCTAGGCTTTACTGTGATTATGTATGCTTTCAGCACGGTATGATCTTCGGCCCACTTACGATCCTTCCGTTCTTAATATTCAGTGGATTCTTCGTTCAATTCAGGGACGCTCATCCGTACCTACGCTGGCTGTTTCACTTGTCGTTTCTTAAATACGGTTTTGAGGGTGTGATGGTAGCCATGTACGGGTAAGGAACATTCAATTGCTGAGTCCACCAATAGTCTGATCAAAACTGATTGTTTGTTCGAGCACGTGAGAAATCTTTCTTTGTGATTTCAGCTACAACAGACCAAAGCTCCCGTGCTCGGAGGTCTATTGCCATTTCGCTGTGCCAGAGAAGCTGCTGAGCGCCGTGGACATGAAGCAGGCCGATTACTGGTTCTGCATGATCGTCCTGACCTGCCTCTACTTCGTGCTGGACCTAGGGGCGTTCGCGTTGTTGAAACTGAAACTGGAGAAACGGTTGTAAGGACAGAAACGAAAATCACTAAGTGAAATTCAGCAAAAACTAAAGATTTTCTACAGTCGATTCGTGTTCCAAGTCAGTGCAAATAGAACAGTATAAATGAATTTATCGTGAAAGACTGATTTGCTTTTAAAACATTTTTGTATAATAGGAGAAGAAAATTTCGTGAAGACTGTATGCCAAATAAGAAGAAATAATTATGATAATAATAATAATCGTTGCATTTATTGCAGTTCGTCAAGGATGGAAAAACGACGGCTATAATTCGTGATGCACAATGGTTCTGTAAGCGTGCTTATACTCGTATTCTATTATCTCGAGATAGCGGTATCGTAAATCGATGATACATATGCATATCTACGCTCGTACATCGAAAATATGCTATTTTCTGATTTCATTTATTTAGTCCTGCAACCCATTCCTTGTTGAATGTGTGACGTTATATTAAATGTTTATACAGGGTGTTCGAGCCAAAATAAGACGAAAATCAAGAATACCAATTTGTCGATGGAGGCTTCGTTTAAAAGTTATTAACAATTAAATTCAAAAATTGCAAATCGTTCTGGAAAAATTATTTTCACTCGCGGGGGTCAATTACTATCATTTTTGGTCATTACACATACCATCGAAATCCTACCCAATTTCGAGAAAAAAAATCGGAAAGGTGCTGCAATTTTTCGGCGAAAAAACATTTTTCAAATCATTCTAGAAAAATTATTTTCGGTTGTGGGGGTCAATAACAATCATTTTTGGTGAACACACATACCATCGAATTCCTACCCATTTTCGAGAAAAAAAATCGGAAAGGTGCTGCAATTTTTCGGCGAAAAAAAATTTTTCAAATCATTCTAGAAAAATTATTTTCCGTTGTGGGGGTCAATAACAATCATTTTTGGTGAATACACATACCATCGAATTCCTACCCATTTTCGAGAAAAAAAATCGGAAAGGTGCTGCAATTTTTCGGCGAAAAAACATTTTTCAAATCATTCTAGAAAAATTATTTTCGGTTGTGGGGGTCAATAACAATCATTTTTGGTGAATACACATACCATCGAATTCCTACCCATTTTCGAGAAAAAAAATCGGAAAGGTGCTGCAATTTTTCGGCGAAAAAACATTTTTCAAATCATTCTAAAAAAATTATTTTCCGTTGTGGGGGTCAATAACAATCATTTTTGGTGAATACACATACCATCGAATTCCTACCCATTTTCGAGAAAAAAAATCGGAAAGGTGCTGCAATTTTTCGGCGAAAAAACATTTTTCAAATCATTCTAAAAAAATTATTTTCCGTTGTGGGGGTCAATAACAATCATTTTTGGTGAATACACATACCATCGAATTCCTACCCATTTTCGAGAAAAAAAATCGGAAAGGTGCTGCAATTTTTCGGCGAAAAAACATTTTTCAAATCATTCTAAAAAAATTATTTTCCGTTGTGGGGGTCAATAACAATCATTTTTGGTGAATACACATACCATCGAATTCCTACCCATTTTCGAGAAAAAAAATCGGAAAGGTGCTGCAATTTTTCGGCGAAAAAACATTTTTCAAATCATTCTAAAAAAATTATTTTCCGTTGTGGGGGTTAATTACAATAATTTTCGGTCATTAGACATACCCCCGAAATCCTACCCATTTTCTAGAAAAAAATTCATTACTGGCGAAACTTTGAACGTTAATAACTTTTAAACGAAGCCTCCATCAAGAAATTGGTATTCTTGATTTTCGTCTTATTTTGGCCTCTAGAATCCCCCATTAAAATTTTTACCAAGGTTGGCCGAACACTCTGTATGATACATTTACATATTCATCGGTTGAGTGCTTTGAACGTAAACGTTGGAATATTTTTGTGTACGAGTGTACATCCGATGCTGCATTTCGTTGCACACGATAAGAGTCGGATTCTTTTCTTTTTTTTTTTTTTATTGTATGAATTACGTTCACGCAGATTACCACGAGAAGGTGATACATCTATTAGAATGTAATTAGTTGTATCTTTTGTACATCCCGTATTTACGTTCATAAATGTAAGGTATACATATGTGAATAAAGAAGAAGCGAACGTATTATACGGCATTATTGTAAGTCAGAGTAACCAAACGACTGCTTTGTTTATTGATGATCGCGCGAGAAGGGAAACCATTAAAATAAATTTAATAAACATAATTAAATCTGACATTTTCCACTCATAATTCTCTGAGATTCCGGATGAAATTTATTTCCCTCGGACGGAATCGAGTAATCGCAGGCAGTATCGATCACTGATTATGCTGATCAGAATGGACCTTTTTTGCGTGCCATTAAAAACACAAATTATATTCTTGTCGCTCATAACCGGAGTACACAATACAAAGTACAGACGATTACTTTATACTTTAAATACAGTTGCGTTATCTCGTCTCATGAAATTACGTAACAATTCCTTAAACAATAAAATTTCATATCTATTTTTAATCATCGAAACACACTACTATATCCTCCAATTAAAATGGAAACGAGAATAACACATGTTAAGAACATATTGAATTTCTATTCGAAAGTGACAAACAAATGTTTATGTAAGCGAATAAATTTTCTATGCAAACGATAAGTCATCTTAAAGTTTACTTGGAACCAGCAGTGTTTAACTATTGTTTCGAACAAATGAAAATACTTTCATTTGCCTAACCGTTAACCCGAAGAAGAATATAAAAATCAAGCAATTAATGGAAAAAGTATCATTGTTTTCTTTCAACATGGCGGCGTCTTTCTTGCCCCCTGTCTTGTCACGGCCCTGGTTGCAATAATATCAAACGCATCGAACAAGATAGACAAAGTGTACGATCACTTGCTAAACCCAAGATATTTTCGGTTTGAAGGCATCTTTTCCAGCGAACGACTTAATCGGAGAATCAAGGTCGCGGACTCGCGAGTGCAGCCGGACGCGAACGAAAAGCGAAAAGGACGGACGGAGGCCTGAACCGGTCGGGCGCGGTGCAGTTAATCGGCAGTCTTCGCGACGAATTCGTCAAAGACGGTTCGGCGGTACGAGCGCGCGCGTCGTCGTTGCACGTGTCACGCATTCGAACAACAAACAATGTCGAGCAAAGTGCAGGGATCGAATCCCCCGGAAAATCACGTTTCGAATCACCTCGCGTGTCGTCGTATTCGCTGACAGATTCACGAGAAAGCGATATTCCCGACAGTCGTGTAAACATGCCTCGTTACTCGACCACGAATACTTTTACGCTCGACGAAATCTTCCGGTAAATAAACGATAGCGAACCGTGGCACGTCCAAAAATTCCTCTTTGTTTACGCGGGATAGTCAGCCAAAGGTCAACAGACAGACGCACAACGGAGATAGATCATTTTTGACACACGGTATATAACGCTTTTTATCTACGCCAGCCGAGAATTTTCTTATCTAATTTTTATCTTCTCACGTTAAATCACGTTTTCCAATGGTTGCTTCCGTTCATATTATCGGTGGTTGCAGAAGTCAGTAAAAATTTAGAAACGTTTGCACTCGTGAAATTACATAAGTGTAATGTATTATTGTTGTCGCTCTGCAGCAGACCACAATTACATCTTTTTCTCTGAAAGAACTCTTCGAAGCGAATAATCGTGCGATTTATCTGCCTTTGAAATATTGAATTTGCTAGATAAGCAACTGGTTGGAGATTAAACTGTGTCAATATTAATATGCAATGTGCCATTCATGTTTCTATGATAATATTTTTCTGTGGTGTTATAAACAAATGATAACCTCGGAACTGCTATTACGTTCTACTATCGATACACATTCCAGTAGACTGCATATGGCGGTAAATTCTATTCCTCTCGAAGGGGGGTGTATTTCGACTTCCGGTTAGTTAGATTTCCCGCGCAAAATAGTCCCGCGTGTCCTCGGGTTACCAATAATAATATTTCAGTTCTGAAACATCGCTGGTGCGCGGTGAAAGTGTCACGTTTCAACGATCTAATCAACTAATCATTCAGTTATTCCATTATTGACCCAATGTAATCTTGAATATCATTACACGGCTCACTTGATAGAATATTGTCATACATTCTACACGGCACGAAAGTAGATATAACGTTGTTATCTAAAAAGAAATGGACGGCATTCGAGATTAGAAATTTATGCAGAGTTGTCTCGCGTAAACGACGAGAAAATTCTCTTGTTCTACTTGCTTTTTACGCCGCCGATTCACAACGCGGCCATCGACTGATAATCTCGCGCGCGAACGCATTTGTACATTGGCTCGTTTATCTAACACGGTTGACGGATCAGTTAACAGTCCGAATCTGGTTGTGGTCGGTTTGATCACTCAGCGGACGGGGAACGCGCACAGCCTCGCGATGGAAACGTACAACGACAGTGTCGATCCAACGATGAGGATAACGGACGAAGGATGCACTATTCAACTGAGGGATGACCAGAACTTTCTAAAACCAGAAACACGACGTATCCCTAAGATGCACATCGAGTTCGACGATCTCTCGTACTCGGTCTGTTGCAACAAAGGCGAGTGGTTTGTATACGTACACACACTGTTACACGCACGTGGAGAAAGTATAATTTACAATCACCGATCGTTACACGCGGCGTTTCGAAGTAAAAAATACGTTCGAGCGTCGCTTATCGGAACCTCGATTATCTGAACGACCGATTAAAACAAACTGTAAACAGTAGTTTCTTTCATTTACGGTTAATCTATTTATTACACGTTTCACAGATAATAGTATGTATATGTTACCGTGAATGACCGAAATTGGAGAATGTCAACTTTCACCGGTGAATGTCAACAGATACCAAATACGTCGGTGAAAGATCGAATATTTCATTACATTGTTGTACATTCGGACCCTCTCCGGTGTGTGTCGACAATCACAGATATGCTCTGGTGGAGGTCCAAAACAGAAGAGTCAAAAAACAAGCGACAGGCTCTCTCCCGCCAAATCCTTTGTTCTGCTCGGAGTCAATCAGCTTTGTCAGTCTTATGCAAGCTTTGATAACGCGAGCAACGTTTCCTTAATTTTTTTTCCGATACCCTAATTTATACTAAATGGATACTGCAGTAAATCGTGATCTTCTTCTAACCCAGACCTAACCCAGTCCTAACCCAGACTTATTCCAGACCTAACCCAGACCTAACCCAAACCTTACCCAGACCTAACCCAGACTTAATTCAGACCTAACCCAGACCTAACCCAGACTTAATTCAGACTTATTCCAGACCTAACCCAAACCTAACCCAAACCTAACCCAGACCTAACCCAGACCTAACCCCCGTTATCAGCGATGAATTGGTCTGGGTTAGGTCTGGAATAAGTCTGAATTAAGTCTGGGTTAGGTCTGAATTAAGTCTGGGTTAGGTCTGGGTTAGGTCTGGGTTAGATCCTTTCCGAAAGAGAGGCGAAAAAGTTACATCACCCTTGTGACGTTTTATAGCGACTGAATTACGGAGAAGAAAATATAAATCTCCAACATGTTCAACACTCACCATTAGTGCATGGTGAATGTCAACATTTACCGGTGTAAGTCAGAAATAAGAGTGTTTAGCAAATATTTCGGACATACACTAAGCGATTATGTGAATGTTGACATTCACCGGTGAAAGTCGACATTCTCCAGATTTCGGTGTTTCACTGTAACATATATACTAAAAAAGTTACGAAATTCCTTACCTGAAACGGTTCTTCCTAGAACTAGAAAAAAATGTGGTATAATAGCACAGACGAGGTATACGAAATAAGAATATTTTTCGGCGGAAAAAAAAATTTTAAATCGTTCTGGAAAAATTATTTTCCCTAGCAGGGGTCGATTACAAACATTTTTGGTGAGGAGACACACCCCCGAAATCCTACGCATTTTCGAGAAAAAAATTCGAGCAGGTGGACAAATTTTTCGACAAAATTAACGAATTCCAAATCGTTCTGGAAAAATTATTTTTAGTCGGAGGGGTCAATTACAAACATTTTTGGTGAATAGACATACCCTCGAATTCCTACGAATTTTCGAGAAAAAAATTCGAGTAGTTGGGCAAATGTTTCGACAAAATTAACGAATTTCAAATCGTTCTGGAAAAATTATTTTTAGTCGGAGGGGTCGATTACAAACATTTTTGGTGAATAGACATATCTTCGAAATCCTACGCATTTTCGAGAAAAAAATTCGAGTAGTTGGGCAAATGTTTCGACAAAATTAACGAATTTCAAATCGTTCTGGAAAAATTATTTTTAGTCGGAGGGGTCGATTACGATCAGTTTTTGTCATTACATGTACCCCCGAAATCGTACGCGTTTTCGAGAAAAAAATTCTTTTCCGAAAGTGTAATGTGAGGTTAGAAATTTTGCCCTGAAATTTCATGCATAAGTTTAACCCCTTCTCGTACTTGGTCCAAACATGAGTATCACGAGCCAGACTCGCGACAAATGACGATCGTGATTGATTTTCATCAGTCTGGTCTGTTTGCCGCGCTTTTTGGACGGATCGAAGGATTTTAATGTTTCAAAATGCGAACAATGCGTATTAATGAGGCTCTAGAGCCCCTAGAAAAATGGGTCGAAGGAATCTATTGACTCGGATACCTCGTCTGTGACGATAACGGAAGTGAATTACTTTGTAGACAAATCGAAAAGGATACTGGAGAGCATCACGGGTTGTTTTCGATCCGGAAGGCTGACAGCGATTATTGGTCCATCCGGTGCTGGAAAGACGACGCTTCTCCGTATCGTGTCCACTATGAAATCGACAAACGTGAAAGGCTCGATCGTCGTGAACGACAGAGAATGCGACAGTGGCGCCTTTCGAAAGCAAACCTGCTTCTTGCCGCAAGAGTTCGCGCTTTTACCATTGCTTACCACCAGAGAGACTCTGTACATTGTCGCGCGATTGAAAGTTCAAGGTGTCCGATCACCGCGAGCTATAAGTTTAATCGTAAGTCGTTAACGAATAATGACCGATATGGTTGTTATCAATTAACGTTAAGCATTAATTAATCGCTTCGCGTTACCTTCTCATCGCCTACGACAATTACACGGCCATCGGGGCTAACAATCGACGTGTAATTGCGGTTTGCATAAGTACTCTCGAGGAAATAAATATATTCAAGGGAAGTGGGATGGCGCTTACGTACAACCGTGCGTCCACGGTAGCCGTGTGAAATAAGCACCGTTTATGATCCAACAGGTGAAGGAAATAGCCGAGAATCTGGGGTTGACGAACTGTTTGAACACGATGGTAGAGAACCTGAGCGGCGGAGAACGGAAAAGGCTGTCGATCGGTATTGAAATGGTTACGAAACCGTGCGTTTTACTGCTCGACGAGCCAACCAGTGGACTCGACAGCACCTCATCGAATCAGGTCTCTCGCAACGATCAATGGGAATTTACCAATACGAAGACGTTATGAAATAATTCGTTCGTTTATCGAATATAATATCACAAGCGTACGACTAACGAGATTGTGTATTTATCTTTGAACAGGTGATCGGTCTGTTGCACAAAATGGCGCGAACCGGTTGCATGGTCGTGTGCGCGGTTCACCAGCCCAGCAGTCGTATGATATCGCAATTCGACGACTTGTTGGTTATCCATAAGGGTAAATCGTTTTACTGCGGTACCTGGGACGACGTGTTGAACACGTTCAACGGCGCGGGCTACGCGTGCCCGCCATTTTACAATATAGCTGAATTCGGTAACTTGCAAAGTACGTTAACGCCTGAACCGGAAGCTGATCGTTTACGTTCCCCGCAGTTCTCGAGGTGGTGACGGCGGAGAGAGGCGGCGATTTGAAGACCCTGCACACACTCAATCGCGACAAGTACCTGGAATGGAAAACGCAGTTCCAAAATCCGAGTATAGGTAATTGCATTCGAATCGAGAGAAACGGATCCAGACGAATGACGCGACATCTGTCTGTTTCAGGAACGGACACGGCGGTTTCGACGAAAGTAGACAGTATTCCGAAGAAGTCGAAGTTGTCGACTATGTGGCAAGAATATAAAATTTTATTTTTCAGAGGAATGATCTGTATTAGACGAGACAATGTTAGTCACCGCATGAACGTTGTTTCTTTTTCTTCTTTTTTTTTAAAGAAAATTTATGCTCTGGTTTTTTATTTTGTATTCCATTTCTGTAGGAGCTGTATTTTATTTGCTTTTAGACTCTAACGAAGCTCAGGCTCGTAGCGCACGTGGTAGTAGCTTTTCTCCTAGGATTAGTGTTTTACCATTGCGGGATCGACGCTAGTAGAGTTCACAGCAATATAGCTTGCATATTTTTCACCTTGTTGTTTTTATATTTCTCGAGTTCCATGCCAGCCGTGCTGATATGTAAGTTGGGAACTTGTTCAAAATTATTACACTCGTGTATTTATTGAAATTAATTTACGCATCGTGTTCAGTTCCCATCGAGGCTGCAGTTTTTCTACGAGAGTACTTGAACAATTGGTACCACTTGAGATCCTATTTCGCCGCTAAAATTATGACCGATTTACCGTTGCAAGTAAGCGCAGTAGAGAATTTGTATAATTTTTAACCAAGATCCAACGGTTGGAAATAGTGTAAATTGCTTGCTTTCAGATTATTTCTCCTTCGATCTTTATCGCCATCGCCTATTACATGACTGGCCAACCGATGGAGTGCGACAGATTGTTCCGTACTTGGTTGATTTGCATTTTAACGACCGTGCTGGGCCAATCATCGGGAATGCTCGTCGGCGTTGCATTCGACGCACATGTAATGAACTATCAGAGTCGCGTAACGAATATTAACTATCCACATTTGCAACCGCGATTGTTGTTTGGCTATTCCTATCGCTCTAGCTTCACTCGTCGACTCAAAACAGCGACCAATTGAATTTAATCAAATAATAACAAAAACCCGTTAACATTTCAGTTGGGAGTATTTCTGATTCCTGCGCTCAACATGCCGATGATTCTGTTTGCCGGGTTTTTCTTAAAATTCAGCGAGATAACGTTCTACCTTCAACCATTTTGCGCCATCAGTTTCTTCAGGCACGTCTACGCTGTGTTTTTACAAAATGAGTATTAAATTTGGGGAAAAAAAAAAATCGAACAAACATGTGTTTTGTATTCTCTTGCAGGTACGCGTTCGAAGGTATTCTACAGGCAATTTACGACGGGGACAGAGAAAGATTGCCGTGTTCTCAAGTCTATTGCCACTTACGCTTTCCAAACAGAATCCTGAAGGAATTGAACATGCCCTCAGTTTCGTATCGCACGACTGTGCTGGGGTTAATTATCTGGATACTCTGTTTGCAAGCGATGACGTACCTGGTACTTAAATGGAAAGCGTATAACGCCAAAAGATGATATTACGTTCCGCGATTAGGTACATTTTAATAATCATAGGAAAAGGAATACTCCGATCTTAAAAACTACTGACCAATTTTGTATATTGCAAAGATATATCAAAATATACTTTTTTACACTTACACTTACGCTTATTGCTTATTTAAATTGTAAAACACTTCGACGAGCTGGAATGAGCCTACGGAAGGGCCTAGTCCTACTATTCACTTCCTCGTGTTTAAGTCACCACCTCAGACGTCTTATTGAACTTATTACTAACTGCTTCGGGAGCCACAACATCCCCAACTACCAGCCAACCGATTCACCTACCATTAACCCTTTGCACTCCTATGTCGAGTATGATTAAACAAGGAGCTCCTTTTCAACATTTTTTCAAGTCCAAACCAAAGAGATATCGTACGCTTGAAAATTACAAGATACAACAACAGTGTAAACAGATATTTTAACAGGTAAATTTCAAATAAAACACTTAAAGGCGCTGATAACTAAAATTGAACTATAATTCGGAGTGCAAAGGGTTAAGTTTCACACTAGTTAACTGACTAGTTAATCCCATTTACGTCTCACTGTGAATACACTTTACTGAACTGTATTTCTGGTCCCATCGGTATAAAAAATGTTAACAAAATAATCGTATAAAAATACCTTACATATGCGGTTAAGGATTGCACGCGAAAATGGAAGAACTTGGGTGTCGACGGTAGTTTAAAATAAAATTAAAAACCCTGTAAACTGGGAAACGATCGTTCCTCCCAATTTGTCTTTTAAACGTTACCGCGTGTAAAAAAAACACGCGCGCCTTGTTAATTGACTTTCGTTGAGCAATTCTTAAATATCACGTTTAACTTCCGAAGATATCGCATCGGAACGATAGCCTTAAAATTACATTTAATTTACACCTCTACGCTGCACTTTCGTTCGTTAACCTTTCACGGTACCATTACTGATTTAATCGCAAGCGATTAATGTCGCTCACTGTACCGGACTCGTTGCACGACTAAAACACTCATCTATCGATATCACGATAAGAAGAAAGGTACTCGAAAACGGTTCGCGGCGTACGCGTTAGATTTGACCAGCGATAACCTCTCCGATCGATCTATCGCATCGAAACGATCTTCCATCTTAGAAGTACGTAAGCGGCACACCGCGTTATAATAAGTATTACAACGAGGGCGACGATGTCGTTCCAGTACTGCTCGGAGTCCATGGCAATGTCGGAGAGGAATTTCGTTGTGTATCTGTAGTGGCAGTACAAGTTATTTTTCTCTTTGCAGGGCAAGACTGGTCGATCGAATCCGTAGATGGCGCTGATGAACCTACGAATCCGTAAACGTCGACATTTATTCGCGCTGGACTCGATTAGAAACTAACATATTTTTTTTTAATCGAAGAACACTATTACCCTTCCAGGCCATATCGTAGGAAACTGACGTATGTGCCCCATTTCAGATAACTCGGTATATCGCGCAACGATACACCGAATCCAGCAAACATCATCAACGGCACTGACAACGTTGGTCCGATGAATGTTCCGTTCTAAAATAAATCGCATTAATGCATCGTTTTGATGACTCCGTTCGAGGCAGAATTATACGTACAACTACATCGAATACTGCTCCGATCATGAGACCAGTTCCTTGACTTACGAAAGACACCAACAAACTGATCGAGAAAAACATTAAGAAACGCGTGATCTCCAACGGTTGCGACGTTATCAAGTATACTATCACGGTGAAAATTAGGCAGCAGAATATTGAAATCGGCAAATCGATCAACGTCAGAGCCGTGTAAAACGCCTTTAAGCTGTACCATCTGTTGAAGTGCTCTTTCAGTAGTATGTTCATCTGCATAGGAACTGGAAAAAGAAACGGGATGCATAATAACGAGTCAAATTACTGTAAAAACCAATGAGAATTGGATCGAAGGACAGAGACGATATCGTAAAAAGTTGTTTTGTACTTACACGTGACTACCGTGAGCATCATCGTGGTCATCATGTGATGTATAAGAATAGAGAAGAGGAGATTGTAGTTATCTAGAACTCTGGCACCGTCCATACCGGTCTGAAGGAATACCGAGCCAAGCATGAAACCGACAGACACGTTAACTAGGATTCGCAAGTGTGTTAAAGTCTGGAACAACGAAAGCTCGATGAGAGAACAAACTGTAGGCTACGATCCTGTAAATTTGTTCGTATCTTTACTATTTATGTTGCGAGTAAAGAGATTGCGTAAGAGACAGATGTGTAAGAATAACAATACGTGCAAGTAAATATCAGAAGGCGTGGTGTAGCAAGGTGGTCTGGTCAGCAGCCTCCGTTACAGAAATAAGTACAGATACGAATTGTAACGAAAGCAACACCGGTTACCGACCGGACCACCGTGGTACGGGGGCGGTACAAACGACGACAAGAAGTTGCTTAACCTACCGTATCACGTTTGCACATCAGAAAGCCCCTCGCCATCAAGACTCTGATCTGATGCGTCAATGAAGTCGCTTGCAGGCTACTCTTACCGTCCGCGTCGATGATCTTTTTGAGAGGATGCAACGCTTCAGAATTGAAAATAAAAACAGCATCAATTCCATGTACATGCAACCGGGGATTCTAGTACGACAGTGCGTGCAGATGTTACCAACATAACATGCCGAAAGTAATTAACCCCCCCGGTACTACGGTAGTCGAAAAATTCACTATCGAGCCCCGGGGTCGGGGCAAACTTTACATCACGATTTCTAAACCGGGGTACGGAGGGGTTAAGGAAAAATCATTAGCACCGATGCCACGGAAAATTACAACATTTCTTGCCAAACAAAAAAAAAAAAAATTACACAGCCGTACCTCTCAAGCCTTTAGCGTCCAACAGTGCGTCCGAATTTTCGAACCACTGCAAGCTCTTGCCATTCTGCGAGCCGGATATCAGCAACGATATTTTGTCGTCTCCGTATTCACCGCAGGCCAACTCGATCACTGTAAAACAAATCATTTTTTTAATTGGAAATAATTTCAATTAAATTATTAACAATAATTTACCTCTATTTTGGTTTCAATTAATATATTAAATTACGTTCGAAGATATTTAATTGCACGTACCGTAATCGGCTGGATTGTGGTACATAGGGCAGGGCAATTTGACATTCTCTAAGAAAGGTATCACTTGACTGGTTGCACCGTGGAACAAGCACTCCCCTTTCGACAACACGTACACCTATCATTACGAAAACCAAAGAGTCGTTTAAGCAGGTATTTTACAGGTAGTAAATTTTGTATGGGAACTTGTTGGACATGCTATTCATTCGCAATATACATTAATCATTATTGTATCACGCGTGTGAAATTATAAATACATATGTATGCGCGTGGAATGGACGATGAATATGCAACGTATCGATTAAGTATATTAATTACACAACTTTCTTTTTTTCCTAGAATCATTGGTTACGTAACAGGGATACCGAAGACACGGAATTATTATTTTCGCGTGGCTGTATTTATAAGAGACGTTGAGTGGTATTTTAAATAACGCTGTGCCAAAAATGGCCGGATCTTCCGCGGAATATTTGCGTGCACAACGCTGCGGACGAATTAAAAAAAATTGACAGGGACTCGAGAACTGGTTTTCGACAAACTGCTAAGGTTAAAAGGAGGATAAATTCTTTTATGATTCATCGTTATTTGTAAGCGTACTGTATCTCCTGAAATTTTATACGCACCGTTTGCAACATTTAACTCGCGGCTGTAATTACGGTCTATGATCTATGATCCGTCGCCCCGATAGATTTCATTAAAATCGTTAAAAACCAGACCCGCGACTTCTCTCGTTAGATCTCCATAGCGGGCAAACAAAAACAAGTAAAATGGAAATCGTCGTCGCGGTTCGTGATTCAGCGGAAACAACAAAACGAGTTATGTAAATCGCACTATGGTGTCCGAGTCAAGGACATTTCTCTGTGCAGATGTTATCCGTTACCAGATCGAAAAGCTGGAAAAGGGACGCGCTGGGCTGATGGATCGTGCAAATGATCGTCCGTCCTTGTCGCGCCAGCAGCTTCAGTAGATTCACCACTTGCATGCAAGACGAACTGTCCAGACCACTGAAAGAAACGTGCACGCGATTACTATCACCATAAATAATTTATGCAACGGTACAAGGGCCATTTTCGCGTTCTTATTATATTAAATTGACCATGAAACTTAAAGCATGAGCAAACGAGGTCCTGAACCTGCATTTTTCAAGCTATAATCGACATAAGCTGTACTCGAGACACCGGTGTGTTTCGTAACGCCTCGAATCGACCATTTTTTTTTTATTCAACCCTTCCTGGAACAAGATCAACGGTCCCTGTTGCTGAGTGTCTACCTTCTCCGGGAATTACGCTTACGTCGTTGGCTCGTCGAGGAACATAACAGTCGGGTTGTTAACCAGCTCCAAAGCGATGGACAGCCTCTTTTTCTGACCCCCGCTCAATCTTCCTGCTCGCGTGTTCATGTGCTCGGACAGGCCCAAAGTGGTAAGGATCTCCACGATCTGGAACATTCGAGTTTTCTCCTTTCACCGAGACTCAGCAAACCAGTAACCTAATTCGGTTATAAAATTCCAGGAAGCAAAGTGCCAGAGACCTGGCACGCGAAACCGTGAATAAGACCTGTGGCGTTGCTTAGACGACTGGGATTTTGGGAAGTCGTTAGAGGAGTGTATATATAGCAACCGAGGGGTTGGTCGAGCACTTGTGAGAGCGCGAGCCCTCTGGTGGCGAGCATGGGAAGCAACGCCACAGATCAAAGATAGACTAAGGGGATTAATATTCGATCATCTTCCATTATCCTTTGAATAATCGTTGCAAAGTTTCGACGAACGTTTTCGAAGCTATTCGAGTGGGTCGATTTAAATGGGTCACTCGTTATATGTTTACTCCGACATGGGTGTTTGTTTGTTTTTTTTTAATTATATCAGCTATTCTGGAACCAATTAGTATATAAGTTAGAAGCGTGATTGTATTATCGTTGATTTCGTTCAACCTCTTTGCACAGTCGATAAATGCCAAGTATTAGCAAACATTGTGTTAGCTTCGTTGCTTCAACGGCGTTTATCTTATCGAGCTTTCCGAGGAGCGTACATAATTTACACGGCGCGATTGGCGAACGATACAATTCAAAATATTTGATAATCGACCCCAACAACGAGCCATAAACTCACTATCGTTTCCTTCTCGTGATGCGGGATCTTCGTTGGGAGCTTGAGGTCAGCGGCCACTCTCATGCTCTCGATGACCGTCAACAATGGCTCCAAGCGATCGTCCTGAGTGATGTACGCGCTGCATCTGTGACGATCGTAAACCATAGAAACGATAAATAAAATTAACCCCGTACGCAGAGTCGAACGACAAGTCGTTAAATAAATTTTAATCATAATATAACAGATCCTCGTGTCCGTCGAGCCTTTTTTCTCATATCAATCGATCAACATTTGGTTAGTAACGTTCTCTTACAGTGAATTATGCGGCGAAGCTATTCTTTATTTAACGACTTTATTCGCTGTGTTAAAAGACCAAATGAAAATATACGTACTAGAACATTGCATTGGATAGAAGCAAGGTGGAAGGGCGTGGTTGAACAAATAAGGCTGTTTTAGTACTTAATCCAACTTAATCCATAACTTATAAACTAACTTGAACAGAGAATGAAGGATAGGATGCTGCTATGCAGAAAAATACAAAAATGTAGTGTTGTGAGATACTGATAAAAATAAAGCAATGAATTGCACGTTTCAGAGGGAGACAAATAAAATAATAAATAGACACACAGAAAGATTTAGACAGAACCTGCTGATTGGATCGATCATTGGTAAGCGAAGACATGTCGGAGAGGCGTGAATTGAACAGATAAACAAGAGACTTTATAAGGTAGGGATCTTGCGAACGAGACAGCAGGCGCGTCCAAATCCCCCTAAGAGATTTTAGGAAACGAAGCTCACTTTCGAAAAGAATTCATCTGTCGAGCACGTCCATTGATGTAGACGTTACCATTCACGCCGGTTATCCTGTATCCCGACAGTACGTTCAACAATGTCGACTTCCCCGCTCCAGATGGTCCCATAAGCGCGATCAAGTGTTTCGCCGGAAGCCTTCCGCTGATCCCGTGCAGTATCTCTTTCTGGCCTGCAAGCACGAACAATTACAATTGGTACACCAGTAGCAGTTTCATTGATTCGGTGTGATGCATGGCATTGATTCAACGTAATCGAATCGAAATCAATTGACCCGTTTAACCGAATCATCGAGAGAGATTTGTACAAGAAACGTACTACTCGAAGCTGTAAAGACGACGAGCACGACGCGATTAGGTAGATACTAATCGGCCAATAGCGTGAAATAGCGTGAATTCCTCAGCCTCGTCTTCCTTCTAGCTCTGAATAGTATATGCATTACGGTATTCGCGCATCGCTGCCTCCAGCGAGTTCACCGCGCGTCTCGTTCGCCCCATCTCGTTCCATCTAATGGGAAAAACCACGACTACCGGCTATCGGGTCGGTCAACAGGTGGAGGGGAGGGGGGGGAAACGTGCAGCAGGCCGTGAACTCGAACGTGGCGCTCCCTCGTTTTGACTCGACTGACCTTTCCTGCAGCCAAGCGACACCGTGTACGTGATGTTTTCGAACATGATGTCGACCGTGTGCGCCGTGTCGGTTTCCATAAACCGTGCCGTCGCGCCTTTCGTTTGTTTATCCTCCGGCTTATCCTTAATCGGTTCCTTTCCCATGGCGTATACCGGCGAGCCGGCCGCGTTCATTTCCTGGCCGTTGCTCGCCTCGTAAATCAATACCTCCATGGCGGTGCGTCGGACTTCGCGTCAGATGTAGGTATCGATGCTCTCGAACACGCTCTACCGCCGCGATCAGTTCAACATAGGCGAGCCCTGAACGCACAACTGCAACAAGAGGGAACAAAAGCGGCATCGTTAAAGGGGGACCCTCGACTCTTGAGTGTTTAAGTTTAATGTGCCTGTTAACGGGCCAGCCACGGGGGGACGAAAACGTCGAGCAACAAACATACAAGACAAACAACCGTTTTTAATTCGTTTTATCGTGTATAAAATTTCGTAATAAAAATATAAACGTGAAATCCCCCTTAAACCTCGAGAGGAGTACAAACAAGTTGAATTTATCGTTTATCGGTTATTATACATTATCAATTTTTATATCAAACGAACGACCTACAATATCGGGATAAGTTGCTGTATTATCGGCCACACGTTCGATTAGATAAAATGTCACACATAATTTCTCGACCACGGTCAGACTGATCTCATCTTGCCGATCGATCGATAATTATGAATATGGGTGAAATAATTCCAAAAATTTTTTATTTTTTATACGAAAGGGCCCGGATTCGACGACATTTGTACATTTCAGGCGCGTGAATAGCAGCCAATGCCATGCGACGACGAGAACGCTATGTCTAGCGATTAGCAACACCTTGAATTACTATCGAGGATTACCTGATGAATCACCTAACAGTGACTCGCATTTATTTCACGCGATACATTGTTTTTTCGAATAATTTCAAGAATTACGAAAGGGTATGTGTGATCGATCGAAGAGGTTAGGTCTGAGTTGGTCCAAATACGAACGAAACGAAGGAAAAATCGATCGAGAAATACTGCAATCTAATCTGACTGAAACTGTGACAAAAAGTCGCGTTCTGTCAACGCTGGTTCGAGTTAAATCTAGAGCACCAGATCCCAGTCGGTTCCGAGTCTCTTTCGAAACACACTCTGGCGGTCAGCATTTGAAATTTCCTCGTGCCAACAAAAACAACGGAAACAAGTTTTCAATTTTTCTTACGAAACTTTCGAAAGTACCGATTCATTCACCACTGGCATCGGAAGTCGTTATCGTCGTTGTCCCGGTTCAGAAAATCACGTTTCGCGATGAAAAGTTTGAGCTAGTTTACAGCGAACGGTTTGATACGCGTATCAAGTACAGCGGAACCTTGATTATCCGAACAAATTGTGTCACACGCTGTTCAGATAATCGAGTGACTCCGTTTTCTCGCGAAAGATCGTTTCTTCCGAAATATAACGTTTCCCAACGAGAGCGTGAAATGAAAATTGCAAAAGATAATCCTCGCGCTCGTCGTTTTATTTGTTTAAACGACCAACCATCATTGCGTTTAACGGAGTGAACGCGATAAATCCAATCTTCGATTACTCTAGCACATAAATCAAGCTGTATCTCGTCAACAACAGGAACAAAGTTTGCTTTGCTTGTGGTTTCTCGGAATAAACAAAAAACTTAACACGGTTCCGCGAGACAAAGTCTAATGGTGTCGAGTGGTAAAATAATTCGAAGACAAAATATCCGTGTACGACACAATCGTTCTAAAGAATCGGTTGATTCGCCGTATTATCGTTGTTTGTAGAGATAAGCATTGCATGCACGTGTATCTCAAAAAGCGAATTGAAAATTCGAAAATTTGTCGATATCGAGTAACAGTGAAAACGGTACGTAAAAACGATAACCGTACGCTAGATTCACGGACACTGATTGCACAAATATTTTTTTATCGGGTTTTCGATAGCGACGTTACAAGAAGGTCGTTAAATATTGAAAGAAATCAATTACAACGGTGTTGGTAACTCGTAAAAAGCTACGAATAAATTATGGAAATCGCGGGAAACGATTAACATATTTGCCAAAACATTTTATTTCATTCCAAAATGAAATCATTCTTGGAAGAGATTGGTTAGTCAGTCGAGGAGCGTATACATATATAGAAACGGAAGGTGGAAACGCTTGCGAGAGGAACGATCCCTCTGGTGGCGAGTACGGGAAGCGATGGTGCCCCATACCGTGCTTGCAGGACAAACGTGAATTTAATATTTTTTAAAATATTACGATTGAAGAGGAAATCGTTACGTGGAAATCGAACCGCCAAAAATCCGACGAAAGCTCTTTCTCGATTCGCGATTAGATTAGATTGACGTACCGACGATCGAGAAATACAAAGGTTACTGTACTTGGAAATTTCTGCTCGCCTTTCATCGAATCATTCATGCAAGGATTACGACACGCGAGCAAAAGAAAGAACACCGGAGACATACCGAAAGCTCACCTTCATTACCATAACTGGATATGTGATTGGTGTGTCAACAGCGAGTCCGAAGATACCGAAAGAAACATATCCCCGGCACCGTTAGCCTTTCTTTATTGCAGTGACTTTGCGGAAACTGACCAGAAGCGTGACCGCGACGTCCGCAACGAGATTTTAATAAAGCTATAAAAATCGTAACTTTAATTTATAAATATCAAATATTTCTAACGCTTTGTTGTAACTTGTCAATTTGATAGCGGACGACTACTTGAGAAGGTGAAATTAATACGCCCTCGCAAGAATTTAAAGTTAGGTGCAAATTCGATCGAAATATTATTTCTGTTCTTCTTAAACAATAACATGGAATTCGATTATTGCACGAATGGATATCAATGCGTAACATTAATACGGAATTGAAATCTAAAAATTGAGTGAGCCATGGTACAAAGTCCTTATTATCTTGTTCACTTAAAAATCAATTAACCCTATGACCCATATGTTGGAAGTCATTGCTCGCAGAATCCAATTATCTGGTATTTGATTATTTGTAAATACGAACGTATATCGCTTAATATACGTATACGGATACACTGATTTCATTATTCAATAAATCCAATTAAAATACCTACCAAACATTAGCGAATTTTCCTGTACCTTTTACTATTTATTTATTAATAGTTTAATTCGATTTTTTTGGTTAGAAATAATATTTCTTTCTCGATTTTCGTGTTCTTGAACTTATCGGGCCAGCAGTACCAGCGACAATGTCAACAAAAAGCACTTTGTACTGGTAAATAACCGATGTCAAATGACTATCCACGGTCGCAATAACAAAATACGAGATGGTACAAATATTTATAACACGGGTTGAAAATAAAGCACAGTTGGTAATCACGTTACGCAATTCTCAACGTGTATACGGAAGTTTAACGCGAGAAAAATTTAATTTATGAAATGTCAATCGTGTTTGTTTCGTCCTGAAACCGTTTTGCATTTTCTGAAGGCGCACAAAACGTATTTACATACCGGAAAGAAACAGTTTTATTCCTATTAAACACCTATTAAATATTATTCGAATACAACTCTGTAGTTCGATTAAACCTGTATTGTTGATTTAATTGTACATGCACAAATTGTTGGAAACATGATCTTGCTTCTATTCCTTTGACAAATCACTCAATATATTTAACAAAAAAAAGCATCAAATGTATTCATCCGCTCTACAAACATTACATCACCGGTGCACGATTATCGCGTTACAAAATTATTCAAACGGTATTAAAAGAAAAATAATATACAAGATAGGACCAATTAGAGCGTTGAAAAAATAGTCAGACAGTATTAATAAATATCAATGAGTTAAACTAATGTCTTCGACTAAAGTGATATTAATGTGTCGATATTATTACTAATTTAAATATCACTTCCACCGCTATGTCTGGCAATCAAGTTTTTTGTTCCGCGGCTACCAATCATTTACAACGTTTTTTTTGTTTATGACAACGCAGAAATTTATGAACGACGTAGCACATTAATAGTGCCCGTTAAAATTCGAAAAAAATACAGATCCTAACGACGTAATTTGAAATATAAAAAGACGAACTACTTTTTCATACGCGAAGCATTTAAGAATTTAAATTTTTAATTCGAATTTCCTCGATTTGATTGCGACAAGACTCTTGGAAAAAATTTTTATGGGGGACTCTAGGGGCCAAAATAAGAAAATCAAGGATACTAATTTGTTAATTGAGGCTTCATTAAAAAGTTATTAACGTTCAAAGTTTCACAAGTACTGAATTTTTTTCTCGAAAATGCGCAGGATTTCGGGGGTATGTGTAACGACCAAAAATGATTGTAATTGACCCCCGCAACTGAAAATAATTTTTTTAAAATGATTTGAAATATTTTTTTTCCGTCGAAAAATTTCACAACTTCTCGAATTTTTTTCCCGAAAATGCGCAAGATTTCGGGGGTATGTCTATCCACCAAAAATGATTATAATTGACCCCCGCAACGGAAAATAATTTTTTCAAAACGATTCGAAATTTTCTTTTTCCCATTGAAAAATTTCACACCTCGAATTTTTTTCTAGAAAGTGGCTAGGATTTCGAGGGTATGTCTAATAATCAAAAATTATTGTAATTGACCCCCGCAACTGAAAATAATTTTTTTAGCACGATTTCAAATTTTTTAATTTTGTCGAAAAATTTCACACCTTCTCGAATTTTTTTCTTGAACGTGGCTAGGATTTCGAGGGTATGTCTAATGACCGAAAATTATTGTAATTGACCCCCGCAACCGAAAATAATTTTTCCAGAACGATTCGAAATTTTTTTTTCGTCGCCTAATTACATTTTCCGTGAAGAATTTTTTTCTCGAAAGTACGTAGGATTTCGGGGATAATTGTAATGACCAAAAATGATTGTAATTGACTTACGCAACCGAAAATAATTTTTCCAGAACGATTCGAAATTTTCTTTTTCCCGTCGAAAAATTTCACACCTTCTCGAATTTTTTTCTAGAAACTGGGTAGGAATTCGGGGGTATGTCTGTTCACCAAAAATGATTGCAATGCCCTTTCGCAACCGAAAATAATTTTTCCAGAACGATTTGAAATTTTTTAATTTGATCGTTAATAACTTTTTAACGAAGCCTCAAACGAAACATTGATACGTTTGATTTTCGTCTTATTTCGGCCTCTACGGTCTCCCATTAAAATTTTTCTGATTGTTCGCTGAACACCCTGTATAGTTTACCGGAATGAACAATGCGAACGCGACAACGTTAAGAAGACATCGACGACATTGAAACGGTTGATCGTCGAGCACACTTCCTCAAAGAGAACAAAGTGGCCTATCTCCGGCGACGATAAGCGTAATCTTGTTTATGGAGTTAAACGACGATCATTGTTTTCAGAGAGCAGTCAAACTCTATTTACAGTGAGCAACATTAATATTCGGACACTTGACAATTCGCACTTAATCATTTTACAATCTTGTCTACGTTGAAGGATAAAATAATATACGTATATACAGGGTATTTCGTTTGAAAACATTAAAATCCAAGTATCTCGGGAATAACACATTTTTTGTTAAAAAAAATTAATGTTAAATACTGTTCGACTTGTTAAATCCTGATAAGGTTACACCAAGTATAACTTCGTGTTTTTTAACGAGAGCCTATTATTTTGTTACGAAACGGATACAAGTATCCGATGCAATGCAAATGCGAACGGTGATATTGTCAACAACGAATTAAACGACGATCGAATAAAGATCGACTTGTTCCCGTGAAAAAAAAAATTCGTCGATCGGTTTCGATCGGTCTGTTTGGACGTAAATAGTTCGTGATTCACGAAGAGACCGGTCGAAGTACAACCGGCGAATCTTATCGCGCGCAGTGAATCAACAATGAAAGTCCAACAAAGATCATCGAAGATCCAAGCTTCTGTTGTTTCGAGAGGGAACGCTAATAAACTCAAGTTCAACGTTTGCTATTTCCGACATGACGCTTATAAATCATAATTAATTCGCGCCGAACAATCTACTATACTTGTCAAGTTAACAGAAACGAAGATATCACGACACATAACGACATAACCTAATAAGACTAGTTTAATTCGTTAAAGATTCTCCCTATTCGAAAAATCGTACATTAGCTTCTAAAATGCACTCGATACCGATTACGTTTCCATGGAGTAGAATAATCCGTGTCACGGACGACAACTTGATCCATTGTACGTTTCTCGCGTTTAAAAATATTTAAACTGTGACCAATTCGTAAAATAAAACTGTCTCTTCTCGCGACAAATGTAGCTAACACATCGAAAGTGATGAATTAATACTCTCTCGGTTACGTAATACGCGAGGGTAAACAAATTCGAACCGTAAAGCTAACCTTTAAAGGTTATGTCCGTCGTTTCGAAGGTTGCGGGGAAAAAAAACTGTTCGTTTCGATTAAACGAAGTATAAACGATGTATAACGTAACAGTTGGTCGGTATAGAAATTCTTCTTTTCATTAAATAGGTAATTTGAAACCTTTTCAAACCATGGGGTTAGATACGAAAAGTTAACGCGACAGTCGACGCGCAATGTGCAATGAAAGTCGTCGAATTATCTCCGGTGACGGGTTCTTACGGCGTCGTGTTATTCTCGAGAACAATGGGCTCTTTTGCAAGGTACATTCAGAACGATCGAACAGACCCGGATAAGTGGAGGTGGTACACCCGGCAATTGACTTTTACACCGTTACTTACTTTAATAACAGAGACACACTTTATTATGTAAGCGACGTAAATGTTACACGTAATATCTAACATGCGTCCGTGTACCTCTGCCCAACTGGTCTCTCACCATTATTATAATAAACGATCAGCGTTATTCGACCACCTGCCATTGGTTTCATAAATATTTATTTCGTCAACGATACGCGTGTGTTATCGTGCAAATAAATCCGACGCAAGTTCATTGCTGTGTAAATACCAAAGACTGTACTTAAATGTCTCGTTAATAAACAAAAGATCAGTTTCGAACATATATGTACCGATTAAACAATTGGATCGATTTATTTTAAGTTTCTCGATAAACGACTATCGAATAGGAAATATTCTCGCAAGCAGTTTCACAATTACGAGTGCAGATTTTTCAGTGCCCATTTAGATTATATTATCGCGACCGCGATAACGCGTAAAGTTTAATCGGTCGTTTCATGCAAATTCGTTGAAATCTCGATCGATATTCTTTCTCGACGTTACGTTCGTCGTTTCCAATCGCTGTACTTTTGAGAATGATATCGGAACGAACGAAAGTATGTCACATAAAAGCTAAAATAAATACAAATTCTATTTCAGGAAACTATCTATACGCTTTTAAACGATTTATGTCGCGCGTCCGTCGTTTGAAAAAGACGGACATAACCTAACATTATCGCTGAATAGGGCAACGTTCATAACCACGCTAATTCTCGTAAAATCTGTAATATAAAATGTCTCGAGTTTCCCAACATGCATTATAACGTGCAAAATTATTCGGAAAGGTTTAAAGTCGATCCCTGCAAACCGGATGTAGTCCCATTTGTTTGAAATTCCAAACGATCGCTGGTTTCCTTAAATGGTGTTAGGAAGTAGAACGGATCTCGAGATCCTTTATACATTAGTTCGAACACATAACGTATGGTTTGAATTATGTATTTAGAGAGTTAATAAAGAGTTAGAAATTTCTGATAATTTTGAATAATTTAAAACGCCTTGAAATGTTCTATATATGTTTTAGAAAGCTCAAATTGCGAATTTACTTTCCACTTTTACAGTACGCTTATTACAACTTTCGACATTTTAATGTAAGTGTATACACACTTATAAGGTCCCGAAATCCTCTAAAATTTTAAATAGAATCAATCGTTTTTGCAATCAAATATTCAAAACGATTCGAAAGCACGATGAAATCACAGGAAAGTTTGAAAGAGGAGAAACTGAATATCTATCATTATGTAAGGACATTCAACCTTTAACTTCCATGCATTTCGTTAAAGTAACAGTTTCATAATAGTTACGATGTAATCGACGATAGAGAAATATTAAACGATTTCAATTAAATCTGTTTCTGCATCAAACAAAAAATTAATTTGCAATTTTTTAGGAAGCAATTGCAAATTCTTATGAAACACTTGGGATTTTTCTCGACAACTTTGAAATCCCGAAAAATTACCCGCGTCGAATAAATTCTATTTTTTTCCTCAAATTGACGTGCTTTGTCATGCTATATTTTTGCACGAACGTTTACTCAAAATTATCTAGCCGGTGTTAAAAAGTGTTCTTTCAATTATATACAAGTACAAAATTCACAGGGTAAACATATTTTAACTATTCGACAAACATCTTTTCTAGAACCCCTTTTTTCGTTATTTCTTCTTTGATCAACTCATCCGCGGTTCAGGGTCTTCGTTGCTTTAATTGGTATTAAAAAACAGTTCAAAAACGTCTACCACGCGATGACAAAACCATTATCTAAATTACCGTTTCACGTTTAATTGATTATCGAAGTAGAAATACTGTTCGAAAGCACACGCGCCGCACGCGACAAAGGTTCCCCGAATATTTTCGTCGACACGTGTCTGTGATGCAACCGTTCTCTTTTTTGCTTGGATAAAATTATGCATAACGATTCGTGCTTACCGTTACCAGCGAGGGGGTTGATAAAGCCACGGAGATACCTTTCTGCACGGTTCGTGCTGTCCAACGAAGAGATCTCGATTCACCGGGTCTCTTTCACTGTATCGTCACAACGTTGTCGTGCGCGCGCATTCAAACGGCCGGCGACGTTCTCGAACGCGAATTTACTGGCACGAAAACGCGGGCGAAAGTGTCACGAGCATGACAGCTCCCGGTTGTAAATTCGCGACGATGCTGCGGAACGCGTTCTATGCACGGATGAAACGGACTTCTGGTCCTTCCGACAACCGCCGTTCGAACACTGCATTTTACCACGCGCGTTCTCCCTTTTCTGCCTCCCTCTATCGTACCTACGCTCCCCCTCGCTGCTCGGCCGCTGATTGGGGAACATCGCATCCCCTCCCTTTCTTATTCCGTTCCATCGGACGATTTCTCGATCCGCGTATCTCGTATTATACGATGCTCAGATTTTCCCTCGTACGCTTCGCGGAAAACCTTCGACGAAGGTCGGGGGACCCAATTATCGGGACACACATGCAATCACGGACTGAAGAAAACTGTTGTACCTATGATCCGTCAAAATGTAACTTCCCTTTCATTGGTAAAAAGGTTGTTTCGTTCTACCGATCGAATTGAAATATTTTTATCGTTTCAACCAAAAAAATTAAGCGTGGGAGCCTCGAAACCAAACGTTTCCATTCGTTTAACCAATAAATTGCTCGATCTCCTGCCTCTACGCGTGAACCTATATCTATAGATATACATGCTCTCTGTATCTCTCGTGTAGAGAAATAAACTAATAGTCCAAGCATAAGGCATAAGCAGACAAGCTGACACAATGTAAAACTAATAATCTGGCGATATATTTCAGCGTATTAATTATGTAAAACGATTTCTTTCGTGCTGTATACATCGAACTCTCGCGTGTCCTATACTTTAACGAGTCTGACTCGTGATAAAGATTTTTGGCCCAAACATGAATGTCAAACGTAAAAATCACGATCGTGATCGAGTTTTAGTTCCTATCGATACGCCATGAGAGTCCCCATACGCCACGAATCCCATACCTCTCTCACAGAGCTAAATAATGACAATTTTCTAAGTTTATTATTTTCTTTTTTCAACTATAATATCCTTTTAAAAACCGATCACAAACTGTTTTGTAACTTTGTGATATGTATATAACTTTGTAAAACACGTGTTATGTATTACAGAAGACTCTGAGAAGATAAATGTACTGTTGAATACAATAAAATGTACCAGAACAATGCAACCAAATAAGAATCGATAGGCCTTTGGCATCCAAGAGACCGCTATCGTAATAAAATGCATGATTCAGTATGATCATTGACCCAACCTCGTGGCACGCACTTATCATGTTCTCACACGTACAGTTAATGTTCCTATTCAACCTATGTTTTCGCAATACACTGTAATACAATCGCGAAATTAATCACGTATTAATTGCTCGAAATAATTTGTTTTGCGAGAATTTATTTGTAAATTAATTCCATCATTTATATGTACTACCTTCATATATTTTGATCGATTGTATCATCATTGGTTCGTTATTCTGGGAGACAATAAATGGAATTACTTTCATCGCAATCATTTCTGCCCACACAAAGGCTGTTCAATGATTATGAATCACGACTAACGTTCTATGGACATAATACAACAATTGTACGATCATCGGCAATAGTAGATGTATAACAAAGTCGTTATCAATAAAAATCACTTTCAAATCGTCAATAAAATTTATTCGTCTTGTACAACTGTTGTTTTCTCAGATACATAAAGACCATCTAAGAACTTTCTAATATCTTTGTTCTTTACGGTCGTAGACTGCTGTATAAGGGCAGCTGAAATGGAAATAGCGATAAATTGCGATCCCATTAATCACCATGTTAAAAGTATAATAGAATAAAAATGTTATTCCTAAATTAGCACAAATTTCTCAATTATCTAAACATTTAGATCACACCATACGAAATATAACCATTCTTTCGTTTATTTTCATTTTTTAAATTTTGTAATATAAATTTTTATATCGAGTATTTACCAGAACGGGAGACGTCTTCTAACGAATTTCCTTCGATTATCAGTTCATCTTTTTGTTTAGAAGAATTTGTTACGGTCACACCTGGTGCCATCTTCACGCGGCGAATGTACTTCTCGCCCAAGAAGTTACGAATTTCAATTACAGTGTTACTTTCGGTCGTGACGCAGTTGATAGGGAAATGAGCGTACACCGCTCGCATTTTATATTGATAACCTTTAGTAACGCCTTTCAACATGTTCTCGATGTGGGAGCAAACTGTACGAACCGCCGCCAGTTCTTTCTTTGTGCCGAACCATTTTTCTACCTTCAGTAACTTTGGACTTACCATCTAAAACAAAAGTAGCATACATTTGTTAAATAAAAGTAATAAGTTGCGATATCATTTGCTTCTAGTATCAAATCGATCAGAAAAAGGATTTATCATTTACAAGAAAATGAAGGGGAATCCAATTATCATCACACTACGATTTAACTCGATACGTTATTCCTATTATCTGTTACCAATAAAACAAACGTGTTTACTTACACGAATGTCAAGCGCAAGGTGTTTAAAAGAACGTTTAAGAATGCCTCTCGGTCCTTTAACAGTAACCAAACGGGACTTGACCGTAACAGTCAGTCCCTCAGGTATTTTCACCGTCTGATTGGTTACGATTTGCTTCATCCTGTAACACACAACACGACGATTAAATACAAGTTGAAACTGTAAAGTAACGAGACAAGTATGATTACATGTTCTTTGGTTCATTGTTTATAGGTTACGTACGATAAATAATACAATCACAAATTGCAAATGAAAAACTTCTGTAGAAGAAGAACGAATCAACGAATATTCTATGTTCACAGAATTGTTGTGAAAGCGAAATCAAACACAGAAATACAGGAGAGCTCCGGATTTGTATCAAACCCGAAATATTGACAGCAACGTATTAACAAGGTTATATTTCACTACGATCAAAACGATCACTTTTCCCAAAAATAATACTCAGCCTAGCATAAACATAGCGAAGAACACAAAACTATATAAATAATACATCGCGGGGTGTATTGCATTGCTGGATTGATTTGGATTTCACTAAATATCCCTTCTCATATTTATTTCTTTACCTCGCACACGCTACGGGATAACCGGAAAAGACCAAAACGATGGAAAAGCATGTCTGTTAAGTTTCTGTGCGAACGAAGTTTATAGATGGTAAAATCACGTTACCTTTCTATCAGCTACCGTGATTCGACCTACAGATGGCGCATTTCAAATTTGTACTTGTCGGTAATAAACGCGTTTTATTAAACGAATTTAAAAAATATACAGCATTTTATACTTAAATCAAATAGAATTGCAAGTGCAATGAATATAGTAAAAAAAGACAGCACTTAATATTGTTTGTTGTTTCTTTTCTGTAAAATGTAATTAGCAAAATCAAATTCAAGACACCAAAGAGAAGGTTATTGTAACGATTCAGTTATAAATATGAAAAGAAATGATTTTTTTTTAGATTCTGCGAGTAATAACAATTGTAGTTTAACGACTTAATTAAATTAACTTGAATGATAATATGTATTGTTATTAATGTAAAATCGAAATCATCGAGATGTCACAAACGACAGCAATCTACGATACATTTAATTCGTGGCTGAAAGTTGGAACTAAATCTATTCCTGTAAAATGGCCGATTGCGTTAACGAAGTAGCTAGTCACCACTAGTGTCTTTTGCGCGTTATTTTTCAGCTTTTAATCCCGCGCTTTGCTTTAAAGATGTGCAAGGTATAACGTATTCATATTATCCGTAAATAAAAGATACCAGAGTCGATCCGTACATTGGAGAACATTTACGATGTCTTTATCCACGAAATGAAATGCAACTGTTTGGTTACTTTTTGTACACGGTAAATATTCAAGAAAAATCCTGAGATATCGCAACGATTTCGATCTCTCGTAAGTAAATGTATCATGTGCGTATTAAATTCGTCTCTTTTCTACCGCGTTTGCCTAACTCGATTTCAAAGTATCGAAGATAAAGATAAAGTGGTTCGAAATATTTATTATAATTTGACACCGTTTTGTACGTTCACGTTTATTCGGTCAGAGACGTCCGTACTGTTTTCTTTTCCCAAGTAATTTTAGTTAATATGATGATTCGTTGTGCAGATTCCTGAACTGGAGTCACGGAAAGAATTTTTGCTAATGTATGATCACCTTGGCAAAATAAATACAAAGGACGTCGATATATCAGTGTACCAAACAACCACGGAACACTACCGACAACTCGTATACGTCGCTGATATAATGTACTACTAGTTTTAAGTCCTAGCGTGTCCTAATTGAATCGCAAAAGTACTTCCAATATCTTCGAAACGTATTAAATCTAATTCTTTTTTTATGAAAAAAAGAAATAAAACTAGCATAATAGAATATATACATAAAAGTTTGAGACACTTGTTGATTAAATTAAATCTGTAAAAAATATTCTGTTTTAAAGATTCCAATTTTTATATTTATTGTAAATTTCTACTATTTAATGAATATCAATTGAACATTTAGTTTAACTTACTATGATGCTAATAGAGCATATTGCTACACAAAATGTATCAATAATTATTGTACAAAGTTCGCGAGTATAAATATATATTTTTTTTTACTTAATTGTTTTTCCATCAGATATTTCTTTCGCAGAAAAAATTTAGATTTCTTAAATTATACGAACATTTATACGTGAATTATGGATAATAAAGTTGATACAACTCTGAGCGAAAAGATATGCATAAGTACGATGCAGAATGATATTAAACAAGAATCGTCAAACGCGTTTGTCTCTAAGAAAGGTACAAAAGTATTGGAAAGCGAAATATTCGATGAGAAAGACTTGTTGATAGCTCAATTGCAAGAACAGGTCGATAAACAAAGAGAGTGTATATTGTATTATGAAAGTATAGTGCAGCTTATGAATTACAGACTCATGAAGTTGAAGAAGGTTCTTAAAGCTCATCAGTTGTTGGAAGAACTTAATTAAACAATTTAAACGAAGCATGTAATAAAGGTTGTTTCACAGAATTTAAATAACAATTGAATGAACGTTGTATTAGAAATACGTGTACTTTTTATATTTCTACCGGCAGAAAATATGTGCTCGCGCATACTTTAATACACCTTTCTAATACAACCACAAATATTGTAATACTTTCGAAAAAAAAAATGTAAATATAAATAAAGACTGATGTACATATTTTATAAAACTTTGTGTTTATTGAAAGTTTTTAAGCTTCTTTTAACACATAGAAAGTTAAATTGAGCTGGACCTTTTTCGATACCATTATTATCAATATTATCATGAAAAATTAAATTTTCGGTAAATTTTGTTCTTGATCAAGGAATATTGTACAATTTCGAATTATGGTTGTCCTGCTAAAGATAATACTTTTTGTGTGTTATCGCGTCCTCCTTGCCTTCAGGTGTTCTCAATGTACATGTACTTTAATTTGCTAGGATTGCGTTAATGTTGTGCATACAACTTATTTGTTCGCTATTATTAATATAGTTTATGTACATTATAAAATGTTAATACAATTACATTCACCTATATACTGAACATCGTCGAATGAAAAGTATATGGTTTATAATAAATACGTAATTTAAAAAAAAAAGGCTGCAGCATTTTTTTGAACAGATTAACGAGTCTTTTTTTCAGGCGTGTCAAACAAGGTATCAATTTCTGTTCGCTTTGATTTGTATTGCATGTTTCGTTGTTTCGTGAGAAATTTATATATTATTGTTGAAAATTGTGCGACAACAAATACGGAAAAAGAATATTTTCATTGTTCGTTTGTTTCTAAGAACATGTTTGGAAACTGTTGTCAACGGTATTGTACAATGTGTGTTTGGAATATAAAAAATTATCAGAGTACACAAAAATACAAAAATTTATTTTATTCATTATTTTAAGTAGCAATATACGCAATTTTCACTGTGCGTAAAAGAAAGTACTAAACGCTGAAAACTACAAAATATAAAATGAACTGTATTTCACAATACTCGTGTACGTACTGAAATATAATAAATAAAATTATGAATAAAATTAGTCAATACTTTAAATGTTCAAGATTAATTTTTTTTTTTCTTTTTTTTTGTATTCTTTGTCTATAAAACATATAATATGTCATTAATTTATTACCTAAAATATTAACTATAGTTACTAAATTCAAATACGAACTATCGTTATAGATTACAATAAAACACCTGCGTAACATTAAATTTCATCGGTATTTGTAGTTTTACACTTTACACTTGGATCTTCTTAGCACATTTCATGAAATTCTGAACAAAACAATCGTTAAAAAAACAGATCTTCGTTTATTAAATATTAAAAAATAGAAAAGGATTATTAACTATTTCTGTCAAAGCTACTATCCCGTAGCATTTGGAGTTAAGTATTTAAATAATGAAACAAAACACTTCCCTTCGACGCACAAATAAATGAATATATTACAATATAGAAATTTGGATATGCATATTATTTGACTTGTATATTGCTACTTGGAAACTTCATAAAATGCAGCATTGAAACAATGTCCTTACACTTACGTCACAGTAGTTCCATAAATAATGTATTTTGTCGAGTCTTTGCGAGTTTCTTTTATTCCTTTTTTTTTTCCCTTTTTTTTCCTTAAAAAAAGTCGATAGAACATAATAATAATGTACACATTACAAAATCGAAATGAAAATGCTTATAAAAAGTCTCTGCCTCTTCAATTCTTAGAATGTTATCACACAACTACATGTCACCCCGGATTCTATATTTCCGCGTTCATAGTATGAAGTTCTACTCTCCTCCAGAGCAAAAAATAGAAGTTATCCCCGCGAATTCTGGCCCGCGAACGATCATTCAGCGGCAAAAATTCTAATTCTGCTTGCTATTCGTATATACACAAGCAAAGAGGTATTTTGTCAGTTTACATCCAAAATGGCATCTCTAATAGTCCGCCTGCATAGATAATCGTTGATTATTACTTGGTTTCAAAGGTATCGTACAGCGTCGTGCGTCTGGAAATCTTTCGTGATATCTTTCCAATCTCAGGTACTTCACGGTTACTAAGTGACCTGGAAGAACATCGATATTCATCGAACAGTGCTTGCAGTATTACTCCGATAATAACTGTTAAATATTTACCATCGAACCAACAACCATGCAAAGCCCTGTAAGCTTTACCCGCGTCTTCTTGCGACATACACTTCATATAAACGCAACCTTCCCGGCTACCACGGTCTACACGGATATGGAGTACCTTCACACCTTCTCCGCATTTCTCCAGGATAGCATCCTGAACCTTCGTCTCCCAATCGTCCTCGATTTCTCTAAACAAACGCGAACAGATTATTAACTCGCATCAAAGATAACACAAATAAGGAAAACCGATTGAAACACTTACACATCAGCATCGAACATATGCCTTATCTTCAAGCACGGCGTTGGCGAGCAGGTCAGACTGTTCACCGAACCTTCCATTGTTTCGAACGCTTGGCCCTGCCACACTTTCGACTTTTTGGTCGGTACAAAATTCTGCGTGTTCGATTTGTTCAGGCTGTTGTTGGGCAACCAGCGCCATACGTGAAATTCTTCGCCAGCGACCTGTTGCACTTCCCTTCGAATTCTGGAAAACGGACGTTTCGTTTTTTTGTTATCATTCTGGTACACGGAAACACGAGATCTCATGCTTGTACGTTCTATCACCTGGATTCGTTCTCGTCCAAAAACTTGACAGCCTTCTCCCACAGTCCGGCCATCTTTTTACGATCCCTCGGCGGTATCAAATTGTCGCGTACATGATTTATAGCTAGAAAGCTCTCCTGCATACCGCCAGGCGTTGCCACGCCGGCATTTTGATGATGCATCTCGACCATGTTAATTATCTCGCTAACGAGCTTAAACACTTCTCCCTCTGTGCTTTTCTTGTACTTTATATACCAAACGAACAATTTCTGGATTCCTATAACTGCTAGGAGGCCTGAGAATATATTGCAATATTATTTAAATACGACACTTTTTACATTATTACAATATTGATATAATATATGTATATATAGAAGGTGTTCCACGTAACTAGAGAAGACCAAGTTCTCTAAAGTGATTAGAGGTACAAAAAAAAAAAAATTAAATGTAACTGGAAAATATTTTTTTGTATCGCTACAATTGGAACACCCTCGATTCAACACTATACATGCACAAGAAAATCGCATAACAGACACTATTGTAGCGACAGAGAAATAATTTACTAATGCGACATAATTACACCATCAAAGTACCAAAGATATTTATAACAGAACGCAATGCTTTAATATAAGAACACTGTTGCATTGGTAAAACCTAGTCGTTACATTTTCAACAAATCTCTTCCCATAATAAGTCGGTAAAAAATTTACCAAGTGACACAATTAGAAGTGAGGAGAATATGGTGAAAAGCTTGTTTTTAATAAGACATTGCATCGGCAATTCCGGATCCATGATCACCATTCCAACTTTTCCGTTCAAACGGGTGGAAAACAATTTGTCCTGCAAGAAAACGGATACGTTTTTTTCCCCCTTAATTTATACAGATTGTCGATGGTAGGCGATCGAATAAACTATCTTTTACAATACCAAGGAATCCAATACTTCGCCGGGCGGTCCGTTATCGTCGCTTATATCTACGAGAGAAATACCCCACTTGGGATTCTTTATGACGAGTAACTGTGCATTTTGCAAATCCTCCTTCACCTCCAAGCTTCTCTGTAAAAATAATTGAACGGTACCCATAGTAGCGATACATAAATTTTCGATGTTGTAATTGGTTCAACGTACCACTTTAGTATTCGTGAACATTTGCATGATTTCGGAATCAGTCAGGTAAGGAGTTTCGCTGGAATTGTCGCATATCATAGACACGGCCTTTTTCGTTAAAATCGGTTGTAGCCGCTTTAACAGCTGCAGCACGGAATCTACATTTTCTTTCATTACGCAATTAACTCCAGGCGCTTCAAGGTTGGCTCCGAGAAAGCATAGTGGTATGTTGCTATCTATAAATTGAAATGCAATACTAGTATCGATTATCAATGTTCATACAATAACAGTAAATTTTTAACCAAAGTAATATTTTAACTTTTCTAAACGAGAACCATACTGTATATTATTTAGTCGAATATGCACAGAATCTACGTAGAATAGATAAATTGTTTAACAATCTTGATCGAAACGATAGAATGCAGGATAAAATCATAACAATTGGGAAAGGAAATAAAATATCAAAATTAATACATCATTAATGCTTATTATTTTATTATACACGTTAAAAAAAAACGATACATATTTTGGATAGATTGTTACGAGACTGATTACACATCTCAATTTTTAAAAAGTAATAGAAACTCCGATATAAGCGATTATTTAGCGACATTATTATCAAAGTTATTAAACTAATCTCTGATATTGCAGTATATTTTCTATAATTCTAATAACTTCAATACAATATCGTGCAATGTGATGAACATATTTCGTGCAATGGAACAATGAAACACAGAATACAAAAGTACGATTTTGCACAATAATCTTAATTAAATTCAAATTATAAACCCTGGGTCTTTAAAAGGTCTTAATTATTAACAGTGTACAAATTTCTGTTTTACTACTTCCTACACGTTCAGCGTTATCATTTTTATTCCGTTACATTAAAAGACTGATAGCCATGATGATACTTAGCATTAATATTAATAAATTCATTAGAAAAGCTTTCCCACAAATTTTTAGCTAAAATATATCATTTCCGTTGTACTTGTTTAAATATCTCTCTCTTTTTGTATAGCTTACTTAAGTAATATTACAATTCTGAATACCTACCCGTTGAAAAGGATGGAAAAGTTTCTGTTTTTCCACCGAGCCCCATGTATATAACAGCAAGAATTCCAAAAAATAAGGCGAGTACCACTACCAAAATTATGGACACCATGTTCTGGTTGTTGCGCATATCTTCTCTACTCGTAGTCGACGGCTTAAATGTCCTATTTGTTTCTCGAGGTCTATCAATCGACGATGTTAAATGCCTTGAACCAAACAACATTCACGTACATCACGCTAATCTATGTACCTATTTCGAAGAAATTTTATACAAACCTTGGACTTGATAAATACAGTGATCTTAGAGACGAAAAGTGGCCGTTCGAATCCTTCTCTTTTAAATCCGGTGTGTTCGATAAATGGCGCAAAGACGAACCTGAAACACGTAAAACAAATTATTAATATATACTACCATATATTATGTATTAACACTTTTTAATTAAATTGATCGAAACTTACTTTTTGAACTGGATAAAGAGGTAGATGGTAAATTTATTGACGACCGTGAACTAAGTCTCCTGGTAAATTCTGATAAAAACGGAGTTTCGTAATTTGCCAAAATGTCTCTTTGATTAAAGTTGTCCTTTGTACAGGCATCGTCTTTCATGGACTGTATAGGAGAAATACTCAGATCGAAAGGGGACTCGTATTTGTTGTCCTTTATCGTATGAACGGATCTTGACTTGGGTTCGTACGGTTTTGAAATTTGTTCCTGATCGGGTATATCACGTTCGTATGTTCTAGCATCGTGAGACTTCCCAATGCTGGACAGATATTTGGATGGAGAGTAACTTCTGCTCGTTTCCTCGACAACATCCGAATCCGAACCAGTTTCTAAACCGTCGTTCATATTCATCGTTTTATTAATTTTCACATATTTCTTCTGCATCGTTTTCGTCAGTGTACGATTTGTGAAGGACGAAGGGCCGTCGTAATCAGGCACTACAGGATCCTTGAATTCAGAGTGAGAAGTTTTGTCTTTGATCGGATTTTTTGATACGCTCGTGTCCGAAGATGCCAGAACCGTAGGTGGTGGAGGCATCGGGTTAGCCAAAGTTTGTCGTCTGGCATTTATGGCCGCCTTTTTCTTTTTACTGGTTGTCGAACTTGTATCATCGTCTGTGTCCTCGCTACTATATCTGGTACATAAAACATTAACGATAAAAAAGAAACTTCACCATATAAATTTTCAGTTCTGTACAAAAGTAGCGTTCAATGTAATATACATAAAAGAATAATCTGTAAACGGAGGATTTCGAACCACGAGAAATCTGTTGATCGAAGTAAACAAAAATAGTGGTGGTAAATGTAAAAATCTGAAATCTTTGGGCATGGCGAGAATTCAACAAAATTCGTACGAATAACGAATGTTTGAAAATCGTGTGGATGCAACTACTGAAACGTACCTTGCAGCCAAAGAATGTCGTGACCCTGTACCGCCACGGGTTTCCATCAAATTTTTCAGCTTTTTCACGAGAATTTTTCTGGTCGTTTGTGTCACAGGTCCCACTGGATATCCATACTCCATCAATTTACTACGTAATTCCGAATCGCACAGAGTATCCACCGACATTTTGTTTACAGAAAAAAAAAAATGCACTCTTCTCAAAAAGACACCCGGTAAAAAAGTTCCCTCGTGCGCGAAACTCCCGCTAGGCACTCCTACAACGCGTAATTAAAATTCTCGTACGTGTGTCGATCGTTTTCCCCGTATATTCGCAACCGCCGTCGGTTTTACCACGTGCCGCCGTTCACGATGTCATAAACGCTTAACGCAACGCGCACCGCTCAGAAAATAATCTTGGTTAGAACTAAAAAATGGCGCAATTTTCTAACGGTCGCGATCGCGCGCATACTTGTCCACACCATTTTACGCCACTCAACCCTGTCACCCATAGTCATGGAATAGGGTTAATCGAGATAATCCAACTGGTTCGTGGAATACCGACTACCCTGTCGTTACCATTTTTATTCGACCATTTATTTAAAAACAATTCGATAACGAACGCGCGGCGATTATTCAATTGGTTGGTCTGTCGCCGCATTAAATTAATAAATATTCACATTTACGGTACTGAAAAGAAATATATTCAAATCGCTCTGTTCATCAAAATTCTCAGCGTACGCATCATCGATTTGTGATTTTTGGAACGGCATTTTGGAATGTGCTTGAGCAATGTCAATGCTCATACGCTAATTATAGAACGCACATGCAATCGAATTACGCGAGCTTTTATTCTTGAAAAGAGAAGTAACAATGCTATAAATAAAAATCACTGTTACAAACGTGCAGTCCAGTAGAAATATTGAGTATGTTCGTAATATGGTATGTTTTTGAAGGATTTAATTGGGTTGCATATAAATTTTGTTTCGCGATTAGGAATTGTAGAAAACTATTTTTATTTTCAGCGTTGTCTTTCCCTTTCTTACTCTTTTATCGTATGCAGTTTATGCGTTATTACTTTAAAAGTTCTTTTCGACTCTGCCTTGTAAAAAATGTACAAAAAGAAATTTCTCGATAGATTTACCGGATAAACGAAATTAAATAATTAATATTTTGTAGCATATCATTTATAATTACTTTTTCTTCAAACATTGTTTAATTTCAAGTTTGATTTGATTTTACTTTCGCTATCAAGGCCCTGAATCTCTTTTAATGTTATCTACTAATTGTGAATCATTTATTTAATTACTAAGCATACAATTGAATCTCAATATCGTAATAAATACATTGCACTTCTGACGTTACAATAATCTGGCAAATTTTCAATACGGCCGAGAGCTATAAGCGCTGGACTTTGATCATAAATGTAGCTCTGCGAAACATTTCTTATTGTATCCGCTGTTATTTTCTGTAATAAGCGTAACAGTTAATTATCCTTTACCAAGCATTCGAAATCGATCGATCAAATTTTTTACCTCGTACTCTATGATTCTTTGCTGAATCGGTACATAATATCCGTACCTAAAGACATTCTTAACAATATCAAGAAAACGACTTTGCGGATCGCTCAATAACATTAATTCTTTTGTCTTACATTGATTTATAGCACGTGATACTTCTTTTCGAGTAATCGTTGTGCACAATCTCATCCATTCTTGTTGCACTACATGAATCATGTCCTATGGAAATGTTTTTAATAATGAAAGTAATTGTCAGGAACCAAGCAGCGAAACCTTTTAACTTGTCAAAGTATACCTCGAGACTTAATTTCTTACAAACGAAATAACATCCCCAAATACTGGTAGACTGTGCCCACTCGTGAAAGAATGATTTATACATGTAACACAAATCTGTATTGAATGCACAGTGTGCGATATACGGTGCATTATGATTTGCTCCACCTAAAAATAAATTTTACTATTGGAACGCTACAAGAGTCACGATTTTTATAATCTCTGTTACAAAGCAGTTTATCATCCCCCCCCAGAGCTAAATGGCACGGGGGTACAGAACCACCTAACTATTCTCGATTCAATTTATTGCAAAAATATTAGCGAATCAAAACTAATTTTTTAAACACAGAGGCCTCTTAGTCTCCCCTTCAATCAAATTCCTTCTTAAACAACAGAATATTTACTTACTACATTTCTTACTCCAGGAACCTACAATTTCTTTAGCTACAGTAAGTGCAAAATGAGCTTCAGTGTCTTCGTAACTTGGTCCTTCGAGTCCTACTGCTACATACCCTAATTCCTCATCGTCATTTCTTAATCGTAATTCCGCACCTATAATATTTTACTTAGAACGGTTAATTACCGAGAAAATTCTGTTGCTTTTAATTTCGTTCACCTGAGAATCTATACTCGAGCAGTTCTGTACAAGATTGTATTTTGTCGTAATGTTCTGGCAACGAATCGTTACTATCTCCTGTTTTGCAAGCAAAATGCTTGGAAACAATTTCTTCTAATTTATTTAGACAAACGGGTCCACTGCAGACCAGTGTTAGAAAAGATGTATCGAACAAACGATCTCGAAATTCGATTAAGTTTTCTGTACGAAATTGTCTAAGAATTTTATATTATAATTAAGAAATGAACTAAAATGAGTAACTTTCCACGATTACGTTCGCAACGATGTTTCGATTTTTGATACTCACTTTATTTCGTCAGTTTTTGGATATATACTATTACCAAGCGCGGTACCGTGGTACGCGATGCTAGGCAAATAATCCATTGTAACTTGTTCTTTGTCCGATTCCATTTTAAAAAGTTCCTCTAAAATTATGATCTTTTCTCTTTCGACATCTTGATTGCCTGAGATGTCCAAGTAATATACAATGTGCATGTACAATGTACAATTTACAGAAATTCTACTTTACTCGACTTACATATAGTACCATTTAATATTACATCCGCGAAAAATTGTACGAGCTTATTTACTTCGGACGATGGTACGGTTCCATAAAAAAGAAACATATGCCTCATAGCAATAGCACTGACTCTTCCGCCAATTTCTTCCAACGCTTTTTCTAGTTGATCTTGATTCCTGTTTCTTGTTCTCTACATCAAGCGAAAGTATTTAACGCTAAGCCTTAACAAACGTATCATTTTTATAAATAATATGTCAATTTTAGAAAATTATAAACTTGATGTTACATAATTCCCAAAGATGAACAAATATTATTCACGAATAACGAATAAAGATTTTCAATGAAAAAGTTACAATTTAAGTTAGATCACTGAGTGAACTAAAAAATTTCGATTCGTTATTCGCGAATAAAATTTGTCCAACTAATAGTTTCACGAAATTCTTTTACAAAATATAGCGGATGCTTTGTCGCGTCTCTATGTTTATAAAAACATTGATAAGACAAACATTACATATTTATCATGGTTTTATTACATACTCCTCGTCTTACCCTGAAAAGTAAATGTTCCAAGAACAGTGTGCTGCCACGTTCTTCGGGCATTTCATGCATCGCGCCTGTTGGAACGAAGCATCCTAACGTAGTTGTGTAAGAATTTCTATATTCACATACAAGATGCATACCGTTGACCAGAGTACAACTTTCTATCGAATTCTCCACATTTGAACATATATCTAAGTCTGTGGTCATTTTTCTAAAACCACTCTCGCAGCTTTGAAACGTTTTGCAACAACTATTCGAGATAGAGACGTACGCCTTAAAAACAAATTCAATCAACATCTTTGAATTAACGTTCAGTTACAATTGATTCAGGAGAATTAAATAGTACATACCCTTTTAACGCAAAACACAATATTACTTTGTACATGGCACAAATTTTTAAAGACCGCTACCATTTTTTTTATATTAAATTAACAATTAAGTAAATAACCCGCACTATTCATATTGGATACGCACAAAAACAATAACAATCGAAAATCCAAAATGCCATTTCCGTTTTTCAATCTGTCATTTATCTGACACTGTTCGATAATTTTTTAAATTTAATTTAAAAAGAAAAATGAATCAAAACTTACAAAAAACCATTAAAAGTTATAAATATAATATCTCTAGTGCTGGAATATCAGTTGATATTACGTACAGCAAAATAACGTGTTTTAAACAAAAACAGATATTTCGTATGTTTAATGAAGTAGAAGTTTTATTACAATACGACGTAGTCATTAACAATATGGAAAAGTAATGGAATGATTTTCTACAGCACGAAAAATTAGTAAAATAATATTTTATGATACACCGTTTTCATCCTTGTATAAATTAATTTCTGCATAAAAGTAACTAAGAATAGACTTTCTAGTGTTAATCTGAACACACATTAATATCGAAACTGCTTAACTAATCGTTTTTCCAGATATACTTGTCTATAGATATTTTCAACATTTAAGTAACCTTAGTTTAACGATAGCTTTAAAAAACAAAAAAAAAAAAGGTGAGATTTTTTAAGTTAAAACGAATCTCGTGTACACGGGAAATAAAATGTGAAATAGCAAATGAAAGAAACATCTTTTGTTGTATCTACAATTAATCTCTTTCCGGTTATTATTAATATTATTTATCATATTAATGTCTGTCCTCCAATAATTTATTTGAAGCATTGCATGCATCTCTATAACTTCACTTTGTTACCGAAGGATTCAGAAGTACTGAATCAGTGCTACTAGTATATCTAGTATACTTATTTTTCTTTTATACTACTGGGTATTGACGTAAAATTTAATACGTTACTAAATTGCACACAAATACGTATTTACAATAAAATTGAACCATAAACGCTTGCGAATAAATACATTGAACACAGTTCACGAAAGGGTAGTAAAGTTAGGATATACATTGCAAATATTACTTTATAAATCGCAGTTTCCTTTCGTATTAATTACTTAGTGAAAGTAAAAAATGGTTTACCTCTAATTCTTTAGTTCGTCCGCCATCGGCGGGGAACATACGTTTAACTGTAGAAGTATCATGTTATCGAAGCCTTTCGTAACGACCTCGTACCTTTCAAACGATGGCTTCTTAATGTTCAAATATGCGTTAAATGTATATTCAAACCATGCTAAATTCACGATTTATTATAGTCCTTTATAACTATGTCTCGTCAAACGATGAGACTATCTTGACATTTGCTTTCTGACCCTTGAAAATTTCAACGCCTTGCCTTGTCACGGAAGTACCGGTCACGTCGAGATATTCGAGACTGGGAGCATTTAAAGCTAAATGTTCGAGGCTCGAATTCGTAACATATGGATAATTTCTGAAACGATTAAAATATTTAGCGTTAATCGTGTGTCGAGGACTTGCGCTACGTTCGATCGTACCTGACAACCAATGTTTTCAAACGCGGTGTGTTAAATACTCGTCTGTCTACTTCAAGGAACAGAGATCCTTCTAACGAAGTATTGATTATTCTGCGGTCGCATGTTTCGCTTCCAAGGGCGCAAATTGTTCTGTCTGTTATTTTGTGACGTTCGAACGAAGAAGTTTCCCAACGAAGTCCAATCTCTAGCCAGAACTAAAAGACAAAAGGAATGTATCGTTACGATACGATTTTGATATTGCATATTGCCGGTACGCTCACCACTGAAAGCTGACCATCTTCGTGCACGGGTGGATTTATCAACGATTCTCTGGTCAGAGATTGCGGCTCCTGATTTGCTGATTCCCCATTTTGCCAGTGCGAAGGACATTCTAGATAGAGGTGTGTCAATGTTTTGATACAAATAAAACATCCAACTTCACTGTCACCGAGCGCCGTATCTCGCAAATCGAGAATCTGAAACATTTAAACGAAAATTCGTTTAATATTTCTATACAGTCGTTGTTAAGTAAAAATTATAGCAATAGAAATGTACGAAATTACCTCCAATGTTTTGAATCCAAATCTTGTCGCTAAACTCGTGTAAGCGACGCATTCACCCAAACGACGACACGAATTTAATCTCAACTCTTTTAATTTTGGCATTTTACTGATAACCAGCAGCGAATGTGGACTAAACCACGAACAATCGCTTAAAATCAAGCACTGAAAAATTTGCCGATGTTAAAAACTATATAATTAAATATAAACAATAAGCAGCACATAAAAAATAATCAGTCATAAATTGAAATTTCTTACTGTTAGATTAGGCATGTGGAAATTCATTTTGAAAAAATATGACTTGTCGCTACGCAAATAACCCATTTTACAGCCCTCCAACGATAGTTTTTCGGTAGTACAAGGAAAATCTGATATTTGAATCTGCGAGTACAAAAAGTACAATTTATTAATCTCAATATAGCTTCGATATATCTTTGTTTATATAAACATAATTAAATGATTAAACTTGCCTTATCTCCGTCGATATAATATTTTTCGATAATTAACTCTTTAAGCTGAGTACATACATTTTTAATTGAATTGAACAAGTAAGGACTAAGTCCTGGTTCTACTTCAGAATGCAAACAGCCACGAATAGCAAGACTTGTTGTCATTGGTTGAAGGAATTTTATATACTTCTTTAAGTCGTTCGATGATATAGGCGACCCACGGAAATCTACTTTTCTCCATACAGTTTTATCCTGTGCTACTTGACCTAATCGTTGGCAACACCTAATAACATATATATTACATTTTCATTTATCAACGTTCATCTATAGAAGAAAAGTTAGGTCTCTGTTTCATTTCAAACTTACAAGCTTACTACCATAAGATCTTGAGGACTCAAATATTTGAATATATTTAGCAAAACATCGTCCGAAAAATCTAATAGATGCGGATGCAATATTATATCATTTATTTCCGCATTTTCTCCAAGTTTTATGCGTTTCATATCATCCTCACTGCTCGAAGGCTTCGGGGACAATGATCTGCTGCGTTTCATTTTCATTTTTGTCTTTTATACCTGTACAAAATAATTCGTTTCTCATCAAACCAAACATAATATTCCGAAGCATGACATTTCGATAAACAGAAACAATTTCATTCGTATTGTAATTTACTACGAAACGTACGGAAAAAATGGTAATTTTGTATCACTATCAACTTTCAAAAGACAACAACGAATTAATATTCGTCGAAGTTTAAGCACCGATTTGATAATATCACGACGAACAAAACGTACATTATAAAGGTTTACTTCGGCATTTTAGTCGAGTAGCGTAATAAAGATTTTCTCCTGACAGATCACGAAATTTATCATACTGTTGACAAAAATCAACAAGTAACAACATAACCTTACGACGACATTTTGTCACTGTATCTTTGGCGCTTACCTGGCTAATTTTTTAATATCACAACCATGTATTGTTATATTCGATGAACTATTCTCTTAAAATTTAATTTTTTCAACATAAAACGTGATTTCCACTAGTGCTCGAGGGACGCTCGCGTCAAAATTTACAACGCAAAGAGCGCGAGTGGAGCGTCCCCTCTATTGTGTACGATAGCATCAATGTTGTAATCAGTTATAATTATTTCTATTGAACGTGAGTATCGTCTGACCATTACATCCTTCGTGTACTAACAAGAATCACGCTTGATACAGCTACAAATTTATATATAATTCTTCGTGAGAACGTACATAAACTGACGACACTACTTTTCTAATCGAACTTAAATCTCTGAATACTAAAGCTTTCAGTCTTGTGCTGCTGGAGTCAATGAATGCAATACGAGTAACCGTACCAATCGCTTGGCTCGATCGCGAGACTTGTATGTTTGTACGCTCGATACGGTCCGTCTTGCTTGGTGGTTGAGGGATATCTAGCATGGTTTTAATAGAACTTCTTGAAGGTAGCGCTGATTGGCTGAGAGTATTGGCGCTAGTTAATAGATATGATCAGTAATACGAAATAAAATTAAAGAATTATTATTTGAAATAATGGAATACTTAGCAAATAAATCGTTTGAAAATAATTTTCATAGTCTTATTTGATAAACTATTTTCAAACAATTTACTTCAGAAATTCAGAAATTCATTATCGAAAATAATAATTTATAAATATTTGCTTGAAATTTCATGCGTATGTTTAAAACGTTATAACTTTTGAACGGATTGGAGGATTTTAATGTTTCAAAATGCAAACAACGCGTATTTTGGTGAAGAATATGTAGACATTCTAGAAATATTCGAAAAGTTGTTCGTTAACGTCGTAAAATGACAAATTGCTCAGAAAAATTGTCAATTTCCAAACGATCATAACTTTTACAATAGTAAAACTTATCTCATTGAAATTTTTTCTAGAAGTCGAGCTGATGAATACCTAGAATAAAAGTATTAGACAACATTTCATTTTGATTTAGATTAAAAATCAAATTTATATTGTTTTAAATTCGCAGCCATTAGCTCGGTGTTACCCATAATGAAGAAGTTGTTCTTGAAAGGTAACACCGATTACCAGGTCTCACCACGAGGAGGTTGCTGCGAGTGGAGACCCAAAGTGAGATCGATGGAACAAAGTTCGATCGACCTTCCTTTTTACACACTAGATTACGCAAAAAAAAAGATGCCAAGTAATTACTGTTCTAAAACAAAGGAGGAAGCTAAATTGTGGGAGACGCGACACGACGAAACGCGACACAATACTGCACAGTGCAGTAGGAGCATGAGGTGCGACACGTACCGAATAGCGGGTCAAAAGGGGCAGCTCGTTACCTCTTAGCAAGTCCAATTGAAGGGGAGGAGAATCGACGCACCAGACACGGGTTCCCCATTTCTCCAACGCGTCCTGCTGGGAGCCCGTAGGACCCAACCCGGGACGTCTTACACAGGAGAGAGATCCTGAGTCGGGGCTACCGCAGACAGGAACAGGTCCCCTCTACGGCCGATGACTCTTTCCCTAGAATTGTCTCACCAGAGGACGGCAACCGACCCTTCGAACCATCTAAACGGCCGATCACTTGCTTTCTACATTAAAGCAGCGGTGACCGGAGAAACGAGACTGGAAAAGAAGCTATTAATGAATTCATTACTTGGCAATCTACGCAGTAAATAAAATAATATACAATGTAAATTGAAAATTAACGTCGTAGGTGGAATTAATGAGATTAAGGAATTGAAATAAACATAGGAATGAATAAGAAAGGAAAAAGAAATATTCGACGTTAATTTTTACACTCGCGCCGCGCCTTAAATTTAATGCCCTTACGTGCAGATGAATCCGAAGTCCTCTATCTAAAAATTGACCTGAATAAAAACTAAAATAAAAATTAGTAGTTATACACAAATTAGAATTAATTATGTGAACAAATATAGGGGCAAATATAAATATAGGGGTAAATACAAATATACAACCATGAGCAGGATAATTAAAAAAATAACAACCCCACGATGAAAGACAATGAGGAACAAAATGATTTGAAAAATCACAACCCAACGAAGTAAAGAATGAAGAAGAAAATAATTCGAAAAATAACAACCCATCGATGTCGAAAATAAAGAACAGAATAATTGGAAAAATTTCTACCCAACGATGTAATATATGTAGATAAAAGCTGAAAAAAAAACAATTGAATGAATTATTGGAGAGAGGAACACAACAACGAAATATTACATCCCTATATATAAATAGAAAACACAATAATGGTATTAATTATATGAATATAAATATATGTATGTATATACCAATCGGCGACACCAATCGGCGACACCAGTCAGCATCGCAGAATCAGAGAATCTGAAACAGAAAGAAAAACGCGTGACAGTACCCCCGGCGGTTCCAGGAGTACTGAAAAGAGTTACCCAGCTGTGTCCACTTTTATGCAGTCAAGCCAAAGTATCAACGAGCCAATCAGCAGCCAGTCCGCTGGGGGCGACACTCCGATAGGGCGACACTTGCTTCACCTAAGTTGATAAAAGACCCCCCTGTGGCCCTCGCGCGGGAGTTATCTCCCAACCACCAAGCAAGACGGACCGTATCGAGATGAAGAATTTAATTGAAGATTTACATTCGATCAAAATCGAAGATGGCGGCCAAGAAGATGTTTCACGAGCAGCGGCCAAGGGACAAAACCGGTCTTTTTAAAGACCAAGAAAATCTCATTTGTGGGAACAACTTATGCAATGAACTGAACAACTTTTATATTTAACAACTCAGAGACTTTTTACATCTCTGTTTTGGAACAACTTTTATATTTAACAACTCAGAGACACTTTACATCTCTGTTTTGTAACAACTTTTATATTTAACAATTCAGAGACACTTTACATCACTGTTTTGTAACAACTTTTATATTTAACAATTCAGAGACACTTTACATCACTGTTTTGTAACAACTTTTATATTTAACAACTCAGAGACACTTTACATCTCTGTTATGGAACAAGTTATGCAATGAAACTGAACATGGTATATTTGCCTATACATATAGGAAGGAAATTCGTCGTTAGTATTGTCGCCCGTCAATGCACTTAATTATACAAGATCAGTATACTATCTAATTTTATTTTTTATTATACCGGTTTGTAATATCGTAAAGATCAATGCAAAAACATTATGCACAGCTCTTGTATTTCTTTGAGTTATCCAAGTAGTCAAAGTATAATATTTAACAAACTTTTGATTCAAATAAAATAACGAATAACACAAAATTTGAGTACCTGTTACATGCAACCTATGTATAAATGCATAATAACTAATATTGATATACGCATAACGAACTTAGTTTGTGATATGAAACATTAAGAAAAGTGTAAATTAATAAATAGGTTTCAAAATGGGTATTCCAGGTTTAATAACTTTCATAAACAATCGTTCAGATCGTTATTTGGAATATTTCGAGCCACGTCATATGTATTTAGTTATTTAGCTGTCAAATATATAATTCGTACAAGTGCAATTGTGTTTTTGGCGGTGATTACGATAAATACGCTCAACGAGTGTCGGATTTTTTTGACGATTTGATAAAGTGCAATGCAGTACCATTAGTTTTGATCGATGGCGGTTGCGAGGATAAGAAACTGCAAACAGTTATATCTAGAACTAGAGAAAAGGTTCGTACAGCATCATCTTATTCTCCGATCTGTCAACAGAAAATGAAATTTTTTCCTTTACATATTTAGGAAGTTTTCAAAGATGTTACGAGAAAGAAGAATATTCGTCATGTGCAATGCTTATTCGAAGCTGATAATGCTATAGCTACTGTAGCAAGGATATTGAATTGTCCTGTATCGAGTTATGATTCAGATTTTTATGTGTTTGGGACATTGCACATACCATTTGATACATTGGACAATTACACGGTGAAAAGTTCAACTGGAAATGGTTACACGAAACGTTGTAAAATTTATAAAGTTGAACACTTATTAAATTCTTATAGAGGTTTTAGTCAATCTACACTGCCATTAGCTGCAATATTACTAGGCAATGATTATGTAAAACGTGGTACATTTAGAAACTTCATTCGTTATTTAAAGTTTCGACGAATAACAAGAAAAAGGTAAAGTAATCGACAGTATTGTATAGAAGCAACTTTACAATGGTTGAGCGGATTTTACATCTTGAACAAAGCAGTCATTGGAATACTATGTAGATCACCTAAAACCGTAAGACAAAAAATGGCTATACAAATGCATCTACAGAAATACTTGCTTACTTCCATTGGGGGTTTCACAGGAATATGCAGCTCGTGCCACAACACATTCCATAAACAGAATTTTTAAATTCTGACCTTGTGGCCCTCGCGCGGGAGTTATCTCCCAACCACCAAGCAAGACGGACCGTATCGAGATGAAGAATTTAATTGAAGATTTCCATTCAATCAAAATCGAAGATGGCCAAAGATGATGGTTCACGAGCAGCGGCCAAAGGACAAACCGGTCTTTTTAAAGACCAAGAAAATCTCATTTGTGGGAACCACTAAACTGAACAACTTTTATATTTAACAACTCAGAGACTTTTTACATCTCTGTTTTGGAACAACTTTTCTATTTAACAAATCAGAGACTTTTTACATCTCTGTTTTGGAACAACTTATGTAATAAAACTGAACATGGTATATTTGCCTATATAGGCGAAAAATGTACAAATACAAATTGAATTTATTGAATTGATATTAAGTAAACATTCTTTGCTATAAGATCAAAAAATTATTATTTGAAATAGTAGAACAATTAGAAAATAAATCGTTTGAAAATAATTTCGAAAGTCTTACTTGATAAACTATATTCAAACGATTTAATTTCAAAGTATTGTTTTATGTCAAACATGATCAGGGGGTCTTGAAACGTGTATTTACGTGTCAATTTTTCATTCATTATGAGCTTTGCTTATATATTTGTGTCTATATAACTTGAATTTAAATTCAAATGGTAATGACAAATCAATGACGCATGTTTGTACATTATTTTTTAATCCTGGACTCGTTAATGGTACTTCTCTAAGATTAGATAAGGACAGTAATGGGAAAGAAAATTTAGTGTCAGTGCCTTCTGGTTCGTAACATTTAAGCTTTTTATTGCAGTCTCTCATCATGTATTTCATAAAACCTCTCCTTCTATTCATTCCTGATTGCAGAAATGCATATATAACTCTAATAATTTTTAAACTTATTACATTGCTCAATGGATAGGAATAATCCTCTATTTGTACAGGACAAATGTATAAACGTCGAACCAACAAATCCATAAAATATGCAGGATAATTGCCCATAAGAAATTCATCTACAAACAAATTAGGTACATTAGCTAGTGCATTAGTGGTAGCAGATTCTGACCCCTTTAAGCATGTCTAATATTTCAACTTCGTTTTCTTCCTCTTCTTCTTCTTCTTCGGATGATTCAAAGTCTCCATTTTTATCAGTTTCTTCCATGTACATTAGACTATTAACATCTGCATCAAATTTAAAAATTCTGTTTATGGAATGTGTTGTGGCACGAGCTGCATATTCCTGTGAAACCCCCAATGGAAGTAAGCAAGTATTTCTGTAGATGCATTTGTATAGCCATTTTTTGTCTTACGGTTTTAGGTGATCTACATAGTATTCCAATGACTGCTTTGTTCAAGATGTAAAATCCGCTCAACCATTGTAAAGTTGCTTCTATACAATACTGTCGATTACTTTACCTTTTTCTTGTTATTCGTCGAAACTTTAAATAACGAATGAAGTTTCTAAATGTACCACGTTTTACATAATCATTGCCTAGTAATATTGCAGCTAATGGCAGTGTAGATTGACTAAAACCTCTATAAGAATTTAATAAGTGTTCAACTTTATAAATTTTACAACGTTTCGTGTAACCATTTCCAGTTGAACTTTTCACCGTGTAATTGTCCAATGTATCAAATGGTATGTGCAATGTCCCAAACACATAAAAATCTGAATCATAACTCGATACAGGACAATTCAATATCCTTGCTACAGTAGCTATAGCATTATCAGCTTCGAATAAGCATTGCACATGACGAATATTCTTCTTTCTCGTAACATCTTTGAAAACTTCCTAAATATGTAAAGGAAAAAATTTCATTTTCTGTTGACAGATCGGAGAATAAGATGATGCTGTACGAACCTTTTCTCTAGTTCTAGATATAACTGTTTGCAGTTTCTTATCCTCGCAACCGCCATCGATCAAAACTAATGGTACTGCATTGCACTTTATCAAATCGTCAAAAAAATCCGACACTCGTTGAGCGTATTTATCGTAATCACCGCCAAAAACACAATTGCACTTGTACGAATTATATATTTGACAGCTAAATAACTAAATACATATGACGTGGCTCGAAATATTCCAAATAACGATCTGAACGATTGTTTATGAAAGTTATTAAACCTGGAATACCCATTTTGAAACCTATTTATTAATTTACACTTTTCTTAATGTTTCATATCACAAACTAAGTTCGTTATGCGTATATCAATATTAGTTATTATGCATTTATACATAGGTTGCATGTAACAGGTACTCAAATTTTGTGTTATTCGTTATTTTATTTGAATCAAAAGTTTGTTAAATATTATACTTTGACTACTTGGATAACTCAAAGAAATACAAGAGCTGTGCATAATGTTTTTGCATTGATCTTTACGATATTACAAACCGGTATAATAAAAAATAAAATTAGATAGTATACTGATCTTGTATAATTAAGTGCATTGACGGGCGACAATACTAACGACGAATTTCCTTCCTATATGTATAGGCAAATATACCATGTTCAGTTTCATTGCATAACTTGTTCCATAACAGAGATGTAAAGTGTCTCTGAGTTGTTAAATATAAAAGTTGTTACAAAACAGTGATGTAAAGTGTCTCTGAATTGTTAAATATAAAAGTTGTTACAAAACAGAGATGTAAAGTGTCTCTGAGTTGTTAAATATAAAAGTTGTTCCAAAACAGAGATGTAAAAAGTCTCTGAGTTGTTAAATATAAAAGTTGTTCAGTTCATTGCATAAGTTGTTCCCACAAATGAGATTTTCTTGGTCTTTAAAAAGACCGGTTTTGTCCCTTGGCCGCTGCTCGTGAAACATCTTCTTGGCCGCCATCTTCGATTTTGATCGAATGTAAATCTTCAATTAAATTCTTCATCTCGATACGGTCCGTCTTGCTTGGTGGTTGGGAGATAACTCCCGCGCGAGGGCCACAGGGGGGTCTTTTATCAACTTAGGTGAAGCAAGTGTCGCCCTATCGGAGTGTCGCCCCCAGCGGACTGGCTGCTGATTGGCTCGTTGATACTTTGGCTTGACTGCATAAAAGTGGACACAGCTGGGTAACTCTTTTCAGTACTCCTGGAACCGCCGGGGGTACTGTCACGCGTTTTTCTTTCTGTTTCAGATTCTCTGATTCTGCGATGCTGACTGGTGTCGCCGATTGGTGTCGCCGATTGGTATATACATACATATATTTATATTCATATAATTAATACCATTATTGTGTTTTCTATTTATATATAGGGATGTAATATTTCGTTGTTGTGTTCCTCTCTCCAATAATTCATTCAATTGTTTTTTTTTCAGCTTTTATCTACATATATTACATCGTTGGGTAGAAATTTTTCCAATTATTCTGTTCTTTATTTTCGACATCGATGGGTTGTTATTTTTCGAATTATTTTCTTCTTCATTCTTTACTTCGTTGGGTTGTGATTTTTCAAATCATTTTGTTCCTCATTGTCTTTCATCGTGGGGTTGTTATTTTTTTAATTATCCTGCTCTTGGTTGTATATTTGTATTTGTCCCTATATTTATATTTGTCCCTATATTTGTTCACATAATTAATTCTAATTTGTGTATAACTACTAATTTTTATTTTAGTTTTTATTCAGGTCAATTTTTAGATAGAGGACTTCGGATTCATCTGCACGTAAGGGCATTAAATTTAAGGCGCGGCGCGAGTGTAAAAATTAACGTCGAATATTTCTTTTTCCTTTCTTATTCATTCCTATGTTTATTTCAATTCCTTAATCTCATTAATTCCACCTACGACGTTAATTTTCAATTTACATTGTATATTATTTTATTTACTGCGTAGATTGCCAAGTAATGAATTCATTAATAGCTTCTTTTCCAGTCTCGTTTCTCCGGTCACCGCTGCTTTAATGTAGAAAGCAAGTGATCGGCCGTTTAGATGGTTCGAAGGGTCGGTTGCCGTCCTCTGGTGAGACAATTCTAGGGAAAGAGTCATCGGCCGTAGAGGGGACCTGTTCCTGTCTGCGGTAGCCCCGACTCAGGATCTCTCTCCTGTGTAAGACGTCCCGGGTTGGGTCCTACGGGCTCCCAGCAGGACGCGTTGGAGAAATGGGGAACCCGTGTCTGGTGCGTCGATTCTCCTCCCCTTCAATTGGACTTGCTAAGAGGTAACGAGCTGCCCCTTTTGACCCGCTATTCGGTACGTGTCGCACCTCATGCTCCTACTGCACTGTGCAGTATTGTGTCGCGTTTCGTCGTGTCGCGTCTCCCACAATTTAGCTTCCTCCTTTGTTTTAGAACAGTAATTACTTGGCATCTTTTTTTTTGCGTAATCTAGTGTGTAAAAAGGAAGGTCGATCGAACTTTGTTCCATCGATCTCACTTTGGGTCTCCACTCGCAGCAACCTCCTCGTGGTGAGACCTGGTAATCGGTGTTACCTTTCAAGAACAACTTCTTCATTATGGGTAACACCGAGCTAATGGCTGCGAATTTAAAACAATATAAATTTGATTTTTAATCTAAATCAAAATGAAATGTTGTCTAATACTTTTATTCTAGGTATTCATCAGCTCGACTTCTAGAAAAAATTTCAATGAGATAAGTTTTACTATTGTAAAAGTTATGATCGTTTGGAAATTGACAATTTTTCTGAGCAATTTGTCATTTTACGACGTTAACGAACAACTTTTCGAATATTTCTAGAATGTCTACATATTCTTCACCAAAATACGCGTTGTTTGCATTTTGAAACATTAAAATCCTCCAATCCGTTCAAAAGTTATAACGTTTTAAACATACGCATGAAATTTCAAGCAAATATTTATAAATTATTATTTTCGATAATGAATTTCTGAATTTCTGAAGTAAATTGTTTGAAAATAGTTTATCAAATAAGACTATGAAAATTATTTTCAAACGATTTATTTGCTAAGTATTCCATTATTTCAAATAATAATTCTTTAATTTTATTTCGTATTACTGATCATATCTATTAACTAGCGCCAATACTCTCATCCAATCAGCGCTAGCTTTTGTTCGAAGCACTCTAGTGATCCGATCGAAAAGCGTTCGTCAGAAGGGGTAGGTAAGTTGTTCCATCTATTGTTTCCGAGTCGCCGTGATGAATGTAGCCATGGACAAAAACAGCAAAAAGGCAATGGCGGCTATTCCTTAGACAGTCACCGAATTTATTATGAAAAATTTCGGAAAAATGTGATCTACGTGTCGTGTTCAACGAAAAGAAATTCGAGGTATGTGTCGGTCGTTTTTGAGGAGTTTGTGATTTTACTTATTACTGCACTTAGTACATACATTCCGATGGATGTCACATGCAACCACATGTGGATTTAGAATTAACAAATACTTTCGTCGGAAAAACACAAGTAACTATAGAATACGGTTCTAATTCCTTTCACATGTATTTTATGCATTTTGTATTGAACGACACGTTGAATTGAACGGATCAGAACAGACAGGTTGCTTCAATATTTCTCGTTACTTTTACTTCTTTTGTGTTCGACCTTCTTCGAATCGAGAAATGATATATTCTGTAAATAATTAATTACAGTTTATTTATAATTTATGTTTGTAATATCAGTACTTTAATTTTGTTCGTTATACATTCATTTATATACACGTATTTTAAGATAATAGTATGGTTGTGAATAAATGTTTTCAGACGTACATATAGTAGAAAATTTATGTTAGTATTGATAAAAAGTAATTCCAATCTTTTATACAATGAACTTTATATCTACAAATGTATATTACATACATGTGAAATAGGTTAAATATCAATTGTGTAGTTATCTATACATATTACTTTATATTTTCTATAATTTTTCGAATTTATATTGTTTTATTATCGTGGTCGTGTTGCAAAATATTCCTTTTCGTTTCTTTGTTGAACAAAGTTTACGAAGAATTTTATACGATTGTTTTATTACCTATTTTACTAAATTCTCTTTAATTTATTGCTTTGTTATTGTTATATTATTGCGCAAAATAAATTATTTTTATTTACAATTGTGTTTGGTTGTTTGATTTAAAAATTTATTCCCTGTTCTTGTGTATCGTCGTCGCGTTATTAAACGCTTGTTTATAATCGATTATACGTTGTATTGTCGTTAGAGAACGTTAAATTGATCCCCGTAGGTGTCGGGTGAAGGTGGTGGGGCGATATTGCTTGCAGGAACAGAGATGGCACACAGTATGTGCGCACAATGGCCAACGAACAAATGGAGCGACTACTAAGCTCGATGAGTAATGAACGGTGGTTAATAGTGGAGCAAATAGAGAAGATTGTCGGCAGGCAGGAAGGAGTAAACAATCGAGTGTGCCTAAGTAATGAACGAGACTCGGCATCATCTCCACTCGGTCTCGGACTTATATGCAGCCGACGAGATAGAGGTGCTTCTCTTAGAAGAGATTCGTGACCTGGAACTACCACCTTCTGCGTATTCTAGACCCGAAGACATTCAGGATTTCGAAATCGGTACGAGGGACAAGTTCAGTCCTTTTGTTAAACAAACTATGAACGTGTACATTGTTTGATATTGTATTAATAGCAGGCAGTAGGACAGGGGGGCAAATTAGCTCCCAACCTTTGGAGCTGGATTCACCAGGGGTCCATTCATGGGATTCTCATGCTAATTATCATGGTCATTACGGCCATGGCTCTTCCTTTAAACCCTTGGCTTGGCCGCGAGCAAGCCACTTGGTTCTTTATTGCGATATACAGGGACATCTTAAAACAGCTATTGGAGTCGTTAGACTCTTGTTACTTGTAAGTAATGCTGTATCTTTACGATTCAACCTATCAACGATCTTTGGAACAATAATGAAGTAAATTTTCTTTCACAGATATCGTCCGCAGCCTGTTTGGCAACATTATGCAGCTCCGGCACTGCCAAGGTCAGCTTATTTATGTTGCCTTTAGTCGGGCGGCTGCGTTTCATGATCTTTGTAGCCGTTTTCTGTTTTTTGGTCACCGCGTTGCTCCTCTTCCTTGATATTTCGCACGTTGTCTATATCTTTCCTCTGAATTGGGCTAAATTGGTAAGTAGTCGACGATACGCATATTTTATCAATACTGGGGATAGTATTTGGTTCCGGAACCAAAGTTTTTTAGTTCCGGGACTAATATACAATTGTTTAACATGTACTATTAGCAATCTTGTATCTTAACTGATATACCTGATAGAATCCACCTCTTATAGAATGCTTGGGTATTCACTGGTATAGGCATATCTTATGCCTTGAGTAGTGCGTTGTTAGCATGGTCTATATGGGAATACCACAGCGGAGGCTGGGTGCCAAAACGTACACGTTCTCAGTTGTCCGCTGCCGCAGCACTCGGTCTGTCGTGTGCTGCTTTAGCATTCCTACTTTCATGGATACACGGTCGCAGCGGCTCTAGTTGTAGGAGTCCAGACAGTCGTAGTCACACGCCGACGCAACTTTACAAACCTGTTGATAATTCTTCCTCTTCCGGGGTAAGTGGTTTCTACTATCCACGACCGCCTACGAACGGATTTAAATCGTCGCTGACAATCATGTTATTACAGGTCACCCTCAAAGAGCGTAGCCCGAAGAGGCCCACTTCGTGGGTCGTGAAAAATCAACAGACAAAGAAACAGAACGCGGACAGTGATACGAACACAAACAACGGTCATCATGGTAACGATAATCATACAAAGTATAAACAAGGTGTTAATAGAAAGGATCATTGGGCTTCTGCGAGGCAGCATTTTTTACCTTCCGAGGAGACCGAGGATGCTCAAAGAGACGACATGGACATCGAGAGGAGGAGAAGAAGACGAAGAAGGGACGGTGATAACAGTTCAACGGGCGACGAGAATTTAATAAGCACCAAAACTGATAGTGGTCACGTCACGGACGATAATAAAACTAGACGGGTACCGCGAAAACTGCCACTGCAATCGGTGGATCAGTCGCGGCCTTGGCTCGGTACAGAGAACAGGGGCATGCAAGTTCGAAACAAAAGTTCTCAAATGCCAGTGAACAGTAACGCACAGGGCTATTGTGGCGTGAACGAATCCAGTTCGATGCAAGTGACTCAAAATGGTTTTCATTGGGAGATGGAGTGCACGTCCAGCAACAGTATCGAGAAGGCGGAGATGTCTATGGCACGCACTGCCATGTGGTCTGGCCAATGGCAACCGCCCCCCGACGACGTTCAACCTTGTTCTAGCAAAACCATTGATCCTTACAGCTTTGCCTGACTGAATTCGAGAATACTCATGGACTCACTGCAGTGGACAACCTTTGGGAACAGTCATATATATATATATACATATATATATATATATATAATATAGAAGCTTCCCTGGAAACAATAGTTTTGCAATATCTTACCGAACTTTTCCGTTTTACATTAAACCAATGGAAATAATATCTTATTGTTTACGTCGACAAAATAATTCTATTGTTTCGAAACGAATGTTGTTTAAAACGTTTATATGTCGCTAAAGTTGCACCTAATGTCAAAGTAATAACGCAGTGAGTATGGAGAACTCTGTGGTCCCTATTCTACCATCTTGTATGGCTATGATCTTGTCTCTGTGCATAAAATTATATGTAATTTGATATTCAAGCCATCGATCGGTTACTCGACGCGATGGCTGCGTGTAACGGTCGTGTTTCCAGGACAAAATCGTCACGTCCAAACATTTAGGAATTCTGTATAAAAGTTATCGCTGCCTTGTATATTATGCTGCCAAAACGACAATGATTTCTCCTTAGTTGTTTGGGTCCTGACGGTTCGCACGATAAAACCAGACTGCCCGACTTCGATGTACAGACGATATTGTCTCATTCCATTATATACAAAATGATACGTCTAAGTAAGTTTTAATGGGATTATTTGTAAGCGTAAGACCACTAGCACGTAAACATTGAAATATTTGTTTACTAATCATTCTTGACAATTACAACATATTCTGTTACGACAAATTAGTATATATATGGAGCATATTGTTTGAATTACGTTACTCCGTTTACTCTTTACTCTTGTTGCACAGAGATGGACATAGAAATGAGTTTCACAAATTTAGAATACAGCTGTTAACATTATTTCTCATAACGTGAGTCACATTAATAAGGCATTTTTAAAACTAGAGGTACAATTTTTTGATAGCATTTTACGCATTAATAATTCAGTTTTAGATATATATATACATATATATCTAATTGGATAGTCGAGGAAAAGTCCATCTCTATTTTTATAAACGATATACGCACTATTTTCAAAATATTGTATATAATTTCAAAGTGGTTAGACAGGGAATGTAAAAATACATCAGCGGTATTGCATTACTTCTTTACTTTAACGAAAGTCTTTAGTCGTTTACTAGTCCGATACTTTTAGACAACTTTGTCTCTTTACTGACTCATCGAATGCGAAGAACAAAGTAATTTTTAGTACATACATATCGTGTTAGAGGTACAACTCATCTTTGATAGTATCGAAAGATTGCGTTTTCTCTGACCAATCAATCCTTAAAATCTTTTTCTATCGTATGACAACTGGCACACCAAGCGTCAGAGTGGATTACATTTGGGACCTCTTGTTTTTTTTTTTTTTTTATTTCAGTTGATTACATTAAGATACCACTATAATCGTACGGATATGAAGAAGTTAACTATTCTCAATTAGGGCCATAAGTAACAGCTACTTCGTCTTTTGATACGATACTAGAGTATATATACACACACATCGGACATTTAATTACATGTTGGGCGTGTGTAACGCGTTAGTTGTCTAATAAATTAATTAGCGTAAGGGAAAAAAGTGCGTGTTCATAATAGGATCATATTATGAATAATAATATATATATATATATATTATAGTAGCTTCGTTGTGGCAAACATTGACGATGATGTAATTTGGTTCACTTGGACACAACGAAGAAGTAAATGTAATTTTTCTTGTACATGGTATATTTGCTGGTATACTAGCAAAATGTTTGAAAGTGCGAATAGATTTCATAAGAGTGTCTGATGGAAACGTTACACCGTGTAAGATATTTAGCTTGCGAGTTCAACCAAAATGGTGAAGAAAAATATGTATGGACACTGCCAGAAAAGAAATATAACGCTCTTTGAGTGTCATGTATATCAAATGACTTTATTACTTTTCAATAACTTAGTATTCAGGCTTTACCTTACTACAATTTGCAATGTCTCGTCATAAATGAATTGTTAAACTTATATTTAGTATACGAATCTGCAACACTTGTTATTGAAATAATCTACAATTTTCTTTCCGTCACTTATTATTTTTCTTTTCAATTTTAAATAAGACTATCACAAATTTAAATTGATTTTTAGATGAATATTCATGTCGATGAAGTTGGCAAACAGTAGCACTCATTCAACGCACAAAACAATAATTTATTATTATTATTTCTGTTTTCGTATAGTACACCAATACAATACGATTCACTTTCCTATTTTTTATTTGAGTATTACAATTTTTGTAATAAAGACATCACCGTTCCTTTTTTGTAGTTTCGACTTCACGAAGAATATGTTATTTATTTGTAAAGTATTCATATTCTATAGAAATATTTTTATCATTATTCATCGAAGAATTAAAATATTAGAAATTTATGCTGTGAATTATTCATGGTATTAGAAATTTATTCGAACAAAATAAAAAAACCTTTGAAACGGTGGAGTAATTATATAATCTAAAGAAGCCTTGCATATGCACATCTATCACGTTCGTTAATCATTGTATTGCTAAATAATGACAATCCAAACGAAATATATGATGCATGTGATGCAAGAATCCTTTGGCCTAAATTTTTGTTCATAAAAATATTGGTCGGTGTGGATCCTTCGTATCCAAATTCCTACCTAGATATCGATACTAATTATTGAGAGCATCGTTGTTACGCAAATGAATTTATGGTGTCTGAAAATGATGCTGCCAATACCAATAATAACGAACATTAAATGTAATAATGTTTCTATCATAGGCCCATTGCGAGACTAGAGTGTTGAATGTTTTTTGAGATGAAAAAACAATTATTGCGTGTTGATAAAATGTGGTACGATGAATTACCAAAGTTACGTACCGTTTACTCTTTAAACATATTGGTAATTTGTCGCGCTTCAGAGCGTTTGTTCTGGACAATAACGATCAATGATCCATATAACACCTAAGTTAGCAATTATCGTTTATTCTTTTAAGCCATTTTGTACACTTAGAGATAAATGATAAAACGACTTTGTACGGGATTAGCCAGTACGTAGGTCAAGAGTGAATACGATGTTATATGTTAAATATGAATATACCACAAATTGTTAGCCGTTAGAAGCAACTTTGTTCTATGTTAATCGAACAACACGTGTACATTTGTTAGTTGACATGTTGTAAGTATTAAGATCGATTGGCGCCGGTACGAATGTCCCTGCGAAATTGTCACGCAATCGTCCGAAATACAAACGAAATTATTAAAGACATTCGCGATTACTACAACACTCACGATTATTATCTTTTTACCAGTGCCAAAAGACACGATAGTAAAAGCTAAGTAAAAGCGAAACGTTGATACGTTGAAAAGTAAACGTACCAATGTTTTTTATCAACCATTGAGATCGGTACGAGGTGAACAGGAGAACGAAAACATGTATCTAATATGTACTGTGCTACGCTGACAAGAAAGTCCCTTCTAGTCACTTCTAGTCAGCGGAGCACAGTATTTCCCTAATTCCACAATCGTTCACATTTTTTTAAAGATATGTGTACCTTCTGGCAGATTCATTTCCAGGAAATGTACTTTTGCAAAACTCTCTGTAATTATATTAATATGATTTGATTTCTTTTTTTTTCTACGATTACACTGGTCAACGTATTGCAAACAATAGTTCGTATTCTTTACGATCATGCTATCTTCCTATTTATTTATGCATACTGAGATAGGAAATAATAGAAAAAAGTCATTTGGCTCTGGTTTGAAAAATATAAGACATGTTTTGTTTAATTCAAATGCAATAGATTAAAGTATGTGTATGTTAACACAGAACACATTTTGTTTTTTAACTTGTTATATGGAGTTATCATGAGATTAAAACTAATGAAATTATATGAATCGTGTTATGTCTTTGTTAATCCACCGTAGATTATAAAATTATAAATTTAGCGAAATAATAGTGCTGTTTACATCTTGTTCCTCAGCAATAATGGTCATTTAAAACTAGAGCCAACGTTTCAATTTAACTTTGATTATTGAATTGATTGTTTAGATAAAAAACACATATTTGACCAGCGTTATCGGTACGATCAAAAATCGTGTTTAGTCGTGCATGCATAAAAATTGTGCTTATTTATAGACGAGCATATTTTTAACTCTGAAGAACCGAAAGCTTCACAGAGGTTAGTGAAAATCCTTTAATCATTTATATCAATGTTTTCTATCTCCTTCAATTTTCCAACTATGTCTTCTAACTTGTTACGTTGTACGCATTGCTTCGTTTCCTTACTTTTATCTTGTGCAAAACACTGAATGTCCACTGTTTTTACATAATGTAGTATAGAATTCCTTTCGACAAAAGGATAACAACAGTAACGAAATATTTATAACGTCCGGTATAAAAGGTGTATAAGTGAAAGAAAGAGATAACCTACTGTATTTAAAAGATACGATTAGAGAACTTACTCTTTGTTCCTTGAATGGTGAAACGGGGACTAAATTAGAGAGAGAATACAGCATTAAAAGTATTTATATATTTAAATGGTATTCAGCATCTCACCTGTTGTGGGAATTTTAATTGCCGCACCGTTGGATGTCTCCAATCATTATACCTCACCCAAGTGTACGGAGCGTTGTGTATGTTTGATAATTTTGATTGCGCCATGGTATGCACCGCAAATTGTGGGTTTACAATTAATTGTCCATGTTGTTGCAACAATTGCTGCTGCTGGTACGAGCGATTTGAATAATATGGATCGTATTTGGTGGAATCTTCCACAGATGATATTGCCAAGGAATTTGCCACTGCCACTGTAACATGTATATATGTATATATATATATATATCCGACGAAAATGTTATATAAAAAATTTAATATACCTTTAGCTTGCTGAATATTCAGCAACGTATCATAGTACTGTTTCTTAAAGGTAGATAACTTTGTAACAGATGCAGTTTGTTGTAAAATATTCACGTTATTTCGTTCCGTTTGCTTCACCGCGGATCTGAATAGAAATAATTCTGTTAAGTAAATTGTTAATCACCGAATATATATATATTAAATTTATGCGATAATTTTAAATGGTACTTGTATGGTAAATTTTCCGTGTCCTTTTTCTCACATTTTACTGTTTCCGCTTTACCGAGAACGATGTTTAAACTCTTCCGAAGCATTTGCAATTGGGCCAGTTTTGGATAAATATTTGACAATCCCAACGCTTTCCTTGCACTCGATTTCTTTGCGCCGTTCGACGAGTTCGTATCGACGGAATTATTAATGCCGTTTATCGAAGGATCTAATCGGTTTTTGTTTTCCAGGTTCTTCCGAGTAACGAGTTTCCAACATTTGGACGTAGCGGGAACTGTCTGCATCGACTTTGTTTGGGACGATGTTGGATACTCTAAATAAACAAAAGAGAATAAATATTTGTAATATTTGTATGTAATATATTAAAACAAGTTAACGATCAACGGATATAAATTCAATTTCATTACTAATAAAAGTTTCCTGTTCAGCACGTTTTAGAAACGTTTGCAAGCTAGTTTGAAGTTTTCTATGCGCTATAAAATTATCCATTGGAAAGTTATCTTTTTCAGGCACCTATAATGTTATCGCAAGAATATAAAAAAACGTGATTAATTATCGATAGAATTACTGTAGATAGCAATTTTGTTTCGTTACCTGACTATTCATTATTGTATTTATTTTTTCATTCCAGCACACAACATCCATTTTGAATATATCTTCTTGTATCGCCTGTTGTTCAGGTTTCACTGTTAGCTCGAAACGTTTTTGTGTTTCCATATTAAAAATTTTATTCTCGTTTACGGTACACGTATATTTTTTTAAATCTTGATCCTCGTTATGTAAATTTCCACAGTTTATTTCTGATTTTGAAATGGACGTTCCTGTTTGCATGTTTGTAATCTCCATTTTATTTTGTTTACTCGATACTATCCCAGTTTTACATAATTTCTTTTTAAAATATGTACTTTTCTGTAATATCATTTTTCCATTAAAATAACAAATAAATTCCTTTTAACTATAAACAAACAACCAATTCGTACAAACCTGATGCGGTATATGAGACACATTGGCTATATTCCACTGCTTATAATTATTGACTTTGTCGATGGGCAATTGAAAATATTTATTGTCCACCGATTCGAGGAAACTTTGTTGATAATTGGGTGCAGTAACTTCATAAGTATTATTCTTACACAAGAGATGAGGCGTATGAATCCACTTAAATTGTAAGTTTGACTGATACTTCAGTGATTCTTCTTCAACGTTAGTTTTTGATGGTAAAGTTTGTCTAACATCGATACAAGGCTCTATGCATGGAATATTATAATTTAACGTATCGTACACATAATTCACATTCCTTACATGACTGTGAATCATAGAAATTTCATTAGATGGGAAACCTCGAAATACTTCAGGTACCGAAGGTACGAACTGTATAAATAGGAATAATTTATACATTAAAATCAAACATTGGAACCGATAAAACTATCAAATTACAGTGTAAATTAACTTTTACATTCTCATCCAGTTCAACATTTCGAGAAGATGAATTGACCAAATTATTTTGATTTAGATTAATCTTCGACTTCTCACTCGAAACTTCTGTATTAATTTTGTCTTCGGGAATAACAGTAATTCTTTAAGAAGTATAATAAATGTTTTTACTCGTTAATAATGTACAGAGGAATACTTTAATGTGAATCATACTTTTGATACGTGGTCGTGCTATTAGCTGTTTTAATTGTGCCAGTAATTTTACACATTATGTCTTTTATTGCTTCGTTCGAAGCACCTTTTGGCAATGGGACCATAGAAATCATCTGTTGCCGAGTATTACTATCAAAATTCTCAGTTAAAACAAGAAGAGTTTGTAACGCACGTTCGTATGCAGCTACACCATCGTCAGGATGATACATACTCAGTAATCTATTTATTGCGCTAACAATACTTGTAGTTTTTGAACCGTGTTGTAAAACTGTCCTTGGTAATGGGAAGTTTTCAAATACGGAAGCAACATTTGCCACGATGTCCTTATTTTCCATAGCAACTACAATAGAAAATTAATTAAAGTTAATGATAATGATAATTTGAATTTTAATAAAAGATATTTAATATATTAAATAATTTCACAAAGGAAAATATTCGGTAAAGCCGATGACCGAACATTTCTATCGTAAATAGTTATTAAAATAATAAAACAGTACTACGTGATAATTCTTAACAACGTTAATTTAAATCTATTGTTACTTACTATCATTGGACTTCCTTATTTCCATTCTGATACGTTTTTTTAATAAAGTGACAGCTTGTCTTATAAGCACGGATATATATTCGTAAATATAATTAATTTGTAATTGTCAAATAATGAAAACAGCTGCTGTAATGTATTATTGTCGACAAACGAATAACGAGTTTCTCGCAAGAGATTTCGTTTTGCAAGTCGATTGAAATCGGATTACAAGTTGGATCACGAAATCGTTCTGCTTTTACATTCAGTAGATAAGAAATAATGTAACGTTTATTTCACTAATAAAAATAAAAGTATTAAAATGAAATTAATGAAATTATTAATTTTAATAACTAATAGTTCATTGACAAAATTATTATTTAAATAGCTGTATCGTTTAATATTAAAATATAATTCAATAAATTTTTATATATTTGGTACGAACGATAGTGAATTTATTTGTTATAATATATGTTCAAGTACAATTGTACGAATAAGAAGGAAATTGTTTTTCTAAGTAGTGTAAAGAAAGTATATTGGCTAATTATAAAACACAAGTGCGTACCGTCTGTGTATGATGGATTATTTAAATGAAAGTATTAGCCCTATAGTAATAGTCTCAAAAGCTTTGCAAGTATTACTATCCGGCCACTGCTATAAAAGCAAGAGCGGAACACAGTTCAATAATTTGGTGCAAGATGTTGCTACAGAAAGGTCTCGTATTTGTTTCATGTCTGATAGTTTTAACAGCTAGTGCAGCTGTTAAGACTCCAACCGGAGCAGCATGGGCGAACTACGCTTCCAAACCAGGTAATATTAAGTATATAATATTCAAAATATATACCATCTATCGCTTTCAAATTTTTATACAAGCATATAATGTACACATATACTTATTGTGTATAAAATTTATTTTTCAGTTTACTCAAGAGCTATCGGGCCACCAATATCTGGAATGAACACTATTACAGTCCCATATATGCCAAAATCACCACTATTTCCAAAATTTGTTGATCCCAAAACGATGATCTCAAAGAAGACAGATTTATTGTCCAATTTATTCGGAGGATTGGGGCCTGCTTACCCTATGGGTTTCAAACCATTCATGCCATACGCTGCAAGTGGATCAACTCTGTACAGTGCAGCGGACGAAGCACAGTTATTAGACAGTTTAAGCAAAAGTAACATGGAAGATGGTAGCATTGCGTACAAGCGTGGAATTTTTGGGCCTTTCAGTTCTAAACCTTTTGGTCCTATGAGTCCCAAGTTTGGACCAATGGGTCCTATGTCTCAGTACTCAGATTTCAGTGGAGTGCCCGACTACAGTACGAAAGGTGATTTTTCCCGGAAAAGAAGAAGCACGGACGAGTCTCCTTTAACAAAGCTTCGATCGATTATGGACGGAGGCAAACCAGAAACAAAGGATCTGGGACCACCACCTCCTTATCCTACCCTTGCTCCGATTTCTGAAGAATCAGAGGATGAAGTTAATTTGTTGCTCCAGAAAATGGGAACTGCTACCGCGCCAAAACAATATTTGCCAGGGATGTTCTCACCGTTTGGACCGATGGTAGATCCATCAATGTTCATAGCGAAAAAATCTACTTTCTTGGATACCTTGTTTAAAAATCTTGCTACCAGTACTCCATCACCGATACCGACAGAGGCTTCAACGACTAAAAGTACCATTGTGGCACCTGACTTTTGGTTTCCATCATCGATGATTCCCAGTCCGGGCGAGTACAGTGGAAAGGTAGACGATTTTCTGGACAAACTATTTGACAGTTTGAAGCTCAACAAGACTATGATCAAGAGTGAGAGCGAGAGTGCTAAAAGTGGTATGGCGAGGTCTGTCGAGTCCGACGAAGGTGCTACAGAAGCAAAGATCGTAAGATCCGTTGACGATCTATCATCGATCAGCGCCGCCAAAGACACGATTGTTAGCAGTATATTGTCCGAACTGGGTGACTTGAAGAGTAACATGGTTACAACGATGAACGATTTAGTTGCGTACGAGAAGTCTACGTCAGCGATGTCGCCGAAAAAGTCTTTCAAACCGTTTGCGCCAGGTATGTGGCCAAAACCGACCGTCGACGGAACGCTTCCTTTTCAACAAAAGATGGCAATTCTGAGTCAGGTGTTCGACATGCTGTCGGAGCTGCAGAAAAATATTACTGTGGCGGTCCAGAGTGCGATAAAAGCTAAAATGGCATCTGCTGTTACCTCTGAGGGAACGATGAACGCTAACTATCCGTTAACGACTAACGATTTCCTTTCTGCTACTGGCGGTATGCCCATGGATATGAGTTTTCTGGATGCTGTTAAAAGCAAATTGGGCACACTAGACTATGACACGCCAGTTTCTTATGGATCGAGTCCCAATAAATTTGGACCAAAGATGGCTCGAACATTGCAAAAGTCTCCAGCGTCATTTTGGGTGTCCTATCCTGGAGACTCAACTGCCGCGGGTAAACGACAAGTTGACAGTGACTCCGAGCCACTGATAAACGAAGAAAGCAATACTGATCAAAAGCAAGAAACGCGCGGCGTTAAGATGCAAATGCATCAGGGATATCAGAGTCTACCAGCTGGTTCTATAGAGTCCGTACAGGCTGGAGGAGGTTCCACGCCTGAACACCAAGGCGGAGGAATCAAATTATTTGTAAGTTGTTGAGATCTAGAAAAAGATATAAATTAAAACTGTTCTTTATAATGCTTTTGGTATCTGTTTCGATGCACACCTATGTATATTCACATAATTATAGAACAAATGAAGAAATAAGTGGTCTTATACAACATGATAGCTTCATTTGTTTTCAGATACAAATGCCTGTACTGCCTAATGTGCAAGTGCCAGGTTTAAAAAGTAGTAATTACGAAAGCTAGGTACGTGTGATTTGTGTACTATGAATACCGTGAACACGTTCGTTTGTCACAGGATACCAACGATGGGGCCATGAACGATTGGGCGGACTGGATGCAATATTGGAGAAACGACTACCAAGGACACAGGCATCACAATCGTCATTAGGTTATTGACTCAGCAGGAATACTTCCGTCGCTTGTAATTACAAACTTTTGTTTTCTAAACTGACCACGTTCGTATACGATACGTAAAGTGTACGGTTGATAATTTCTTTCAATAAAGTGTGTTTCGCAAAATACGTAGATAGAACAGAACCACGTGTGCCAACGAAAGTCACGGACTTTACGAACGTTGCTATTTTATAATGTATAAGAAGTAAGATACCTGAAAGATATATAATATGTCTTTTTATTAATTATTTCTATTATTATTTTCTACTTATGATACATGCTATGATACAGTTCCCTATGCGATAAACGATCGAGAGACGTACATTACGACATCTATTCATCTGAATTTATTTAACGATAACGAACGTAAAACGGTAAAATTGATACGTACATCAGTCAAGCTGATCACCAGGCGCACATGGACGCAATCCTGCATCAAGTGCGTTGCTTTGTTTCTCTGTAATTAGCAATGCATTGCACGCAGGGTAGCGTTAGTGTGTTAGGAAGCACCAGAACTAACATTACAGCTTGGTCTTTGACGAAATGAACAGAATGTTTCATCATTCTTAGTTTAACTGTCTTTTATATAAAGTCATATAAAATTCTCGAAAACGTTGGCAGTATATCGGTAAGTGTTGTGACGTTGAATACCTATATGTCTTTCATTAATAAAAAAAACTTTTTTCCAACGTTACGGATAATGATCCATCACACGCACCATCCTTGCACGTTAAAGTTACTTTTTCAAACTTTGGTACTTTACTAGTAATTGTATCGTACACCAGAAAAACTAGATCACTATCATCTGCCTTTCGTCACCCTGGCTATAAGATGTTCCATTTGTTGATCGATTCTGAACACCATATAAAAGGACGCCAGTACACTGCTCAATGTCACTAACAGTTCTAAGCCCTCGAATATCAATTTTGGCGCGAAGATCTTCCAAACCATTAAATGCCGACAGTGAATCGTCGCGGCAAGCATGCTGCCAAAAGTCTATAACGTACATTAAGTTATAAAAATATTTCAATTCAAATTCGTTTTAAACTTTTGAACATTTTTTTTTTTCTATTATTTTCGGTGTTCATTGTTTTATGCTTCTCGAAATACCGGTTATTCAGAAATATCAAAAAGTGATGATACCAACTTACTCGGATTCCGTGAAGAAGCGTATATTTTCCGGCGACTGAGAAAATAGCGGTATGAAAGACGGAATCCTGTTCAAACAGGAGCAGTTCTCCTCTTTTCATGTCGTCTTCTAAAAATTTCACTTTAACTAACTTTGGAAACACAAGGTACATAGTGAACGGTACTATCACCAATAATGGTAACGTTGCGCCTAATATAATGTGCGACCCGAATGTGTTTATTCCTGCAAATAGTTAACATTTGGTTATTGATAGGAGATATTGTAACGCCACTACGAATACAGTAAATCTTATTATACTTATCGTATAGTTGAGCATATACCTATTAAGATAGCTGGTAGCAAATTTCCATAGAAATGTCCACCAGTCCCTACAAAAGCAGCGTCCCAATGAATGGTAGGAAATGTTGCTTGATGACCAGTTCCGTAGAAGAAATATTCAGATATCAGAAACCAACATACGAGGGCAGGAGTGGACACTTCTACAAGCTCGGCTATTTTTAACATAATAATAATATTAGAAATATAAATTATACATTATTTATACATCGACTATATATGTATATGTAAAAATTACTTACATATACTATTAGCATTCTTATATCTCTCTATTGCAGATAGGCCCAAAACAGAGGCGCAAGATATAAACATCAAGAAATTGCTAGGCGATAAAATATCTCCTAATAATAAAGAATATAACAGCATAAGAAATACGCTCAGTGAGATAAATGCAGCGCTATAGGCAGTGCCCAAGCCGTAAACAACTGGTGTTTCATCTACATCTATTCTCTTACGATAAATCGACTCCTTTATTTTCTCGAACAATCGGGGCACTATATTCTCATCGTGGTATATATTGATTGATTCTTTCTTTTTCGGCAGCAGAAATATACTGAGCGGACGATAGTAAAGGACAAAGATCGCAAACGAACATAACGCGTACACTATGTTTGGCAATGTACTCACTTGCCAAGACAACGCAAACTTTACTTTGACAAATTTGGGCAACCGTTGAAGGACCCAGTAACAACCCATGCAAACACCGATTACGACAGGACAATACTGCCCTACCAGAACGCTAGGAGAGAAGCCAGAAAGGTTTCCACAATTTTGCAGCCACAGTCTTACTATCGTAATGTATAACGCGAGTAGGATTAAGGTGACAGCAAGTAAAACACGTTCTAAATTATTCGACGATATAGAACCTGCTTTGCCGGTTATGAAGACAGAGCACACGCGTTGTTGCTGTTCCTCACGACAACGCCAGAAGTAATGGGACAGTCTTATGGAAATGCATACTATTAAACCGATGACTACTATAACAGTCTTTAAATTTGATTTTGCTTGCGGCTTCAAGAATGGCTTTGTTTTTCTTTCAAAATTCTCAGTAGATTTATCCCTTTTTAAATAAAATACAAGTAGCCAAAGAAGCGTAACGAGTAAAAAGGATAGTACGTTATCCTCCTCGACGATGTAACTGTTAGAAAAAAGACTACATACTGTTAGAAGAAGTATCACTCTGGCAACGTAAATCAATTTCTTAATTTTGCGATAATCGTACAAACTCATTGAAATTACATCCCAATTCTTAACAATCAACGTTATTAATAATACTATAGATACCGCACCAGTGGCAAAGAACGTAGTGTTTTTTAACTCTTCTAAAATATCGAGGAAGAATAAAAAAAAGATTATTACGGCAGTGATTAAATTTGCTAGAATGGAACATTGTAAAAACGACGATTGAAATATCTTCAACATACGGCTTTCTGGAATGCCTGTAATAAATAGGTAATAGAAAAATAATGTGCAGAACATTAAAAGTAGGCCTTTCGACATCAGGCTGGAATCAAATTGAACCCAGACTTCGGAACACATATCTTTAAGTAGTTTAAAGTAACTGCGACTATTTTGAATAAATAATTCGAATTCTTCGATAGTATTTACATGTTTCATCTGTTCCGATAGACGATTATAGACGTTTTCTAAATTCTCAAGCTGGTCTTCGGGAAACAGATAGCTATCCATAGAATACGTATCTATGTATTTCTTTGTCTGTACAATATTCCTCCATACAGAATGTAACGAATACCATAAATCTTCCTCTGACTTTTCATTTTTCATCGATCTTGGTAGTGAATCGATTATAACAGATCCTAAGTTAGAGAAAGGTATAGGTGTGCCAAGAATCGATGCCAACGTAGGAACAAGATCAATTTGATTCACAGTATCGTGATTTGAATCGTACTTAAGTAGCGGTAACATAGAATAAACAAACATAGCAGCTTCAACTTCGTTCAAGCTATCACCGCCGTGATCTCCGCTCTCTGTCATGCCATGATCGCCCACAATGAAAAATACTGTATCTTCTTCCAAAGATTCAATAATTTCTTTTATCAAAGTGTTTGTGTCGTTTAATTTTCTGGCCATTTCTGGATGGTTAGCACCATGTTTATGCCCGCAGTGGTCTATGCCAAGAACATGTGCTATAAGTAGGGACCAATCTTTCTTTTTCATTTCAAAGAATATGCGGTATCTGACGTCTTTGTCAACGCTATCAAGATCCCAAACATTGAAGGACGGCGATGGAAATTGCCGCTTGAATTTTCCAGGGAATAAATTAGTCCAAGTATCATCACCCATGAAAACAATACCTTTAGCAATGTTCTGATCGATAATGTTATCTTCGTCGATGCTTTCGATAGCGAAATTAGATCCAATATCGATGAAAGTAGGCAGAGATCCGGTCGTAAAACCTTTTAGTCTTTGCATGGTAGTCGTTGGTGGATCCGCTATGAATTTGTACAAACGCGAATTCAGAGGTTGATTTTGTAGCAATTCGTGAATTATTGGCAGTTTATTGCGGTAATACAATGGGGCAGAACTATTGTCGCTGTACCAGTGTGCGAAATCATATTTTAAGGCGTCGACAACTAATAACACAACGCGTGTTTTTCTTTCAAGGCATGTAGTCGCAGCGACTTTTGGATCTTGAAGAAGTTCTTGGACGTTGCAGCCGCCAGGATTTGTACAATACTTGCATTCCGCACGTTCCGGTCTGGAGACACGAGTAAGTAGGAAACCGCTTGTAAAAACAAGCACGCCAACTGCCATCAAGTACGATATCCATCCTTGAAATATTAGATAGTTCCATAGTTTACTCATTTTTCTCGATGAGCTATTATTCATTCACGTTGATCGAAAAGCAGGTAATGTTAAAGAAACTTCGAAATAATTTTAACCTATCCTTTAACGTGAATTTGTTCTTCACCATTGTCACATTGTTGTAAAACACAATTCAGTTATTTGTTTAACAATAGTTTTGGAGGGTAAACTACTAGGAGTATAAAACGATTAACCAATTATTCATGTTTCACGAAAGGTGTATATAATATAACTTTAAATAGGTTGGAAAAATGTAAAGACATGATCTCGTCTTTATTCGATATGGCGCTAAATTTTGAGTGCATACAGTGTCGCCACGTGATCAAGCATATTGCTTTATTATTCTCGTATCACTTTCAATGTTATCGGTTCGCATTGGAATTTAAATTTAACACTCTTGTTGTTTGGAATTAAGATTAATTGTACTAGAAGAATTTAATTGTTTCGAAAATACAAGCTTTCCGAGACATCGGGCTTCCCCCCACTCTCCCGCCTAATTTGCGACCGTTACTGGACACAGCGAAGGCACCGGTCATTCGTACTGTGTAAACGTAACGAAACGTGTCGAGACCTGTCGGTGTTTCGCTACCAACGAGTTGCAGCAGTGCCCATATAAATGACCAAACTCGGGACCGGCCATTTATGTAGGCATGGTTAGTTAATAAGGAAAAAGGATAAATGTGAGTGAGATACAATAGCTGGCACCTGAAACCATAAACAAAGGTAACTCCCGGCATACGTAGTTTTGTTTTTCACCGTGAACGGCGTTGAATTCCTATTCCGTACTAAATCAATAACGTTCAAATGGCAAGGAGGTTCTCTACAGTCCCCCAGAGTCTTTGAATAAAAGGTTTCATCGAACATTTATACAAAAGAAAGTATCGTATAAAGAACAGACGATCGAAGAAATAAATACTTTCAGTCTCTTCGAATTTGTCCATATTTTCATTCCTATTGTTTGCAATAATTGTTAATTAACATCAGGCAATAGTTGAAATAATGCTCGATAGCGTGGGTTGTATAAATAATTGTTTTCAATACCATTTTGCTGAGAATATTCATTTTTCGGTCAAAGGCACGGTTAATCGTTAATTAATTGGTGAACTCGCCAAGGACAGTCATCCCCACCCTTTCGACTCCTCTGCCTGAGGCTAACTGCCGGTGACGGGCTCTCACTCTCTCTTTCTTTCTCGGCGCTGGCGGACGTGACGGAACCCCTGTGCGTCTGCGCGCCACCTTTACTCACCACTACTGACCACTGGCCGAGCACTGGTCAACTTTGCTGACCAATATTGACCATTAGCGTCCGTTGGGCTTGAATGTGGGATTTCATCTTGCTACTTGTTCCTTGTTTGGTTTGTTCGATGCACATTCTATATTGTTTGCAAATGTGTTTGTTCCCGTATTTTATTCTTGTCTTGTCCGGGCCCATTTATTTTATCTCGGGGCTTCGTGTTTATCAATTCATTATATTTAATTGTTTCACTAATCGTAAATACCACCTTTTTTAATTTGTTTCAGATTACTTACAGGTCTCTATTATCGTGGGTAACACCGAGCTAATGGCTGCGAATTTAGCCACTAGCGCCACATGGTAGTAGCAATGCACGTGGCAGTATGCTGCACTACGGACGAGCGGTTCATTCCGATCATCTGTTGTAAAGGTTAAGTTGAGTTATCACGTGACACTGAGTCCTGACTTTTTACTGTCACGACACGAGATGTAATGGCTAAATCGACATTCTCATGACATCGAATATATTTAGTTAAGACGAACCTTTGATCTAATATAGTGATGCTAGGTGGGAAGATCTTTTATGGCATTTCTGCCAAACATGGGAATAGCAGTAGAAAAATTCCCCTTTCAAGGTCTCGCGTTTGACAGATACATACGTGGTCGTAGTGCGCATGTGCCGTCGTAGTATCCATTTTGTTGCTTTTATTGTAAACAATGTCATGAGAAGCCACGTAGTCCTATTCTGCTTCTGTTGCAACAGCCGGCATTAACTTGTGTGGTTTGATGTGCGTATACATCGTAATATTTACATAAACTTACAAGTTCTTAGTGACGTATTGACAGAAAATTTGTTTCACGCGTTAAATATTTAACTGTATCGCACGAGTAGTGCTTTCTGTAGGAGAATCGAAACTATGAAAAATCGTTCATGTTTGGAAGCAAATAAAATCATTAGCAGAGATCAATAAAATATAAAAGAGTATATAGTTAATGAAATTGTGAGTGTCCGAACTTGTAAGCTTAATCGATTGAATTTGCAGGCATGTAAGAGGGAAACTGTACAAATATCACTTTTTGTATTAAGCAAGCTTTCCAAGACTTTTGTTCTATGACACCACTTGTGTCCGTATAAAGAAGTATTAAAGGAATCCTACGTAGAGCAGGACGATTCAGGTAATTTAATTTCCTTGCTTCCGTGAAAGTGAGTTTTAATGATTCATTAGTTATTACGCAAATACAGTATCAATATTATTTATAATAAGCCAGACAGCGCACGCTTATGCAATGTTTTCATGCAATAAATCCATGACAAAACGTGATGTGCATTCCATAATGAGTTTTGCGTTCTCTTGTAGAGATTCTGGAATATTTGGAATTTTTTAAGCTAGTTATCGCAGATACATACATTTGTCTTTTAATAAACAAAAAACATTTGGTTTTAATTTATTTAAGAAGTTAGATCGCGAAATTTAGAGACTGAGCATTTTATAAAACAAATATATATTTGAACGAGTTCTGAAATGCGTTTCTTTATCGAAATGCTTTTCAAAGTTTCAAAGTTCTTTACAAATGAATCGTAATCGTGTACGTCGATAACCGGAAATGTCTGTGCAGCTTATTGCACCGATAAAAATAGTCGTGCACGTCTTGTTCGTCCACGATCGCTTATAAAATTACAGAAATTATAATTATGTAACGCGTAGCAACGAATCGATGGCGAACGATAATACATTTTCGTCGAAAATCCTTAAATATTTCGACAAAAATTAGTTCGTATCGAAGGAATTAATTTTTGTTGATTCGTGGCGTGAAAAGTATCTTATCTGCTGTATGCAGACACCGCGAAGGATTTAATCTTAGGATCGGAGTTCTGTCAGTTGCGAAAAGTAGATGGCCAAGAGAGGGCGCTACGGAATACCAAGCGTTAGAAGTTTCGATGTAATAATGGGATTGTAGAAACGTTGGGGGAATTAAAGCAAACGAGTGACGATTTTTATTTCACCCTCGAAAGACGCTCGCGGAACGTTTAGCAACGAATTTCATCCGGACAATTATCGCGACGGTCGACGAAAGTTTTTAATCGTTTAGGACAGCACGAACGACGCGACTGATTCGCTATCTTCTGCAACAAGCGCGATTGCACTAACGTCGTCGACCTCGTCGTGGTCGTTCGCGCCGCGTCGTTCATTTCTGCAGTGAAATTGTTCTCGCGACGACGAATCGAATCGAATTCGCAAGAAAATTGAATTTCTGGCGTACCCCACTGTCAAAGAGATCAAATTTCCCGCGCGAGACAAAGGGGAGGCTCGAGTCAATTTGACCGCGAGTTTTTTTTTCTTTTAGTTTTCCCGCGAATTCGTTATAAGCATGCCGTATAGCTCGGACACGAAGCGCGACGTGAAACCGGAAGACCAGGTTCCCGTTCTGCGTCCCGACGAGAGGACTCGAGAGAGACTGAACGATCTGGCCAGCCATTTCGCGAGGAAATACGATAGCCAGCCGTCGTTCTTCGTCAAAGTCCCGGGAAGGTACAATTCACTTTTTTATTTCGTCGTGCTCGGTCCATTCGTCGACACGGTATTCGCAAACGAGTACAGAAATATTAATCGTATTTAATAGAGAATATTAAAAATAATTTTAATTAACCGTGACATCGTAATAAACGTATCTTCCGCGAGAAGAAGACACAGCGAGTCTCCATCCCCCCACTCTTGCTGCGTTCCGCTGATTGGCTGTCGCCGATCTTCGTCACCGTTTTCGACCAATGACAGCGAGTCTGCGGACTGCAACAGGAGAGGGGATGTAAACCGTTGCGTCTTCTTCTCGTGGAAGAATGGTAAGTCAATCAGTGCTTGTTTCTCACATTTTACCGCAAGATTAAACAAATATTATCAACCTCGCCCATTGTTTATGGTTCTTTATCTCGAGCGTCTGACGTCCGTGTAATTAAACATTCCACCGAAAGAGTTAATGCAAGCTGCAAACTTTTACATTTTTGAGAGAATTACCGATGGATCGACGAGGTTCTCTCGATGAAAATTAGTCGATAGCACAACCCTGTTTGGATTATTTTTAATTATACATTCGAATAAATAATGATAAGAATGATAGGTAAAACGTAAGATTGTACGTTTAGAAAAGTTTCTGCAATATCGATGCACGCGTTTCGTATACTGTATTCGGTTGCAAATACGCCGGCGATGAATCGGAAGACCTTTTTATCAGCATCTTGTTTATTTCAGTATTTACTTGTACATCTGTTGACGATTCCAATTCTCCCAAGGGTAATTGAGTTTGTTCTGTTCGTCCGTTCGCAGAGTTAATTTAATTGGCGAGCACATCGATTATTGCGGGTATGCCGTTTGCCCGATGGCCATCGAGCAGGACATACTCGTTGCTGTGGCTCCCTCGAAAGGCACGGAGATTCGTCTTACCAACGTGGACGCGAGATACAAAGATTTCCGGTGCGACTTGAACGCGGTGAGGTTAGTAAAGAGCTTGGATGATCCTTTTGATCGTGCCGCCTATAAACACCGAGTATTTTACGTTTTGTTCCTTTTATCGTATCGTCCCGTGCCAATTTGTTGGTTTTACGAGTTTGCTAGACTCTTGGAACGCTTACCAGAACGGTCCACCGATTTCCTTCGCGATGGAACGCGACTCGCCAGGAGTCTACGGCGAAATGCAATATATTTTCTCCGCCTAATATGTCCGTGAGATTCAATTACCAAGGACAAACTTGATTACTGTGTCTAAAGTTTTCGGAGGTCGCAAGTAATTGGAACACTCTGCTACAGACACCGTCTACTTCCGGAAACTCGATCCAGGTCTTGTTGCAAATTTACCGCCCTTTGTCACGAGACTTTTACTTATCGTGGACAGAACCTTAACTGTCACGGCCAGAGTATATCGTATCACGCGGTTTATTTCAAAATTAAACCACTCGATCGTGGGCAATTTTATTTTTTTCTGACGATTTTGTTAAACGATCGGAAACGTATTGTGAAGTTATTATTTTTTACGCATCGAAAGGTAAGAAGTTTGTTCAACTAATGTTAATACACTCAGTCTCCATAATTTTAATCGAACAAAGTACGTATGCAATTTTATTTTCCCGATTTATTTTTTTGTCTCTCTCGTTGGTACTTGTGCGAGAAACCATTCATGTAAGAATTGTTTTTTTAGATTATTTGAATCACGAAAGGTTGTTTGGATCAGAGTGGATGTGAACAAGAGTGATTTTACAGGGTGGATTTAATAGGAGCTTGTGTTTTATTTGTAGATGCCTAACCTTTGTGAAAGCAAGGGATCGTACGAGAAATAAAAGAAGGAAGCAGGAACGGTGATAGAAGAAGGAGCATTAGAAATATGTAATTTCTAGGAAAGAAGATGATCGAAGAATTCAGGAAGTAGTCGAACGTCTGGTTTGCTTAAAAGCTAGAAGGTTTGAATGTGGTTCTACCAATTTCTGAACGGCGATATTCCTAGATCGTAGGAAAGATAATATATCTAGGAATTTTAACAGGTAACTTTGAGATGGCTTCACGGATCGTCAGAAGCAATCGAGCGCACGTAAACCGGAAGGATCCTCAAGATCTCGATCAGAAGACTAACTAGAGTAAAATCTATGTAAGTATGCGACGAATATATTTTTGTATTATCAAATAAATATTGCTATTTTATTTAAGCCTGTAATTTTCTACTTGATCCAAACAATCTCCTTTCGACTCAAATAATCTTACCGTAGGGTTATTTTGGTCATTTCCTCCATTAGATACCAATAATCTTTCTATTGTATATTTCGATAATCGAGTTTCAAGAGATTGGACTTGGAATTAAATTTTATTAAACTAAACCCAACATTTCTTTTTCCAACGCCTGGGAAAAATTTAAATGGGTGATTCTAGAGGCCGAAATAAGACGAAAGTTAAGAATAGTAATTTGTTGATCGAAGTTTTGTTAAAAAGTTATTAACGTTTAAAGTTCTGCCCATACTGAATTTTTTTCTAGAAAGTGGGTAGGATTTCGTAGGTATGTGTAATGACTAAAAATGATTGTAATTGACCCCCGCAACGGAAAATAATTTTTCCAGAACGATTTGAAACTTTTCAATTTTCTCGAAAAATTGCACACCTTCTCGAATTTTTTTTGTTAAAGTGGCTAGGATTTCGAGGGTGTGTCTAATAACCAAAAATGATTGTAATTGACTCCTTCAACTAAAAATAATTTTTCCAAAACAATTTGAAATTTTTTTTTTCCGTCGAAAAATTTCGCACTTTCTCGATTTTTTTTCTCGAAAATGCGTATGATTTCAAGGGTATGTTTATTCACCAAAAATGATTGTAATTGACCATTGCAACTGAAAATAATTTTTTTAGAACGATTTGAAACCTTTCAATTTCGTCCAAAAATTTGTCTACCTACTCGAATTTTCTTCTTGAAAATGGTTAGGATTTCGTGGGTATGTGTAATAACCGAAAATGATTGTAATTGACCCCCGCAACCAAAAATAATTTTTTTAGAACCATTTGAAAACCTCTTTTTTCGGCGAAAAATTTCAGACCTTCTCGAATTTTTTTCTAGAAAGTGGGTAGGATTTTGGGGGTATGTCTATTCACCAAAAATAATTGTAATTGACCCCCGCAACCGAAAATAATTTTTTTAGACGGATGTGAAACTTTTCAATTTCGTCGAAAAATTTGTCTACTTACTCGAATTTTTTTCTTAAAAATGCGTAGGATTTCGAGGATATGTTTAATAACCAAAAATGTTTGTAATTGACCCCTCCAACTAAAAATAATTTTTTTAGAACGATTTGAAACCTTTCAATTTCGTCCAAAAATTTGTCTACCTACTCGAATTTTCTTCTTGAAAATGGTTAGGATTTCGTGGGTATGTGTAATAACCGAAAATGATTGTAATTGACCCCCGCAACCAAAAATAATTTTTTTAGAACCATTTGAAAACCTCTTTTTTCGGCGAAAAATTTCAGACCTTCTCGAATTTTTTTCTAGAAAGTGGGTAGGATTTTGGGGGTATGTCTATTCACCAAAAATAATTGTAATTGACCCCCGCAACCGAAAAAAATTTTTCCAGAACGATTAGAAATTTTTGAATTTAATTGTTAATAACTTTTTAACGAAGCCTCAAACGAAATATTGATATTCTTGATTGTCGTTTTATTTTAGCCTCTAGAATCTCCCGTTAAAATTTTTTCCCAGGGTTGGCTGAACACACTGTAGATACTTTCTACTTCCGGTGGTTTTGGCACGTCAATTTTGTCTTGCTTCCGTTCTGTAATGTTTTCTGTATCGTAATCGAGGGGAGGTAGTTTTTAAGTGTACCATACAGTGGTGATGGCAGGTTTGAGAACCATTGAACCCGAACATTGTTGACTACGCGATGCCTGTTTTCTGCCGATCGATCGAAATAAGTCCGAAGTGAATGCAGAATTCCTGTAGATCGCGTCAGAATGCAATTTCACCGGGGTAGAAAATTTCCGACCGGTGCATTTCTCGCCGGGGGAGGACAAAAATAAATGGCATTCGGGCACGGGCGTGGAACTAATTTCCCGGAAAACCGCCGTGGATGCTCCCGAACGCTCGGCGTCGGGATTAAAGAAAGGCCACGATAAAATGAAAGGTGAAACGATAAAGCTGGACGGCCGTGTAATTGCATTAGTTGCCTCGGTGTTTAGCAGTTGTCGGTTGGAAATGCCCGACTGCGAACAATTCCCGAGGATGAGCCCGTCCGATCGTCGGAATTTGTTCGACGAAATTGCAGCATGAATTATTGCGCGAGAAAAATCGGTGAAATTGGCTCGACGGAGAATTATTCATTTGGGAACGACTCGAACATTTCGAGAACTGAACATTTTCTCAGCTTGTTTATCGGATATAAGAGCAACAACCGAGGAAACATGACTAGCCTGTTGCTCTGATAAACTTGTCTCGAGGATCTATACTCTGATAAAGAAGATACAATTCGTGTTAACCTTCCATTTAAATACGCTTACGATCAAGTCTCTTCGCGTGGTTTATTCCAAAGTTTGTGCAAATCGAATCGTGTAAACATAGATAATGTACAACTTGGAATGTTTGGAATCACGTATCTAATCTCGATCGATCGTCGCGTTTGTTCGTACAGAAATCGTCAAGTATTTTTCATTTGTGTTTCAGCTATCGTGCAATCTCTGTTTACCGATCCCAAAGGAGCGTACTTCAATTTACGATAAGATTGTGGCCCGTAAACGACATAGTCGATAGTCGAGTTCGACGTGATTGCATAAACTCTTATAATACAAAAGGAGCATCACTTGACCACCCCAGGATTCCAACACAGTATCAAAAATTTTTCAGAGGAATCTTCTCGCGAAGTTACCGATAAAATTTCATTTCATGGTCCGCGTAATTCTGAAATGAACGTTTGGCCTCGTTCTCATTGCGTTCGAAAGTATTGTCAATGGGATAGCAATAGGAGATGCACTGTGGTCGAAAGTATATGCACGGATAACGATAACGAAGAGAAAACTTTATTATAGAAGGCGAAATACATAATGATCTGCAACAGTCGTGTCTGGACGCGAACTCGCGACCGATCATTATGTATTTCGCCTTCTATAATAAAGTTTTCTCTTCGTTATTGTTATCTGTGCATATACGTTCGACCACAGTGCATCTCCTATTGCTATCCCATTAACACTTTACCGACCGGTAGCGGTTGATTAATCGGCTATCGGTCGGTAAGCGTTGGTCGGTAAAAAAGTTGATTAATACGCTATCGGTCGGTAATGTGTTAACAATAGAAAGTAACGTCGTCGAATTCGAATTCGAATTTAATAAACCGGAGAGGAACGGACTGTCTCATGACTTGTTGCGTCGGTTTTTAATTAATCTTTTTCTTCTGTCGAGCATCCGGGAAAAGAATAACTCTCTGCCTGTAATAACCCCCACGGTGCTCTCTCCGGCGAAACGGAAAAATGAAGTTCGTCGCGATGCAAATGGAAATAGCATAATACGAGGAGGCAGCGCAATTCGCTCTCCTTACTATGTACGTTTCATTGTTCTTTATAACTTGGGTATTCCCGGAACGTCCCTGAAACACGGAAGCAAAACTGAAGAAACAAAATCCTTACGAAGATAGCCAAAGTACATGTTATAAAATCGTTGATGGAAAAGTATTGAATCGATCGAGGCGACAATTTGTAATTTTCCCGTTAAATAATATTCGGTTCGTTAATAACGTATTAGCGTCGAATGTTTGCACGCGACGTGACCTAATATTATTTTACAATTACGAATATTAACGTTTACGAGAGGCGGGGCCGTTTGTTTAATCGCATATGATTTTCGATCGACGCGTAAAGTGTCTGTTCCAACAAAACGTCCGAATCTATAATGCGTTTCGCGCGGAATATGAACAGCGAAATTTTTAATTCGTTGGAGGCAAAATTTAATCAATTCTCGATGGAGAAATTAGCCTGTGAATAGTTAAATAGAACATATATCGTATTACGTATGTGTTAATTTTGTTCTTTCCTTCAGCGTTTGCATCGCGGAGGCTAGCACCGGACCACAGTGGTACAAATATTTCCTCTGCGGCGTGAAAGGAGCCCTCGAAGTGATACCGGAGGAGAAGGCACCCTCGGGAATCCTGGCTGCAGTTTGGGGGAACATTCCTCCTAATTCGGGGCTTTCGAGCTCGAGCGCCCTCGTCTCCGCCGCCCTTCTTTCGATCGTGCACGTCACCCAGGTGAGCCCCCTTTCCATCATCTTTTTATCGTAATGTTTCAATCAAGTTTTCACGTACCAAAGGCAAAGGAACAACAGGAAGAAAACACTCTGAACGGTGATCTTATCGAACAGAGTCATCAGACTCGCGAACAAGGAAACAAGAAAACTTTTTTTAACGATGCTCAACAGAATGGGAATTAACGGACGAACTCGAGGGTTGTTATTTCTTTAAGAATCCGTATGCAAATTAGTCTGCTTACTGTCTTGAAACGGTGCTGCTCTGAAAGCACTCGAGTTCTTTGTTTACGATGCATTTAACTTCTTTCGTTATGTTTTTACAATTTTTTAAACGAACATAGATATTTTATAATGAGAATTATGTACTCCAACATTGTTTGCAAGCGTAGTAACGATCGTGATAGCGTACAGGTACGAGTGTGGGGTTCATCACCTCCCGTGTTCGCCACCAGAGGGCTACGCTTTTGTCTCTCTCGCAAGCGCTCGACCGCGTGAGAAAAAAGTGTGGATTTTTCAAGTTTCATGGCGTTTAGGTGACTGTCGGTGGTTGGCTACTTGCTCGTAATCATTTCTGGCTTTTGTTCGAGCAATAAAGACTAACACTTTGTACCCGTAAAAGAGTCCGGGTCAAACAGATAGTCGTAAGAGAACAGACGTTTCGTTTATGAATTTACGTGTTGCAAAGATCACGGATACGGAGCTTTGTAGTATCTGTGCACACTGGAAACTTTAAACTGCGAGCTGGAAAGTTTAATACCCTTGTGGCGGTGTCCGCCACACTCGTGAGAGTAGTTTACGGGCGATCCCTGTTCCCGTAAGGTCACACCTACGCCATCGATCCCTTCCTATAAATCTTCCGGTCTTCAGGAACAACCGAAATAAGTAAATTTTTTATTTAAACTGTTATCAGATCCCAGGAATATTTTCATATTCGTGCACTAATTACGACATGTATCGTGGCTATAAATCCTGAATCCAGAGGCCAAAATAAGACGAAAATCAAGGATACTAATTTGTTAATTGAGTCTTCGTTAAAAAATTATTAACGTTTAAAGTTCCGGTTCGTATTGAATTTTTTTCTCGAAAATGCGCAGGATTTCGTGGGTATGTGTAATGACTAAATATGATTGTAATTGACCATTGCAACTGAAAATAATTTTTTTAGAAGCATTGGAAACTTTTGAATTTCGTCGAAAAATTTAGGCATCGATTTTCCTTAGAAATTAGCTTTTGATTTTTAGTAATTTTGTTTGACGCTCTACAGAAAAGTTGTTTAATACTTTTTTATAGGTACCCATCAATTCTACTTCTTACTAAAATTTCAATCCAATATATTCACTATTGTAGGAGTTATGACCGTTTGGAAATTGGACCACTTTTATGGGAGTTTTTCTTATTTTACGGGGTCAAGGAGCAACTTCTCCAATATTTTTAGAATGTCTATATATTCTTCGCTAAAATACGCGTTAATTGCTTTTTGAAATATTAAAATCGTTCAATCTGTTCAGAAGTTATGACGTTTTAAAGATTCGCATGAAATTTCAGGGGAATTGGTCAACCATTGGTCAGACGTATTCGGTAATGAATTTTTTTCTCAAAAGTGCTTAGGATTTCGAGGATATGTGTATTCACCAAAAATGATTGTTATTGACCCCCGCAGCCGAAAATAATTTTTTTAGAACGTTTTGAAATTTTTCAATTTCGTCGAAAAATTTCACATATTCTCGAATTTTTTTCTCGAAAGTGGGTAGGATTTCGGGGGTATGTGTAATGACCAAAAATGATTGTAATTGACTCCTTCAACTAAAAATAATTTTTCCAAAACAATTTGAAATTTTTTTTTTCCTTCGAAAAATTTCGCACTTTCTCGATTTTTTTTCTCAAAAATGGGTAGGATTTCGAGGGTGTGTCTATTCACCAAAAATGATTGTAATTGACCCCTCCAACTGAAAATAATTTTTTTAGAATGATTTGAAACTTTTCAATTTTATCGAAAAATTTGTCTACCAACTCGAATTTTTTCCTCGAAAATGCGTAGGATTTCGAGGGTATGTCTATTCAGGTCCCACGAATCATTTTCATATTCTTCGAAAATGCACTGTACTACGACCAAAGAACAACGTGCACTAATTACAACATGTATCGTGGCTATAAATCCCAACTACTGGCTAGAATGGCCCGACATTCTGGCTAATTACGTAATAACGGCGGCTAATAAAAGTCGCTACCGCAATTTTTATCGTCCACCGTAATATCCTTTCGGCTGATCGTCCCTGGGACGTTAATATCGAAGTAAAAAATGGCTCGAGAATTTCTCAAAACCCTCCCCCCGGTCTGGGGATTAATCTACAGTCTTTTCTTTAGGGGGACTCGGGAGAAAGAGATATATTCCTTCACGGAGCTTGAGAAGGTAGACGACGATCCGTTCGACTTCATCCTGTAAAAGAATCACTCTTTCCAAAGTTTCATCCACCGTTCGCGGGTAAATAGAGGCCGGTGAAAGATCTATCCAACGACCAAACGTCTGCTTTTTAACCCTTTGCACTCCAAATTATATTCCAATTTTGTTACCAGCGGCTCCCATTGCTTTTAAGTGTTTTATTTACACTGTTGTTGTATCTTGTAATTTTCAAGTGTATGATATCTGTTTAGTTTCGACTTGAAATAATGTCGAAAAGGAGCTCCTTGTCGAATCACACTCGACATAGGAGTGCAAAGGGTTAATACAATCGTAGAAGCGGGGGGATCGTTGAGCAAGAGGTGCAATTACTTGGATCCTATCGAACGTTCGTGAAAAGTGGCCTGAGGGAGAGAGGATCTAAATACTCGTTATCGTTTTAAAGGATCTTCCGTTCTTCGGTGGTCGAAGTAGATGAACCTCGAGGAACACGGGATTTTATAGCAACACGCGATAACAAGGATATTCCAGGGGAGAGAGGGGGAAAAGTAAGATTACTCGAAAATTAGAAACTTGAATATATTGGCGTGCAAAAAGAAATCGAAACGATATAATTCGCGAAGGCAAAATATTCTCGAAAGCTCTGAACGTCCAAGCTTGTCGGTCCAAGCAGCAAGAAGGGGAGGGAAATCGATTCTTTTAGAACGCAAAGGAGCAAAGAGTTTCGAGATGTGTTCACGGAGATTTAAAAAAACAATTCGAACGCTTTTAAATACCTGATGAAAAGCGTTTTGTTACGATCAAATCACACACACACACGCAGACGTACTCGCGTTTCAGGGAATCTCTCGTCGCTAGGGAGATAAGTAAAAATCTCGTCTTTCTTTTCGTTCCACTCTGGCCCTTCTCGAGGCTCCCCGAGATCGATGAGAAAAGTTCCTCGTGGACCCTAATGTCTCTTTCAGCGTAGTTCGTCGGGAAGCACGGCGGTCTTCCGGAGTGTCCCAAGAATCCCTGATACATTCCCGTCCATTGACCACGCTTCCGCGAGGACGAGACGCGGAGGATACGTGCTCGGGTGGTGCCACGACAAATCGATCATTTTTTGCCCAGAGATGTCGGGGATTCCGATCAAAATGAAATACGACGCTGTTCGCGCCGAATCCGAGGATGGGTATCATCGTTTCGAACCCTTTGCTCTGCCAGGAATTTTCCAATACCAAGATTACCTTGCAATTTCAGCTTCGTTCTTATCACTTTATTCATTAGATCATCCCATAAGTAATGTCGTTTTTTAACGGTGACTTTCGGTGAACAAAATTAATACTTACATTTATTTTCAATCGTCCATATGTTGACCATCAGTCTCGATGACCTTTTCTCATCTATCAATCGATTTTCTTACTCCATTTTCGAGAAACTTCCCGGGATTTTGAATTAAAATACTCATTGAGTGCTGATTTTACATCCTCGCTGTTGTTGAAATTTTTTTCCCACTTAAAAAGTGTTGCATCGACTGCTATAGATCCTCTAGTTTTGTCCACCGAGCGATCTCGTTGGAATTTCTTGCGTGTCGACGAGAAGACATTTCCGCGACGGATGTTCGATAAGTTGAAAGCGCCATTAGCCCCGGAAAGTGATTTATCGATCCGTTGTTTCAGCGTTCGTGCACCGAGGAGACGAACACTTTCGACAATTACTCGTGCAGCCCTTTGCCTCCTGTTATTTTGAACCATCTTAAGCGGCCATTTTACCTTGCAGGCACGTAAAACACATGTTTCTTTGTGATTTTTTTTTGCTGGCTATTAAAGAGCGATTAATTCCAGGTTTTGTAGATACATTTATTACATATTTAGCTATATTTACGAATTTTTGCAACCCGTAATATCTATCGATTACGCTGTTTTTGTTGATCAACGAACAACAGTTTTTTAGGAACGGCCCCATGACTGCGTATGTGATATCTTGCGAACAAGTTATCCGAAATCCAAAAACCAACGATATTCTCAATATAGATGAGTGTGGTTATAGCACGAACTAGGATCTTTTCAAAAAAACAACAAATGGACAAAATGGTAGCTATTTTACGAAAAAATACTGAATATTTTCGTATATTCGGCTGTCTTTTCTTAATAAAAGAAAAAGTATCGAAGATATCGCAATTATCCTTGTTCATGCTATAGGGAGACCAGTTCCAAAGATACTGTATAAATTTCATGTCGATATATCGAATAGTTTTTTCGTTATTCGTTAAAGTTTCACGTCCAGTTGTTATACCTGCGCGTGGTACATTTCAGCAGGCTGTAACTTCGTTAGTTTTCCGAATTTCAATTTAATATTTGGTAGACATATTCTCGAGACTACATACTAAAAGACAATGCAATAAAAAATTCAATTTTTTCAATCCCACAAGGTAGAAAGGCCCCTCAACACATTGACTGCCAGACTAAAATTATACGAGTCCAAAACTTTGATTTTAAACAATTGTAATCTACACGAATTAAAATTTGTCTTAATGATTATTTTCGTAACAACAACTAACAGTTATTTCCTTGAACATTTCAACTTGATAATTAATTATTGTATTTCCAAAGCGAAAAGTCTTGTCTGTGTGTTAAAGCGACTTTATCTCTGAGGAATTCGAGTCGCCTTAATAAATTGAAATCTTTAGTGCTTTGTTGGTCCTTTGCTCGCGTCGTCTAGCGTCTCCGCGTACACGGTGTTCCTATGCAAACGTTAAAACGAATTTAATTAGCGTGTCGACGTCGCCGGAAGTTCCAGTCGCTATGAATAAGGAAAGTTTGCTTTCCTAGTTGCAGCGTTTCCCGCCTCCTCTGCGTCAGTTTCGTGATTATCGAGTCCACTTGGCTCTAAACGGAATCAAGACGATGTTCACATATTTACCAACTATATCTTTATCTATGTTACAGCACCGGTTGTCGAAACGCGAGATGGCCACCATCGCAGCGAACGCTGAAAGGTACATCGCGACCCAAGGTGGTGGTATGGACCAAGCGATCGCGTTTCTAGCCGAAGCTGGTAATTATTTTATCGTCCAGACGTGTATTGCACCTACTAAACTCGTCGCCCAAAGGATCACCCAACCGTTTTCACCCTCTTTCACAAATTACTATCAATCGTCTCCTAATAACACTTCATTAACACTTCCATGTAACAGTTTGTAATAATGCTTAAGTTCAATCAACTCGATCAGCCGAGTTATTTTGTCCTGTTATACTAATATGGGCGTTAGATATCGTTTAATCGAGCAAAACCACCGAAGCAATTCAATTCCATTGTATTGTACAAATCCTCTGTTTCTTTTTTTAAAGAGAAATTTACAAAATTTCCATGTTAATGTTGTCTCCTAAAAAATGTTTGTAGAAAGCGACCGATCGAATCGATAAAGATTCGGTTTCACACTTGGTAATGTTTCATAAAGGTTCTGCGATGCTGATTGAATTTAACCCGGTGCGTGGTACTAATGTCACTCTACCCGAAACTACGGTGTTCGTAATAGCGCACAGCCAGGCTTGTCACAACAAAGCTTCCACGTCAGATTTCAATTTAAGGGTGGCGGAGTGTCGACTGGCCGCACAGGTAATTGGACACATCAGACATAACAAAGTACTACCGCCAAATAAAATGCTAAATTCTGTTCAGAAAATCTCACGAGTAATTTTCGGTTACAAAGAGCAGAAAGAATGATACAGGGTGTTCCACGAAACTGGGCCAGCAAACCGTGGCATCAGAACAGCGGAAGATGAATTAAAAAACATTAGAAAGAAAAAAAAATTAAATGGTTTTGAATGGTGCATCTCTGGGTTAGGTCTGGGTTAAGTCTGTGTTAGGTTTGGGTTAGGTTTGGGTTAGGTCTGGCTTAGGTCTGGCTTAGGTCTGGGTTAGGTCTGGCTTAGGTCTGGGTTAGGTCTGGGTTAGGTCTGGGTTAGGTCTAGGGTAGTTCTGGGTTAGGTCTGAATTAGGTCTGGGTTAGGTCTGGGTTAGGTCTGGCTTAGGTCTGGCTTAGGTCTGGGTTAGGTCTGGCTTAGGTCTGGGTTAGGTCTGGGTTAGGTCTGAGTTAGGTCTGGGTTAGGTCTGGGTTAGGTCTGGCTTAGGTCTGGCTTAGGTCTGGCTTAGGTCTGGGTTAGCTCTGGCTTAAGTCTGGGTTAGGTCTGAGTTCGGTCTGGGTTAGGTCTGGATTAGGTCTGGGTTAGGTCTGGATTAGGTTTGGGTTAGGTCTGGGTTAGGTCTGGGTTAGGTCTAGGGTAGATCTGGGTTAGGTCTGGGTTAGGTCTGGCTTAGGTCTGGCGTAGGTCTGGGTTAGGTCTGCATGGAGCATGGAGCATGGAGCATGTGTCTTTGTTGCAAGCGGAGGATTTTCAAGTCGTTCGAAACCATTAAATTTTTGTTTTTCTCCCGCTATTTCAACGCTATGATTCTGGTCCAGTTTTCTGGAGCACGCAGCAGCAAGTCTTTGTTAGAAAAATGACAAGGCTGACGGTCGATGATGTATTCCGTAATTCCCACGACGCGTATTAAAGTCGTTGAACGACTAATCAGTAGACTGCGGATGTTTATGCATTTATGGGGAATTTTAATCCTCAAAAAACTACAGAATTTAATATGCAAAAATATAAGAAATATTTAAAGCAAGATACGAATTATTATATTTAAGGGTTGAGACAATCATCTACAAAGCTCCCATTTTATTAATTCTATTAATAAAAATGTGAATTTGCATAAAGATCCGCAGCCTACTAATCAGACTTCTCGTTTCGAGTTTCATAGTTTTTTACGCCAGACTGACTTTGATCGATGTGGGGGGCGAAACCCGGTCGTAGAAATTCACTTTCCAAAATGCTCGAAAGAACGGAGAACGTTTCTGAAATTAACGAGCGTTTTCTTTAGGGTGGTCTTGATTCGCTCGTTTACAGGTGATGGCTAAAAAAAGGAACAAGGCCTGGAAGCGTGTACGGCGATTGAGCGACGTCCAGGAAGCACTCGGAGTCTCGGTGGACGAAATGATTCCACTGGTAACGAACGATCTCCACGAGGAGCCGTACGCGTTGGACGAGGTACGCCATTCCACGTTACGTGATCGCGAGAACCCCTTACAATCCACCAGAAAAACGACAACGGTCAACGAGTCGTCGATAAAAAAGAGGGTTCGTTACCCTTACGTTATTTTTGTCCGTTTTTTCTTCTTCCAGATCAGCGATATCTTAGGCACAACGACCCAGAACCTGAAAGAGACGTCGCGTCTAGGGTCATTTAGCGATTCACAAACGTTCAAGCTCAAACAACGCGCTTTGCACGTGTTCCAAGGTGAGAAAATGCCTGTTTTTCTCGATTCGTCGTCGCAGCGTTGGTCACTTTGGGGGAAAAAGGATCCTCGTGGGAGCGGAAAAGTTTCGCGCGGCAAACAACGATTATTTATGCCGCGATTTTTCATGGAAATGTGTCGGTCGATTTCAGCTGCATTTTCAGAGGAATAATTCATGTATGCAAACGCTGATGTTGCTTACCCGGGAAGCAATTCAACGGTGTATTTAAATAATGAGAGAGGTCGGAATATTACACCTTTGTCTCTTTTTTTTTATTTTGTAACCTAGAACTTGGGTCACCTTATTTGTCCCTCAGAGTCGAAGATCCAAAGATCCGTCAAAGGTTGTTATAATAGGAGAATATTTGTAAAATTATTTATAAAACCTGTAAAGAACAGTGACAACAATGTGACTAAAATTGGCTATCGTAGGTTTAATGAGGAAATTGTCGAATCGCATCACGGAGAAGAACGGGGGGGCGTTGTCATTCGGTAACGCTTGTTCTTTTACGACGCAATCAAGTTTCACAACAGCAGTTTATATCGATCGCGGTCGTTATTTGTTCCCAGCGTCGTCGTCGAGGTTCGTCACGATCCATAGAATTTATTGCCATGGAAATGCAACGGAAACCACATGGAAAACCCTTTGTAGCCAGCCGTATTCGGTTCTTTTTCCTCGAATTTCCGCTACCCCCGACGATCAACTGGCTGGGGATCCTCGCCGGCGAAGTTTCTTTTGAAACGCGCGGCAATACGATATCGAACGCGAAAAACGAACGTTCCGCTTCGTTGAAATTCCTATTAAAATAGCGTGTATTCCCTTATAGTTAAATCCGTTCTACCAGCCGCCTCTCGTTCGAATAATAGCGGCTCTCTTTACCGAGCTACTTAAAGCTATTGAAATTCATGCGTTATATATTTTCATAAACGATACGCGCGCTCCAGCACGATACAGGACGAATCATAGAAATTGTACCCATTCGTTTCGAACGATTCTACACTTCCAAGGTTTAATTTAATCGAAATTTTCGATTCTATTTTTATTAAACGTGTATTAGCATATTTGTAAACATGTCGAAGAATCATAAAATTTGATACGGTGGCGCTGGACAATTTTTAAAAAAGCTTCACAGGGGTTGGTACGGTATCGACATATTTTGTATGCATGGAATTGCCCTGGTCTATTGTATACGCGTCGAGATTTGCTATACCGAGTTCTATTTGTGGATCGATGAAAAAAGAGGGCCTAAAATAATAGCCAAAGCATTCACCGATAAATTGTACGCAGAAATGCATATGTATATTACCGTTTTAGAGATTTAAGGGGCTGGACCAATGTGATCGCTCTAAAATTAGATGATTTTCGGGAATTTTTTCGGGCGTGTTTTCGATTTGCCAGCAGGCCAAATCTCTCTTTTAGAAGGCTGTCATTTTTAAACTATTTGAGATTCGACCTTGAAATTTCAATACAATATTCCAGAGAGTATAAACATTCAAACAATGCAAAAAAAAATCCATTTTTCGAAAGTACTGCACTGGTGTAGCCGTTTAATGGTACATACGTCATAGAGGGGCGGGGCAGATTTAATGGTAGGTCCTATAGAGTGGTGGAATAACGGTGCTCTCGATTATAAATGCACGCGCGTATATCCTCTAAGCCCGGGTACGCGCTATTACCGCGATTATTAAATTTCGATCGATCAAACGGCCGTACGATTGCATATTTTAGAGGCGGGCAGAGTGGTGGCGTTTCGTCGTACCAGCGAGGAGAAGACTGTAACGGAAGAGGAGAAGCTACGGCGGCTGGGCGGGCTGATGTCGGAGAGCCACGACAGTTTGCGGAAGCTGTACGAGTGCAGTCATCCCAGGGTGGACGCGCTCGTCGACAAAGCTATGATTTGCGGTGCTGTCGGCGCGCGGCTCACGGGAGCTGGGTAAGTGTAACCCAGATATCCACGATAACGGACCACGGCCCGACCCGGAGACCTGGAAAATTAAATTTAAATACAAATAGATCCGATAGCTTTCGCGCCTATGCCGTGTAAAATTGCTTCCGACCAGCAATATCGCGGTACACAGAGGAAACTTGCACGAAACTCCCCGGTATCCATCATTCGACATTTTCACACGCGATTGGTTGTACCGATAATATGATTTTTCATTCCGTGGAAAATCCAACACGGATTTAAACAATTAATAAGATACACTGTCGTATTCTTGTTCACAGTTTTTCTAGAAATGTATTATCTACAGGGGGAAAATTTCAATGGGAGATTCTAGAGGCCAAACTAAGAGGAAAATCAAGGATACTAATTTGTTGATCGAAGCTTCGTTAAAAAGTTATTAATGTTTAAAGTCCCACCAATATTGAATTTTTTTCTAGAAAGTGGGTAGGATTTCGGGGGTATGTGTAATGACCAAAAATGATTGTAATTGACACCTGTAACTAAATATAATTTTTTTCGTACGATTTGAAACTTTTCAATTTTGTTGAAAAATTTGACTATCGACTCGAATTTTTTTTCTCGAAAATGGATAGAATTTCGAGGGTATATCTAATGACCAAAAATTATTGTAATAGTCTCCCACAACCGAAAATAAATTTTTAAAAACGATTTGAAAAAATTTTTTTTTGCCAAAAAATGTGACTTCTTCTCGAATTTTTTTCTTTAAATTGGCTAGGATTTCGAGGGTACGTCTAATCACCAAAAATGCTTGCAATTGACACCTGTAACTAAATATAATTTTTTTCGTACGATTTGAAACTTTTCAATTTTGTCGAAAAATTTGTCTACATCTTCGAATTTTTTTCTCGAAAATGCGTAGGATTTCGAGGGTAGGTCTATTCACCAAAAATGATTGTAATTGACCCCCGCGACCGAAAATAATTTTTCCAGAACGATTTGAAATTTTTTAATTTTGTGGAAAAATTTCACACCTTCTCGAATTTTTTTCTTTAAAGTGGCTAGGATTTCGAGGGTACGTCTAATCACCAAAAATGCTTGCAATTGACACCTGTAACTAAATATAATTTTTTTCCTACGATTCGAAATTTTTCAATTTCGTCTAAAAATTTCACACCTCGAATTTTTTTCTCGAAAATGGATAGAATTTCAGGGGTATGTGTAATCACCAAAAATGATTGTAATCTATCCCCGCAACCAACAAATAATTTTAATTGAATATTTGAATAACTTTTTAACAAAGCCTCAATCAACAAACCAATTTTCTTGATTTTCGTCTTATTTTGGTCTCCAAAATCTCCTATTAAAATGTTTCCCAGCGTTATCCGCTCACCCTGTGTATTGTACAACTAATAGACTGCAGATCTCTATACAAATATATATTTTTCTTAATAGAGTCGTCTCTAACCCCCCTAAATACAATAATTCGTGTCTTCTTCGCCCATTAATTACATTCTGTAATTTTGTCACAATTAAAATTTCCCATAAACGGATAAACTTCCACAGCCTCAATCAAGTAACTATTATCCCGGAATTTAAAGTCTGTTTTGCAATCCTCCGGGCGCCGGGCGATCAAAGGGGTCCAGAAAAAAAGCTAATGCAAAGAGAACGCGTGTTTTCAATTCGTACGATCCCCGGCGTTCGACGAACGAGACGGGTGCATTTTCATCGTGTTGGCGAGTTTGACTAATCGCGAGGGGTTTGGAATTGATTAAAAAATTCCTCCAACGGGGGGTTGGAGCTGTAGGGGGCGAATGATTTCGTTTCACGGAAGGAGTACGAAGAATTCGTGTCCTTGGAATTCGAATACGCGCGAACTATAATGAAAATATCCCGTCGATTTCGTCGAGGTTTCGATTATTATCACTAGACTGCGTATCTTCATGCAAATTCATATTTTTATTAATAAAATTAATAAAATAGGAGCTTCGTAGAGGGTTCTTTCAACCCCTAAATACAATAATTCTTATCTCACTTGCGTTCTATAGTTTGTTGACAATCTAAATTTCCCATAAATGTGTAGGATTTAAAAAGGAGAATTGTATTTGGAACAAATGTACAAATAATATAATTAAATGAACGAATTTGAAATACCACCAAGCACACAATCTTTTTGCACAAATTATAATCACATTAATTGACGACACAAATTCAAATCACGTCCGTCTTTTCCCAATCACTCGTTTCTCTCTCCCCTAGTAACCCCTTCTTTTTTTAACTAAACACTTTCAACCCTTTTGCACATAGGTTAACATCGAACCAAACTACAGCGTGACAGAAATATTCAACACAAATCTCCTAGAAATGCATAAACATCCGCAGTCTAGTTATTACGGTTTGCGTACGGGAACAGGTGCGAGTAACGCAATCGTAACAAAACTGTCGAGAAGTTTTCTTATATTGGAAAGAAAGGGGTTGCAAAGATATTCGAGAAGGAAAAGGGTTGATACGGGGGTCACCAGGCGTCTGTTTCGTCGATTTCGAGCGTTTATCGGCTAATCTGAAACGATAATAAACGGTCACGCGCCTCGTTGTTTGCATCGATACGCAGTATTTACAGTCACGTTTAACCGTTTCGAAATTTCGCGAATCGAGAACGCGTTACGTTTTAAATAACAGAGAGCGACGCGTTTCATTAATTAACAAAACGAAGACTGTTTCTACGGTAGAAATGTCGGGAACGTATGATTTCCTAAAAACGGTCGTTATTCCACGTTATTCGCCATTGTTCGAAATTTACCAAACAGAAATTGTATCAGCGGTGGCTTTAGGATCTTTCTTTTTTTTAAAAAAAAGAAATAACAGAAAGAGTAACGCAGGTGATATTGAATTTGCTTTTAATTAAATTTAGAGTGTTCCGGGAACAAGCAGCCACAATATTCGACTTTAATCGCTTTGTCCGCGATGTTTGATCAGTTCGACCCCGATAACGTCCGTTAACTGTCAAATATATGTCTGTTGACAAGTTCGTGACACACCTCGGAACTCGGACGGTTACGAACTTCCTTTATAACCCCGAGTTTCATCCCCGATAACTGCCGTTTTGCCAATAGAAACAGTGGTATAAAATAGCACGGTCGAACAGAAGAAAACCGGGACCGGAAACGAGCCCTAGAGAGCGGTTTAATCGTTTTACGATGGGAACGCGATGAATTTTATCGCGTTGGATAACAGGCCGCCTCTTTAACCCTTTTAGTGCCGAACGACGATATATCGTTGCGTATGCGATGGGTGCCTTATTCTTCGCATTAGGAGAAAGATCTGTCTCAAAAGAAATTTCTAAAACATTATAAAGGGTCTAATTTTATTGCAAAAGCATTTAAAAAATTATTTTTGGGTTTAACCCTTTGCACGAGAAGCCCTTTTCGCTCGAGCGAACCAGCAACTCGGCACTACTTTGTGGCGGAAACCTATGTATTCTGGAGTCGTCATATTATACAGGGTGTTCGGTTAATCCTGGGAAAAATTTTAATAGGAGATTCTAAATAAGACGAAAATTAAGAATATCAGTTGCTTGACTAAGGCCTCGTTAAAAAGTTATTAACAATTGAATTAAAATATTTCAAACCGTTCTGGAAAAATTATCTTCGATTGCAGGGGCCAATTAAAATCATTTTTGATCATTACACATACCTCCGAAATCCTACCCAGTTTCGAGAAAAAAATTCGAGTAGGTACTGAACTTTTTAGATGAAATTAAAATATTTAAAATTACACTAAAAAAATCATATTTAGTTACAGGGGTCAATTACAATCATTTTTTATCATTACACATACCCCCGAAATCCTACACATTTTCGAGAAAAAATTTCTTACCGAATACGTCTGACCAATGGTTGACCAATTCCCCTGAAATTTCATGCGAATCTTTAAAAAATCATTTTTCTTCCAGACCTAACCCAGACCTGACCCAAACCTAATCCAGACCTAACCCAGACCTGACCCAAACCTAACCCAGACCTAACCCAGACCTAACCCAAACCTAATCCAGACCTAACCCAGACCTGACCCAGATCTAATCCAGACCTAATCCAGACCTAACCCAAACCTAATTCAAACCTAATCCAGACCTGACCCAACCTAACCCAGATCTAATCCAAACCTAACCCAGACCTGACCCAAACCTAACCCAGACCTAACCCAGACCTGACCCAAACGTAATCCAGACCTAACCCAGACCTGACCCAAACCTAACCCAGACCTAACCCAGACCTGACCCAAACCTAATCCAGACCTAACCCAGACCTGACCCAAACCTAACCCAAACCTAACCCAGACCTAACCCAGACCTGACCTAAACCTAATCCAGACCTAACCCAGACCTGACCCAAACCTAACCCAGACCTAACCCAGACCTGACCCAAACCTAATCCAAACCTAACCCAGACCTGACCCAACCTAACCCAGATCTAATCCAGACCTAACCCAGACCAAGGTGCCTAAATTTTTCGCCGAAAAAAAAAATTTCAAATCGTTCTGAAAAAATTATTTTCGGTTTCGGGGGTCAATTACAATCATTTTTGGTGAATAGACATACCCTCGAAATGTTACGCATTTTCGAAAAAAAAATTCGAGAAGGTGTAAAATTTTTCAACGGGAAAAAAAAATTTCAAATCGTTCTGAAAAAATTATTTTCGGTTCTGGGAGTCGATCACGATCATTTTTGGTGAATAGACATACCCTCGAAATCCTGCTCGTTTTCGAGAAAAAAATTCAGTACAGGCTCTACTTTAAATAATAACTTTTTAACAAAGCCTCATCAAATTTTGAATCGAGTATTTATTAAAAAATCATTGAAAATCAAATACTTATACTTTCTACTACGTGACCTACATGAAACTGTGATCAAATAATGATTATTCTTAAGTGTAAATATTGTTTGTAGAAGAGAAACTTGTTTCTATGCATTTTATCATATTTTATAATTACGTTATTTATACGATTTGCAATAAATATTGAAATGCAATTGCCATTACTTTATTCTTTCTTTGTTTCGTAATATGCTGCTTTTTGAATTTTGTAAATATCATTCTTAGTTTGGTTTTTATGAGCTTTTTCTCTAACCATAACAAACTCGTCAAATTGGCTCGGTATTCTTCGCACAGGCACCCGTTTTTCGCTACTAAAAGGCACCAAAAGGGTTAAAATAGATTCCTCCTCGCCTCACGACGAAACCGTAAAGGTATTCGATTTAATCCATCGAGCAAAGCAACGAAGGTATTTCTCGTATTGAATTAATAAACTCTCACGAAACGTTGGACACGTCGCGGCTGATGGAATCTTATTTCACGCAGATGGGGCGGTTGCATAGTGGCCATCGCGGCGAAAGACAAGGTTTTCCAATTTGTGGACGCGTTGAAGAAGGAGATCGCTCTAGATGGGATAAAGGATGGTTTCGAGCTCGACTGTCTGGTCTTCCCCACGGAACCGAACCGAGGTGCAGCGATCTATAAGATCTAGTTTCCACGTTCGTTTCTTTCCCAGTCTTATGCTTGAATTATATAAACGACGGACCGCCGATATTGTAATACGAAAACAATTGTAAGAGTATGAATACACGATAATAAAAGCGCTTTGCGCGACTCTAAACGTTTGTTAGTTTCACGAGGAGAGCAAGTGACGGAGGATAACCCGGATAACAGGATGACTACAGGATGGGAAACGTTACGCAGCGTTACTTTGTACAGTAAGGAGTGGTCAAGTGATGCTCCTTTTGTATTACAAGAGTTTATTCAGTTGAGAAGAATAACGGAATTTCCAATGGAATTTGACCCTTGGACAAGGCGTTAACAAGAGATAGATCAGGATACATTGTACCGGGTAAAAAAGCTTTATTAGATATAGGTCGAAAGGTCAAGTTTTGCATAAATCATTATTTCTTACTAGGAATATAAAAGAATAACATAAAATAAACGTTATAATTATTTTTATCACAGTTAGAAGTAACATGAGAAAGTCTTTTGGTAATTGACATCTTGTTGTTTATGAATAATACGAACAATAGATTGGACATGAAAAGATGTAATGCGACGGTCGCTCGTCGCAACGAAACATTCGAGACAAACTCAAACATTCTCAGCGGGCAATGAAAGTATATAAACTCGTCCATTTTCTTAACACTTTACCGACCGATAGCCTATCGATCGACTGTTTTACCGGCCAACGCTTACCGACTGATAGCTTATTAATCGACTGTTTTATCGGTCGGCGTTTACCGACCGATAGCCGATTGATCAACCGCTACCGGTCGGTAAAGTGTTAACACCATTTATGCTCCTTGCTGTAAATTCACGGAGGTGCCAAGAACCGACGCTTCGTCCGTTAAACGAACATCCTGACCTTCCCCCGCAAGAACTCCCCTCCGTCCTGGCCGGATGTGCACGAAACGAATTCCGTGTACACCCGTAGGAGGATGAATTAAAGGCGAATATGGTGTGTCATCTAGGGTCGATTTAAGGACGGCGATATAAAAGACGAGAAATGGAGGGAACACGCTGAACGAAATCCTCTTCACCGTCGAAAAGTACTGGCAGTCGCTAACGATCGTCGACGGAATTACGCAGCGAACGGAACGGCTGCGTCAGCTTACGCGCGATCCAAGAACTTTATCAGGGTTGAATACGAAAGGATAAGCCGACGGAATGGAATTTGTCAAGAGAAAATTTCCATTCGACCTACATCTGCCTAAGGGTGTTCTCGCACGGGATTCCGTCACGGACATGGAAATTAGAGGAACGCTGGCTGGTCTGTGTACCAGTCAGGTGCGACTGATTGCGAATTTGTTCGACACGGCCGTACCACGCGACGGGATTAACGTCGACGCGTCGCCAACAGCATCGGGGTAAAATGGTTTCCGAAATTAATACGATCGAGGCCGAGGAATCGTAGATTCGTTCGAGAACCAGCGAGAGCATTTTTTCTAGCCTTGGTTTGAGGTAGGTCCGGCACACCTGCGGTCCTAAAGTCCGACACCGATATTGATTTCCTGCCGTCTGTCCGTGCCAATAAATTTCTCGTCGGGGAGCCGGCGAAAGTTCAGAAGAAAGTTCACCGCGAATCGATCAAACGTTACGTGTCTATCGTCGCGACAGAAACCGAGCGAAAAATTGTATCTTCGGTCTCACGAACGTTCCAGGGTAGCGTTATTTACTAAAAAATAAAAAAATTGTTCAATTGCGTTTGGTATATATACGGCAAAAATTTAATGGGGGATTCTTGGGGCCAAAATGAGACGAAAATCAAGAATAGTAAATTGTTAATCGAGGCTTCGTTAGAAAATTATTAACGTTTAAAGTTGCGCCTGTGAGACGGCAACCTACGTGCAGCTGCGTGCGCATGACAGTGGTTTTCACTCAGCGTGAGAGATTCGGCTTAGTGTAGTATTGATAGCCTTATAGTTTCCTGAGTTAACAACTTTTAAACTTTTAAAAATTATATTTAGTTGGAGGGGTCAATTACAATCATTTTTGGTTAATAGACACACCCCCGAAATCCTACCCACTTTCGAGAAAAAAATTCCTTACCGAAAATCTAATTAGATGTCTAAATTCGGCAAAATTGAAAAGTTCCAAATCACTCTGGAAAAATTATTTTCGGTTGTGGGGGTCAATTACAATAATTTTTGGTTATTAGACATACCGTCGAAATTGTAGCCATTTTCAAGAAAAAAATTTGAGAAGTTGTGAAATTTTTGCGACGGAAAAAAAAATTTCAAATCATTTTGAAAAAATTATATTCAGTTGTGGGAATCGATAACAATCATTTTTTATGATTACACATATCCTCGAAATCCTACGCAGTTTTGAGAAAAAAATTCATTACCGAATACGTCTGACCAATGGTTGACCAATTCCCCTGAAATTTCATGCGAATCTTTAAAAAATCATAACTCCTGAACGGATCGGTCGATTTTAATGTTTCAAATAGCAAATAACGCGTATTTTGGTGGAGAATATGTAGAAATTCCAAAAATATTCGAAAAGTTGATCCTTCACCCCGCAAAATAAGAGAAACCCCCATAAAAATGGTCCTATTTTCAAATACCCATAACTCTTACAATATTGAATAAATTTCAATAAAACTTTTTTCTGAAGTAGTGCTAATGGGTACCTACAGAAAAGTATTAGACAACTTTTCTGTAGGGTGTCAAACAAAATTACTAAAAATTAAAAACTAATTTTCAAGACAGATCGATAGGGGGTAGGTGCCTAAATTTTTCGACGAAATTCAAAAGTTCCAAATCACTCTGGAAAAATTATTTTCATTTGCAGGGCTCAATTATAATCATTTTTGATTATTAGACATACCCTCGAAATCCTAGCCACTTTAACAAAAAAAATTCGAGAAGGTGTGAAATTTGTCGACAAAATTAAAAAATTTCAAATCGTTCTAAAAAAATTATATTCGGCTGCGGGGGTCAATTACAATAATTTTAGGTCATTGGACATACCCTCGAAATCCTAGCCATTTTCAAGAAAAAAATTCGAGTAGATGTGAAATTTTTCGACGAAATTGAAAAGTTTCAAATCGTTCTAAAAAAATTATATTTAGTTGGAGGGGTCAATTACAATAATTTTTTGTTATTAGAGATACCCTCGAAATCCTAGTCATTTTCAAGAAAAAAAATTCAAGAAGTTGTGAAATTTTTCGACAAAATTAAAAAATTTCAAATCCTACTAAAAAAATTATATTTAGATACAGGTATCAATTACAATAATTTTTGGTGAATAGACCTACCCCCGAATTCCTACCCACATTCTAGAAAAAAATTCATCGAATCTTTAAACGTTAATAACTTTTCAACGAATCCTCGATCACCAAATTACTATTCTTGTCTTTCGTCTTATTTTGGCCTCTAGAATCACCCATTAAAATTTTTCCCAGGACACCGCCCTGTGTAGTCGCAAAGTCGAGGGGTGAAACGGCTCGCGCAACCTCGAACAACAACGACCATAAAGTATCCCCGAGTAACAAGTTGGAAAGTGTACCGGGCACGTTGAAATACGAACGAAATTTCGCGCCAGAGTGTCTCGGGCTCCGAATAATTATAAAGTCGTCTTATTACGCGCCGCCTGTTCTCATAAGCTGACTTATTATGCATCGAACCGATTACCGCTCTCTTTTGATACGCCCCGGAGAACTTTCTTCATAATCTTTCGTCCTCGTTCTTCCGGTACACCGGTGTTTCCGTCGCGCTCTCGAAACCTGCGCCTCGATCTCTCTCCCGGCAAATTTACACAACGATTGTAAGAAAGGGTTTATTAAAATCAGGACAGCGGTCGGGCGTTTTGATAAAATTGACTGGACTTTTTAAAACTGTATTCTGTGTCTGTTCATGGCCAAAGCCAGTCGTGAGGGCATTCTTGTCAGTACTGCCCTCCTTTTTCCAAGTATCCTGGCGAACGAAACCCCTAAAATTAAAAGGAAAGTTCAATTTTGCTTTCAGACAATTGCAAACTAGCGTACCAAGAATTTGTCATGGAATTTGTGAGAGAGATTCACGGCAGGTTATTGAACGTGCACCAAATAAAGAGCCTCGTGATTTATTATAAGAAAGTTTAAATTACAACGAGGCAACGCTAGATCGAGCAAGCAACAACACGAACCAAGGAACAGATCAGACAGACAAAAGAAATGAAGATGTGCCCGACACCGGGTGGCGCGTTTGAAGCCCGTGTATCGTTTATTCTAACAGAATTTATTTGTATAGACTCTTTAAAATTCAAGGGATCTGCCTAACTTTATTTTTGCAAACTAGCGTACCAAGAATTTGTCATGGAATTTATTTTTATAGACTAGTTAAAATTCAAGGGATCTAACTTTATTTTCTTTGACATCTAATCTTGAGAATTAATTGTTTTAACTCATTGGTGAAAAGTCGTGTAACCCATATGTGGGTGACGTGGCAGTCAATGTGTTAACACTATACCGACCGGTAGCGGTTGATTAATCGGCTATCGGTCGGTAAGCGTTGGTCGGTAAAAAAGTTGATTAATACGCTATCGGTCGGTAAGTGTTGGCCGGTAAAAAAGTCGATTAATAGGCTATCGGTCGGTAATGTGTTAAGATTGGGAAACGCTCCGAGGAGAAGCACATGGCCCGCTTCAGGCATCTGTTTCAACGTTTCTAACACGATGAAATTTATTTCGGGGGCTCGGTATTGTTTCGGGACGGGTCAACGACAGCGCAAAGTTCGGCGACACGGAAACCAGCGCTGGTTTCAGACTTGGAAATTTCATCAGACGCGCAAGCGTAAATGTAAGCGTAAGTGTAAGTGTTAACGTAAGGGAAAGGCTGCGTGACAAGGGAAGCACCTAACGCCACGAGTTTAAGCTCATCGGGAGTTCTGGATTTGATTTACATTGCGGTTTGGCCGCGAGTCGGCTGACACTGACATCCCTGTGGTTCTCATTACCTTAACACATTACGTGCCAGAGACGCGTGGGGCAAAGCGTTAGGGATATCTGGGCCCCGGTTATATGGATTATCGTTCATTTGCTGAACGTAACAAATGTGTTCGTGCAAACGCATATTTTTCTAACACTCAACCGACACTT